AACTCCGCCGTGATTCCAAAATTCAAATGGCAGTTTCATCCGCCTGCTTCAATCTTTGTCGGTATTGTACGTGAATTTCAAATTATTTCTTTATTTTCAAGAAAATTTAGTCTAAACATAAGGTATATTTTGTTGATGTTTGACCATCAAAATCTTAAAAATACAGAAGTTATCTAAAAATGTGCTACAATACCGACACAGTATAATCCTTTATCTTTAATTTCCTTCCTAATTTGTTTAAAAATACCTAGCCAGTTTTACATAAAACGTTAAATGCCGAACGCTTATTTTTGCTACTTTTTCGGACTAGTGAAATGGGCTCTTAAGTTTAGAGATAATCTCAACTAAAACCAGGAAAACGCAAACAGCTGTCATTGGTTACGCATGAAATAACCCTATACAATCGATAGTTCGAAAAACAAAACCTAAATATCTGCCTGGCGTGCGATACCCTCCCGCGACAGAAAAAGGTAGAAAGTGAAAAATATTCCGCGTTTACTTAAATCGAATTATTTCTATCTTTGTTAGCTCCTGGTTTTATTTAAACGCTTTCACTTTTTCTTTTTTCATACTTTAGTTAATTCGCCTCGGCAGATGTTTGTTTGAGATAGTCATTAGCGGGAAAAAATCCTCTCAAACGTCAATTTAGATACGGTGTTCTAGTCAAGAGAGCGTAATAATATACCGGACATCGGCCATAACCGTTAGCAGATTATTTGGTGTAGATTTTACAAATGCCATATAATTAAAAATAAAGCATATTCTGCAGATAAAAATAAGTAAAAAAGTTCATATAAATGTATGCCCTAAAATGCTTAGTTTGGGAGATACAGGGTGAAGTACCATCAATAGTTGGATAAAAATTGGTGTCTGACAGTTTTTTTTGACATGAGAAATTTGATTTTGATATCAATACGACTCCTATTTGTACGGGGGGCGCCACCTACATGTGTTGTAATTGTTTTGAAGAGTAATAACTCTTCGTCCGTACCTGTATAAAACTACTGAGTAAAAAATATACATTTCCGTGATCTTTTACGTAAAAAATGTCTCTTGGTAAAAATCGCTACGAGCAACCGTTCTCAAGATATTAAGGATTGAAATAGTCAATACATGTACATATATTGACAAAAAATAAACGTTGAGTAGATAGTTATTTGACTAAAGTGATAAATTTGGTAACTTTTTATTTTTTTAAATTAATCATATACTTTTCTTCGAAAAAATGATGATAAAACAGTTTCTGTTGAACTTTTGGTACAAAAACATATCAAATTTATTATTTCAGTCTGATAAACTATTTAGTCAACCTGTTTAATTTATGTCAATGATGACAGGTATCGATAATTTGGATTCCAAATATCTCGAGAACCATTACTGGTAGCAATTTTTACCAATAGACTTTTTTTACGTAAAAACATCGTAGATGTATATTTTTTTACTCAGTTGTTTTATACAGGTACGGACAAAAAGTTATTACTTTTCAAACCAGTTAAAAAATATGTAGGTGGCGCCCTCTACAAGTAGGAGTCATATTGACATCAAAACCAAATTTTTCATGTCAAGAAACTCCCAGACACAAATTTTCATCTAAATATTGATGTTACTTCAGAAATTATTTGAAAAAAATTGAAATAAAAATGAAACTTCTACACCCTGTATCTCCGAAACTAAGCTTTTTAAGATATACATTTATACGAACTTTTTTACTTATTTTTATCTGCAGAATATGCTGCCGAAATTTCCGGGATACATTTCGGACCACCCTGTATAACAAATAATATGTGGTATGTGGGATACTTATATTCTACTTAACCCTACTAGTTGTAGGCTTAAGTAGAATAAGGGGAACCCACCGAAGAGGAACTCAAAAAATTGGAGCACACGCAACTCGCTCTATTTTAATATTGTTTCATTGTTGTTCTACAACAAACTAAAGTGATCATTTTTTAAATTCCCTGAAGTTTTATTTTAAAATTTAAAATGCATTTTTTTCTTGATTTTTATTGAGTTATGTATGAGCTCTTATAGCTGTAAGGGGATCAATTTATTTTATATAAGCAAGACGTCTAATTTGATAAGTCGTCCGTTTTAATAGGCATACGACAGTCTTAATTTAAATCCGTTACTGAATCAATTATACTTAATGATACATTACAAGAATGAATGAATATATTAGGTATATATCATCAGCTTTACAGTATTACTTTATAATCTTCTTCAGAGGATATACATTTAGTTGCAATTTAAATTATAACAGGAAACTGTGATAAAGCAATTTAGTTTAGCTTTTGTTTCAATGTCGTATTAATCCCAAGTAGCATTTTCACGACTTGCGACCACATGTTTACTAAACACAACGTTGGATTAGTTACAAAAAATAGTTAGCTCCCTACCTTGGGTATTAAAATAAATTTAAACGTTTTTATAACGTTGTGCCGACGTTGGACTAGTACTACAGCAAAGTAGAAGCTTCTGCGACGTCGAATAAACGTTGTCTTGTAACCTTTTTTGCTTAAGTGATCTTTGGGTGATTCGGACAACGTAGTTACAACGTTGGACAATATAGAGTTTTCCGACGTCAGTTTCAGGACCTATTCCAACGTTGTGCAAACGTCGTCTGTTTTACTAATTCCAACGTTGTTTAGATTTCCTTATTCTTACGTTGGTAGGACGTCGAGTCACTACCTTTTTTGCAACTGTATTGAACCATAACCTTAAATTTTAAATTTTCACTTCACTGTTCTGTTCAGTCAAACAGTTCAGTGCTGTTTTTGTTTTTATAAAAAAAACTTAATTAAAATGGGACATAAGAAAGGTACATATAAAACTAAATTTAAATAAACATCGACATATATTACCGATAGTTTATCCACTCCCTCGTTTATTTATATTATAGAGGGCGGCACAAGCTAGACTCTAGGATGACTAAATTAGGCAATCTTGCGACTATTATACTACTTGTTAAGGCCGAACTGCGACTTTATTAGTCCAGTATGCGACTACTCGAACTACTCCATCTTAATCTCCAATACAACAAAGTGAAAGCCGCCATGTTGTTAAATAAGAAAATGTTTCGTTCCTAAAATAGCAATTCCTGCTTTTTGAATACATTAACTTGAAATTTTTGACCCTAAAAAACACGCGGAAACAATTTTTTCGACTGCGAATAAATTATTCTCATTTTACTAAAAAAAAAATTGAAGAAAATTTTTAAAACTTCTTTAATTTTAAGGCCCATTAGTATTTTTCAAAGTAGAAACAATACATTTATCAATAAAGTTGTTTGCGTTTAACTCTTTTGCCTTGGGTAACGAGTTACAGAGTCGGTTAAAGTGTTTCAATAATTATGATCTTCAAACATCCTCCACACTTAAATACTTTTGTTTTGTTTTCCTTCACTGCCATCTGACATATGTCTCTAACTAAATCATAAAAATAATATTTTTACTATAATTATCCCAATTTAGGATAAAACGCGACTTAGACGCCATATTAGTTTTGTATTTCTGTGAATTAGGATTTTAAACAACGTTGCAGTTTGTACTAAATTAGGCTTCTAGCCAACGTCGGTATCCAACGTCGTTTCGACCCAAAAATTTTTCTCCAAACTAGTGCAGACTAGGGTTGGCACGAGGTTGTGCCGACGTTGCGCCCCGACGGTGGTCGCGTGACACAACGTTGTCCCGACGTCCAAATGCTGCTTGGGATGTTCGTATTAATTAATGTAAAGTAATGATGAATTATGAAAAAAGAATATCTACTTCTTGAAAATTAAAAAATGAACATTTTTTGTATTTAAAGTATTTCAAAATTTTTAATGGTTTCGCAGATACACGTAGTATTATTTCATATGGCTCTTTCAACGGTAAAATACGAGAGAAAAATCACTGGGTGTGGCTTTGATAAAAATTTACTATGGAAAATGTCATATAATATATAAAACCCCACATATCTGCGAAACTGTCAAACATTTTGAAATACTATAAATACAAAAAATGTTCATTTTTTAATTCTCCATCTATTGAAAAAATAATATATAGGGTGTTCCATATAAAAAAACGAAGAAAAATTATTTTATATTTTAGAAAGTTTGGCATAAAATTTTGAACATCCTGTATTACGATTACCATTATTTACAGCAAAGTAAGTACAGACAATCTAAAAGAAATACTTAATATAGTTTTGATTTCAGGACAGTTCTTGTATTTTTAATAAATTTTTTTCAGAAAGGCTGAAAAATGTATATTTTTATTTATTTATTAATATATCTGAAACTATCCAAATATATTTACTCATATCTTAGGATTATGTAAAGTGATCTGAAAAGAAGCCAAAAATGCAATAATATACAGGATCTTCCATTTAAAAAAAATTATCCCGATCCACTCACACTTTTTTGAGCCACCAGAAGTTAAAATATTTTCCTGAAATACATATTAGAACATACTTTACATCTGAACTTGAACAAAATTTCCAAATTTTTTATTCTAGGAGCTACAGATGCCCGACGCACTATTGCCGGACCCTGTATAGCGTAATTTGGCATAATTACTTTTTAAAATAAGACCATTATTAAAATACTTCCAATTTCCAATTAAAGAAACAGATTTTGCTATTTAAAAAATTTGCTATTCAAAAAACATTTTGCCATTTAATTTATTACAGTACCATGACAAAATTTCACAAGACTTTAACGTTTCATGAATTAATGAAAATCATTAATGAAAACTTAGCCAAAACTAAATGCCAATAACCCAAAAGAGAATTATAAGATATTTTTTTTTAATTTTTTAACAATTCACATTAATTACAAACTACGATTTTTTTGTTTTGTTTTCGAAACAAGGTCGCACGCACTTCTTTCGTCATATTTTTCGTCTATAAACAATACAAATTCGTGTGAAACTTCATGCTCTACATAGAATTAAAAAATAAATCAAAAGTAACGTTAAAGGTTTAGACTGAGCAATATAATTTTTACTTCATTTCGGTTTCAGATCTTGTTCTGCACGCTCAACACATTCAAACCCGACATGAAGAAACTTCTAGGCGGTCAAATTGGTTTAGAAGACTTTATTTTTGCACACAGAAAAGGTAAGTGACTAAAATTTATTATAATAATTAACTTAAAAATTAATTGAAAGTGTCAATTGGATTTCCAAGGCTTAACTGATATTGAACATATTTTTATAAACACATAATTTTCTAGAGATTTTGGATATACAGAGTGGTCCGAACTGTATTCCGGAAACTTTGGGAGCATATTCTGCAGATAAACAGAAGTAAAAAACTTCTTATAAATGTATCTCCTAAAATGCTTAGTTTCGGAGATACAGGGTGTAGAAGTTTCATTTTTATTTCGATTTTTTTCCAAATAATTTCTGAAGTAACGTCAATATTTGGATGAATATTGGTGTCTTATAGTTTTTTGGCATGAGAAATGTGATTTTGATGTCATTATGACTCCTATTTGTAGAGTGCGCCACCTACATGTGTTTTAACTGTTTTGAAGAGCAATAACATTTTGTCCATACCTGTATAGAACTGCTGAGTGAAAAAATATACATTTTCGTATTTTTTACATAAAAATTGTCTCCTGGTAAAACTCGTTACGAGCAACCCTTCTCGAGATATTTAGAATGGGAATAGTCAATACATGTCATTATTGACAAAAAATAAACATGTTGAGTAGATAGTTATTGGACTAAAAAGATAAATTTGGAAGATTTTTATTTTTTTAAATTAATCATAAATTTTTCTTCGAAGATATGATGATTGGTGATGATTTGGCACAAAAACATTTCAAATTTACGATTCCCGTCTATTAACTAATTAGTCAACATGTTTAATTTATTTATGTCAAAGATGACAGGTATTGATAATTTCGATTTGAAATATCTCGAGAACTATTACTCGTAGCGATTTTTATTAAGAGATCTTTTTTACGTTAAAAACGTCGTAAATGTATATTTTTTTACTTAGTAGTTTTATACAGGTACGGACGAAGAGTTATTACTCTTCAAACCAGTTAAAAATATGTAGGTGGCGCCCTCTACAAGTAGGACCCATATTCACCAAACCAAACTCTGTATACATGGAGTTATAAATTTGAGAACCCCTGACTCCTGATATAGATGCTTTAAAAACCCCTGTATATTACAGCTGTACTTCCAGCCAGCTATCAGATTGTTCCCCGGTACGACCTCTACGACAAAAACCGAGCAATTTCGTATCATAAAAATAAGCTCATGCTCGAACCCGGTGCGCTCGGTTCTTGTGGGAACCAAAAAAATCGATCGTTCGTACCGATCGATGGGTTCTCGGGTACCACCTCGTGCAGCCGATATTCCCGGCACGAAATCCGAGAAGAACTGGTAATTACGTAAGCAAGGTACCGTCCATTGGGTACCATCGCTCGGTCAGGTCGACGACGCGCTGTAACTTTCAATAATCGAGAAAATTGAATAATAAAGAAACGACATTGGGTGGAGATTGCTTTTGAGAGGTACTGATTGGACCTTTGTATTACTCTGTGTGATTATTTATTAGTAACATTTATTCATATAATAGAGGATTTGGTTTTATAACAGCAAAATAAAACACACGTTCACCACAAAAAACCAACAAAACTTTTTGGTTTTTATCACATCTTTATACATGACTATCGCGTACCCGCGACTTCGTTCGCGTCGAAAATCATTTGTAATGGTGATGATAAAGCAAAGCAAAAATTTCCATTAACATACAAACTGGATAAAATTTTCTCACATTTATGTCAGCACGAGAAAAACCAATATGGCGATATTATTATATAACTTGGTAATATTTGAGGGGTAGTTTCGTCTCGTTGGAATTTGACTTTCAAGAAATCCATTTGCCAAAAATAAGCTTTTTACGTCAAGCAGTTTAAGCAGAATCGTGATTAATCAATTATCCAACTTTTTGAAACACCCTGTATGATTTTTTAAAAAATTTCAAAATATATAAATAACAAAATAAATTATGCGTGTCCAAGCGTTTTCCCGAAAGACTAACCGTTTTTTAAATAACAAATATTGTAATATTTGAGGGGCGTTTTCACCCTCTTGGAATTTGAGATTCGAGAAACCCCTCCTTATCGAACCTCTACACCCCACAGTCAATCTGTTTGCCAAAAATCAGCTTTAAACGTCAAGCAATTTAAGCAGAATCGTGATTACTCAATGGTCATATTTTATGAAACACCCTGTATACATTTTTAAAAAATCTTAAAATATGTAAAACAACAAAATAAAATATACGTGTTTAAGAGTTTTTCCGAAAAACTCACCGGTTTTTAAATAAAAAATACTGTAATATTTGAGGGGTGGTTTCACCCCCTTGGAACTGGAATTTTGAAAAATCCCTTCTTATCGAACCTCTACACCCTAGAATCAACCTGTATGCCAAAATTGAGCTCCTTACGTTGAGTGGTTTGAGCAGGATCGTGATTAATCAGTGAGTCAGTCATTTAAGGATTTTATACATTAGTATAGATTAACAGTGAACATTGAATGAATTGAAATTTTTGATGAATTGAGTGAATCTATTGAAAGATACGTTCAATATATCTTAGATAGGAACTATCGGCGACAAGAAATAGCTATCTTATCCGATAGCCAAGCATCATTTAAGCTTGATTTTCATGCGTCCGTTATCCGTTGATACGATGGTCCGACGGCGCTCTGATTGGTCATAGCGTTTTTGCTCCACTTTTCATGTGTAATTTTTTTTACTCCAGCCCGTCAACGGCGAAAGATCGCACGATAACGGACGTTTCAACAATTTTTTGACAAATTTAATCTAATCTTAATAAAAATATAATAGTAATAGTACAAGAGCTAACACCGTCGGGAAAACGAGAATTTTAAGAAAGCTGGTTCTTTAATATATCTTTTGCTATGCTCTCCTGTGCTCTCCTGGCCACAGTGCGGGCCGTCTGGCTGCCCGTAGACTACTGGGCATCATATATGTACAGGGTATCCCATTTTCGTGTGTTTTATGGGATTTCTCGTTTATGAGTAGAGATACAATGATGCGATTTTCACATTACTTTGCTACTTTTTTATGAAACTAAATATGCTACACATATGTTTGTCCTAGCCTCCTTAGTTCCAGAAATACAGGGCGAATTTGTGATGCGCAGTACTGAACAGATGTTGAATACAGATATAATAGTGTATGTAGTGAATAAGTAATAGTAGTGAACGCAACGTCTACCGATAGCCAGACGGTCCGCACTCTGTTCAGGAGAGCATAACAAAAGATATATTAAAAAACCAGCTTTCCTTAAATTCTCTCTCGAAAACGTTGCTAGCTCTTAGACTATAAGTAAAACAGCGAAATCGTTATGGAAATGAAAATATAAAATGACACCAATCACAAGCAAATCGTATATCCGATGAACGGAGGCATGAAAATGCAATAAATTTGAAAACTGCCTAATTTTCTGACCAATCGAAGTCTTTAAATTCAACCAGTAAAATTAATATCGCATCATCGTATCGTCGGATTTACGGATGCATGAAAATCAAGCTTAACAGAGCCATTTTCAGTGTTAAAGACATCTACAAACTAGATATTAACATAACATTACAATACACTTACAAAAGAACCAACACACGCTCTTTTGAGTACCAAGTACCAACCAATGCGGGTACTCTAAGCAAACACAAAAATCGAATAGCAAATATAAAGTGTGCGACGAGAGTACGACTAAAATATTTCTCTCGAGTACCGCTAAACTTTCAGAACCTACTCGATACCAGTTGTACCGTTTTATTTTGATGCAATTGGAGTCAGTGTGGGAAAAATGCAGCGCATGAGGTACGGAAAGCCGGTATATAGAATCAATATCTTCTTTTATTTTATCGATTTGCTTGTTTTGTAATGGTAGTGGATTAGCTGAAATAAAGTGTATAGTACCTTGTACTTGTTTTTTATTATTATAATAGTTACTATATATATATTAATCTTTTTTATTATTATAATAGCGGTACAAAAGGCGGTACGAATCAGCTATTTTAGTTTTTTTTTATACAGGGTGGTCCGAACCGTATTTCGGAAACTTTGACAACATACTCTGCAGATAAAAATAAGTAAAAAAGTTCGTATAAATGTATGTTCTAAAATGTTTAGTTTCGGAGATACAGGGTGTAGAAATTTCTTTTATATTTCGATTGTTTCAAAATAATTTCTCAAATAACATCCATATTTGGATGAAAATTTGTGTCTGGGAGTTTTTTGACATGAGAAATTTGATTTTGATGTCGATATGACTCCTATTTGTAGGGGGCGCTACCTATATGTGTTTTAACTGTTTTGGAGAGTAATAACTTTTTGTCCGTACCTGTATAAAACTACCCAGTGAAAAAATATACATTTCCATGTTTTTTTTACGTAAAAAATGTCTCTTGGTAAAAATCTCCATGAACAACCGTTCTCGAGATATTTAGAATGGAAATAGTCAATACATGTCATTATTGACAAAAATTAAACACGTTGAGTAGATATATAGTTGTTTGACTGAAATGGTAAATTTGGGAACTTTTTTTTAAATTAATCATAATTTTTTCTTCGAAAAAATGATGATAAAACAGTTTCTGTTGAACTTTTGGCACAAAAACATTTCAAATTTATGATTTCAGGTTAATAACTATTTAGTCAATATGTTTAATTTATGTGAATGATGACAGGTATTGATAATTTCAATTCCAAATATCTCATGTTAAAAAACTCCCACACACCAATTTTCATTCAAATATTGACGTTACTTCAGAAATTATTTGGAAAAAATCCAAATAAAAATGAAACTTCAACACCCTGTATCTCCGAAACTAAGTATCGCATGATCGAGAAAAGACGGCGTCCAGTTGGCTGGGAAATGACGATCAATGACATCTCCCATATAAATTTACATATAAAATGACAGCGATCTTCATTTCATAGCCATCGCTGACGCCGTTTTTTCCCGATCATGCGGTATTTTAGGACATACGAGTACATTTATACGAACTTTTTTATTTATTATTATCTGCAGAATATAATGCCGAAGTTTCCGAAATACCTATAGTTCGCACCACCCTGTATAGTAGATTTTTAGTTTTTAGAATGTAATTACAGTCGTTAAAAAATCCAATAAAATGGTCATTTGAAAAAAAAATTACGGGCAAGCTGATTGTTTTAGGGTTTGTCAGCGACTGTCTTCTGAGTGTAAAATAAACAAAATCGGAAATTTTCCCCTTGCGGTTTTTGAGCAACGGGTGTTTTTTTTTTAAACTGTATTACAACAAAATAATTAGACGCAAATTGTACATAAGAACATTCTCTATAAGTTCGCCTAATGCATTTTTTATGAGTTTATTATTTCCGGACTTAGCGGCCGTTTCATGAGCCCTTTGGGGTTGTTTTCAAAAAGTTTGTTTTACAGCAAATTGACCCGTATAAAAGTTGTTCATAATAAATGGACAAGCAACATTTCCTCATGATTTTTTTTGTAGCTTGATTATTTTTGGAGATATCCATTTTACAATAGCACTTGTGAATTTCCTGAAAAAAAAAGACATTTAAAGCTACCACCACTTGTTCATGATCTGGGCGCTATCTCCAAAAATAGTGAAGTTCATAAAGCAAAGGTATAATATTTACTCTTATTTTGAACGAGTTTGAGAGTGAATTTGCTGAAAAAAGAGTAACATTGAAAACCACCCTAATTTGTTCATGAACTGGCTATCTCCAAAAATAATCAAGCTACAAAAAAAATTCATGAGGAAAAGTTGCTTGTCCATTTATTATGAACAACTTTCATACGGGTCAATTTGCTGTAAAACAAACTTTTTGAAAACCACCCCAAAGGGCTCATGAAACGGCCGCTAAGTCCGGAAATTATAAACTTATAAAAAAATGTATTAGGCGAACTTATAGAGAATGTTCTTATGTACAGGGTGGGTCAAATTCGACGCTTTTAAATGGAAACACCCTTTTCTATAGGAGATAGACGAAAACTAATATCGGTGTCTGGAGCTCAATTTTCATCAAAAATATGATGGTGAAAACCGCATATCAATATCTGTTACCGTTTCGGAGTTAAGGGGTGTTTTTCAAAAATGTGCATTTTTAACAAATCGCTGTAATTTTTTTGTTATGGAAAATTTTGTATTTCTATGAAAACATTTCCAAAGCACCTTTTTACGTAGAATTTGATGGTTTAAGTATAATTTTTTTAACATTAATAATTTAAGAGTTATGAACAGAAAAATTGATTTTTTATTTGGGACACCCTCTATATATTTAATTAACTGAAAAGAATTTAAAATTACCTTTCCAAAAATATAGCACACTTGATATTTTGTTATAATCCCCTTCGAAATACAGAATTTTTAAAAGTTCGCCACTTTTAATTAGTAGGCTTTGGACCCCTTATTGATGATATGACCTTAATGAAACTCGAAAACATATTTTTCCAGCAAGACGACGCACCGCCTCTGAACGCTGAAGTTATTAGCAAATTTTTGCAGCCAATTTCAAGAATAATTGGATAGCTAACCAAGATCCCAGCCGTTGGCCGTCGAGGCCGCCTGACTTAGAGCCCATGGATCTAATCCTATGGATATATTTGCGAATAAAGGTTCCTTATTCTTCCGTATAATCTAGACAAGAATTAAAAACACTTAGCAGTTATGAAAGGGTATCTTTCACCCCCACTGAGTCAATGAATTCCGCGAGAAATGTTCAAAAACTGCCCCGTCTGTCCATAACATATATAAGGTTGATATGTCGAACACCTGTAGCAAAATCTCATGTCTTGGTTTGCTATTTATGTTTATTGTTATTAGATATAGTTTAAATGTGTTGATGTTGGTTAAATATATTTTAAATTGTTATAAAATTCTGCATCTCTCATAGCAAATATTATTTTCGTTTTAATTGATGCTCACAGCTAGAATTTTTTTGCATTACAGCCGGTGCCGTTCAAAGCCTACTTATTTAAAGCGGGCGAATTTTGATATACTCTATATCTCGAAGAGGAATAGAGCAAAATATCAAGTGTGTTATATTTTTGGAAAGGTAATTTTAAATCCTTTTCAATAAATTAAAAATATTCAGGGTGTCCCATATAAAAAATCAAATTTTCTGTTGATAATTCTTAAATTATTAATTTTAAAAAAATTATACTTAAACCATTAAATTCTACGTAAAAAGGTGCTTTGGAAATGTTTTCATAAAAATACAAAATTTTCCATAGCAAAAAAGTTACAGTGATTTGTTAAAAATGCATATTTTTGAAAAACACCCTGTAACTCCGAAACGGTAACAGATATCGATATGCGGTTTTCACCATCATGTTTTTGACAAAAATTGAGCTCCAGACACCGATATTAGTTTTTGTCTATCTCCTATAGAAAAGGGTGTTTCCATTTAAAAGCGTCGAATTTGACCCACCCTGTACAATTTGCGTCTAATTATTTTGTTCTAGTACAGTTTTAAAAAACCACCCCAATTGCTCAAAAACCGCAAGGGGAAAATTTCCGATTTTGTTAAATTTACACTCAGAAGACAGTCGCTGACAAACTCTGAAAAAATCATTTTGCCCGTCATTTTTTTTTCACTCTCTATACGACGATACAATTTTATTGGATAATAAATGCTATCTAAAAATTCGAAATATTCTTCTAAATGAAATGATTTTGTTACAGGTCGGCCTAAAGAAGTAGAACTAGAAAAATCGGAAGATTCATTAGGATTAACGATAACAGACAACGGTGCAGGCTATTCGTTCATTAAGCGAATCAAAGAGGGCTCCGTTATACACAACATTCCCCATATCAAGGTAATTTATATCAAATTATATAGAGTCGATTGCGTGCGACATTTCAAGAATCCGACCTAATTTGAGAGTATTTAAGAAGAATGCATCAGCTGTCATTGCTGCTAAGTTTGATTTATAAATTACTGCTAATTTTGTATGTCTAGGTAATAAAATTTTTGTTGCATATTGACATGCAAATTGTCGAAAATTAACCGGGTGTTTTTCAAAAGTGTGCCACGAAAATAAATATAACGATGATTTAACTCGAAATACAAAGTATGTGGCACGAAATTATTCGTAAAAAATGATTTTTCCAAATATGCTAATGAGCCACGATGGTTCTATCTGAAAAAAAATGGCGCCGGGAAGCACGTATAGCCGCCGATACTAAAATATGTTAATAAAAAGTTGGTAGGCAGTTCTTTTAGTTTCAAAGTAAAGGAATTTTTCCAATTTTTTTTATCTCAAAAACTGCGACTTTGACTAATTTTGATGTTATTACAAATTTTGTTGCAAATATTATTCCTAATCTTAAATTGAAAACCGCGTTTCGCTAGCTACTGTAATTTTGGAGTTACGATTTTTTAAAATTTTTAATGAAAATTTCACACCTCTACTTTTCAACCAATAACATGCTTTAATGTTGACTAGTTACCATGGCAACTGAAAAAATTTCCGGAAATTTTTTCGAGGCGCCACGAAACTTTAGTGGAAATTTTTTGACAGTTGAAAAGGTAAACATAAGATCTACAATCATAATGTGAATGAACTACAATGTCTATATATTGAAATATTACCCATTTGAGTTTTAGCATTTGATGTAACTAAGGTTGGTAATATTTTTTATTTAAGGAAATATGTTAGATATACCTACATATGAATTTCTTCGAAATTGCCATGTTCTAAAAAATATAGTTCTGCCGCCTTTATTTAACTAAAGCTGGTATTTTTCTATTTAACGAAATATGATGGATATATCTATATGATTTTTTTAGAATTTATTTCATGTTGAATTATCTTCAATGCCAAATCTTTAATGATATCGACTAATATAGCAAAATAATAACGAAACACATTTAGTAATTATAGGTTTTATTAATATTAAAAACACAATTATTGTAACTGTTTGTAGGCTGGCTTGAATTGGTGGTTTGAATCTGGGTATTTTCTGTTTTATTTTGCATTGTGCTCTGATCATGATTGAACTGGCTAGTACTTGATGAAATGCTCCTCATGGATTCAATCATCTGTTGATGATGTTCAGCGTCCAACTGTAAGTAAGGTTTGATCGACTGACTATTACTATGTCCAGTAATTTTAATGAGCTGTTGTTCACCAACTCCTTTCTTGGCCAAATTCGAAACAGCTGTTGCTCTTGCAGAATGATTGGTTATTTTAACTTTTTAGTGTCAATTCCTATATCTGAAGCTGCTGATTTAAACCATGAAGATACAATGTTCTTACCAACTGGGCTATTCTTGTACCATCCTTTCGAATTGGGTTGATTCCAGTATGGGTTTGGTGTAAGAATAGTCTGTCGGTTTGAATAAGATTTCCCCTTTTTTCCATCAACTTTCTAAACAAGCGAACCGGACACATTTGTGGATTTTCGAAATTTCTAATCAACCATTTACTATCCGACAGTTTTTTAGAACCACCTTGTGTGGTTTTAGAGAAAATTGGATTATATTCTATCCGACCTTTTGGGTTTCCGAAATTATCAGTTTCTTCTTTGAAGTATTGGATACAAGCAGAATGTCCTTCCCCTCCTCTCCATGCCAGCTCATGTGAAACTATGTGAAAAAATTTACGCTGCAACCCATGGTACAAAGAAAACAAGGTATGATCGATAGCGGCTCCAATTTCGTTAAGTTTGCGCATACCACCTGTGACGTCATACACCATACAAAAAAATATCCATATTGTTCAATTGCCACTACTAAAAAAAGACCTAAAATAGGGAAGAATTAGGACATAACCCCAAAAGTTATGGCAATCATCGAGCTTGACATTTGAAAAATTATTTTCACATTTATTGTGTCATCTGTTTGACAATTTTTTGACAATTTGAAATTGGCGCGCGGAACTTGCTGACCAATGGTGCCGTTTATCACCTGTGACGTAGTGACCAACCTGCGCAATATCATACCTTGTATTCTTTGTATCATGGCTGCAACCCATCTGGAGTATTTTCATCCCACATTTCAATAATTTTTTTGTATTCGTCACTGGTTAAGGCTGAAGCACTCACTTTTCTTTTTGCTGAATCTCTCTGTAGTATTTTGCGCTTAGCATCGCGTGCAGCTCTGGCGGTCACAAATTCCACATCAGAAAACGGATTAAATTTTATTTTATATTTTTCGTAATAAATTTCTTGCAACTGCTTAGCAGTAGAGTTCCACATCACTTTGACCACACTTTCCTTATAATCTTCAAAAATTTTTCTTTTTCATATTAAATGCGTAGTCCTCCAGTATAGTAGCCAGCTGTACTACACTCATACACTCATGAATATTATACGACTTTTCATCACAAAATTCAACAAACTGTTTCCATACACTTGATTTTGATTTTCGGGTGTTATCTGGTTTTATATTTTCAATTTCTTCTTTAATGACTTGTTGGTTTACTTTTCCAAATCGCGACATTTCGCTATACACTTCTTACTCTACGTACAGACGTTTTAAAACTAGTAAGCTAGTAATAGCTTAATGACAGAATCGCAAACAAAAATGACAAAACACATAATATGTCAAAAACATCAATACCTTGGCCAACTTAACAAATTGAAATTATTTTAAAATGTCATGTTGGATTAATATTTTTTTTTTCAAATTTAGGTGTGAAATTTTCTTACCGAATACCACGCAAGCTTAAATTATTCCTGGAAATTTTCTTTCGGGCACGAATATTTTAGGAAAATTATCCCTCGTCTTCGACTCGGGATAATTTTCAAAATATTCGTGCCCTCAAAAAAAATTCCGAAAATATAATTTAAGCTCTTGTGATATTATAAGTGAAAAAAAGACTTAAATCTTTTCTAATAAGACTTAAGTCAGCTTTCGAAATATGACTTAAAATCAAATGATTTAAGTCATTAAAATGATTTAAGTCAAAAAAAGACTTATTCTATGAGTTTGCAGCTCTGCTAGTAACCAAGACGATATAAGCTTATATTAATTTAGTTTCAATAACTTTACAACCTAATGAAATCAGAGAGACTACAAAGTGGAATGATGCATAAGGTAGAACGTTTATACGTCTAATATGAAGAAATCATTTAAGTGCCAGAACAAATGTTTGAGATGAACTCTAACGACCTACACAGTTTGTGTTGTATTGCGGCTAATTAAACAACTAATTTACTTCGTTAATGTTTATTAACAAACGCCACTCGTAATATGTATGCTGAGACGGCCTTCAATAGGATTTATTACATAATAGAATTTAGGTTTATTTAAGAAAAAACGATAATAAATCCTCTAAACATGGTGTCGCCACCCATTAATTTTTGTTAAATTTACATCAGGCATGTCACAGTCATCTAGATTTTGTCATTATAAGGATCTATGACTGACATTAATTATAAAAATAAAAATATTTAGAAAAATGATTTCTGAAGATTCTGACTTTGACAAGAGAAAATTATTTCTGTTTTTGTTTGCCGTTGTTCTTAGCGACCGCTATAGCAGCGCCAGATCGCGTATAACGGTCGCGACTCAAAATAATTTCGCGACCTAAAATTTTTACGGGCTTTCCAATCTATATGTATGAACCAGAAACCAGACATACCCTAAAACTCATAATTGACAAATAATGATGACGTAACAGTGAAGTATAGCTGAACAGTCAACTACATGTCAGGCTATACAGGGTAAATTACAATTTAAGTAGCTTTTAATGAAATTTAAAATTTGTTAACGCTTAATCAGATTTATTAAACAATATTTCTTATTTTATTATAAATTGTCTTTTGAAATCTTGTAAATGTACTTATAACAATCACTTATACACGTTATGAAATTATTACTCATAATTAGTCAAAGGATAACATGCAAGAAATCTATAACTGGGTCATCGGCATGACCTAGAACCATATTGTTTATTCTGGCTTACCTCGTTACAAGTATTTAACATATTATTATGCAGTCATATTTTACTGCAATTGAATTATATTTGTACACGGTTTTTTTTTACCTACAAGACTATACCTATAGTATATATTATAATATACCACCCTGGACAATTCATCTGCGTGGTCTGTATTTTGATGCATACGACAGAAACAGATATCGGTTGACAGACAGAGAAACAACAAAAACCGGCATACAGTGTTGTTATTTGATGTTAATTACTCTTTATTTTTTCTTTTTTAGGTAGGAGATCACATCGAAAAACTAAACGGAGAGAATATGGTCGGAAAAAGGCATTTCGAGGTAGCCAAGGCACTGAAAGAAATCCCCTTGGGTGCCACGTTCACCATTCGATTGGTGGAACCCATGACGAGCGGATTCGGCCAAATAGCACCCAAAAATTCAACCAGGGGCACGAAAAAAGCAGGATATGGTTCGGGAAAAGAAACCTTAAGGTTTAAAGCTGGAGGAAAAGCAGAAATACAAGAACAGGTAATGATAATTATGTATTACAAATAGTTTACATTATTCTGTAACAAATAGTTTTTTACGTGTAACCAAAAAAAAACAGATTTCGTAATATAGTTTCTAAATATAAAAATAAAGTAATAAATACGATCGAAGACGGCCATGAAAGCGGGTTTTTTAAGGTTCAAGGCCGTAGGGAAAGCTTACACAGAACACAAAATCGACGAAAAAAAGCCAACAGGCCAACAGGTATATCAGCCTAACTGGTTTTCGGGAAACGTTAATTATATATGTCCAAGAAGCAATCAAAATGATAATCCTGTGACACACGAACCACTAATATCTAATGCAGATATCCAGTCCTGTCAATTAGTTTATGTCAAGTTTTTTGTTATACCGTCTCGGTTAATTTTCACTGATTCCTCTGTATACTCTCATGTAAATTTAAAAATAATTATAGATATTTTTAGCCGACCATACCAACAGGTATGGTAGAGGCTATTAAGATCGACAAAAAAAGTTTTTTTGATTTCACTCAAAATTATAATATAAAATTAATAGGTCATAAATGACCTAAATACAAAATATTTTCGTGGTGTCCGTCTGTCCGTCTGTCCATCTGTAACACGATAACTCAAAAACTACTAAACCGATTTTAACCAAATTTGGCACAAAAATACTGTGGCACCCGAAAATCTGGCCATTAGTTTTTGGTGGGGATGGGGGGTTAATAAGGGGGTATGGGAGGAGGATAAAAATTTTAAAAAATCGTAACTCCAAAATTACAGTAGCTAGCGAAACGCGGTTTTCAATTTAAGATTAAATAAATAAATAAATAAATAAATAACGTCTTTATTTTTTACTCGGTGAAATTCAGCAGAGCTGTTAAGTTAACCGAGCATATAAAAAAAAGTAAATAATATAATACATTCTTAAAAAATAACATTCAAAGAAAAAAGAATTAGTAAGAAAAATGAAAATTAACAATATACTTTAGATAAAGAAAAAAATTAGGAATAATATTTGCAACAAAAAATTTGTAATAACATCAAAATCAGTCAAGGCGCAGTTTTTGAGATATTCCGTGTTTCCGTAGTCCGTTTTTGAGAAAATCCGTGTGTAGAACTCCAAACTCCCATCGGACGCGACCCCAGGTGGCGGATAGGGGAAATAACCGCGGACCAAAATTGGAAAAATTCCTTTACTTTGAAACTAAAAGAACTGCCTACCAACTTTTTATTAACATTTTTTTTTAATTAAATTGAAATTTCCTGTCAAAACCGGTTAGGATAAGTATATAGTTTCTCTGATGAAAGTGTATATTATTTAGACAGTCAGAATCTAATAATGAGAGAAAAAAATTACTTTTTTCTATGACTGTTCAAAAAGTAGCTATTTTTTAAACTACCTACTGTATTAAAAGTCAAATTTTTTACACTAGTGCAAAAAAATAACTTATTATTAATAATGACGAGTTTAACTAAAGAGAAAAAATTTGTAAATTTTTAAATGAATTTTTCAAATCCTAAATAAATCAATAAATTTAACTAAATAGATAACGACTAGACAAATATTTGACTGACAAATGGGCTATCAAATCAGTTATTTTTGCTTCTTCCTCGAGAAACAGCTGCTATTGTTTAAAAAGTGAAAAAAAAATCATCTATATCATTAAAGGTTGCTTTTTATTTGTGTAAAATTAAAAAAATGGGTCACTAGTATTGTACCTGGAAAATACAGACACAGAATTGTAATTATTATATCAGACAATAAACTCAAGACCGCGTGTATATTCAATAAACAAAAATGTACAGTTGTACAAGAACAAGAAAAGAGATTATCTATACGTAGAAGGTTTAATGCACACGGAAATCGCTGAAGAACAAAACCAGTCTTTGGCCAGGTATCAACAAATAACCGAACAGCTATTTGTGTGTGTATATATACAGGGTGATCTTCGTTTGAGATTTTATATTTTTTATCACAAAATATGTGGGCAATGATATCTCAAAAGTGGCTCACCCCCAATAACCTTTTTATTTTTTCAGATAAAAAAAACAAAATTTGGTACGTTAGTATATGACATAAATTAGGATTGAATGACGCATTCAATTATTTTTGGTCACTTCCTGTTTCACCGGAAATGACTACAACTTTTCATTTTTAAATGGCACCCTCGGTATTTTTTTTACTTTATTCGATAGAACATGACACTCTCATGAACTTTTGACATTCTCGCTGAAAAAATTGTATTTTAAATTTCAATCTAGATAGCCATGGCTGTGTTAAAAATACTAATTTTTAGTCAAGGAGCCTTGGAAAAATAGATTTGATCGTCTAATGTTTTTCGTGTCTTGTCCTGGACGGTTAAAAGCAGATGCCCAATTCGTATTTCTAATCATATCTCAATTTTTTCAAATCAAACGAGGGTGGCTCATTAGCATATTTGGAAAAAGCTTTTTTAAAGAATATTTTGGTATCACACACTTGACATTTCGAGTCAAATTGTCGTTACATTTATGGCCATAGCACTCTAAATTAAAATTGAAAATGCTATTTTTTTAAATTGAAAATGTCAAAAGTTGACATAATAAAAATAAATTTTAGATAAAAATATTTTGAGATAAAATAATGTAATTCATGTTTGACATTCTCTAAAAATATGTATAACATTTTATTACATTAAAAAGAGCGCAATTTGAAATACTTACTAATCATATTTTGGAAAATCAAAACAAACATCTTTGAATTATTGAATTTATTTCTCCCATAAGTTAGAGAATCGCCCTGTATGCATGCCTCCATCTCTGCTAATTTAAAAAACAAATTCTTCGGTTGTCTTTACCGTTTTCCAACGAACGATTTGTGATGCAACGCGGCGACGTAAACACTCGGTATTCCGCGACGACCTTGTAAGAATTCTTCGATTTATTTCCTTAATAAATACTCCGTATAATAATATTCTTCTGTTTTATACGGCTTCGTGACTGGCTGATTGAATTACTCAGATTTTACAAACTTATATACGTGAGATATTACCACATATTTTACCTACCGCGTAATTTGAATTTTCATTGTTGCGAAAAAAATGCTCCCGATGTTTAGCCTTGGGCTTGAATTACAATGAAATATTAATTTTATTACTACATATTATTTTCTCGCCAGACTTTTGTTATATTAAATAAAAATGATAAGGTGGCATTGTAAGTTGATATTTTTTTTAAAAATGCCACTAAAATATTGTCGCTAAAGATTAGATAACCAGTATTACTCATACCGTGTATTTCTAGTTGCATAAGGCTTTATTTTCTATAAAATTACAATGTGGGAATATTATCATAAAAGATTATGGATCTTATTTTGTATCAGCCATTAAATATATGATTAAATATGAGAATATAACTACGTATTCAAGTAACTGGGTATTAAGAGTCTATTACGCTGTACTGTTCGGGTCGCTCTCAGGGGTCGGGTAAAACGGGTGTGTGGCCGAAGGAAATATATATTATATTTCAGAAATCTGCCTAAAGCCGGAGTCTCATGCATCCGAAATCCGATGGTACGACATCCGAAATTTGAAGTTATCGTGTGAAATAAAAAAAGCCTGTCACATACATCCGAAAGTTCGTTCCGAAATTTGACAGTTTTAACATTTTTCTGCTGCGCTGAATAGAGATTCATGTCATGTTTTATTGGAGAAACACTTATAAAAATAACTTCCTCGCCAAATATCCCGAAATTGCCCACTTCCCACTAAACTTGTTTTTAAAAACAAATGTTTTCAAAAAAAGTGAGGTTAAAAAACACACGATATCGTACAAAAGTTAAACAAAATTTAACTTTATACGACGTCGGATGATTAGTTAAAATTATCGGATAAAAATTGTTGTCAAAATATTTCGACCAATAGGAGCACCGTCGGATCGTCGTGTCATCGGATTTCGGATGCATGAGACTCCGGCTTAAGGTTTAGCCCGATCCTGTCGTGTCAAGCCACACCCAAAACTCAAAACACACGTGCTTTGATTAAGACTTGATTAAGGTTTGCAGAGCTTCAGCATTTGCCATAAAATAGCGAGCAATTTATTACAAAACCATGTAAATTATATATCACTGTAATCACCAAAGTTCAATCTATTTCCGTATTCTAACGGAATTTTAAATTATGTCTTTATTTTCGAGAAAATTTAGTCCAAACATAAGGAATATTTTGTTGATGTTTGATCATCAAAATCTTAAAAATAAAGAAGTTTTCTAAAAATGTGCTACAATACGGATATAGTATTATCCTTTATCTTTAATTTCCTTCTTCATTTGTGTAAAAATATCTAGCCAGTTTTACGTAAAACGTTAAATGCCGAACGCTTATTTTGCTACTTTTTCGGACTAGTGAAATGGACTTTTAAATATTTGTAGATATATGTTAATCTGAAATTTCTTTACAAGCTTTTATAATAATTTCCTAAATTTTACTAAAAACTGTCAATCGTTAAGCTTGGAATTTAAATAAAACCATAAAATTTTATTACCTAATTAAGAAAGTGTGACACTAACAACTAAATAAATTAAAGACATTATTTATATAGGTTTAAAAATAGAATTTCAGAAATGAACGGACATTTTACTTTGGTTGGTCCCTTTTAAAAATAACATCTGTTGTATTTACAGATTTCTCAATTCTAAAGTCCACTATTATGTCCCCAACACATTTCTGTTGAAAATAGCCAAAAATTATCTCAAGCAAAAGTAAAAAAGTGGGTAGTTAGTCAAAGAATACAGTGCGCATATTTTCAACATACAGTCATTTAGAGAAATTTAAGAAAAAGTGACTTAAAAATGATGAAAATATTTTTTGTATTTCTCTACGCATACTAGTCAGACCCTAGCGATCCACTTTCAAACTTTAAAACACTTTACCAGGATTTCTCTTGGTCGATTTACTTGCAAATATGTTTTTTTTGAAACGTCACAAAGTAGTGATTTTTGCGAAGTGATTGACAATTGACAATATAAAAAAGTCATTTTAATGCCTAGGCATAAAAGTAAAGCACTTTTACGCCTATGCACAAAAGTACGAAAATATATTATTAAACTTGACAGACTAGAACCTTTGAAATTCTTTAAAAATTATTTGTGGCGTTTGAAAAAAAATAGCATGTTCTATTCGGAGTAAAAATGACTCTTTGTGCCTCGCCTGTCTGTCGGGCCCTTGTTAAACGTACAACTTCGCCACAAGAAGTATTATTTTTACACCTAATAAAACAATATACTATATTATCTTCAAGTTCTAGCATTAACGGTTCACTAGTTCCTGCCGACGTCCTTTATTATTGGACCATCCTGTATACAGTAAAAAACCTTAAACAGTTTTTTTTATTTTTTAATGAAATAAACGAACTATATCGACAATATTAGTATCTGTACTCTTTAAAAATTTGTTACATCTGTTAAAAATAATCTAAAATGTCAATATTCCATCGGTATATTGATAAATGAGGTCTAAATTGTAAGAAAATGCATTTTCTACAAAAACTTGAAGAGATAGGTAAAAAATGATATAATTCAATTTGATAGACAATTAAATTGTGCATCTCATTCTCATAAAATATACAGGGTGTTCCATTTAAATTAAACAAATTATTCCCGTTTAAAGCTAGTAATTCCTTAAAATAATTTTTTAGATGCTATGTATAATATAGTATAATTTTTATTAGTGCAACACAAAATTAAGCAAATAGAAATACTTCAGTACAATATTTGGTTTTAAAAACTTAAATACGCCTAGAGAAATGAAGCATTAAAATTATTATTTGACAAAATTGTTATATTGACAAAAACCTTTTTTTAAGTATTTCAAATACGCTAAGATTAAAATGCGGTAAACCTTAATCAAATTTACCTTTATTTTAATCGTAGAAACTAAAAATGTAATAATATATAGGGTGTTCCGTTTAAAAAAACTTTGATATCTTTTTATTTATTTGGGACACCCTGTATCTTGTAAAATTATTTTTAAATTGTAGCTCTAATAGTGCTTCAACGAACCCAAAACTTACAATTTACAAAAATCTAATCGTTTAGCTACAATACTCCGTGTCGTATGTGGTGAACAACCCTATATGTTTAATTTTTTATTTATATATTTTTTTACTTCAGGACGATTCAATGGACGCTGGTATAGAAAAAATCAACCTGATCCTGGAATCTTTCATGGGCATCAACGATTCCGAACTCGCAACACAAATCTGGGAACTGAGCGAAGGCAAGAAAAACTCCATGGACTTCGCAGAAGCCATAGATGACTCCGATTTGGCAGCTTTCGGATTCTCCGATGACATCATCATCGAACTGTGGGGCTGTATAACCGATGCCAGGCAAGGAAGAATCAAATAAAAAAAGTGTTCTGTGTTTTGTGTTAAAAAAAAACGCCTTTACAATTTTAAAGTATCGTTTCATCAGAAAATGAAAGTGAAAGAAGACAATCAAAATCAGAACTTTGTTGGTGTCGCCATCTGTATCGTGACAATAGTGAATCCGAACATTTAAATGAGACAATAAACTGTATTCGACTTTTTTATGTTTAGTTTTGTTTGCAATACACCTACAAATGGCATATTCTGGCGTATTACGACATGTCAATATATAGGCTGTCAAACGAGAGGATATACGTCAGTGACAGTTGTGTCAGTCATTTTAATAGGTGTCGTCTGTTGAAATCTTTCCTGACTCATTGGGCAGGCTTTAAATCGGTAATATACCAGTTGTATGTGTTTTAAGGTTGTTATGCAGAGTGAGACATGTTTTTGAATGCGCATATTCGTATTATATCCAAACAGTATAGATCAGTTTCGTTTGAACTTAAGGAAATAAAATATTTAAATCTCTGTGCTATATTTACCAAAAAAAGGTGTTGAATGAATATTGTTCTGTATTTTTGTGAGGCATAGATCAAAAAATACTAAATTTCCTCTGTCCTTTCATTATAATAGAGTATCTATAATAAAAAAGCGTCATAGTGCCCTTTGAAATGGCAGCAATCAATGTTTAAACGAGTTTTTTTTTTCGTTAACCACAAATGACTGTTATGGAACTATTTATTATTTCAAAGATGATAAAATTAAAATATATCTTTTGAATACATTTTGTAACTTATTTACTGTTGTATGTTCGGAAAATTTGTACATTATTGTATGCTATATTTTATTTTTAAGTTAAATAAACGTCTCAAAAGAAACTTGTTTTATTTTTTGATAAATTCTAACCAAAAAAAAAGAAAATATTAGTACTTAAAACTATTTTATTTAAAAATATTTTTTCTCTTTGATACAATAAAAAAATAGACAACGTGTATAGATAACTATAGTGAATTAATAATTGAGCAAATTTAATAAATAAATTAAAGTTAGTCGATGCTGCGTTTTTTAGACGATTTCTTTTTTTCCATTTTTGCGTCAAAAGCTTTTTGTATTTCGGCGATCTAAAAAATCATTAATATGATTGATTACATATTATTATTCAGTTAAAACAACATAAATTTGTCTTTTCAAAATGAAAAAATCACTTGATAGAACACAAACTATAGACTGACCTAGAGAGAATAAGTTTAAATATAAATTTTTAAAGTCTTAGATGATAACTTAGAACAGATTTATATATGGCACAACTTAAATATAATAATAAATAATAACGTGCATTTGATTATTTCAAACAGCATTTGATTATACATACAAGCGCTCGAAAAAAAAAACAGCGTCACAATAGTCTTTGAAATTAAAATCGAGAACAATTTCTGTTACATCGACCTCTATATGAATTTATTAAAAATTGACATAAAAACCTGTCAAAAACTAAGATTTATATGAAAAAAAGTAAAAAAAAAACCATATAATTCACAACCACATCTATTCAGTATATTTTTTGAAAATTGGTTTGTTTTTGTCCGGATATTTTTTACTTTTTTTTAAATGAAATATTACTTTTAAATTTTTTTTAGTCAATTTTTGATAAACGATATAATGATTGAAATTATAATCGTTTGTAATTCCAAAGGTTACCTCGACGCCGTTTTTTTTTCGATCATAAAGTACGAATATCCACTTACCTCCTGATCATAGGCCTTCAAATTAGTCAAAACCTTATCTCGTACTTTTTTATTGGTAGCCTCAATATCTAGACAGCTGGTTACAACTTTTTTGGACCACTTTCTCCAAGCTTCGACTTTTTTCTATAAATTCCGATTAATTTAACAAAATTTAAAACTATTTTATTCAAAATTATATATTTATACTACCTCTGAGACTTTCTCCATCTGTTTCAGCAGTTTTACATATTTCTCCTCATTTCCCAAAACACTTGACTTGTAATTATCGAATTCTTCTTTTAACGATTTTAGTTGAGTGGTTAAATCAAGTTTTTCACTTTCAGTCTCTTTAGTGCATTTTTCGCATTCTTTTAAAATCATTTTCAAATATTCTTTGTACCTAGCACATACTTTTTATATATAAACCAATTTAATTTAAAAATATACAGCTATAGTCTGTCCAGCGAAAGAATATATGAGAGCGACAGTTGTATGGTATTTTCATTTTTATTCAAAGGTAAATTATATTTTCTGTCATTTTTAGATGTTCTCTGTCGAAATCCTATATTCTTTCGCTACTTACTGTTTTTCTTGTTGTTCTAATTTGTCTTCATATTGTTTAGACACTTCTTTGACGTCTTTACACATATTTTTATATCTTTTTTCGATTTCGTTTATGCGTTTTTGGTACTCTATTTGAATTTCGTCTCTTAGTTTTAATTCCGCATTCATTAGTTTGTTATTTATATCACATTCTAATAAAAAAAAGGGTAAAGGTAAGTATATTTGTAAGGAGAATGCCTAACCTAACTAAACGCTTTCACTGTTTAACTAATTTTTTTCTCTGTGTTTAATTGAATTTTACTAATTGATCTACAAAGGGTAAAAATATGACAATTAATACTTAAAAAACAGCCCATATTAAAATAACGGACTACTAGTTAAAGACTACTATACAAAACACACTTATGAGACCGGATATCACGTGAGTAAGAGTTGGTAGGCCATTGACCAAAATATGGCCTAGGACCGCGGTTCGGATTCCGCGTAAACAGAGTAGGCTCCGTCCAGATTAGCCTTAGCAGCAAAAAGGAGCCGTTTACTCATTATTTATTTTACTTTAGTAACATATAAAGATTTTAATATAAATTTTATAGTGTTAACTGGTTTTATACTTACCGTTTTCTTTATTCTTTGAACTATGTCGACCATTTTCTAACGACACTTGTGTTCCCGTCGTTTTAAGCGTCTTTTTACCTTTATTTTGTTCCTTTTTCAGCTCATTGTGCAATTTTATATTTTCGTTTCTCAGTTTATCCATTTCCGGTTTCAATTTGTCAAACCATTTTTTCATTTCCATTTTTTCTTGTTCTATCTGTATCATTTTATCTTTTCTCGCTTTAAGTTCTGTCTCTTTAGATTGTAGGTTTGATATTGTTTCGCCCAATTGATGATTCAAATCATCTTTAAAAAAATATTACTATACAGCAAACTTTTTTCAAAAACTCAAAAACTTTTTGACACACCCTGTATATTAAACTTTAATTTATAAGCACTTACCAATATTTTGACATTGTTCATCATATGCTACTTTCAACATCTTCAATTCATCAATTTCAAGCTCCAATTTTTTACAAAGTCTTTCAGCATTTTCCAGCCTTTTTACATTGTCATTTAGTTCACTACTAAGTCTTAATTTTTCATTTTCAACCACAGCTACAGTACTCTTCAGTTCCAAAACTGCATTTTCCAATTCTTTTAATTTCTTATTAGAAGAATGAAGATTTATTAGAGCCTCCTTGTAGTGTGATTTTAATACTTCGTCAGGTTCTACAATTTATTAACATTCAATAAGTACCATACAATATAAAACGGCGTCACAGTGGTCTTTGAAATGCCAATAGATGATAAGTACTTCGTATCGATCAGACCAACCCTTTCATATCATTTATTAAAAATTGGCATAAAACGTATCAAAAATTATTATTTAAATGATAAAAAATTGTCATTCCCAAAGCCATTTTGACGTCTTTTTTTTATTGTACAGTAGTTCAAATATCAGTTGTCATCTTTGAATAAGAAGACTAAGGAAGGAGCATATCAAAAATCTTAGGTCCACCGCGATGGGCCTCAAATATGGCCGACTTAAATTCCGGTTTATCAGTGCCGTTCTAATTTTATTTAAAAAATGTAAAACTATGATGTAGGGTAGACGTGGGGTAGACTCAATAATATGTTGTTTTATTTGACGTTGTGAATAAATGTTGGTAGTTATTAAAATTGTTATAAAAATATATAATTCTAATAAAAATAGATAAGTTATAATAAGTATTTATTAACACAAACATCCGATACGCTACTGAAGCAGGTAAGTCAAATTAACGTATCTAAATTCTTTGACATCTAATCTTTGACAAGTAATAAATAAAAGCTAAAATGCAAGAAAAATAGATAATTTAGTTAATTTAAGTGAATTTCATAAATGATCGGTTTACTACACGTATGTATATTATATAGTCACTTACTAGCGAAAAGTTGTTCCATTATTTCACTCAATTTTTGCCGAGATCTACCGCACGCTACACAACCAACTATTTTAGAGTCTTTTTCGATAAATCGCGATAGTGTCACTGTTAATTTAAGTTCTGCCACAATTTCCAACTAGATTTACTTCCTTTATACAACTATCAGTAGTAGAATAAATAATAAATAACATAAAATAAGCTCCGTAAAGACTGACAAATCCACAAAATTTCAAATCAAATTCAAATGTGTCAAATGAATCGTCAAACAGAACTGTCAAGGATCCCCACCCTAGAGAGCTTTTATGGTGGCTTTTCCGCCCACCTTGCATGAATACATGGATATAGGGTTCCCAACCGTCCCGGATTGACCGGGATTAACCAGGAATCAAAATCCCGGCGAAAATTTTGCCTTGGCCGGGACCAAAAAAATCACATTTACATATAATATATTTGAATTTCTAATATTTAATGTTTTTTTCAATTATTTAAAAACTTAAAAATAATTGTCCCGGAATCGCCGATGCTCAAGTTGGGAACCTTACATGGATAGCATTATGCTCCTTCCTTAGTCTTCTTATTCAAAGGTTATTCTCAATAACATCAAGCAAATTATTTTTCTATACCTACTGTAACTTAATTTTCATTGATTCTGGATACTATTTTATTTTTTTTGAAATTAAATATTAATATTTGAATAATTTTTATGTCAAATTTGAATAAATGATATAAAGAGATTGACATGAGAGAAATGATTAGCAAATGTCATTCCAAAAGCCAATTTCAACCCTTTTTTAGTACACAGTAGTTCAAATAACTTGGTATCATCTGTCTCTGCTATCATTCTCAATAACATCAAATATCTATGAGAATCTATCAAATATATGTTTCTATGACTAATGTGACTTCATTTTCATTCAAGCACACAGTAAATAACAGAATAAATTTCAAAAAGAAAGAAGTACAAACCTTTTGCTACAATATCATCAAGCAACTTCTTCCAAGAACAAATCTGCTCCTCTAAAACACCTTTCTCGACAATGTCATTCTCTAAATTTATTAAAAACAGATCCATTTGATGTTTTATTTCCTTCACAACACTAGAAGATTCTTTTTGATTCGATTTTATATTACTTTTTTCCAAATGTTGCATAACTTGCTTCAGCTGATCCTTTAACTGCTCATACTCTTTTTTTAAACTATCATCTTCAAGTTTTTTCTCGTTTTTATTTGAATTTTTTATATTTTCTTCTAATTTTTGGTTCTTTATTTTTAATTCTTCCATTTTAGTTTTTAGATTCATCACCTGAAAAAATAATTTAATACAACAGTGAATAGAAAATATAAATTAAACAAAAATTACTTCATTTTTAGTACATTCAAGTTCTTTAAAAATATCTCTATTTGTATTTTTTTCAATTTCAAGCAATTTGAGAGTTTCTTTAAGTTCATCCTGACACATTACTAATTCATTTTTAATCTCTGTTTCATTTTTTTCAGTATTACTTTGGAGTTTTTTTAATAAACTTAACCTCTGTATCTCTGATTCCTGTAATTTAAAAACTTAATAAAAATAAACAGAATATAAAAAAGGATACCTCTAATTTTTCACTTAATTCTTTCACAGTATCCTCTGCTTTTTCTAATTCTTTACTCATTACTTCCAATTTCGGTACATTATACTTGAAAGAGATATTTTGAATCTCATTTCGTGTCTGTAACAGCATTTCTTCAATTTTTTCTTTCAGATCCGTGTTATTCAAATTTAATGTTAGTATTTGCTGATCTTTATCGTCAATTATTCTCCTGTAGTTCTGGAGATCATTTTGTAATATCAACAAGTCCTTTGTATGACTTGAATTATCTTAAAGAAATACACATAAAAACAGTGCCTTTAATATTACACAAAATATTTACCACATTTTTGGAAGTCCTTATTGTATATGTCAGCTTTTAGTTGTCTATATTCTAGTAATTCCTTAGCATCTTGCTCATAACATCTAAAAAATGTATAAATTATAAAACAATAATAAATAATAATCAAATATCTACCTTAATTTTGTATTCAAAGTATCTAGTTCTATTGACTTATCTAATAACATTTTCTTTAGCTTCTCTTGATGAGTTGTATTATGCTAAAATACATAAAAACAATATTTTTTTCAAAATTACATACAAAAGAACTTACACCTGAGCTAACATCAAAATCAAAATTCTGAGATCCATTTTCACCTAGCTGTCTTATTCTTTCTAAAAATACATGCCAAAATATTAAATTTCTGTTTAAATAGTAAAAAAATAAAATATTTACCTTTGAAATGTTTATTTTCCTTTTGAAGTGATTCAATCAAACTTATCAAATCCTTGCACTGAGACTGGGCGCTATTAAAGTTGATTAATATGGCACCATTATCTTTCTCTAAATCCAGTTTTTCCACAACCAGTCTTTGAAGTTCCTCTTGTAATACTTCCCGCTCTTTAATCTAGTAATTAAACAGTATCATACCTACCTCAAAATATATAAAAGAATAAGATATATTACCCATTGCTCAGATTTCTGTCTTTCTTTTTCCAAACATGTTTCCAGTTTGCTTATTTTTTCCTGAAGAGATTTTCGATATTCTTCAGAAATAAATTTAGCATTTAAATTAAAAGGTCCTTTTTGGGAACTTAGTTTTAACTCTAGCTCTGTTAATTCTGATTTATAAGTGGCTAATTCTGTCTCATTCTATAATTTAAAGAAAAAATTATACTTAAAATTATATACTTCTTTCTGATAAAACTTACCTCCTTCAGAATGGCGGTTAAGTGTTCAATTTTCTTATCTCTTTCAGCTAAATTATTAGTTAAATTATTAATTGTTTGTGTCTTCTCAACCAGTAAAACTTCAGCATTGCTTAAAGAAACTTTTGTTTGTCTTAATTCAGCTTCTAATAAAATGTTTTTATGCTTTAAGGAGTCAATTTCTTCTTTTGATTTTTCTTTGTGTTTGTTGAATTCCTCCTTTAAACTTTGAATTTCCCTCACCCTGAATGGAAATCAATGAGTAACAAAGCTTTACAAATATATTTAACAAGTAAAATTTACCTCACTTGATATAAAACTTGCAACTGTTCATTTGGAGTAATTGCATCTTTATAGGTCTGTTCAAAATTGTCAACAGAAGCTAGTGAAATGTTGGCAGAAGAATTTATTGTGCTGTCATCGTATTTAAAATCATCTAAATTTGCTTGTATTAAATTTTGCAACTACAAAATTAGTTAAAGGGAGAACAAATAACAAATTAATTCAAAACAAACCTCTTCCTTTCGTCGAATTTGATCTTCCAAATCTTCCTCCTCTTCATTGTTTTGAGAGTTATTAATATTAATGTCTGCTCCTTGAAATAAACTTATTCCTGGATTATCCATTTGCCTTTTATCATCTAATCATTGTTTTGTAAATAAATACTTTTTCCAAATTTTTTAATGTTTTCAAATTTGGCCGATGTAGTTGACATTGACATTACCCTGAAGTTAGTCAATAAAATTTTGATCTAAGGGTATGACCAAAGAATATTTGGGTCTGTCATGTTTGGTGACTCCTAAAATTTGCCTAAATCATATATAAGTTCGAGCAAATATATATGATTAACGTTGATGACTAATAAAATAAGGAAAACTTTGGAAAAACACCAATATTTTTTTTTATAGCAGTATAGCAATAGATGTTATAAATCAATTATAAATAATAAAACGACTGATCATAAATTAACAAAATTAATAATATTATACAATAAAGTTACAAGTTTTAGTCAAAATATCTAATTTTATCCAGTTCCTTGTTTAAAATTTATAGAGTATCCGCCAGTATTAGGATCTTGTTGTAATTGAAAATTCTCTGTAGACAGTCCAAAAGGTCTTAATATAACATTGCCTAAATCTTTTAATTTTCCTAAAAAGTAAACAAATATAGTAAACAATTCCAGAAATACCTATACCGATTTAATACCTAACATTTCTGTTTTTAATTTTTCATTTCTCTCTTGGATTAATGGTGGCAATCTAATATTAGCAGCCGCAGCATCTTTATTTCCTGGATCAAACTCAAGAACTTTTTTATAATCCTCTAAGCTTTCATCAAACTTCTCAGTTTCTTCATAAAAATTTGCCCTTCTCAAATAAGCCTTGACGTATTTGATGTTAAGTTCTATGGCTTTAGAACAATCATCAATAGCACTTTGTTTTCTATCTAATTTTCCTATAAATAAAATTAAGTAATTTATTAAATTATGATTATTACTAGAGTACCTTTTGAAGCAGCTCTGTTTGCATATAGAACAGCTCTATCAGTATCATATTCAAGTGGGCATATTCTTAATCCTTCTGTATATAATAATACTGACTCCAAATAATTTTTATGTTTAAATTCATCGTTCCCTCGGTTTTTAAAGTCAAGAGCTTTTTCATGTCGTTCTTTCTTTTCCTCTGCGGTTAATTCAATTTCTAAATCTTTAAGCTTCTCTTCATCTACAAAATCATCAGGAATGGTATTTTCTAAGTTCTCTGAATCTTCCTGTTCGAAATCTGAAGGTATTTCTGAACTATTCGAAGGATTATCTGAGTTTCTAGATTGAAAGTCTTTGTTTTCTGATTTATTTGAATCGTCTACATTAAAATTATTGAAGTCTTTGGTTATTTCATTAATAATGTCTTCGTTACTTGGTATATCACTTGATTTAGGTAAATTAGACATTGTTAAAAAACAAACTAATCACTAATCACAATCACACAATAAATTTCTCAATAATTTTCAGAAAATCAAAAGCAGAAGATAAAAGATAACCTACCGAAAAATCAGACAGTCCAACTAGTGATGGGCTAATAAAAATTTACAGGTTATTTCTTTTCAAAAAGCTGATCCTTAATAATTTAATATAGAATAATGAGTATCAAAAATCTGATTACCTAGTTATTATTACGTGTAAGCGACATACACCTATTTAACTATTTATTAAAATCGTAAGATCTATTAATTTTTGTTATCAATCAATCATTATTTGTTTTTTATATGATTTGGAAAAATAACTGATTATGATTTTTTGCCCATCCCTATTATTCTTCTTTTCCTTTCTGCAAAAGACAATTAGCCAGTTCCAAAAAAGAAGACAAAATGATGATTTAAAGCCTTTTTTTAAAGAAGATATGCTGCTAACTTCACATCTTTTTTCCTCTTCTTTATTGTTTAACGGCTTTAAGCCTAATCATTTCTTCTTTAAAAAAAATGTTTCATTATCTGTCTTCTCTAAACTTTTTTTAAAGAAGAAAAGTCTATGATTTTAAGCCATCTTTTTTTAAAGAAGATATGTTGCCAACTTCATTACAAAACAAATTTAAAATTAATTTTGTAACGATCTGATTAAAACGGTATTGAAATTTTGAGAAAGTATTTACATCTGTTTCTATAAGAATTCTAATAAAGTAAATACCGTACGATATGGATAGTGATAATGATTTTACAAGTGCAACTGGAGCGATGATGGAAAGTATGAAATGCATTGTAGGCGAATTTAATGAACGATGTTCGAATATGTCGATTCTTTTTGATACCTTTTTATCAGAAACGTTAAATTATGGAGGTAATAGAATAAAATAGCTTAAAAAGTATTGTATAATATAAACCTAGCTGTATACGTAATTAATACAATAAAATTTAGGCATAGAGGAGGCGATTTTGCACGAAAAAAATCATGAACAGTCTAAACATAAATCTATTGAAAGTCGCATTAATAGAAATACTGAATATCTAAAAAAACGAGAAGTCGAATTAGAAAGAATAAAAGCAGAGAAGACTAACAAAGAAGAAGAATTATCAGAACTGGAGAGACAAGTAAAAAAACAACGAGAAAATATAGCATCCAGATTAGAACTGAAGGAACGTATTAAGGCGAAAAAGTATGATATCTATCAAGTATTTTATTAAATTGATTAAAATTATACTGAAATTTTTGTTCTAGAGATGAAATATTAACATACAAACTTCTAACAAGGACCAGTTTCGATTATTCAGGAAAAAAAGTTACAGGATGTATCCTTTTTTGTTATAATCTAGTTCTATATCAACTTATATATAATTTTCTTAATGTAAACTAGTGGTGTCTAATGAGAGATTGAAATATTTTAAGTTGGATCCTGAAAAGTTAAGTCAAGACGAAATAACTCAAGCTTTGTGGCAGTTGATTATTGACGATGAAGACAACACTAAAAAATAACATTTTGGTATTTTTAAGTTAAGTCTAATGTCATTAATATATTCAATTTTTTCTTTTAGAGCGATAGGAGTGAAATAAATTTGCACTTGTCACTGTTAAAAATGATACGGTAAATAATATACATAACACAACAACTAAGAACATTCCCTGGCCAAATATAGCACTGAAGATTGTAAATATTCCTAAAAAAACAAACAAACTAATGAAGTTTACAAATAAATGTTATATTAACGATTAAACTGACCTTTTGATTCTAAAAAATGTCCGATATTAAATATAGCTACTACAGGAAGTAATGATAGGGCACTGATGAATGGCAATATACTTCCCGTTATAATAATAACAATTACAAGGGCTAAAACAGGTCTCTGGGCTGCCCATTGCAGAGTATTTGATTTTATATTCCTCAAAAATAACAAACAAGGTTCTGAAATGAAACAAAAACTTGTCATTAAAATATCTTAGTGTCTTTGAAACCAGATTTTACCTACTAATGTTCCCATTTTTTACATTCAAGTAGAATAATAAGGATATATAAACAAAAACAACCTATATTTTGATATTAATAAGTTAATGTTAAAACTGTTGTAGTTAGTAATGTCAAATTATTAATCTTAGCCAAAACTTGTTTATATTTATTTATCTAGGGACTTTGAACTTTTGTACCGTTGTCCATCTTTGTTTATCAAATATCTAATTAAAACATAATTTGAGAATATTCATATTATAGAATATGAAATTATAATTATGAAAATAAAATAGATTTGTATATTTGCAATAATAAATGACAAATTATTTCTTAATGCATCAAAATTTTGAGAAATAACTTAAACAACTTCATTTTCTTATTATTAAAGATCCTTTTTAGTTATTCGTTTTCCTTATAAAGATACCATACGATTGAAAAAAAAATGCGTCAGACTAGACTTCGAAATGAAGATAACCGTTATTTTATATGCATGATTATATGGTAAATGTCATCAATCGTTTTTCCAAGCCCACTTGCGGCCGCTTTTTTTGTTCAATCATACGGTTGTTCTTCTAACGTTAATTTTCCCCCTTATCCTCCTACTTTTTAGAAAATACCGTATGATCGAAAAAAAACATCGTTAAGTTGGCATGGAATTATAAAATGACAACGCTCTTTGTTTCCAAGCCTACTCTGACGCCGTTTTTATTTCGATCGTATGGCACATTTAATTAGCACAGATAACATATATGTTATCTGTGATTTTACTAGCATTTGGAAAAGTAACAAAAATATAATTTACTAGTTGAAGCCTGGCGCATCCGCCACGACATCAGGAAAAAATACTTTTTATTTATTTTTTTTAAATTGAATGAAAAACAAAAAATCCGGCGACGACAGTTTTTAGAAGACCCAATTAGCTATCTTTTAGTAAAAAAAGCAACTTTCTACAGCAAGTCGTTACTTCAGTAGAGACGACACAGATAAACATTAGCATTTTATACCGTATGATCGAATAAAAACGGCGTCCAGTTGGCTTGGAAATGACGATCGATGGCATTTCCTATATAAATTTACATATAAAATGACAGCGATCTTCATTTCATAGCCATCGCTGACGCCGTTTTTATTCGATCATACGGTATAATTTAGATATTTTTTATTACATAATTGATCCAAATCAAGCTGTTTTTATTGTTTATACTCATATAAACAAATATTTTTAACTGACAAATACCAATTTTTATTACTTTTGATGAAATATTATTATTACGTATTGCTCTATTGGATAACTATATACAGGAAAAAATATAGGGAATAATACCGTAAGACTGAAAAAACGGCATCCAGTTGGCTTGGAAATGAGCATCGATGACATTCCCGGCATTCCCCCCATAAAAGTGTATATACAAAATGACAACAAACGATCTTCATCATTTCCAACCCATCTCCGATACCGTTTTTTTCAATCGTATGGTATAATTTAATATCAACAAAAATAATTGTTAACAAGAATTTATTTGGAATATTTTTTGTTATACACTTTTATAGAAGAATCATGCTTTTTAAGCTTTTACCGACTCGTACCATGCTGTACCAGTACCCGTTTTGCTACCCTTGACACAAAATTTCTTTACCCTGACCCCTTACTTATTGATTTGTATTGTGAATTTGGGCAAGCAGTGGTATATTTCACTGCATAATAATGAAGAAATAAATGATCAAACATATTAAAGAAAATGTCCTGGAAAAATTGACTTGGAATATCGTTATTTCTTGACGAAAAAATTCTTTAACAAACCAAAAATAATGGGGATATGCAGTTGTAAGCCTTGCAAGCGCAAAAGAAAGCATTATTCTGGTGGATCAATTTTGGATAGAGTAATCAGTCAAAGTTCCAATCAAGATCAATGTTTGCTATATCGTTTAGCCAATTATAAAAAAGGTATTTTATAATAATATTTGATTATATTTCTGATAGAGATTTTTTAAAAATAAAACACATCTATACAGTCCTCAGATTCACCGACTTTTTTAACAGCTATGACACACTTTTAATGTGTGTTTGCTCAGTATTGTCTTCGTTCATACATTCAAATACAGGACCTATTATAAAACATACAAATTTTCTGTAAAAATTAATTGACAATAAGGGCCAAATATGCCATTATTTCTTCGGATGAGTTTAAAATTTCAATTAAACAATAAGACATCCTATATTTCATATAATACTTATTAGCATGATGATGAAGTAATTACAGGACCTCGAAACTAGTTGCTTTGTTCATATAAATCTCTATCACAGATTATATATTTATAAGTTTTATCAAAATTTTATAGTGAGTTTTTTCTTTCATAAGGTGGTGAATTGATTGATGCTTATAACACTGGTGGCCAATCAGAATGTGAGAAGCTGATCAGAGAGCAATTTGGTCAGCTCATGTACCAGGAGGGTAAAGGACAGATTATCAACAGATCGGAATATTTAAGATGGAAATTTAGGGACTTGGATCAGGTTTGCAAACTTATTTCCATCAGGAAATAATGCAATTTTTTAAGAGAATAAATTATAAATAAAATGAAATATTCATCAAAACTATTTTTACCACAACCATTTACTATTATTTTGTCATAATCTAAAGAGTGGTCCACACGCAACGACTTACCGTACGACCTGGTTGGGATTAAGGTTTACTATAAATTATTTTTAGGTCATTTTACCTATTGAAGCATCATTGAGCCGTTACGATCCTTTGGGAAAATGGTCAGATCACGAGGCATGCTGGCAGATGCAATACAGAGGATCTTTGGGGGAGACTCTACTTCATGTTTTGATTATTTGCGATACTAAAATTCACACAAAACTTGCCAGAACTTTGATAAAATGTTTTCCAAAACTTGCGTTGGATGTTGTGGAAGGGGAAGAATATTTAGGTATTTACGTGCAGAGTCACACGTGTGTGATAAATGATCCGTTATCATTTCCTGTTTTAAAGTTTTAATTTAATTTTTTTACAGAATATACTCATTGTTTGTATCTTTTGTACTTATTATAAATTAACGGATAAAATATGTATAGCTTTCAATCACCCTGTATACGAGGTGTACTATAGAATGCACACTATAGGGATCTCATAAATCAGAAGAAGTACGAAGGTGATTAAATAAGAGAAAAGTTATAATTAACTTAGAGATACTAAATTAGAGATTATGGTTTAGGATATTCCTATAGTGAGCATTTTTATATGGGACACTCTGTATATTAACATTAATTGGTCATGTTATATTTTTAAGGTGCTGGAGCATTGCATCTGGCCATTGCTTACAATAACAACGAACTAGTCCAAGATCTAGTGGAAGCTGGTGCAAATGTTAACCAAAGAGCAATAGGTAACAATATAAGTATCTTCCCATTTTTTTTCTTAATATGTAAAAAAACTGTGTTCGGAAAGTCATTGAATAATTAGTAATAATGCAGAGTCATTTACAAAATATTTTTTTAAATAAGTTGGAAACTTTTTAAATTCTTAGTTAAAAAAACATAATATCTTGATAATATAACAACATAGTAGATGAAAATTACAAGAGAAAGAACCAAGAAAAAATCCAGTGGTTTCCAAAATTTAAACAAAAAATATATATTTTTTTAATTTCCAATGTACAATAACTCGGATATTTTGAATTTATTTGAAAAACGCCAAAAGAAAATGTGTTTCTTTTGTCGAGATCTACCAGCCCTGAAAATATTTGGTTTCAGGTAGCTTTTTCCTACCCAGAGATCAGCAAAAAACGCGACCTGCCAAACACACAGACTACGAGGGTCTGGCCTACTTAGGGGAATACCCGCTGGCGTGGGCAGCGTGTTGCGCAAACGAAAGCGTCTACAATCTATTGCTGGACAACGAAGCCCATCCTGATCTTCAAGATAGCTTTGGGAACATGATCTTACACATGGTAGTCGTCTGCGACAAATTGGTAAATGTATTTTCTCTTTAAACTCTGACTATCTCGCTGCAAACTATAGTCTGTCCAGCCAGAGAATGTATGAGAGTGACAGATATTGTGTGTGTGACCTTAATTCAAAAGTAGATTGTTTTTTTTACTGGTATGTTTGGATGTCGTCTGTCAGAGCTGCAGGCTTTTTTTATTTAAAACAAAATCTTCTCTGTTTTAGGATATGTTTGGATATGCTTTAAGACATCCAAAACTACCCGCTAGCAACGGTATAATCAACAAAGCTGGACTAACACCTCTTACATTAGCCTGCAAGCTAGGTAAGCAATGAAATTTGTAATATTTTTTCAAAAATAAACCTAATTTTGTATATACCTTTAATCAGGAAGAGCAGAAGTATTTAGAGAAATGTTAGAGCTCTCCTGCAAAGAATTCTGGAGGTACAGTAACATTACCTGTTCTGCTTATACTTTAAACGCTTTGGACACACTGCTACCCGATGGAAGGACCAACTGGAATTCTGCTCTTTTTATTATACTTAACGGAACTAAAGAAGAACATTTAGATATGTTAGGTAAATATTATTTAATAATAATAATTTAACTAAGTATAGTCTATATCGCGAGAAAATTCGGCAGATGACATTCATGCCTCATTTTTTCATTTCATTTTCGCTAGACATGTATTGTTTTATTTGTCTCAGATGGGGGGATAATACAAAGACTGTTAGAAGAAAAATGGAAAGCCTTTGCTAGAAATCAGTTTCTTAAGCGTTTGATAATTCTGATAGTTCATTTGGCAGTTATGTCACTTGCTGTCTACATGAGACCGGATGATCCCGACGAAAACTTGATGGAATGGTCAGAAGATCCCACTGTTGTAGTGAGGTAACTATTTTGTTATTATTTTTATTTAGTGTGGTCGCAAAATTACAAATAGTCAGCTAAAGACTAATAAGTTTGACTTTTTTCCTTTTGACATGAACTATACATATGTAATATAACTAATTATTATATTATGTTTTAAAGGATTGCAGCTGAAATAGGAACATTATTAAATGTTCTGAGTTATCTGATCTTTCAACAAGGGGACGAAATACGAAATCAAGGTTTCTGGTCATTTTTAAAACAACAAGTAATAACCGGTTAAATTAAACAATTAAAAAATTAATAAACCAAATGTTTTTTAGGTCAATTCTGCACCAAAATTGATATTTCTACTATCAAATTTGATGATCTTGGCTTGTATACCTTACAGACTTTCAGGAGATCGCGATACCGAAGAAACTATTTTGATTTTTGCTGTTCCCGGATCTTGGTTTCTTTTGATGTTCTTTGCTGGGTAAAACACTACCAAAACACTGTTTTTTTTTTAAATAATGTGTTGGGTTAACTATTTCAGAGCTGTGCGTTTGACAGGACCTTTTGTAACGATGATTTACAGTATGATCACTGGTGATATGATTACGTTTGGTATCATTTATTCCATAGTTTTGTTTGGGTTTTCACAATCATTCTTTTTCCTGTATAAGGGCAATCCCAGTGTAAATGGGACATTATATCATAGCTATAGTTCAACTTGGATGGCTTTGTTTCAAATAACATTGGGCAACTATGACGTGAGTAACTTTTAAACATTTTTTTTAATATTTCTGTTTTATGAATAAATACAATATTTCTATTTTATGAATAAATACAATATAGAACTTTTGGTAACCTTTAAAAATAATTTATATTTTCTGAATTTCTTTTTCTCTCTTACAGTATTCAGAATTAGCTATGACGACATATCCTGGTGTAGCAAAATCGGTTTTTGGACTTTTTATGGTTTTTGTGCCGATACTTCTTTTGAATATGTTAATCGCTATGATGGGCAACACTTACGCCCATGTCACTGAGCAAAGTGAAAAAGAATGGATGAAACAGTGGGCCAAAATCGTTATTTCACTCGAGCGGGCCATACCTCAAAAGGAAGCTCATAACTACTTGCAGGTAAACAAGGATTTTTTAAAGAATATCATGTGTATTATTTTAAATAAATTGTCACACTGATCTGGGTTTAAAAAACGGTTATTCAAATATAAAATTTTGTTTAAATACATAGGAATACAGCATCTCTTTGGGTCCTGCAGAGGATCCTGCTACAGAGCAGAGAGGTGTGATGGTGATAAAATCAAAGAACAAAACCAGAGCTAAACAAAGAAAAGGAGCTGTAGCCAACTGGAAGGTACAGCTTAAATATATGTTTGATCTATTGCAGATTTATTACAGAAATAACCACAAAAAATACTCATCTTAAGAATTAGAAAACATTAAAGTATAATTCAAAACTATATAGAGAAGACCAGGCTACTAGTAACATAGCAGGTTGCCGGACGAATTTACGTTTACCCGTTTACGTTCGTACTCGAGATTCACTGCCGGCTGAAGCGCAGAAGCGCCTCGTATCTAGTCGGCTGGTCACTGGTCAGGCAGTAAGCAGTTGCAGTTGTGCTTGGACGGGTCTGTCGTGACAGACTAGGAATACGACGCGAGGAGTGCCGGGTATTTATTATTTTCATTTTAAATGTTTACCTTCACTTAACATTTGTGTAACATTTAAAATAAAAATACTTAAATATTTATTATTTGAGTGTGTTTACAAGCCAAAACTTAAAATAAATAAATTCTCTAAACCCAAAACTCATTTCCAAAATTAAAAAATACATCAAAAAAATTAAAAAAAAAAACTAAAATATTACTCTAAATAAAAAAAAGTGATAACAAGTGTTCAAAAAGACCACCTTCTTCTGCTAGACAGAAGCCTAGGCGGTCGTAAAATCCCCGTCTGGCATTGGCTACCATATTGGGGCTAATAGTTTAGAAAGCCTATCGTATTTTTACTTGAAGCGCATCCAGTTTATTAGCCCTATTATGACCATACATTTTGGATTTTACATAACCCCACAAAAAGAAACCATTGAGAGAAAGATCTGGTGATCTAGCGGGCCACAAAATAGTTCCATGTGCACTAATTAAACGGTTGGGAAAAGTATTGTTCAAATATTCTTGAACAATACGGTGTGAGCAGGGCAACCATCTTGTTGAAACTAGACATTGTGGAATCTTTCTCCCAATAACTCACGAATTCTAGGGACAATCTGCTGCTGTAACAAGTCAATACTTTGCAACAGTTAAATTACCCTCTATAAAAAATGGACCAATCGTATGCTCCCCTACAAAACCACCGATACAAATTTTCCCGAGACCAATATCGTACTTTTGTGTAGAGTTATGACGACTCAATAAAGGAAAACTTGATTCGTCGGTGAAAACTATACACCGAATAAAATTTTCATCTAAATTGGCTTTTTCCATTACAGATTCACAAAACGCCATACGCCGAAATTGGTCTTCATGGAAAATTTCTTGAGTTTTGCGCGCTTTATACGATCGGTATCCATTCTTTTTAAGGACTCTTTTAACCGTGCTAGGTGAAGAATCTGTTACCTCAGCAATTTGATTACTTGAAAACGTGGGATTTTGATCCGCAGTAGCACAAATGAACACTTGCTTTAACTCCTGTTCTTCATTAATCAACACATCAGGCTTTTTGTGTTTTTGTGGGGACACGCACCCATGTGTTTCATAATTATTAATAACTCTTGATATAGTAGGTAAAGATGGAATTGGCCTGTTTACAAAAGTTTGTGGAAAAATTGTTTGTATATCTCGATAAAACCTATTTTGGAAATACCATTTTACAATTTGAATTTTCTCACGAACTTCGTAAACATCCATTATTTTGCTTAAAAAATAAATTTTACACGAGAGCTGTCGTGAGAATCTATGTATTCGTTTTGGCTATTAAAACACGAATAAATACAAATTCTGAAACATTGTTATCACATATCTACCTATTTTTATTTTATAGCATTTTTTCGCCTGCTTTTTATCCGGTGGACGGGTATACGCTAATTCGACCGAGTTCTGCCTATGTTACTACTACAGTGGTCCGGTCTGTATACAGTGTCACAGCTAAAGTCCACATCATTTGAGATTTTTTTTATTTATTCTCTTAGGGTGGCAGTATGATGCTGACTTTATTTGACACTCTATAGTATAGGTAGTAATTTTATGAGTATCAGGAGTAAAGAAAAAAATTAACCAACTTAATTTTAGAGGGTAGGAAAAGTGACTATAAACGCTTTAAAGAAAAAAGGTATGACTGGAGAGGAGATGAGATGCCTGATGTGGGGTAGAGAGTCTATAACAACCCCTATCAAGATCAAGGGGTAAATATAATATATATTTTTAAACTATTTTCTGAATATTTTTTTCTGCTAGGGCTAAAAAAGATCCTTTAAGCAAACCTCAAGGTACAGATTTGGGTAATGGCTTCGGAGGTGCCCTTACAGCAGCTTTAGATGTGATGTCGTTCAGCAATGACACTGATTCTAAGACACAAGGAAAAAATTTGACCAAAAATAATGTTCAAAATCCTACTGTTAATTACAGTGCACTGGATAATAATCAAATTAAACAGGTAGATATACTTAAAACAAGACATTAAGTATTTTTATAATCAGTATAAATGTATTATTAATTTTTTAAAGGTTACACCAAGCAATAGTAATGTACAGTTAAACAATCAAATAAATAAAGTTCTATGTGCGAATAATACAGGTAATTTTAAGTAAATTTATTATTTTTTTGGGGGTTTATTTTGATTTGTTTTAGATGTGTCCATGTTGAGCGCTTTTAACCAACTTGCTGCGTCTCAGGATATAAAAGATACAAGACTAAATACTACAGTAAATAATTTCAATATTATTAACCAAGGCAATGCTAACCTTACTATGGTTATATCAGCTTCCGTAAGTATGATCAGAATTAAATTCTCCCATTTTTTATTCCCAGTTACCCCAGTTCTCCCAGTTTTGGTTTAGCATAACTGACTAATGTATGATTATCCGTACATAGATTCTAAACATAATATATGAATGTATGATGGAACTATCTTTTTTAATAATGTCATTGAATAAAAAACTAAAAAAGGAACATATCAACAACAAGGAACATTTATATATTTATTTCTTATTTTTAAGGCAAATGTTGTACCGCAAGATCCTCTACGCGATCTAGTCTTACAATCTCTAGACCAACCACCAAAAAATCCGGAAAATTTGAAAAATCTAGCGATACAAGCAGCTAACATGCCGGAAACTACTGAAGAAATTCCAGTGCAGAGTAAGGCCACTGCATCTGTCAAAAATTTGGCTGGAATTTTTGCTGGAACTGAAAACTTCATCAAGAAAGTTGAAGAGAAAGTTAAAAAGAAATATTCGGTGTTAGAAACAAGCGATTGCGAAGGTTTTGGAGGTAAATATTTACTAGAAAATGTGCCCTATTTTTTCCCTATATTTAAAGACATTATAACATTAGATGATTTATTTAAATGACTAAAATCTACAGTACACTTAATAACACCATAAAAACTACTTTCATTTTTCATAATTTCTCTGTTATAGTTTCCTGTATCTATCTCTAGTAGTCTTTGAGAAAAAATAAATAAAATAATTGTAATACTGACAAAAACTTGATCTTGAATAAGTAAAATCTTGACTTCAGCATGTTTAAAGTTGGAATTTGAGTTGTACAGGGTGTTCCACTAAGAATAGCTCTCGGAAAGTATTAGCCGTAGAGCCTGAGGAAAAAATATTTATAACTAAGAGCTCATGAGAAATTGCTGGAAATTATTCTCAAGTTTGTAGAACGGCCGCTAGAGGGCGCAACTGCTATGGAAAATAAGAAAATGAGAATATTACAAAATTTTACCTAGATAAGGGGTATTATAAATAACAGCTTCACAATCTTCAGTAAATTTTGGATCTTTTTTGTCATAACCATTTTCCCTTATCTGCTAAAATAAAGTGGTGGGGGAAGGTTAGATTTGTTTTTATTTAAATGTTAATATAACATATAACTCCGGACTGGATGATCGGAATTCAACAAACTAGAACTCGTTTGAAAGAGCGTTTCTTAGTCTATATTATATCATATAAATAATTATAACTTTTTATAATTAATATCATATAAATAATTATAGCTTTTGAACGTAGACGCAAGGTGGCTGTCTTGCAATTTAACAAACATTGCGCGTTTTCTCAAAAAAATAAACACGATAGTATATGTAATTTTAGCTGAATTCTAATGATTCTCCACAAACTTCTAACCTATCATCGACAGTGAACCACCCTATTTATAGTATAATTTTGTTTTATAGAAGTGGTCCTTGGCAAAATATCCAGAATAAAGAGGGCAAAGTCAGCGCATCTTAGAAACTCAGCTTCGAAAAAAACACCCGTGGACAAGTACAAACTGATCGTATCCAGTAGTTCCAGTTCTTTGGAATCACCCACAGCAGATAACGCTTCAAATTTGGAATCCAGCAATCTGGAATACGCTGCTGAAAGAATGAAAGCTGTCAAGGAACAATTGAAGAACGATTCGTCTTCAAATGTCAGACCTATTAATATCGATGCTGCTATGAGAGAAGATGAACAAATAATGTAAGATAGGTATAATATATAGGGTAAAAAATTATTTAGTATAGTCCATAGATAAAGGAATAAAAAGTTTAGTCCAAACTATAGTCTGTCAGTTGACTGACAGTGGCAGTTGTGTCTGCCATTTTAATTCACAGGCGTCTGAAGGCTTTGGTGATTCCTTGTATATTTTTTTGACATGTAATAATTTACAGATTAGGAACTATCTCAGAAACTACATTGAAAATTGAAGGTTCCGGAGAAGGAGAAATCCCAGAATCCGCTAATATTAACCGTAAAAAAGAAAAGAAGAAAAAACGATCAAAAACTGCAAAAAATAACAGGTAAAATCTTATCACCTTGTCTGAAAAGCATAAAAGAATCAAATATTCCTTTTTATTACAGGGTTGAACCGGCAACTGTGGAAACAAGACCGTACAAGTCAGCCAGCAATGTAAAAACTGAACAGGAAGAACCATGTAGTTCCCCTGACCCACTTGAACCTTGGAGTACCAAAAATATCACAGATATGAACACAATTCTGGCATGGGAAAGAGAAGAAGACAGTATTTAATATGAATATTTATTTATTTATGAAATTGTTACTTTAAATCTCAATAAAAATCATAAAATAAAACTGTTTGTTTCTGTGTGGAAATAAGATATATCGTTGTAAGTAGGCAACCAGAAAAACACCAAATTAATATAGGTTATGAATGTTTACGTTTTTGAGACATCTGTCAGAAAATCTTTACCTATCTCAAAAAAAGGATAATTCCCAGTAGTTTTTTAAATTTAAAGATATTTGGTTAGGAATTATTTTTATGCTTATTCAACTTGTACTATTCCCAAACAATAACCATTTCGATCTAATCCTGTAAACGAATTTTTGAGGTTTGTTTCCCAATAATTTGAAGACTATTGCTCAACAATAACTGTAAAAGTAAAGGAAGTGTTGGAATCACAATTTAGGATAAAGTTCACGTGAATACTGTTTATTTTGGTATGTTGCACTTTCTCTATTACTCTAATTTGCTCGTTTTTTAGTGCGTAGAAAACTAATTATAGATTTAATTGAACTGTTAATACTTATAAATGTAAATTAGAACTATTTACATCAAATACAATATAGAAACATGCATTTTGTAAATTAACTAAACACCTAAAACATAGAGTAAACAAATTGTTTTAAATTGATGATATTTTTATCATTTGCAATTCATCACAATTTGATTTAATAGATTTTAAATGGTTTAACAAGGCTGTTATATAAGCATGTAATAAAGACATGAATATGGAAAACATGCAATCCTGATTAATATTCTATTTCATAAAAAGGTATTTATTACTGTTATGACTATAAAAAAGATATTCCCATGACTGTGATGATGAAAATATACATTCTTAGAATGTGATCAAACAGTAATTTTATTCTAGAAATAGGTTTTTAAAATTGTAATACTTAATTTTAGGTAATTATGGTCATAAATTTTTGCTGGTTTCAAATAAATAGATAGAAAATGCTTGAAGGTCTAGCGGCATGGATCTTAAATAACTATTTAGGGAAATATGTCTATTTAAATACAGATCAGCTGAGTATTGCACTCTTATCAGGTATTGTATTTATTTAATGTACTATTACAGTTAAAAGTGTTGACACTATTTTTTTTCAGGGAAAGTAGAGTTAGAGAATGTTCCCTTAAAAACTGATGCTTTGAGACACCTTGGTTTGCCTATTAGGATAAGGGCAGGTTTCATAGGAAAAGTAAAACTTCAGATTCCTGTAAGGCAGATCAGATCAGTGCCTTGGGTGATAGTTTTTGAGCAGTTGTATGTTGTTGCAAGTCCTCTACCCTTAGATGAGGTATATTTCTACTTTTATACTCTCTTAATAAATACAGTGACCCAAAAAACATCCATATCAGGTGTCCTATTTGAGATTTTTTTTAAATAAAATATAAAGGGTCATTAAAATACATTTTTTCTGCTAATTCTGCATATCTAATAATTAATTTATTTATTTTTATATATTAAGACACATTGAAATTTATCAAATGTTATCATAAATGGTGTGAGAATTTATTTGATTGATAACTACCTGTAGATAATAGGAAAAATGTTTGTGTTTTAGTGGGATTATGAAAGTGAACAGTCATTGCGTCACGATTTAAAAATAACGGCTCTAGATGATTTAGAAGCCAAGTGGCGTCTGGAGAAAGATTTACAGGGTACTAATTATTATGCATCCAGTTATTCGTCATGGTACAGCTCAGGGACAGGATTTGTGTCTGAAATCATTGAAAACTTACAAGTAAGAAATTATGTAATTATGATTATGTAGTTTTAATAGTGTATTTAGAACAAACAGAGGGATACAGAGCGGTAAGTATCTGTTTCCCGCCAATTTCTGGATAGTGGCGCCTCTCGCGGCAGAATGTCAAATTAAATTTTTTTTTTGCTACATAATAACAATAATAAAAGAACAGAATAAAATAACAATAAACAGCGTAATAGAGAGATATCGCTAAACCGAATAGCGTGCATGGACGTTAATAAGGCCAGGTGTTATTTCCTTTACTTGAGGTGGTATTAACTCTCTTCATTTATAGTTATTGGATAGGAAAGAATTCTGTTCGGGTCGTTTGTCTCGTCCACTATTTAAACTTAACCTAACTTTGAATTTAAAACTTTGAAATTGTTTTGTTTACTAGGTATTTTAAAACTAAAGGGCTAAAGTGCTTATTTCCAGTGCTTTATTGTTCAACGTCTGCCAGTGGGTTTAGGGCAACAAGCAACAAATTCTCTTAGAAGGGCTAAGTCGTCATCTGCTGTAAACCTAAGCCTCTTTATAGGTTCTTTAATATTGGAAGAGGTGGAATCCATATTTTGGGGCATATTTATTTAATTAAAACTAATCCCAGCTACTTAAATATCAAATTACCTAATAAAACTAAAGTAATAATTCAAAACAATTCAAACATAACTTAAAATAAAAGATCTCGCCGGCCGGCCCCAGTTGTCAAATACCCGCACATGCCCATTTAAGCAATTTTTAAACGTTATTTAGAAATAGCGCTTGGTGTAATTGATCCGCAAATTACGTCAGGTGGTAACGTTATTAGCGGGTGTTAAAAATTGACTCGCGCATATCGTAACCAGGATAAGGTACGCCAGGATAAGAAAAAACAAAGTTTATAATCTGTATAATCTGTGACCATACTCTTTGGTCAAACTGTATCTAATCAATTTATACAAAAATCAGGTATTTTAGCAGTGTTATTATGTTTATTAACTTATTTTTCCCTCAGTTAGTGCTTGGAACTAATTTGGTGGTAGTTAAATACAGAGCTCTAAAAAAGACTTTATATGTGCAGTGAACATATAGAATAACATATAGAACATAAGAATCCAATAATTTAGAGTGCCAATAATAAACTAAACATACTTTTTTTACATTGAACTAATATTATTTCAGCTTAAAATTCAAGATGTCCACATACGCTGCGAAGATTCCTTTAGCAATCCCGATAAAATCCTGGCATTTGGAATCACCATTGATTCCCTCACTGCCCAGAGTTGCGACGGGAATTGGCAACCTGGCTTCGTATCATCAGTCAAGGGAGACCATTCCTTTAAGTTATTGGAATTACAAAATTTTGCCATATACTGGACTACCATTAGTAAAGAAGAAACCTATGTTAACTTAACAGTGGCTGAACTTGCTGTAAGTGTATTTTTAAATGATATATTTTTTTGTATATACAGGGTTGTTCACCACATACGACGCGGAGTATTGTAGCTAAACGATTAGATTATTGCAAATTGTTGAAATTGTAAGTTTTGGGTTCGTTGAAGGACTATTAGAGCTACAATTTAAAAATAATTTTACAAGATACATAGTGTCCCAAATAAATAAAAATATCAAAGTTGTATTTTTTTAAATGGAACACCCTGTATATTCTTACATTACATTTTTAGTTTCTACGATTAAAATAAAGGTAAATTTGATACAGGTTTATTACATTTAAACCTTACCGTTTTTGAAATATTTTCAATTTTGTAAATTGCAGTTAAAATTTTAAGGCTTCATTTCTCCAAGGGTATCAAAGTTTTTAATGCTAAATATTTACCGAAGTTTGTTTATTGATCATTTATTGTTTTGCAATAATAAAAATTATACTACCTTATACAGAGTGTCTAAAATTTTATTTTAAATACTTACTAGCTTTAAGCGGCAATAACTTGTTTAATTTAAATGGAACACCCTGTATATTTTATGAGAATCAGATGCGCAATTTTATTGTCTATCAAATTGTATTATACCATTATTTCAAGTTTCTGTAGAAAATTAATTTTCTTGTAATTTAAAACTCATTTATCAATAGACCCATGGAATACTGACAGTTTAGATAATTTTTAAAGATGTACCAAATTTTTAGAGTACAGATACTAATATTGGCGATATAGTTTGTTTATTTCATTAAAAAATAAAAAAAACTGTTTAAATATTTGTTAAAGAGGACCAATTAATATTATTCCAGTATTTAAACTACATTAATTGACTGTTTGCGTTGATTAATAATAATTGCTCCAAATACTGAAAAACTGAATTTTGTATGTGTACTAGACAGTGTGGTAAAAAGTAACACCTTAAAAATGATATTTCATTTTTTGATAAATGCTTATTTATAACAACAGAGACATTGATTTTCATAATTTATTATTATATTCATTTCCGATTCAAATCCACATTTATTTAGAATAATTTATTAACGAACATAAGTATGTAATTAAGTAGTATTTGGGCGGAAATAATGGTGGTATATTTAATTAATGGTATACTCTTTTACAAAAAGATTTAAATAGTTTTCTTTTTGCATACAAATGGGCTAGTAATATTATTATTTTGCTAAAAACGATAATATTACTAGCCTGTGCAAATTTTAATTTTGTAGCTTTAAAAACAATTTAAAATGTCAATATTTCATGGGTATATTGATAAACGAAGTCTAAATTATAAGGAAATGCTTTTTCTACGAAAACTTGAAGGGATAGGTAAAAACTGGTATAATACAATTTGATAGACAATTAAATTGTGCATCTGATTCTCCTCTAAATATACAGGGCGTTCCATTTAAATTAAGCAAGTTATTGCCGTTTAAAGCTAGAAATAATTTAAAATAATTTTTTAGACACTCTGTATGAGGTAGTATTATTTTTATTATTGCAACACAATAACTGATCAATAAATAGACTTTAGTAAATATTTAGTATTAAAAACTTTGATACCCTTGTAGAAAATAAGCCATAAAATTTTTTCTGCAATCACAAAATTGAAAATATTTCAAAAACGGTAAGGTTTAAGTGCAATAAACTGTGCAAATCAAATTTACCTTTATTTTAATCGTAGAAACTAAAAATATAATTATATACAGGGTGTTCCATTTGAAAAAATACAACTTTGATATTTTTTATTTATTTGGGACACTCTGTATCTTGTAAAAATATTTTTAAATTGTGGCTCTAATAGTCCATCAACGAACCCAAAACTTACAATTTGTAAAAATCTAATCGTTTAGCTACAATACTCCTTGTCGTATGTGGTGAACAACCCTGTATAGTGATATTTTATTTGGCAGCATTTGTTTACAATCTAGTTTTTTCGTATTTCTTGAGATAATATAATATATAGATAATACTTTAGGAATCAATGAATACAGCGAAATCAAAAAAGACACTAAGACATTTCATATTACCATCAGTCAGTGCGCAAGCTCATTTGAAAAGAAACAGAAGTACTGAACCTTTAAGGTCGAATACAGAGCCAAGAATTATATGCGACTTATTGTTAGAAGAAGTGCCTCTTACCATTGTAGATGTAAGTGTCTTTTTATTCTGATATTTTCAGTATTATTGTTTGAATAGTTACTAATACGACTGTATTTTTTAGTGGCAATACAATCAAATGGTAACTTGTGTAAAAGGTTTAGAAAATATAGGTAAATTAAGAGCGTATCGACGATATAAACCTTGCTTGTCAGTTAAGGAAGATGCTAGGGCGTGGTGGTTGTATGCTATAAGTTGTTTTTACCCTGGAGGCCAACCGGCCATCTGTAGGCCAACACCAACGTGGGAAAGTTGTTCTAAAAAGGCCAAAGAAAATGTAAAGTAAGTGTTTTTAATTCTTTTATTTCATTTAATTACGTTATTATTTATTTTGTATTTATTTCTTGTTACCAGTTACCGCCATTTCTCGCTGACGAGTATTTGATACGCATCAGAAGATGGTCACGCAAGGCGTTTTCTTTCATGAGCTTTTCTGTGACTGAAAAGCCCGATACGTGATGTTATCTGTCTACCGCACTCCAGATATTCAAAAATCTCATTGCTTTGTTGCCTCTTTACTTTTTGGTTGTCGCTGTTAACTGACTTTACAATTGTTCTCCATTCCGTTCTATTGTGAGCTGCCTCTTCCCACTCATTCTGCTTGTTAATTCCTTTTAAGTTTTCGTGGAAAATATCCTTGAACCTTTTGAGTTGTCCACCCGGCCTCCTCTTGCCGTCTACAAGCTCACCGTAAACCAGAGATTTTGGTATGCGGTTTTCTTGCATTCTGCATACATGACCAGCCCATCTTAAGCGGGACTTTGTAATCATGACTTCAATATTCTCGCAGTTAGCTTTTTCAAGGACCGATACGTTTGAGACATGATGGAACCATTTTATTCTTAAGAGTTGTTTAAGATGTCTCTGTTGCAACTTGTTTAATGCGTTCATGTGTCGGCGGTACGGCACCCAGGTTTCGCTTCCATATAACATGGTGGGAATTATTATCGCTCGGTACACTGCAAGTTTCGTTTTTGTGCTCAAGTTATGATTGTAGAAAACCCTGTCTTTTAATTTCCAGAATGCTTTTGAGGTGCTGCTAATCCTGTGCTGAATTTCAGAGTCGATATTGGCTTTTGCCGAAATCAAACTGCCGAGGTAATTGAATTCCGCCACATATTCCAACAGCTCATCTCCGATTTTTATAGCATTGTTATGATCTTCCGGGGGAGTGCACATGATTTTAGTTTTATCGATGTTCAGCTTAAGTCCCAAGGCCTCGTATGCCCATATATATGTGTTCAACATTTCTTGCAATTGTTGTAACGTATTTGCAACTAGAGCACAGTCATCAGCGTATTGAAGTTCTGTGATGAATTTTGTACGTGTTTTTGCCCTGAGTCTTTTTATGTTAACAGACCGCCGTCGTATCTGTATCTAATGCCCAAACCTCTCTCCTGCAGTTTGATATCCACTATAATGGAGAGCGCTGCCATGAATATATTGAATAGAAGAGGCGCTAAGACACATCCCTGCCTAACGCCTGTGTTTGTTAGGAAGGGATCGCTCAGTGATCCATGATATGACACTCTTGATTTGTTGTTGTTATGGAGGCTTTTACACACTGTAAGAAATTTTATGGGTACTCCGAACTTTTTCATAATTGCCCAACGATGAATGCAACGTAAAGTTTAGACTGCTGCTCTTTTACTTTTTCCTGTAGTTGCCGGATGGAGAATATAGTATGGAGATGGAGAATCGACGGTACCGCGGTTGGTGCGAAAACCCGTTTCTTGTAAAATTTTACCAATTATAAAATAAACAAGAGATAACTTAAAATAAACTCACAAAACGCCACTAAACCTTCTTACATTCTAATCTTCCAAAACTAAAATATATCAAACAAAACTGACAAAAAAAGTATTTAAATGACGACGCCTCTATCTGCGTGAATATAAAAATGGTATTAGATACCTTCCTTCAATGACTAAAGAATACAAGGACCAATAACACCATAGACCAAATTGTTACCAATATCTCCAAACAGTGCCGTGCCACATATTTTTCTTAACTCAGCTACTTGATGTGATATTTATATTTTTGATAAATGTTTTGACTACGCTTATGGTGTATGATGCTTATTTAAGTAGTATCATACTAATTAATTACAAAAAAAAACGTATTAAAATGTTAACAGGAGGTACAGAACTAGTATCGACGTAAAGCACATATAAAGTACATATAATATCAGAAAAATAATTATCAAATTTAATAAGAAAACGCTAAAAAGGTGGAATGGACTGTTTATTTACCTATGAAACGTAACTTCTGGGACTTTCTTATAGTTGGGGCTTTTACATTTGAAAGCTGAACAAATTACCATTGTAATAAAGTTTATACAAAGTTCCCTACACTCAACAAACTATTAAAAATCGCTAAAATTGTCGCTGGTGATACATCCGTTCCTTAAAAAAAATGGCTTCTAACAACACAAATTCTGCTTCAGCCTGTATATAGGCATTATGTGTCCTTGTATTCTTAAGTGATTGCCTTTCTTATTAGTCTTTTATTCAGTGGAGAATACTGTTAACAGGATTTTTTTCTGAATTTATTATACAGATTTTTTTTTTGTAGATATGTTGAAATCTACAAAAAGTTATTGATGACACCAACAGTAGCTTTAACTCCCGACGAGAAAAAGATCAAAGATGATGTTGAATTGGACAGGGAGTATGAAGATTTGAAAATATTAAGAGAGGTGTGTATATTTTTAATAATTAATTAATTACTGTCAAATAAAATTAAAATATTATAAAACTATTAATAATAAAATAAAACATTGCCCATTATTACTAGGTGGCTATGAGTACGGTTGTTTTACCACAAGCCGACAGAGATAAAAGTTCCAGAGGACAAAGTATGCTGGAATCTTGGTTTCCACAGTGGATGGGCTGGTACTCTTCCCCAGCATCTAATGACAGTACTTCCACGTCTTCTGCCGAAGCTAAACAGCTAGAAGGAGAAATTTTACAAGTAAGTTTTAAAAATATATTATAATAATAAGACGCGGCTTATTATAAACTGAAATATTGAAAATACATTGCAATCTTAATGCGCATGCGCCTTTGTCATGCGCAAAGCAAGGTCCTCGAGAAAGAGAAACCTACTGAACGTTTTGTAAGTGCAATAAAGAAGGTTGGAAAATGGCATGTCGTGATGATATTGGAGACATATTTTTTAATGCTAATCGTATGGCGTTTTATGGCGTTTAAGGTTGGAAAATGGCATGTCGTGATGATGTTGGAGACATATTTTTTAATGCTAATCGTATGGCGTTTTATGGCGTTTATGTTATGATCTAGGGTATTACTGTAATATAGTATCTAGATATACAGGGTGTCAAAAAAATAGTATATCTAACTTCGATGGGCGATTCTACATATTAAAAAAAGTTTCTATGAACATATGCCATGCCCTAAAATGCTTCTCGCGGAATTCTCGCTTATTTCTTCTCACTTATTAGTTTGAATAATAATTGTTTGTTAAATTTGGGGAATTTATTTCAGGTTTTAGCCGATACTGCAGAAAATAACACAGTACTTAAACGGGATGCAGTGTTTGGGCAGTTTACGTTTTGTCTTAAAACAGGAACATTAAAGTTGTGTACTGTAGATCAGGATTCGAAAGAAACGCAAGTTTTCCTTTTTTTAGCCCAGACTAAATATGAAATTTATATATTTTAATTTTTAGAGCATCTATGCTGGAATTGGAATTCAAAAATTTGTCTTTAACGTTCGTGAGCAAACCTCGTACTTCGGCTCATACGGTCGAACTATCTTTGGACGCTCTGTATCTCAAAGACAAAATAACCAGAGACACTATGTTTCCTGTTTTAGGTAAATATATGAATTTTACTTTTAAATTACCAAAGAAGATTTAGTTTGTATACTTTTTCAAGAATTAATTACTATACAGGGTGGTCTGAACTGTATTCCGGAAATTTCGGCAGCATATCCTGCAGATAAAAATAAGTAAAAAAGTTCCTATAAATGTATGTCCTAAAATGCTTAGTTTCGTAGATACAGGGTGTAGAAGTTTCATTTTTGTTCCGATTTTTTTCATATAATTTCTGAAATAACGTCATTATTTGGATGGAAATTGTCGTCTTGGAGTTTTTTGACATGAGAAATTTGATTTTGACATCAATATGACTGCTACTTGTAGAGGGCGCCACCTACATTTTTTTTAACTGGTTTGAAGAGTAATAACTTTTCATCCGTACTTGTATAAAACAACTGAGCAAAAAAATGTGCATTTACGACGTTTTTCACGCAAAAAAAGTCTCTTGGTAAAAATCGCTACCAGTAATTAAATGCGTTACCTACATGTGACGCCCCCTACAAATCGCAGTCATATTGACATCAAAATCAAATTTCTCATGTCAAAAAACTGCCAGACAACAATTTTCATCCAAATATTGATGTTACTTCAGAAATTATTTGGAAAAAATCGAAATAAAAACGAAACTTCTACACCCTGTATCTCCGAAACTAAGCATTTTAGGACATAAATTTAAACGAACTTTTTTACTTATTTTTATCTGCAGAATATGCTGCCGAAGTTTCCGGAATACAATTCCGACCACCCTGCACATATTTTGTGATGTGTTTCAGTGGGGCCCCCAGGTCACGATAGGACTGCTATGGCTCGCAACAGAGCCGCGAATATTCCTAGTAGAGTTTTAAGTTCAGGCAAATTAGAAGAGTTGGAACAGCAACTCTTTTATTTGTCCTATGAGAAGAAACCTCTGAAATCTAGCTGTGATTATAGGTAGGGATCTGATTAGAAATCAAAGGAAATAAGTTTTTTTACTATTAATATGTTATATTATAGGTTAACTGTGAAAACGAAATGTTTAGATGTAGTTTACCAAGCGAACGCTGTTAAATGGTTGATGGACTTTATTTGTTTGCCTTATCAACGTGATATAACGCAATCGAGAATAGAGGCTATGAAATCTAGAACTAAGAAAGAATTTATTAAGAATTGGGAACAAATACTTGAAGGTCGCGCTGTAAGCATATCATTATATTATACCGATCTGGTCATCGAAACTGCGTCTGGATTTTAACGTGTAAGACAGTGATGTAGACAGGTTAATGACAAATCAAATGTATTAAAAAGAAATAAAAGTTTGGTTGAAACATTTCTTCTATGCGGTATTGCCGGATTTTGCATCAAAATTTCAAACCGCACAAATAGGCATTTATGAAAAATGTTGCATCTAGGATTGGAACTTAATTTTACTACAGCTGTAATTGATTATATTTAGCTTAGATATATTATCTTCTAGAGATGAGCAGAAAATCGCAAACTGCGATTTAATCGCAGCGATTGTAAATTCGCAATCGCAACCTGTGATTCCTTTCCATAGCAAACTGCGACTTGCGATTGAAACATATATCTGCCGATTTTCGATTTTTAGGCAACCAATATTACACCAGTTGCGATTTGCAATCGCAGTGGGCACGCGAACGAAAATCACAGCATTGCGATTTTCGTTCGCACCGGCATTGCATCGACACGGCACTGAGAAGCCGAACGATGAGCTGCGAACGAAAATCGCAATATTGCGATTCTCGTACGCCCCGGCCGCGGCGGCGGCGTCTTCAACACGGCAGTGGACAGGCGAACGAGGAGCTGAACGAAAATCGCAGCTCATCCCAGCATTGCGATTGCGATTTCGTTGGCACCGGCGCGGCATCGGGAGTGGGCACGCCAACGAAGAGCGGCGATTGCGATTTTCGTTCGCAGCTCCCAACACATCGGCCTAGACTAGATCGCAAAATCACATTCGCAATCAGGGCCCCGTAATTTTTATGAAGCGTTGGAAAATAGGCTTATATATGTTTATATACCGCATAATATATATAATTTATTAGTTTTAAATTTTGATAATAGTTTTAGATTTATAATATAATTATGGATTGAGAAGGTTAAAAAAATTCTTGTTTTCGGTTATGACTAATTATAGTTACAGTTGCTCCCAGGTAATGATTCAGGTAAAATGATTCATAAGGACAGTTTTGGATTCAAATTATAAAAAATTCTCTATTTTTATCCTTTATTTACTAGAAGATATAGAGCACGGAAAAGAAACAGCCCTTTTTATTTATTATATTTTGTTCTATATTATATTATTATAAACATTTTTATAACAATCCATAATATAATATAATTTTCTGAATATACTAACAGTTGTGGATCGGCTGCTATGTTAATTTAAATACATCCTTTACAATCAGTTTTTTTCATTTTAGAGAAATTTTAAATATAATAAAATGTGATATTGTCCTTTTATTTATCTAAAAGTTCGAAAGTTTGCACTTGCACTGGACGGGCCGTATCAAAGCCGTCGGCGTCGGCTTCTTTTGAGTTACATATATAAAGAAAATGTTTTTAAAAAGAAAACAAGATAAAATAAACAGTTTTTTTCTAGTTATCTGAATTAAGGTTGGCGGCAACCTTTTTTATAATAAATTTTTCGTTAGTATACCTACTGTCTAAAAGCACATTCGAATATTTTGAACATTTTATGTATTTTATTTCCCTTTTAAATTTATTTGGTCTGTTATAATCAAAAATGTTTAAAAAAAGAAACTAAGTTATTTGTGGATTTTTTTGGTAGGTAATTGATGAAAATTTTAAGTGCAATATGTGTGCAGCAAAATATCATAAAAAACACGCACTACAAATTTTAAAAGGCACATGGCATCGAAACACCCAACAGTTTCTTTGTAAGTTTTTATTAAAAAAAAATTATTCCGCTATTTATTCTGTTTTTTATTAGAAATTTTGGGATTGAGCTTCCCAGATTACAGCGTACCAATTTAAAAATATCAAAATCCCAATCGCAGGTTACAGTCGCAGCGATTTATATATCACAATCGCAGTTTCAACTGCGATTGGAAAATCGCAGTTTTGCTCATCTCTATTATCTTCCTTTCAATAGTATACACGGAAGTGTTTAAAATAGTTTATATTTTTCTACACACATTTTCCTACACATTTAGAAACCGGCAACACTGTGTGCCGCTTTTTATGTTGTCTCTCTGTCTGTCAACCGGTCATTTATAGTTTTATCTCTGTCGCATGCGTTAAAATACAGACCACGCAGATGAAGTGTGCCTTTAAAATGAAGATGATACAGATGAAGTGGATGGTATAAAAAATATTCTGCTGCTACAGTCTAAATTCTTGTACCAATATTGAAGGATAGATATGTAATATAAATGATTTTCTCACATAAGTCTATCTTTGGATTGTTTGAAATGAAAGGACGAACTTATGTTCCCAAACCATACAAACTCGATTTTCTCTCCTTTAGTACTGGAACATAAATCCTTTATACAGGGTCGCTTTTATGTATGGAAACGGTCGATTTATTAGGTAAAATATAGGAGGTGCTGCAAAAAGTTAAATACAAAAGTTATATGATTTTTAAATATCTATTAGTGATAAATACTTTTAAGTATACAGGGTCGTTCATAAAGTCGTGGCACATGAAAGTTTTATTTTTTTTTAAATAGAGCCCCCTGTATATTATTGCATATTTCAATTCTTCCTTCAATTCTAAGCAAAAATCGAAATACACACAATGTACCTTAAACCAACCGTTTCCGAGTTATTGACTTTTGAAAATATCACTTAAACAATTCGATTTAATTAATTTCGATGTGTTTGGCTTGATTTAATGATGCCATTCGGCCGAAACTGTGATACTGTTGTAAGGGGTTTTAAATTCCTCTTAGCTACTAGTAAATTTAAGTATACAGGGTCGGTCATAAAGTTGTGTCACATCAAACTTTATTATTTTTAAATGAAACCCCCTGTATATTATTACATATTTCAATTCTTTCTTCAATTTTAAACAATAATCGTTATACACAATGTACATAAATTGGAGAATTGAAATGTTAAATGAAAATTTTGTAATTTCCAGACTTGCTATACTCTCATTTTATACATCTATAAATGCTAACTTGAGAACTAATGTCATATATTATTAAGTATCATAATTTCGGCAGAATGGCATCGTTAAATGAAACTGAACAAATCGAAATTAATTAAATCAAATTGTTTAAGTGATATTTTCAAAAGTCAATAACTCGGAAACGGTTGGTATGAGATACATTGTGTGTATTTCGATTTTTGCTTAGAATTGAAGGAAGAACCGAAATATGCAATAATATACAGGGGGTTCCATTTTAAAAAAAATGAAATTTTGATGTGCCACGACTTTATGAACGACCCTGTATACTTAAATTTATTACCCGCTAATAGATATTTATAAACCCTATAACTTTTATATTTAACTTTTTGCGGTATATCCTATATTTTACCTAATAATAGACCGTTTCCATACATAAAAGCGACCCTGTATAGTTCTACTCTTCAAATCGTTATTTCTCTTGTAAATTTAAGGTTGCGCGAAGTACTTGGGATTTGGAATTGAATATTTCCGCCCCACAAATTATCTTTGTAGAAGACTTTACCGACCAAAATTCCGCAATGGCGGTAATAGATTTTGGTAGATTACAACTCAGGAACAATACTACAAATACTATACCTCAATCAAAACCCGAATTTATAGCAAAAGAAAGCGAAGATGATGGTTAGAACATACACAACTTTTTTACAAACATTTTAAAAGCCTCTGTACATTTTTAGAAACATTCTTGACTCCTTGTTCTACACCTCCTGTCAGCGAGGAGAACAGTCCAGATTCTGAAGAACTAACGTTGGAACAAATATCGCAAATTGAAGACTTTTTCGATCATAAACTAAACGAGAGCAACTTGCACAATAAATTGTATGATTGTTATAGCTTAGAAATGAACGATATGCAAGTTTTGATTGGGAAAGCCAAGGAGAACTGGAGATATGCTTTAAATAAAGGTAAGCCAAGGTTTATAAGTTTTAAAAATGAATTAAATGCACTGTGATTATTTGGTTAGACTTTTACTAACCCTTCTTTATATACTAAGGTCTTTATTCAGTTTTGTGACGTAAATATACAAACCTTCTACTACTACTACTGCCATTACTCGCTGACGAGTATTTGACACGCATCAGAAGATGGTTACGCAAGTCGTTTTCTTTCATGAGCTTTTCTGTGACTGAAAAGCCCGATACGTGATGTTATCTCTCTTCCTCACTCCGGATATTCAAAAATCTCTTTACTTTGTTGCCTCTTTACTGTTTGGTTGTCGCTGTTAATTGAGTTTACAATTCTTCTTCATTACGTTCTAGTGTGCGCTGCTTCTTCCCACTGAATCTGCATGCTTTATCCCCTTTAAGTTTTCGTGGAAAATATCCTTGTACCTTTTGAGTTGTCCACCCGGTTTCCTCTTACCGTCAAAACACATATTACATATATAATAATGACGTAACATTGAACTATAATTGTACAAGCTGTATTTTAATTAAGAGTGATACATTGGGAGTGTGTGTGGAATTCTCTTATAGTTTGTCCAACGAGATTATCCATGACAGTGACAGTTGTATCTGCCATTTTAATTCACAAGTAAGTAATTTTTCGAATGATATCTGTCGAAATCTTCCGACTCGTTTGACAGACTTTATACTTTTACAAGAAACGCACCCTGTTAAAAACTATTTTGGACAAAAATTGACTAGAAAAACATTCTTTACTGGGGCCTCATATTTTAGTAGGTGATTCTTTTGCATACTTCAAAAAACTTGGTAACTTAGAACGATAATACTTTTGAATTTTTAATAAAATATTTGTCAAAAGTTTGTTTAAAACATGGTTAACATGATATAATTTTAGGTTCTTCAACTCTTCACGTGTTAGATAGGTTCAACATTTCTTTACAAATAGAACGAAGAGTAGTTCATACAGTTGATCCGCTATATCCAAGTTTGACACTTAATGCCAACTTACCAAAATTAGTATGTGAGTAAAACTTAAATATTTTTAAATCAACAGGTTGTCTTTAACCGATTTTTTTTAGTTCATTTGAACGAAAATAAAATTAACTCTGCCAGGAACTTAATCCATCTTATCGTCTCCAATGGATTACCCAGTCCTTTTAACAACCCTGAAAGTTTTAATGGAGATATAGCTAATGGAAAGGATGAAAACGAAGATAGTATCAGTTACGATACGAATTTTGAGATGTCCAGGTAGGAAAACTGATATTTTTGACGACGATACACATACAATGAGTTGGTATGCTTTAGGAAAATCAACAAAAGCTGGCATTCGTTAATAATAAAAATATTTGACAAATGCTCGGCACAATGTTGGCACGATCTTTTTTTACTTCGATTTTTGACGTTTTGAAATGTCAAATAAAATTCGTAATTTCAGAATATAATTGAAAATGACAAGTATCAAATTTCCAAAGAAAAATCTCATGAGCCGGCAACAGTTGCCTATATTCTCTATACGTATACCGTGCTGGCAACTCTTGCTTTTGGGTCGGTATTTACATGTGTGGCAGTAAATCGCATAGGGATCTTATTAAGTCGGAGTGAGAGAAATACGACGGTGTGCTGTTGCGACGTTGCCACATTTCTCCGGTACGCCTTTCCCTATCAAGTAAAGTAAAATCACGATTGCAAACCGCTTATTTTTAAAAGACTTTTTTTCGAAAAGATAAAGAAAGATAAGCATATAAGCATCTGAAAAAAAAGTTAAGCATCTGAAATGGAATTTTAAGGATATCGTTAGGGTGTCCATTTTTTTATAACGGGAAAACATCAGTAATCGCGATAATTTAAAAACTCAAATTTTAACACATAACACGCGATAACTCAAGAACCACTTTAGATATTGAAACTTTTTTGTTATTTTATAGTTCGGATTTTTACAAGATATTTAAATAAGAAATATTCGATAGGATTGTTTTTTTGTTATTCAAAAATTAAAAAAAAACACCCATAGCAATTTTCAGCAGTCGTGTAACTTTTTTATTTATAAAGATTTTTATATACTGTCTGCGAAGAAAATATAGCAGAAATATTTAGAAAGTTTTTGAAGAAAACTACAATTAATTATTTCTAATAGATTCCGAGATATCGGTTTTTGAGTTCTACTAGCGACCAAAAGTGCCAGTGTTTCTAACTTGCACTTAAAAATTTACAAGCTATAGGGAAATTACATCGACTCGTTAATAAATAAACAAATAAAGTATCATGAGACGTAATTAAATCATGACGCGCATGACGTCCACCCTTTCCTAGAATTTTAAGTACTGATTGGGTCGACCGGTCGACCGCGACGAATCAGCTATACCCCTTCCACGTCTCTTAGCAATGTGCACAGTTTGTTGGTTTATTTCATCCGGTTGGCAACGTTTTTACTGTTCTCTCTTTGTTCAGTACATTATATACTCTTCTTACATACGGAAATCCCGACCCAAAACTAATCTTTGCCAGTCCTTAGAAGAAGCATAGAGTATTAGAGCATACCAGTTTATAAGTGTATCGAGTCTTTTTACATGAAACGTAATGATATCTATGTGCTGTTGTAGACTATTGATGATGCAGTTCACGGTAGATCATATGTCCCTTGAGCTACAAAGTCGAGGTAGATCAGTAGCCGAGTTACAAGTTGCCGGAGTTAAAATTGCATTTGCCAAAAAACCTCTTGACATGAACATAACACTAACAGTTCACAGTCTGCTTTTAGTAGATGCCTTACAGAATTTTGGACCTGATTTTGAACTACTTGTAGCCAGTCATAAGCACGTTGGTATGATCTAAAAACAAAAAAATATTTTTTATATTTTTTTATGATGTTTTTGCAATAGGTATGGATTCAATGTCCGGTAGTCTCCGTGACAGTGACCCTACTTCCCCCACCTCTCCGGCTAGCCCAGATCCAAACGTCACACGTCAGAGTGCTACGTCACCGGTAGCTCTGACGCAGGCGCTGAGCACTCTGTCTAGCGATCCTCCAAAATGGCCTAGTGTGTTAAGAAATGGGTTATTTGTTGATACTGAGGCTTTGATTACTATTGAAATTTGTTTAGTATCTGGTCCTGATCCAATTCACATAGCTTCTATTCAGGTAAGTCTTGAATGGCAACAGTCTTTCAAATAATGTCTGTACCTTTGTGACGTGTAAAAAACTATTTGTTACACGTAAAAAATATTTTTTTTAGTTTATTACTTTTTTAGCATTTAAAACTACACTTTTTCAAACATGTCCTTCTTAAATCCTTCAACATAAATAAAGGAAATAAATTTAGATTGGAAACCCCGTCAAAATATATAACTTCTTTTCGGTCGCGACCGTTTTTTGAATAAGAAGACTAAGGAAGGATCATAATGCTAACCATGTATTCATGCATGGTGAGCGGAAAAAGGACTCTAGGGTGGGGATCCTTGACAGTTCTGTTTGACGATTCATTTGACACATTTGAATTTGATTTGAACTTTTGTGGATTTGTCAGTCTTTACGGAGCTTATTTTATGTTATTTATTATTTATTCTGCTACTGATAGTTGTATAAAGGTAGTAAATTTAGATGGAAATTGTGGCAGAACTTAAATTAACAGTGACACTATTGCGATTTATCGAATAAGACTCTAAAATAGTTGGTTGTGTAGCGTGCGGTAGATCTCGGCAAAAATCGAGTGAAATAATGGAACAACTTTTCGCTAGTAAGTGACTATATGTAGTAAACCGATCATTTATGAAATTCACTTAAATTAAGCATTTTTGCTTTTATTTACTACTTGTCAAAGATTAGATCTCAAAGAATTTAGATACGTCAATTTGACTTACCTGCTTCAGTAGCGTATCGGATGTTTGTGTTAATAAATAATCATTAAAACTTATCTATTTTTATTATAATAATATGTTTTTATAACAATTTTAATAACTACCAACATTTATTCACAACGTAAAATAAAAAAAATATTGAGTCTGCCCCACGTCGACCCTACATCATAGTTTTACATTTTTTAAATAAAATTAGAACGGCACTGATAAACCGGAATTTAAGTCGGCCATATTTGAGTGAATCCATCGCGTTGGACCTAAGATTTTTGATATGCTCCTTCCTTAGTCTTCTTATTCAAAGCGACCGTTGCACGCGATCTGGTGCTGCTATAGCGGTTGCTAAGAACAACCGCAAACAATAACAGAAAAAAAAGTTGTTTAAAGCGCCATTCTCAAAGTGATTATTGCTATATTGTGAGTTTAGTTTAAATTTTACTTACTCAAACCCGTGATAATAATAAACCCGCAAAAGTAGCATTAAAAACTGTGTTGTCAACTGTGAACTGCAAAAACCATTGTGGATCGTGGCATAACGTCGGTTTCCAAGTTTCATAGGTATTTCACATACATGTTCTTATATAAAATAAAGTTTCTTGTATGCAACACACTGTATTTTATTTACAAAATTAAAAGAAAATAATAATAAATTTGAATAAATAATATTTGGCGACATAATTCCGGAAATATCCGAACCGATCCGAAGTTATCAAAAGCTTTGGGTCGCGACCGTTGCAAGAATAGCGCCAAATAGTGTTTACATTGACCTTATGGGCACTTTCCAATCTAAACTTGTTTCATTTATCTATGTCCTTCAATTTTAATAGAAGTTTCACTTCAAATATGTGACTTACGCATAATTTTTTTTATAAAAGAAAGGTATTTTGATTTTTAAATGTTTTGATTTAGTATTTTCATTACCAGAAGATTCTAGTTTTGAATTTGTTATAAAAGTACACATTTTTTTCAGTTTAACAACTTAGATATCATAGCAAACCAGGAAACCATAGTAGAACTAGTAGGTTTCGTGAAAAGGGTATTCCCAAAATCGCAAAGAACGTCTAACGTAAACTTAACCTCTGTTATACCAAGCAGTGTCAGAGAATCAGCAGAATCATTAGAAGAAGATACTTCCACATCCAGTATAGGTAAATTACTTTTTAGATTTCCGTACCCAAAGGGTAAAAACGGGAACCCTATTACTAAGACTTCGCTGTCCGTCCGTCTGTCACAAAGGTCTATCTTATGAACCGTTATAGCTAGACAGTTGAAATTTTTACAGATAATGTATCTATGTTGCCGCTATAAGAACAAATACTAAAAACAGAATTAAATAAATGTTTATAAATAAAAAAGTACTTTCACTAAACGTTATCTTTTAAGTAAGAATTTTACATAGAATCTTTCAAGTCCTCGGTGGCCGCGTGGTTAAAGCGTTAGGACTTTACGCTGCTCTGACGTTGGAGCTGTAGTAAGGCAGGTTCGAATCCTAGTCAAGGTGACTTTTTTTTTAATAATTTTTTTTTAATTTTTACATATTTATTTTTACTTTTTACATATTTATTATTGATTAATACAATTTTTAGTAATGTGTTTCTTTATTTTTTTTAAATTACTTATACGCACATTCAAAATTTCAGCTAAATCGGAAAAAAAGTTTATAATAATATAGTGCCTAATGTTGTATAGATAATGAATGGTACGGAACCCTTCGTGCGCGAGTCCGACTCGCGCTTGACCAATTTTTTTTTATAAATTTCCAGTTTTGAAGGCAACATTATTTATTTTATTTTAGGTTCTACTGAGCTAATTTTTGACTTTCATCGTCTGAATGTTTTACTTCTCAGAGGAGTTATCAAAGATGGCGTGCTTTATGGAAAGAAAATTTGTACTGCTACGATGTCTGGAGCTAAAATCAACGCTACAGTAGCTGATAAATTGGAAGTTGAAGGGTCTTTAGGAGGTTTACAGGTATGTATTTTCGTAGTAGTTCTTCTAATAATAATATAAAACAATTTTAAAAACATAAAAAATACTGTTAAATCAGTGGCATTCTTTAATATATACTGCAAAGATGTTGATTTAAAAACAGATCCTTCTGTTAAAAATAAAAAATTAATAGTTTTAAAGGTATAAACGTATAGCAATATGCCCTAACATTGATGAAAATATTTGTAGTCAAGAGAAAAGGCAAACAATCTTAAGAAAAATGTTTCCATGTTGCAGGTACTAGATTTAACACCAGAGGGCCAGATGCACTCCAGAATCATTAGCGTAGGAAGAGACTTGTTATTAGAAACACCCCATCCTATCTACGCCATGTCTATACCACCAGATGATGACAGGAAAGCTTTCAGTTTCAAGATTGTCAGAAATCTGAACAAGGCTAAAATTGACGGCAAGGACAACGCAGATGTTACTATTAGAATGGCTTCTTTGTGGTACACTCATTCTCCCAAGTTTGTTGTTGAATTACAGAGCTGTGCCACAGAGTTCAAACAATACTTGTCCAACTTAGCAAAGTAAGTAAATTTAGTTTATTTGTATCAATAAGATTTAAGATAAGTTATATAGTGACTTTTTGTTTAATCTATACTGCAGAGGCCACATTGTTCTCTATTGTTGGCTATGCGAGTCCAAGTTATTCCTGTAATTTCTTAATATAGGTCTCTAAATTCAACACAATTACAAATGTAAATGACCCTTAAACTAATCTCTCCACAGAAGTGAAACAGTACCCTACATAATATGTAATATTCCATTACTTGTTTTTTTTTTCAGGTCTATTCGAATGGCAGCTACGGATATGGCTTTGGGTCTTGTCCACGCTCGAGCTGAAGCCTTAGCTCAGTCTTTGAGTATGAATAAGCGCCTTCCTAGTTCAATTTACGGCAGCGCGTTGTCTTTTACGGACAGCGGTTCACCGGGTAGACGTAGGAGGCGGAGTAGTTCAAATGAACCGAGCGGTTTCGTGTCTGCCAGGGATACGATACCGCAGACACCTTATAGTCCGGTTGATGACGATGATTTTGTGATAGGTAGATTAACAACTTATTACTATAATTTATATATGAGGGGTTCAAAAGTGAACTGGATAAAGTCCTAGAAGAGAAAATGAGAGTTAAAGGTTTTCAATGTTACTTAATTAAAATAAAACAAGCTGGAGAAGAAAACTGGACACAATGCTTTATTATATTTTAAATTGAATAATTGCAAACTAAAGTAACTCAAAATACAACTGTGGTCATTTTTAAGAATTTTGGTTTATACTTTTTTGGACTTGAACCATTTTATCTCTGAAAATATTTGAAAATTTAGATATAAATTGGTTCATCGGTACATTCTTCTTTGTCATTAAGGGATTTATTGACTTCACATTGTCTATTAATAGTGTTTTTTTTTCGATTTTTATAAAAATTATGGTATACAGACCGGACCACCGTAGTAGTAACATAGGCAGAACCGGACGAATTAGCGTATACCCGTCTGCCGGATAAAAAGCAGGCGAAATAATGCGATAAAATAAAAATAGGTCGATATGTGATAAGAATGTTTCAGAATTTTTATTTATTCGTGTTTTAATAGCCAAAACGAATACATAGATTCTCGCGACAGTTCTTGTGTAAAATTTATTTTTTAAGTAAAATAAAATGGTATTTCCAAAATAGGTCTTATCGGGATATACAAACAATTTTTCCACAAACTCTTGTAGACAGGCCAATTCTATCTCTACCTACTGTATCAAGAGTTATTAATAATTTTGAAACACACGGGTGCGTGTTCCCACAAAAACAAAAAATGCCTGATGTGTTGATTAATGAAGAACAGGAGTTAAAGCAAGTGTTCATTTGTGCTACCGCGGATCAAAATCCCACGTTTTCAAGTAATCAAATTGCTGAGATGGTTGTCCTGCCCACAATGCCCGTATTGTTCACGAATATTTGAACAATACTTTTCCCAACCGTTTAATTAGTGGACATGGAACTATTTTGTGGCCCGCTAGATCACCAGATCTTTCTCCCAATGACTTATTTTTGTGGGGTTATGTAAAATCTAAAGTGTATGGTCATAATAGGGCTAATAATCCGGATGAGCTTCAAGTAAAAATATGAGAGGCTTTTCTATTAACCCTAATATGTTAGTCAATGTCAGACGAATTTTACGACCGCCTGGGCTTCTGTCTAGCACAAGAAGATGGTCTTTTTGAACACTTGTTATAATTTTTTTTATTTAGAGTAATATTTTAGTTTTTTTTGGGTTTAGAGAATTTATTTATTTTTAGTTTTGGCTTGTAAACACACTCAAATAATAAATATTTACTTATTTTCATTTCAAATGTGACCTTAAGTGAAGGTAAACACTTAAAATGAAAATAATAAATACTCGGCACTCCTCGAGTCGTATTCCTAGTCTGTCATGACCGCCCCGTCCAAGCACAACTGCAACTGCGTACTGCCTGACCAGCCGACCAGCCGGCAGTGACTCTCGAGTACGAACGCAAAACGGGTAAACGTAAATTCGTCCGGCAACTTGCTATGTTACTAGTAGCCTGGTCTTCTCTGTATAGGCGAGATAAAGAGAAGAAGATCTTTCATTCTTCGCCTTCTAGAGTGTGTTTACATTACGTCTATATGAAATGATAAGATTTTTCTTCCTCGTGCAGTTTTATTCAGATCAACAACATGTCAGATAAGTATTTGTAAGAAATTAAGTATTTGTAAGAAATTAAGTATTTGTAAGAAAAACAGCCTAACTTATGCAGTAATAGTGACAATAATGATAAATCAAACTATACTTTAAGAGTCGATAGAATCAAACCTTTCAGATGGCTGATAATCTGGTTCATTGCAAATGGTTCATTGCTTTGTTTCATTTGCTGTCCTCCTTTCACGCAGTTGAGCAGCTCTGAACTCTTCAAGAACGCGATACTCTCACTCCATTCAATTGAGTCATAAAGTTCCAGAACTGTTCCGCGCCGTATGGAGGCACCAGGCTATCGCTCACCGTTCCTTTTAGAACCGTTCTCGAGTAGCCCCAGGGCGTTAAGCCCGGAACTCGAAGTTCGCGAACGGAGGACAGCAATTGCCATCCACTTTATCAAAAAAATATTTTTTTAGCTCTAAACTTTAGCACGTTTGTTAAAATCGCGCACAGCGATGTATATTTTATGGATTTGATCCATTTCACTTCTGAAAGTAATCAACAGAATATTCAGAAACCAAACAGAAACAGGCTATAGCTGCTTAATGCGTGAAGTATGACTTTATTTCTCTACTAGAAAAAACAATATTTTATAAACGTATAAAAACGATTATCTTAAAATAGTAGGAAATTGGACTTGATCCGTTTTAATTCTGACCACTCAATGTATGAAGTGAATAAACTGATATAATTTTTTTTAGATGTTAATTTAGATATTGAACTGGACAGTCCCGTTTTGGTTTTACCTAGATCCCATGCCAGTACAGAGGTTTTTGTAGCTCATTTAGGTAAAATCAAGATAACTAACAGTTACAGCAATTCCAGCGATAGTATTAACGATGGATATTTCTATGATCCGTCTGAGAGTAGGAAAGAACATTACGATTTTGAGGTAAGAAAATTGCATTTTTTCAAAAAATCATGATTATGAAAAAATTGTAATTACTAGGTTAGAGATATGAATATATATTCGTTGAATATCAGTTCGAGAAGAGTTCCTGGTCCAATGATAAGCAAGCCTGAGATTTTATATAGCTGTAAAAATTTAGCCAAACCTATTCTGCATGACACCATGCTTCAATTGAATATAGATAGAGAAATAAGAAAATATAGTAAAGGAAAAATGGATGAGAGTATTATTTTTAGACAACGAAGAAGATTATGATGCATTATTAGAGAAGGTATATTTGAATTTTTTTATTAATATACAGGGTGGTTCGAACTGTATTTCGAAACTTCGGCAGCATGTTCTGCAGATAAAAATATGTAAAAATGTTCTTATAAATTTATGTCCTAAAATGCTTAGTTTTAGGTATTATTTTTTATTTCGATTTTTTCCAAATAATTTATGAAGTAACGGGCGCCACCTACATGTGTTTTTAACTGTTTTGAAGAGTAATAACTTTGCCCGTATCTGTATAAATCTACAGAGTGAAAAAAATATACATTTCTAACCTAACCTAACTGTTCTCAAGACATTTAGAATAGAAATAGTCAATACATGTCATTATTGACAAAAAAATAAACACGTTGATAGTTATTTGACTGAAATAATTTGGGAAATTTTTAATTTTTTAAATTAATCATAAATTTTTCTGCGAAAAAATGATGACAAAACAGTTTCTGTTGAACTTTTGGCACAAACACATTTCAAATTTATGATTTCAGTCTAATAACTATTTAGTCAACATGTTTAATCTATGTCAATGATGATAGGTATTAATAATTTCGATTCCAAATATCTCGAGAAACGAGAGTATATACATTTGCGCGTAAAAACGTCGCAAATGTATATTTTTTTCCTCAGTAGTTTTATACAGATACGGACGAAAAGTTATTACTCTACAAACCAGTTAAAAAATATGTAGGTGGCGCCCTCTATATGTAGGAGTTACATTGACATCAAAATCAAATTTTTCATGTCAAAAAACTTCCAGACACCAATTTTCATCGAAATATTGACGTTACTAATAAATTATTTGGAAAAAATCGAAATAAAAATAGAAAGACAGAAAAGAAATTTCTACACCCTGTATCTCCGAAACTTAGCATTTTAGAACATTTATACAAACTTTTTTACTTATTTTCATCTGCAGAATATGCTGAGGAATTTTCCGGAATATAGTTCGGACCACCCTGTATAACATATTTTATTAATAATTTTAGCCGCCTAACGTTATTGAAGTGTCGGGAAGTATAGTGACAGCTTTAAAAGTGTCATTGTCAAGGTCGCAGTATGAACAGGTTTTGGATACAGTACAGTGGCTTACTTCCTCCCCTACTTTGAATGATTCACAGGGTGTTTCTAGGACTAATATCAGGTCTCAGCCGATACTTAGCGATATTACAGAGGAAGATACGGGTAAATTATTCGTAAATATTCGAACAATTATTTTTTTTTCTTACCGAGAATGACATTAAAATAATTCCAAGATATTTGGATGTATGTATCTCTGGAATAAATTATATATTTTTAGGTGTAACGACACTGAATATGGATCCCCACATCAGAGCAAAACTCTTCTCCCCTAGCTCCACCTCTTTACAAAAAAATACGAAAAACACATCACAAAATATTAATCTTTTAATAAAAGTAAACTTTGAACTGCCCATATTTACCATAGAACTGAGAGGTGATGGGCCCAACGGAGAGCAAGGATTGGTCGATTTAAGTTTTCAGGATTTTAAATTTAACTACGAAAAATCTCACAAATACGAGACAAACGTCTTGATATCTCTGAGGTCGATTTTTATGGAGGATTTGCTTCAACCCGAAGGATCAAGGTATTGTTACGTTTTTCGTCGGTTCCGTGTGGATAGAAAGTCACAATATATTTAAACACTATTTATTTAACACTAATTAACAAAAACAGTAACGATAAAAGACTTATAGAACTATTTACAAACGATTTATAACTAAGAATTTATTTTGAATTTTTGCGCGTCAACTGCCCTCTTTAGGCCACAGCCGCCGGCTTTTGTTCCTACAGCTAAAGGTCTCTAGAATAGTCCATAGATCGTTAGGTGCATAGAAAAGGTTTTGAATGTTCTCGTATGTACTACTCCATTCCAGTGGGACTCGATTCTTCTCTCGAATCTTCGAATGAATCATTACGGTGTCTATTCTTTAATGCGATGTTAAGGTCATCCGAGGGCGGGCCATATAGTTAGGTTAGGTCGAGTCCACACCGGTCCGCAACACTGCCCCTGAATGAAGGTATTTGCAAAGCTGGCCCCTGGTACATTGCGAAGTCTGGTAGAAATAGCAGTCTACAGTTTTCTCTCCCGATCTCAGCTTTGGGTTGTAGCAGCAAACAAGGATCTAGGATTCCCGTAAATCTGAACAAGACTTCAATCATGTTCCGGATTGTACGCCAACTCAAACCATCGAGTCCTCATGCCAGCTTCGGAATGGCTAATCGTGCAATGTTGTTGTTTAGCAGGGCTTCTCTCAGTTCAATCAGGGTTTTCCATAGATTGAGATAAGTCGGCTTACTCGGGGACCATTTCTTGGTGACCAGGTAAAAGATGTGTCTTGCTTGACCATGTGCATTGTCGGTTAGCCTCAAGACGCATCCAACCTCTGGATCCTGTCGGCGTAGTTCTCCGACACGCCCAAACTTCTCATTGAATGTCGCAGCGATTCCTCTGGACATCCGCAAATCTCGGGCCATACAATGAGCGAGCGAATAATCAGGCACGGAAAAGAGGTGTCGTTGATCTTCTTTGGTTACACCATAGCGAGCCTTCTCACTGCTGTTGTATCGGGCCATGAAATCGTCAAAGGACATCTCCGAATCAGGGGGATCAAAGCTGCAGGTTCTCACGGTCCCAGCACGATCTTCTATTTCGCCTTGGTAGGGGCTCAAACGGTTGAAATGGACTACCCTCGGTTTTCCTTTTGGCAATTTTCTGATACGGTATACGACGTCATTAATCCTATCCATGACTTCGTATGGCCCTTCCCACGAGGATTGTAGCTTCGGAGATAACCCACGACGTCTCTGCGGGTTGTATAGCCACACCAACTTCCCTGGTTGGTGTCCTCCATGCTCAGCTTGAATGTCGTAGTGTTCCTTCATTCGGTCACTAGCACTTTGAATATTTAGGCGGACTCGCTGATGGATGTCGTTAGGCCAGAAATGCCAACCCAAATATATTCTTTATGAAATACAAAGCGGCTTACCAACATTATTATCCCTTTACTAACACCTTTGGTGTATAAATAACTATTATTTACTTTAATAAAGTATTTTTTAGGCAACGTTCCATGGTTATATCTTCAAACGGATCGGATCCACCACCAAACACGACTTGCGTGTCAAGATCCTGCCCTGATATAACCTCACATCCTCACATTTCCGGTGTGATGCATGGATCTTTGCCCGATCACTTAGAAACGGGCAACGTCTTCGGGACGGTGCATATTCCCCAAAAAAATACAGAGTAAGTATCATATTATAACTGTGTAATTTTAATTATATAAAAGACACATTTACCGATACTTTTTGCTTTGAAAATTTAGGTGATTAAAAACCATATTTTTAGGAATTTCAGACCTGAAACATCTAATTATCCATCAACACCACCTCCAAGCCCCACTCATGGTCGTACGAGACTAGAAAAGAATCTTGTTCTTGTTTCTTCAATTATCGTGGATCCAGCTGCACCAAATTTCGACACCCAGTATAATTCCACCCACCGATCGACATCTGTGGACTTCAGTTGTCTGGATTTGGTGATAAGCGTTCCGTCTTGGGTTGTGGTTATAGATTTTTTTAGTGGTTCCAATTCATCCAGCAAATATTCTTCTAACACTAATCTGAGCAGCAGCACTGAAGAGAGAAAAGCAAGTTTAGAAAATAAACATAAAGTAAGTATACTCTTTTTTCTTCTAATGGTTTTAACTATTCTTTATTTCTTTTTTTCAGGCCTTGACAGATATTACAGTGTGCTCTCTGACAGTGGTTTTAGTCAAGCCAGACATGGAAATAGCCAGAGCGAACATATCCAGCGTTGAAATTCTAATAAACACTCGAGGATTATACAAAGAAGTCACTGGAAAATTAGGTTCTATGTCGCTGTTAGACATGACATTACACGGTCAAATCTATCGTGAAAGGTTCCTTACATCTGGGAAAGAAGCTTTTGCAGTTTCAATATATACGGTATAATATAAAGATTTATTCTTTAAACAGGGTAGGAATTAAAAATATGATTGTTGCAGGCATGCCAAGCGCTGAAAAAGAATATGATGCGCTATTGAAGTTGGATATGGCGTCAGTTATGTACGTTCACACTAAGCGGTTTGTAGCGGAAATACAGGCGTTTTTTAACAAGTTTATTGAAAGGCAGGCAACAGTGATGAAGGGTATACATGCAGCTACCAGTGGAAAATTAGTAAGTACTGAAACAATTTAGACACTTTGATTCAAACAAATTATAATTATAATGGTTCAACACACTGCTCACAATAGAAAATTATTTTTTGTAGGTTTCAAGTGAACCTTTCCGGTTGTCACTCAATCTCAAGGTTGGTTATCCAATAATCCTACTTCCTGTAAGCTCAAAATCTACCAGTTTACTCATCATTGACCTAGGACAACTCGTGATCACAAACACTTTCAAACTTTCTGGTGACGAAGGCACTATAAGCGTCTTATCCGATACAGAATCCAAAAAGAAGTGTCTCCTTGAGGTGATGCACATTGACTTAGAAAACATGGACCTGTACACAGGTATCAAAGAGAGTGAACTCAGTCCTTTAAAGAAATCTTCAGATAACAGCTTTAAATTTGGTTCGTCGTTTATTATGAGAAAAGGACCGTCTTTGTTAACGAAAAAGTTTGAACTAAAACTTCAGTATGAAAGGAACTTGTACAAAAACTTCTGTCACATCGTTGCTGATTCGAGTATATATGGAAATTTGTCTACTCTAGACGGAGCATTGGACTTACAACAGTACAAATTAATAAGAGGTTTATTGACTTATAATTTGGGTGAAGATACGGAAAGAATATTTCCTTCGGTCTATTTGAGGAGTGCTAGCATTGAGGTTATTGTTTTAATAGTATACATTTAACTCGAATTAAAAGAAAATAACATTACATTTGCATTTTTTGAACTACTCAATCGAATTTAATTATATTTTTTGGTCTTGGCTTGCAGAAGCAATCTAATATTTTTCGTTTGAGCCAAAGCTTTACCTTACACAATGTTAAATGTTTGGTTTAAACGAAATGTTATGTGTAAAAACATGCCATTTAAATCAATAGAGATAATATGAATTACTGGATTTAGGTTTATTTTAATAAATATTTGTTAATTTTGACGACAAATTTATCAATATATTATACTTTATATATTTTAGATGGAATCCAGAGAAGAATGGATTATATCATCCATAAAATTGAGCATGCAAAACGTTTCTTTACGTCTGGTAATGTCTCATGGATACCACTCACCATTAACATGTATCAATTTTATAAAATCTCATTTAACAGTTGAGACATTCAGTAATCTAAGTCAAGATGTTGACCTAGTTTCACAAGAAATTCTAGTTCTTGGTAAAATAAATCGAATACCAAACGTTATTTTGATAATACGCTTTTTCTTACAGATACAAGGTTTGAAGGTTCAGAACACGAGTCTAAAAACAATAATAACGTATTTACGAATATCCTGCAGCCTATAAAGAACTCTACAGGGTCCAGTGATCTTGTCCAAGCCGAAATACACAGCAGGAGACGGCAGGATCACATAAAAGTGACGATTTTACTGAATAACATGAGGTAAACGAAAGTAGTTCAAATGTACCGTTCTATATAATTCAATATTTCGATTGTTTTAGACTGATGGCGATATTTGATTGGTGGGAATCAGTGAGGGAGTTTATTTTCCAGGAGTTTGAGATTATTTATACCAGTCCTGAGCATCAGAAAATAACGAAAACTCTGAGTACTGGTCGAGATATTTCTTTTGAACTTAAACTAAACGTTACCGATTCTGAACTGGTAGTTGTTGAAGATTCATCTCAGTGGGATAGTAACGCAGTTATTTTAAAGGTAAAGCAATTTGAAAACACTAAATGTATTATGATACTGAGTGTTTTTTTTAGAGTACGACAGTGGTAAAATACCGACCAAACCATTTAGAAAAGCCGTTGTCCTGTAGCTTAAATAACTGTGAAATGTTTTCGTGTATATTGGGAATTGAAGATGAAACAGCCTTATCTATTATTGACCCGATCACTCTGAACATTGAAGTGGTTAAAGATGGTCTTATGGAAATACAGTTACAGTTTTTGACAGTTCGATTGTCTTACCATGACATGTGCATGTTCAAGTATGTTTATAACAGATAAAACATGTAATATACATTGACAAGATTTTCTCCTGATTATTGTTTCAAAGTTATAGTATCACCCTGTAGATAGTTTTCTAATAATTTATAAATTTTCTAGACAAATGTTGGACTCTTTACCAAAACAATTCATGACTGGACAGGAAAAAGAAATAGAAGAATCTCCTAAATTAAGAAATAAATTAAAGGTATTAATGGCGCTGGGTTTTAGCAACGAAGATTGTTTGAAAGCCTTGGAAATATGTGAAAATAGACTGGACGACGCAGCAATTTGGCTGACTCAGCATGCCAAAGTTAATTATAACATTAAACAGAAGAAAACTTTAGATATAAAAACCATTGAAGTAAGGACACACAATTATTGCACTTCTAGATGTTGTCTGTCAAAAGCATCTTTCTCCTTTGACAGACAGTTATTATATCATGTGAAATTCAACTAATCTGAACTTAGCAAACAAGAAAAAAAATATATAAATAACAGAAACCCGTTATTTTTAAATAATAGTAACAGTTCCAATACCAAATGTTATTTAGGAACAACAGCTGAGACTGTTATTTCTATAAAATATTGTTTTTAGATAACTTTTTGCTTCCCTTTAGTATCAATGCAGTTGTATGTGTATTGTGACTATTTGAAACACTTTTTGCATTGTATTAAATAATATTTGTTTTATTTTTATTTTTAGCTTAAAGCTAGTTGTATTTCCATCTGTATCATCGACGATTGTGGTGATTCTGATGTGCCCTTAATAGAACTATTGTTCTCTGATTTGGAATTCGTACAAACGTTGCCTGATATAAATTTTACAAATCCGGTTGGTTCTAATGGTTATATACACTGTTCTCTGGCTAGCGATTATTACAACAGGGTTCTTTCTGGATGGGAACCAATCATTGAACCTTGGATGTAAGTAAAATAAATATAAAACAGTAATTCAGAAAAAGTGTTTTTCTTTTATTATTTAGTTATCAAAAAAATATGTTGTACTTGGAAGTGTACACTTGAATGCTACCATATGAATGTACTTTACTTGTATCGTATTATCTGTTTTATCCAAGTTAAGTTGGAAGGCTTTATAACATACAAGTATACAGTATGGCTGCGTCCAAGTACACTTGGACCATGTCAACCAGGCTTAACCCACAACAAACAATTATTATAGTAACCACTGTATAATATTACTATTTTTTTCACAATTTTAGCTGTAAAATATCATGGGAGAAAAACATGCCACAAATGTTAAAGACCCGCCTCAAGCTAAAGGTCCAATCAGATCACACGTTAAACTTCAACATGACCTCCACCTTTATGGACTTGTACAGACAAGTTAAAGAAAACTGGATTAATGATTTCATGAAGAAGTCCAGTGTCGCGCAGAAAGGCACAATGAGTTTCAGAAGAAGGTCTCCTTTTATACCTTTTGCTTTAAAGAACGACACGGGTAGCAGTTTGAAGTTTACCTTGCTCTTGAGCAACTTGAATACTCCAAAACCTCTGATACCGAATAATGAGGATAACTGGATTATTGCGGAAGCTGGGGACACGATACCGTTTTCTTTTACTAACAGAGGTATGTTAAGAGGACACCTTAAAATTTTTATATATTTTAAAGTTCAATATACAAGGTGTTTTTTCAAAGTGTTTCCCTTATAACTTTCTTATTTTTTCAGATAAAAAAACGAGATTTGGTATGTATGTATATGACAAATCAGGATTGATTGACGTATTCAATTATTAGTTTTGGTCATCTACTGTTTCACCGGAAATTACTACAAATTTTGATTTTTAAATAGAACTCTCGATATTTTTTATTTTATTCGATAGAAAATGACATTCTGAATAGAATGACATTTTAAACGTCAACCTTTGACATATTTGCTTAAAAAATAGTATTTTAAAGTGCCATCTAAAGTGCCATGACTGTGATAAAACTACTAATTTTTAATTTCAGTCATTTCCGGTGAAACAGGAAGTGACCGAAAAGAATTGAGATCAATCCAAATTTATGTCCTATACTAACATACTAATTATCGTTTTTTTGTTTGAGAAAACATATTTTTTTTTTGTATTTTCATAGATAAATCAAGGTATCAAAATTCTCATAAATTGGAGCTGCACTATTTGACAGTCAAAATAGATGGATGGCACCCAGTTGAACCTATAACTATCGATAAAGTTGGCACGTATTTTAGGGATACTCCAGCAGATGTTCTTAATAGGGTATGTTTGATACTTCGATATAAAGAGTGTTTCATAAAAATCGTTCATTAAATGATGATTCTTTGATTTTATACAACGTTGAACTATGGTATATTATTTTTGAAATAAACCAATAAAACTGCGTATAAACAATGACACTTAATTTGTGCATGTAAATCCACAGTTTGTCCACATTATTCTTTGTAAATCTTAATATATTTCTGTAGAATATCGATATTCCACCTGGCAGAGTTGTTTTCGATGTGGCCTTGGAAGGATCAGCAAGAAAATTAGTTACAGTGAGGTCCGGACTAAGAATTACCAATAATTTACCTCACGCCATCGAAATGAAGTTGGAAAGTAGATTACCTCATGATTTCATTCCATTATGGGTAAGTATACGCGATCTCATCATATTGTTACGGATTCCGTGGGTCCACTAATTTAAACTCACGATAAAATACTTAACGAATTTATTTTCTCACTTTATACACAATTACTAACTTATAACACACAACAAACTAACTATTTATAAGATTCTTTCACCAAATTGTCCGATTTTCAATTTCCACGCGGTATATTCAAATTTCAAAAACTGTCTCAGTTGTCGATGGCTCCGGCTTATATACTCTAGCTGCGTTCGACATTACAAATCGCAGATGAGGGCGGGCAGAGGCCGAGTTAAATCACGTGATTGCGGAGTACGGAGCAGTGACGGAAGACGAACGTTTTCGAGCTGTCAGAGCCTTCTGTTCAAAAAAAAAAAAAATACTATAAATATAACCTATTTTCTGTGTGGTTCGGTGATATAACTTCAATTAAGAAAAAAGAAAAAGACTTTCCATTTAAATCTGCCTAAAATGGATATAAACACAGACCAGGCAATAGGTCTGATGTTAAATTTTGCGAACAGTATATTTTTTGACAGCAGTGATAGTGAAACAGAAGTAGAAAGAGCTCCAAGGGTACAACAATATGCTGAAGAAATTGTGCCACGACTTTCAGATAAAACATTTAAATCTCATTTTAAAATAAACCTTTGTACATTTGAAGACTTACTTGGCAAGTTATATAGCGTTTCTGACTCCACAGTTCATTGTGGAACAGTGCCTGTGCCACTTGATAAGCAACTTATGGTTACAATTTGGTGTTTGGCAAACTTAGAGTGTTTTCGGTGAGTTCTATTCTCAGAGTTATATCAGAGGCAATATGCAACTTTTATTAACCATGGTAAAATTCAAACCTTGTTTTAGATCTGTAGCTGATCGTTTTGGGATCAGTAGGAGTACTTGTTGGAGCATTTTATACAGAGTTTGTAATCTACTGCTAAAAGTAAATAAGAAATTTAAAATTATTTCTTGGCCAAGTCAAGTAAGGGCAGAAGAAATTGAAAGGGAGTTTAGGGCCATTAATGGATTTCCAGGTAATGTTAATTTCTGTTACAAATAAGCATTTGTGAAAAAATGAAATATCATTTTTAAGGTGTTACTTTTTACCACACTGTCTAATACACATAAAAAATTCAGTTTTTTAGTTTTTGGAGCAATTATTATTAATCAACGCAAACAGTCAATCAATGTAGTTTGAATACTGGAATCATATTAATTGGTCCTCTTTAACAAATATTTAAACAGTTTTTTTTTTTATTTTTTAATGAAGTAAACAAACTACATCGACAATATTAGTATCTGTACTCTTTAAAAATTTGGTACATCTTTAAAAATAATCTCCATGGGTATATTGATAAATGAATTTAAAATTACAAGAAAATGCATTTTCTACAGAAACTTGAAGTTATAGGTAAAAAATGGTATAATACAATTTGATAGACAATTAAATTGTGCATCTGATTCTCATAAAATATACAGGGTGTTCCGTTTAAATTAAACAAATTATTGCCGTTTAAAGCTAGTAATTGTTTAAAATAAAATTTTAGACACTCTGTATAAGGTAGTATAATTTTAATTATTGCAACACAATAACTCATCAATAAATAAACTTCAGTAAATATTTAGTATTAAAAACTTTGATATTCTTGGAGAAATGAAGCCTTAAAATTTTGACTGCAATTTCACAAAATTGAAAATATTTCAAAAACTGTAAGGTTTAAGTGTAATAAACCTTTATCAAATTTACCTTTATTTTAATCGTAGAAACTAAAAATGTAATAATATACAAGGTGATCCATTTAAAAAAATACAACTTTGATATTTTTTATTTATTTGGGACACTCTGTATCTTGTAAAAATATTTTTAAATTGTAGCTCTAATAGTCCTTCAACGAACCCAAAATTTACAATTTTTAAAAATCTAATCGTTTAGCTACAATACTCCGTGTCGTCTGTGGTCAACAACCCTGTATATCGAGAATCTATGGTTACTCTCGTTGAATTTGACACTTTATGCCAGTTTAATAATATATTTTCGTACTTTTATGCTAGGCATAAAAGTGCTTTACTCTTATGCCTAGGCGTTAAGATGACTTTTTTATATTGTCAATCACGTCGCAAAAGTTAATACTTTTATGACGTTTGAAAAATATGTACTTTTTTTGTACGTTTTGTACTCAACCTCACCACAAAAAGTATCATTTTTACTCCTAATAAAACAATATACAATTTTTTCATAATTTTAGCTGTAAAATATCGTGGGAGAAAAACATGCCACAAATGTTAAAGACCCGCCTCAAGCTAAAGGTCCAATCAGATCACACGTTAAACTTCAACATGACCTCCACCTTTATGGACTTGTACAGACAAGTTAAAGAAAACTGGATTAATGATTTCATGAAGAAGTCCAGTGTCGCGCAGAAAGGCACAATGAGTTTCAGAAGAAGGTCTCCTTTTATACCTTTTGCTTTAAAGAACGACACGGGTAGCAGTTTGAAGTTTACCTTGCTCTTGAGCAACTTGAATACTCCAAAACCTCTGATACCGAATAATGAGGATAACTGGATTATTGCGGAAGCTGGGGACACGATACCGTTTTCTTTTACTAACAGAGGTATGTTAAGAGGACACCTTAAAATTTTTTATATATTTTAAAGTTCAATATACAAGGTGTTTTTTTCAAAGTGTTTCCTTTATAACTTTCTTATTTTTTCAGATAAAAAAACGAGATTTGGTATGTATGTATATGACAAATCAGGATTGATTGACGTATTCAATTATTAGTTTTGGTCATCTACTGTTTCACCGGAAATTACTACAAATTTTGATTTTTAAATAGAACTCTCGATATTTTTTTTATTTTATTCGATAGAAAATGACATTCTGAATAGAATGACATTTTAAATGTCAACCTTTGACATATTTGCTTAAAAAATAGTATTTTAAAGTGCCATCTAAAGTGCCATGACTGTGATAAAACTACTAATTTTTAATTTCAGTCATTTCCGGTGAAACAGGAAGTGACCGAAAAGAATTGAGATCAATCCAAATTTATGTCGTCTACTAACATACTAATTATCATTTTTTTTGTTTGAGAAAACAGATTTTTTTTGTATTTTTACAGATAAATCAAGGTATCAAAATTCTCATAAATTGGAACTGCACTATTTGACAGTCAAAATAGATGGATGGCACCCAGTTGAACCTATAACTATTGATAAAGTTGGCACGTATTTTAGGGATACTCCAGCTGATGTTCTTAATAGGGTAAGTCTGATACTTCGATATAAAGGGTGTTTCATACAAACCATTCATCAAATGATGATTCGTTGATTCGATTAGACAACGTTGAACTGTGGTATGTTATTTTTGAAATAAACCAATAAAACTGCGTAAAAACAATGACGCTTCATTGGTTCATGTAAATCCATAGTTCGTCTACATGATTCTTTGTAAATCTTAATATATTTCTGTAGAATATCGATATTCCACCTGGCAGAGTTGTTTTCGATGTGGCCTTGGAAGGATCAGCAAGAAAATTAGTTACAGTGAGGTCCGGACTAAGAATTACCAATAATTTACCTCACGCCATCGAAATGAAGTTGGAAAGTAGATTACCTCACGATTTCATTCCATTATGGGTAAATATAAGCAACCTCATCATATTTTATGATATACTTTGTTTTTTTTTAGTTACCAACAAAAAATTGTACACTAGAACCTAAAGGGTGTCTGGCTTTACCTATAGCGCATGCCCATTCTTTGATAAACATTAGACCAACAGGACTAGCTCATCAATATACGTTTTCTAATACTACCCTGATGTGGAACGAATCTTTGAGTAGTCAAAGAATACAAAGTGGAGCCTGTCATACACACAAGGGAGACAACTACAGGTTATAATTTAAACATTAAATCTGTGGTTATAGATTATATCTTGTTAAGCATAAAGTCTGTCCAACGAGTCAGGAAACATTTTGACAGATGACAGTCCGTAACTGTCATTTTACGACGTCATCTGTCAAAAATTACTGTCAGTCGTGTATTCTTTCGATGGAAAGACTTTGTAACAATTTATTCTTGCTGACCAGAGAAAATCTTCAGTTTTTAATGTTCATTTCATTTAATATTCTAGATTTTGCGCTCAATCGTTGCGGGAAAAAGTCTTGGTTGAAAGAAACATGAAAATTGAACAGCCTATGCACCAGATTGTTTTAATGCCACCACTGATGTTGGTGAATCTTTTACCACTAGATTTACAGTATGCATTAGCTGGAGATAGCAATGTTATTAAACCAGGATGTAGCGCAGCATTGACACATGTAACTCCTATTGAAAATGAAACATTCTTTGTTTTGATTGAGTATAATTTTTAGGTTGATCTAGAGCAAGATATGTATTTAGAAATTAGGTTGGAAAATTTCAAGATGAGTAGTCATTTTGTTATAGTCCCGGGAATAACGCAACAAGCCTATAAAATCAAATTGGAGGATTCTAAACAAAGAAAATTGTATCTAACAGCTGAAGTTTCATTAAATAGGGACGCAAAGATCAAGGTATATCTTATAAATTTTTATACAAACATGTTAAATAAAAAAGAATTACCTTATATTTTTATAACTAAGTTAGTCGCGATATATAAGCGATATATTTTTTTAGATATCCATTCTGGCCTCGTATTGGATTGTAAATAGAACAGGACTTCCGATCGTTTTTAAACAGTCGGGAACCTCCATGGAAGCTGCAGGACAGTTTGATGAGCACGAGCAAGCCAGAATGGTCTCGCCTTTGCTTTTTAGTTTTTTGGAACACGATACTAGTCAAACCATAAATGCTAGAGTCGGTAAAAGAGTCGTCTGGGATGGGACACCACAAGTAAGTGTCATATTCGAAGAATATTTGCAGATAAAGCATTTTTTAAATGTGGTACATTTGAACTACTAGGCTTGAAGTATTTTCTACATTAGTTTGTCACTGCCATATCTTCTGTCTTTAGAAAGACTATTTCTAATAATACACTCACCGGCAAAAAAAAAACGGCCACTAAAAACTAGTCCCAATTTCAAAGTCGGATTTCTCGCGAACCACTCATTAGATTTTGATGATTTTTTTTTTAAATTGTAAATTAATTTCTTCTTAACGGATGCTACGTCAGAAATTTTGATTCCGAATTTATTTTGAGCATATATATATTTACTACCGCTGCTGCACCCTACAGGGTGTTACAAAGTTCGGGCAAAAAACTTCGTCTTATTGTTGTGCTCTGTATATCCTCAAAATAAATTCGGAATAAAAATTTCTGACGTAGCATCCGTTAAGAAGGAATTAATTTACAATTTAAAAAAAATCATCAAAATCTAATGAGTGGTTCGCGAGAAATCCAACTTTGAAATTGGGATTAGTTTTTAGTGGCCGGGTTTTTTTGCCGGAGGGTTTATATTATTTTGTATTTTAATGATACATTTGAACTATTATGCTTGAATTAATAATATAGAAGCAGACTATATCTAATAATAGATTGTTTTGTATTTAATAGTACATTTGAACTACTATGTTTGAAGTATTTTCTATGTTAATTTGTCAGTGTTATACCTTCTTTCTATGGAAAGACTATATCCAGTAACAGAGAGTTTTGAATTTTAGTGGTGTTCAAATTTTCATGTAAGAAAAGGCACACAATATCGCAAGTTATACGTAACTATACGCGAGGATAGGTCAGATAGAGTCTTCATCATAGGAATCGAAGTACGATTTGGTAGAGGCAAATACAGAAATACCACGATCATATTCATATCGCCCAGATTTCAACTACACAACAAAAGTTCCTATAAGTTAGCCTTTGCACAGTCGCATATGGTCAAAAATTCAGTAAGTATTTTTGTAGTTTTTTTTCCTACGAATTACACATCTTTAATTAATTTTAGATCAACAGCCCACAGAGTAGAAAAGCTTTTATGAAAGCTGTGCCAAATTCTCATTTGCCTTTCCATTGGTCTGTCCTAGACAAGCCTTTGCTTCTCAGCGTTTCGATTGAAGATATTCCTGATTGTGGATGGTCAGGAGGATTCCAAATCGACACAGACAATTCAATGCATATAAATATAAGGTATAGTCAGACCATTTTTAGGGTTCCGTACCCAAAGGGTAAAAACGGGAACCCTATTACTAAGACTTCGCTGTCCGTCCGTCCGTCTGTCACAAAGGTCTATCTTATGAACCGTTATAGCTAGATAGTTGATATTTTCACAGATAATGTATCTATGTTGCCGCTATAAGAACAAATACTAAAAACAGAATTAAATAAATGTTTATAAACAAAAAAGTACTTTCACTAAACATTATCTTTTAAGTAAGAATTTTACATAGAATCTTTCAAGTCCTCGGTGGCCGCGTAGTTAAAGCGTTAGGACTTTACGCTGCTATGACGTTGGAGCCGTAATAAGGCAGGTTCGAATCCTAGTCAAGGCGAGTTTTTTTAATCGTTTTTTTTTTAATTTTTACATATTTTTACATATATATTTTTACTTTTTACATATTTATTTTTGATTATATTGACAATTTTTAGTAATGTGTTTCTTCATTTTTTTTAAATTACTTATACGCGCATTCAAAATTTCAGCTAAATCGGAAAAAAAGTTCATAATAATATAGTGCCTAATGTTGTATAGATAATGAATGGTACGGAACCCTTCGTGCGCGAGTCCGACTCGCACTTGACCAATTTTTTTTATAGAGATGCCAATTCGAGAGTATACTTTCTTCGTCTCGAAGTTGTTCTACAGGGTGCTACATATTATGTGGTGTTTACTGATGCTGACACCATGCCGCCTCCTATAAGAGTAGATAATTTTTCCGAAGTGTCTATTATATTTGGACAGAGTGGTTGTGAATTGCTTAGTACAGGTAGATATATTTACAGTCTGTTCAGCAAGAGAATATCACTCTTGACACTTCAGAGAATGCCACGTTATATTATGTTAACCTAAAAAAACACTATATCTCTACCATTTTTTAGCAAGAGCGCATTCTAGTGTGCCTTACGCTCTGGATGAACCCACCAAAGCGAATTACATAAAACTGATAGCTCCAGGAGGCGTAACCCATGCGTATAATCTCAACAACTTAGGCCCGACGGAGGAATTAACCTACGAAAATTTCATATATATTGCTTTCGTGGGAACGTTTAAAAAGTAAATATATCTGTTGTTTAAATAATGTCTAAATTAAAGGTGGGTGTGTTTCAGTCATCAGAAGGTGAAAGATCCTCAAGAAGTGGAATGCCAGGAATTGGTGTTGGATATAGGACGAAACAATAAAGTTATTTTGGCTAGGAAGATACCTGGGCAAAGATCTCAGCTGTGGAAATTTACATCCGAAGGTAAATTTTTGAAATATACCATTCGAAAAAAAAAACGGCATCAAAGACGGCTGGGGAATAATAATCGATGATAATTCTGGCGAGGCTAAGCCCTAGAAGTGATTTACCCCATACTCTTATTTATTTTTTCATGGCGCTTACTGCCAGTTGGCCTTAAGAAGGTTGTAATTTATTTTTATATTGAGTAAAAAGATTTTTAAATGGTCTAATTTAAAATTTGGGAAAACAAATCTTTGGAAATAGATTTGTATCTCTGGAAACGTTCTATCCTTTTTTAATATTTCTATAATTAGTGTTCATTTTTGGCAAGTTTTATATCAATTTTTTGTTAATCACGTCCAGAGATTGACCTCGCCAAAATTATCATCGATTGTCATGCCCAGCCGCCTTTGACGCCGTTTTTTTTTTTCGATCATACGGTAGATTTGGAGCATATTGCAACACTATCTAAAGTATGTCCAGAGAGACATGGGACGCTTTATGCAGACAAATCCAAAAATTGAAGAAAATAAAGTCTAGTCTTTTGAGTTAAAATGACTATAACTGTTGACTGTCATATATTCTCTCATTTGTAAGACTATAGTCATTTACTACTGTTAAAGTCTGCAAAGTCATCGTTCAAACTATATCTTTATTTTTCACTGTTTTCCAGGTTATCTGCAACATGAAGGAAGTAGTCCTCCTACACATCCGAATTCTCCAGTATCCCAGAGCAACATCTTAGTGTTAGATATAGCGGATACTGCTCCACAACCCAGCTTTCTTACGAGGTAACATGTCTGTGCTTTTAAGATCATATTATGACGAGAGATACATATAATATGCTTTCATTTCTTTTACAAATTCGTATTTTAAATTACTACATAACTGCTACTTAAAGACTACTATATTATAATTACTACTACTGTATGATCGAATAAATAAAAAAAAAACGGCGTCAGCGATAGCTATTATATGAAGATCGCTGTCATTTTATATGTAAAATTATATGGAGAATGTCGTTGATGTTCATTCCCAAGCCAACTGGACGCCAGTTTTTTTCGATCATGCTGTATATTGTAATATACTACTATATTATTCAAATATGCTAATGAGCCACCCTCGTTCCATTTGAAAAAATTGAGATATGATTAAAAATATGATTTGGCCATCTTTTAACCGGCCAGGATAAGACACGAAAAACATTAGACAATCAAATCAATTTTTCCGAGGTTCCTTGATTAAAAACTAGTGTTTTTAACACAACCATGGTACTCTAGATTGAAATTTAAAATAAGGGTTTTTAAGCGAAAATGTCAAAAGTTTACATATTGTCATTCTACTTAGAATGCAATTTTCTATCGAATTGTGTATCCATTTTGTGCTCGGATTTGTTCCTTTATTCTCGTTCGTTCTCTGAGAACGTTATACAAAAATAAAATTTTCAGCATTTTATAAAACTATGGTAATCGCAAAACAATTTCCGATGCACGTGATCAAGTTTGAGTGACAAGCTATGGCGACAGCGCTGCCAGATTGTGATGGATTTATGAGATGAATCTTAATTTAAAATTCACAAACATATTATATCATTTTTTAAAGAGTTTTACGTTCTGTTTTTAATTTAATAACTAATATTTTAGTGATTAATTGATTTATCTGTTTTATAACTTTTTTTACTTATTACATATTGGCAAAAACTAGTCCATTATGAAGATTACTATAAGCGTTAATATATTTATTGATGTACATCTTACAACGCCATAAATAACAAGTAAGAGGGTGCTATTAATGCACAAACTAATAATCACAAAATTTAATAAAAACTAACTTTGAAAGTGGTATAATGTGCTTATCAATCAAACTTACTTTTCTGACTGCAGTCAAGGGTAATAAAGAACCTTTATTGTCACGTTCTCGTTCAAAATAGTTTTAAAAAACAGGGAAGCTACAAGCTCTTTGCTTCGGCATATTTTCAACACACAATTTCAAGAAATGCAATACAGAAACTCGAAAATTTAGTTCTTAAAAGAACTGTTTCTGCTTAAAAGTGCAATTTTAAAAAAAAATACTATGAAAATAGGCAAAAAACCACACGATATTATACAAAATAATGACTGACACTAGGATAATTGTCAAATAATAAAGGACAACGTTGCTGAACACGGCGCAATGTGACCAACATAGCGATAATAAAATTCGGTTTAAACTAATTTTTGCAGCTTTAATCTAAATAAAATAAATCTGTATAAAGTAAAATGAAGAGCTGCTCGGTGTCTTAAATTATACAACACATTTAAACATTTTTGCCAAAATTTCATTTAGTCAGGTTGATAGACTTTAGTGTCAATGTCGATATGATTGATGGCGTGCATCGGAAAATGTTTTGCGATTACAATAACTAAACTTTTCAATAAAGTCTATTATAATTATATTTATCGCTCGTCACATGCTATTAAGCTTCATCTAACGCTATATCTGTCTGTGTATACCATCAGACCTGCGCTTGTTCTAACCTACACCGGTGCAGGGTTCGTTCGCAATGTCAGAAAACTAAACCCGCATTGTCCAAGGCGTTTTCTCTGATTTCAGCCATGTTAATTTTAATTCTGGTACTAGTAGTAGTAGGAGATTCCATAGGAAAATGTCTAATTCTGTTAGCAGACTCGCTTTGCGAAAAATAGATCGCAGAAGGTTGTCGACGCAGAGATGGCGCTTTACCGGCGAAGGGAGGTTATGTTGCGACCACTACAACATGTGCGTGCAGTCGGAGGATGGATTCTTCGGACTCAGAGAAGGTAAAGTCTGACTATTTAGAAATCGGTCTAAAACGATCTATTAGAAATATAGTTCATGTCAAATAAACTGTTACGTTAGTTACGTGGTTATGCTTGACCGGCACAGCGTTGCCCACTTTTTCATATTTTCTTTTAATCAAAATATTTTAGGAAACAAAAATAACTTAATTACAAATTATATTATTATTTACATCAACAAAACTCACCTCCTTAACAGAACTTAAGGGACACAAAGGGCCATTACTACTGCTTTCCTGTTCAAAGGGGCCATTTCCTGTGTTTCCTGTGTACACCATAAAATAATTAACTAGAAAGAAGTGTCAACTCTGTGTTAAATCGTGGAAACACGATACGCCACCAAAAGCCTTCGTTGTCGTCTGGAGAACTAATTTTCCAATTGACAGGTTGACATGATGGCTTCATTTTTATTTCCCTTTCCGGTTATTCAATGGCGGGCCCTCTTTCAGTTTAAATGTATTTTGTACACTTTCTTATCATAAATAAAACAAAATAAAAATTTATTCAAACATATTTATTTGAAATATGAGACAACGTGACTAATAAATATAAAAATAAAGAATTGAATGATTTCAGTTTTAACGTAAATTAGTACGGTATAAGCATGACTTACAGTAATTTGTAAATAAATACACGTATTCAGGAACATGAAAACGGGAGCCTTAGTATACAAAACCCTGAAAACAGAAAAACAAACTTTTTTATACTAAAATTAACAATGTAAAAATATCACTAGGTATAAATAAATAATTATTCCCAAAGAGACCTGGTTTATAAATCCAAAAGAAGCAAAAAGAGACTTTTAGTCGGATAACAATCATATTGTATCAGTCAGATTTACTGTATTATTGACAATAAATCGCACATACTCACACATACTGGAGATAACTAATGTTGGCTATAGTTAAAAATGATCTTACCTTGCTGTAAATTGTTTCCATTTTCCAAAAAATCGCCGATTATAAACATATAACAAAATTTTCTTGCATCTAAAAAATATAGAAATAGTGTTTATTTACTACCTATTTTTAATATACATGGGACATACCTAGTACTGCAGAAACGTTTTTTTCTCCAGGATTTTTCATGTAATATATATTTTATATGCTTTATTACCTTTATATTTATAAATTTCGGCCGAAATATCAAATTGAATTTACAAAACAAAAACTAAACGGAGAGAATTAAAATTTGTTCTAGAACAAATCTGTCAATTCTAAACTGTGGAGTTAGACAATAGTTAGACAGAAACATTGCTGTCCTTGTCTAGGCGGCCATACTTCCGGCCATACTAAACTTTTCACTTGCTGTCCTCCATTCACGTAGTAGTGCAGCTCTGAACTGTTCAAGAACGCGATACTCTCACTCCATTCAATTGAGTCATAAAGTTCAGAACTGTTCCGCGCCATATGAAGGCACCAGGCTATCGCGCACAGCTCCTTTCAGAACCGTTCTGAGTAGCCCAGGACGTAAAGCTCTGGAACTTGAAATTTGCGAATGGAGGACAGCAACTGTCACCCCCCTGGTGTACACTTCGCACTAAAAGAGGTTCTAAAAAGAACAATGTTCGACTGCAAGGTCTGATCTCTAAAATTTTTATATGATAACACAATTTATTTAAACCAAAAACTCGTAATACAATACTAAAGTGTCAAAACGAATGACAATGTCAGGAAATAAATAAATAAACCTGGCAATTTTACAATTTTTACAGCAGAGCTACCACCTGAATCCCCAGCGGGAAATTTAAATTCCAGTTAGTCAGTCCGGCGCCGAATATGTCCATGGTTGGCAACAATGAATTTAAAAATCGCGCTCTCAATTACGTAACTAAAAGTATAATTGGTATCGCTTATAGATGCGTTAAGGCTAGAGTTTTCTAAATGTTTGAATTAATTAAGTTATTTATATTATCGGAGTATTAGAATATTAGAATGATTATTATATTTGTATATTATCTCATTAGGTTCTGCGGCGGTTTTGGGTCTACCTCAGCCTGTCTGTCATAAGTTGACGGACAAAGGAATACCAATTGAACAAGCAGTGGAGCCGCAAAGACTGAGGCCTGGTTCTGGCGTCTTGACAATAAACATTAATATGGATGGTCCCACCCAGGTAGTTTTTTAATTATATATCTAACTCTCTCTAAACTTCCAATTTATATTGTTGCTATTATTAACAATATTTTTGTCTCAACTAACTGGATATTATTTGAAGGTGATTACTATCATGGATGTCAAAGAAAAGAGAGTCTATGCTCTGTCCGATGACAGAGAGTGGGGAACTATATCTCAGAGACCAAGATTAACTGTAGGAGAGGACGAAGACACTGTAAGTAAACTTTTAACTTGCTGTGACAATGAAACCTATTCTAGGGAAATAACTGTTAAATAAATTCGGTCCAACAAAGAGGATACATGACAGTGACAGTGCTGTCATTTTAGTTTATAAGTAAATTGTATTTCCTGTCATTTTCTGGATGTCGTCTGTCTAAATCTTTTCTAACTTTTTTGGATAGACTTTATTCATTTCAAGGAGTTTATTTAGAACTGGTGTCATCGCAAAATGACATTTAGATTTAGTTTACTGAGACACAGTTTGTAAATATGCCTTCTTTGTATTACTTCCGACATTATTGATATGGTAATCAACTTTTACACTATATCAACAAATAAATTAAAGTTTATACCGGGTGCGCCTCAAAAGTGTCTCACCTCTATAACATTTTTATTTTTTTATTTAAAAAAGCAAGATTTGGTATGTTACTATGTGACATAAATTAGGATTGATTGACGTATTCAGTTGTTGTGTTGGTCACTTCCTGTTTCACCGGAAATTACTACAACTTTTGATAGAAAATGACACCTGAGTACAATGACATATCATATGTCAACTTTTGACATTTTCGCTTTAAAAAAAATCGTATTTTAAATTTCAATCTAGAGTGCCACGGCTGTGTTAAAAACACTAATTTTTAATTAAGGAGACTTGGAAAAATAGATTTGATCGTCTGTTTTTAGCGTCTTATCCTGACCGGTTAAAAGATGCCCAAATCGTATTTTAAATCATCTCAATTTTTTCAAATGGAACAAGGGTGGCTCATTAGCATATTTAAAAAAAGCATTTTTTACAAATAATTTGGTACCCCACACTTGGTATTTCGAGTCAAATTATCGTTATGATCCGCATTTTACAATTTCAAATAAACCATATGCGAAAATGTCAAAAGTTGACATATGATATGTCATTCTATTCAGAGTGTCATTTTCTAAGGAATAAAGTAAAAAAATACCAAGGGTGTCATTTAAAAATCAAAAGTTGTAGTAATTTCCGGTGAAACAGGAAGCGATCAAAAACATTTGAATACGTCAATCAATCCTAATTTATGTCATATACTAACATACGAAATCTTGTTTTTTTATCTGGAAAAATCAAAAAGTTATGGAGGTGAGCCACTTTTGAGACGCACATGGTCTAGCTAAGCTGAACGATTATTTGCAGAAAAAGGACAACAGCGAGTTACAGTTCAACCTGAATTTGAAGGGCATCGGAATCAGCGTTGTTTCCCGCCAAATTCCAGAAGAGCTGATCTACGCCCATTTTTCGAATATCATAGGCGAAACTGTCATTACACCCCGTAATAAACAGTTTTGTATCAGCGTCAAAGATTTACAAATCGATAATCAGGTAAGGCCCAAGAGAAATAAGTTAACCTAGAGTAGTTCTAACATAATGAAACAACTATATGTTTAGCTATTAGACGCACCTGTACCTGTTGTCTTATACGTCACACCACCAAGAACCACTGAAGAAGCAGAAGATCATCTACCAGCGATAGATTTGAAGTCAGAAATACAAGAGCAACAGAATAACAACGCTGTGATATTTAAAGTAATCTTAATCTCTATTTTTTTTAAATAACTTTCTTAACATATATTTTTTTAGTATTTTATTTTGAGTCTTCAAAAAATCACCGCTATAATCGAGGAAAAGCTTTTATTAAAGCTGTTCGCTTTTGTTGGATTGCATATCGATCAAGAGGAAGTCATAAATAGGGATGAAAATGACTATGAAACTCAGAGGTTGTTATCGGAAGTTTCAGCTGCCAGTGCTAAAAGGTGAATGAAGTATAGACATTTGTTATAATCTGTTTTATTATGAAAAACATAGCAAATTAACTTATTTTTAAAAACAAGTCAAACACAAAATAGTCCAAGAAAATAGGCCTTGAAATAGGAAGATTTGGTAAAAACTTGAATTTTCGAAATTTCGGAGAAATGACTAGGAAAAAAGTTCAAATTGTAGAGCGTTCAATTTTATATAAAAATGGTCTCTATACTTTTTTTTGTTCAAATCAAAATTAACCGAGATAGGGTGGCTAAAAGCTAGGAGACAACTTTCATTGAAACATTTTTAGACGACCATACCAAATTGGAAAAATTCCTTTACTTGTATGGGCGGCTATACGTGCCTCGCGGCGCCAATTTTTTTCAAAGTCCCTACCGTATCTCTGAAATTTGGAAAAAAACACTTTATTTTTATTTTTCACTCCTGCTCGGGGTGAATTTAAAAAAATCTTAATTGGAATTTATAATTTCCCGAACAAATTGAATAAAAATGTTAAATACATGAATTTTTCAGCGACTTATATATATTTTTTTAAATTTAATAATCATCCCCTAGCTTCCAGCCACCCTATCTCTGTTAATTTTCATCTGAGCAAAAAAAGGATAGAGATCAATTCTATGTAAAATCCGACGCTCCATAAATTTTATTTGAACTTTTTTTTTCTAGTTCATACCGTTTCTCCGAAATTTCGAAAAAATAATTTTATTTATTTATTTCACCCCTTCTCGTGGATGAATTGAAAAAGTCTTTCGCAATTCGTTTTTAGATCTTTCAAAGTAACTTATAGAAAAATTAAAGTTTTTACACCAAAGGCCTATTTTCTCGGACTAAAAAACAGTTTACAGCACTTGAACTTATTTATTGTTATCTTCGCTACAACATTTACATTTTAACATGTTTTTTTTACATTTTCAGGTATTATTTTGGTGTATTGCAGCTTAAACCAGGCGAGATAAGGTTAAGTGTGAGAACAGCAGGTAAACTATCCGGTAGTTTACACAAAATCAAGAAAAAACTGGGGCTAACCCTCATAAACTTTGAGGACGCCACTATCACCTTGGACTCTTTCGAGAGAAAGCATCCGTTCGAGACCAGCCAGTTCTTGTACAACAGCATTATCAAGCATTTCAAAGTCGTAAGTAGAGCTGGGAATTCTAGTTCCTTGGGAGGAACTAGTTCCTTAGTTCTAGTTCCTCCAGAGGAATCGTTCCTCGAACTAGACCTTTAGTTCACAATAGTTCCCGACTAACATTGACATCCCCCTTGCTTGCTAATGCGTTTCGTTGTCAGTCAGAACTATTCACAGTATAATCTGTATAATTTTTATAATGTACGGAGATATAACGAGACGTGTAATTGTGTATGTTAAAAACATATATAGGTAAGTTTTATTGCAGATAAAAAAATAAAAAAGAAACTCAAATCAGAGTTTAAAAAACTAAATCACAAATCAATTGGAGCAAATATTACAAAAACTTTACGAAAAATTGCATTTTTCCTCACTTCAAGCTTTTTGTTTTTGTCTAAAAATTCAGAATATCTACTTCGTTTTATAAGATATTTCTTAATTTTAGGGACCTAAAGTGAAACATTCCCATAAAATATTTAAAAACAAACTAAAAATCAAAAACAGTATCCACGACAATTTTCTGTGTGGCGATAGACAAGGCCGAATCCATCGTCGTCGCCTTGTATTATATCTCGGATCTGCCGATTGAATAGATTCCCGTGAACTAGTCTTTTAATTAGTTCCTCTATGCCCGGATCCGATAACATACGGCTGGCACTCCCCACGTCTGCCTAGCATCAATCGCGCTGGCTGATCCATACGTAAACTAGTCTTTTATTTAGTTCCTTTAGGTCCGGATCCGATACCATACGGCTGGCACTCCCCACTCCTGCCTAGCATCGATCGCGCTGGCCCGATCCGTACGTACGTAAACTACTCTTTTATTTAGTTCCTCTAGGTCCGGATCCGATAAGGTACGGCTGGCACTCCCCACAGCTGCCTACCATCGGGCTACGCGCGCTGGCCGATCCGTCGCCGTCGCATATTATTATATATCGGTCACAGTCTCGATCCCGGAATAGGTCCTGAGGAACTAGTTCATTGAAAAACCAGGAACTAGTTCCTTTCATTCCGGGATCGGAATAGTTCATTCGAACTAGTTCGTTCTCGAATTACACACCTCTAGTCGTAAGTACCATACAATCGAAAAAAAAACGGCTGATCGTTTTTGACGTCGTTTTTTTTCGCTCATACGGTAGAAACTCTGATTTATGCATGTCTTTCTCATAGATACAAAAAAAAATTGTGTAATAACTTTATCCACGAAGTTTATAGGCTCTAGATTGACGCTTGTATTTGATACAATTTCAGGAACTAGTATGGCAAGCAGCCGTCATTCTCGGTTCAGTGGATTTTATCGGCAACCCTATGGGCCTGATGAATGACGTTTCTGAAGGTTTTTCCGGTCTAATTTACGACCGCAATGTCGGGGCATTGGTTAAAAACGTCACTCACGGCCTGTCAAACACCGCTGCCAAAGTAACCGAGTCTCTGAGTGACGGTTTAGGGAAAATCGCCATGGACGACTATCACGAGGAAATGAGACACAAAATAAGACAGGTAAGATATTTAAAGTTATTTCTATACAAGTATCGTTTCTGCAAAAAATAAAATGACTAATAACAACCATAGATAAAGGAAACAAGTTTAGATTGGAATGTTCGGGTTGCCACCAAAACTTATAATTGTTTTGTGGTGCATACGTTGTAGGGCGCTGCTATAGCGGTCGCTAAGAACAACCGCAAACAAAAACAGAAATAATTTTCTCTTCTCAAAGCCAGAATCTTAAAAAATATATAAGATATTTCAAAATTTAAACTGCCCTCATTGAAAAACACCGAAAAGTGTTTAAAGCGTCCATTTTCAAAGTAATTATTGCTATCTTGTGAGTTTAATTTAAATTTTATTTACTCAAACCCGTAATAATTGTGAAAAAGTGGCATTAAAAACTTATAAAAGCTGTGTGAACTGTGAACTGCAAAAACCATCGTGGATCGTGGCATAACGTCGGTTTCCAATATTTAATAGATATTTTATATATGTCCTTATATAAAATAAAGTTTCTTATATGTAACGTACTGTATTTTATTTAAAAAATTAAAATAAAATAATAATAAATTTGAATAAATAATATTTGGCGACATAATTCCGGAAAAAGCCGAACCGCTCCGAAATTATCAAAAACTTTGGGTCGCGACCGTTGGAAGAATAGCGCCAAATAATATTTACATTGTCCTTATGGGCACTTTCCAATCTAAACTTGTTTCTTTTATCTATGATAACAACTGTCACTGTCATGTATCTTTTCAATGGACAGGCTTTGTATTACAAGCTTTATAATAAAGATGTGAGAGCGTGAACCATTTGTCAGAAATTTTTAGGAAAATTAACACGCTACAAACAAATAGTTATTACTTCAATATAAAGTTATTTAAACTAAACGTTTACAGGTTGCGACTGTGGGCAGATCTTCTGATCATATTCTGGCTGGCCTCAAGGGTTTCGGTTTCGGAATACTGGGTGGCGCTACTGGTATATTCAAGCAAGTGTATGAGGGCGCTTCTAACGAGGGCCTTCCTGGTGTCTTCTATGGTTTAGGCAAAGGAGTGGTGGGAGCCGTCACCAAACCGGTCGTAGGTGTCCTGGACCTGGCCTCGGAGACGGCGAGAGCAGTTAGAGACTCCAGCAGAAGGTATGATGAACTATACTCTGTTCTATGTGTATTGAGAATGCTCGAAATCACACCATACAACAAAGTACTGTTTTTATTATTTGACCTGAATTATTTTTGGCGAATATATTAGTACTTTTTATATATAGAAACCTGGACATACGGGATACTAATAAGCAGTCGCGGCTCGTGGTTATTATTGTAGGGAGGTCACTATCTAAAAATATTGCGTCGATTTTTTTTAAGACGCGACCAAATTTAATTGGTTTCTTACAAGTTACTTGTACGTTTAGTTAAACGAAAATAAATACAAATTATGTTAAAATGAAACCTACCCTTACATTTTTAAACAGGTGGTCTAGTGCCATTTCACTAAAAATCCAGTCAATGTTCTTTACACAAATTTTCCACGGTATGATTTAAAAGACACTTAAATAATAATAAAATAGAAAACAAATTTCTTGCAGTATAGGTATATAATAAAATTATATAAGGATTCTTGTCACTTAACTGCTTATATAGTGTTTGTCATAATGTGGATCGACCTGCTCTCACTGCCGGTTTCGGAGCCCTACTCCATCATCAGGTGAGCTTGGGCAGATCCACAAAATGACAACCACAGCGCAGAGACAGTTAATTCCGACTTGTCGGAAAGTGTCGGTTAGATATTAAGTCCCGAACGGGAGATAGCGGCCTGCGTGCAATGGTAGTACTTTCGTACCACCGGGGCGCAACTATCGATAGTAAAAGGATGGCAAAAGGCTTTTTTTCAAGCAAGCCATATAGGTATTTATAGGTATATAAAAAAATTATATAAGGATTCTTGCCACTTAACTGCTTATATAGAAATTTAATTCTACGCTGTGTTTGTCATAATGTGGATCAACCTGCTCTCACTACCGGTTTCGGTACCCGGTGGCATGAAAGTACTACCATTGCACACAGGCCGCTATCTCCTGTTTGGGACTTAATATCTAACCGACACTTTCCGACGAGTCGGAATTAACTATCTCTGCGCTGTGGTTGTCATTTTGTGGATCTGCCCAAGCTCACCTGATGATGGAGTAGGGCTCCGAAACCGGTAGTGGGAACCGGTTGATCCACATTATGACAAACACAGCGTAGAATTAAATTTCTATATAAGCAGTTAAGTAGCAAGAATCCTTATATAATTTTATTAAATAATAATGTCACAAAAATATAAATACATATATACACATGCACATTTCTAAAAGTTTTATTTCACATTTTTTTATATTTTAAGTCAATTCTTTCTCTAAACGTTTTTCGAAATTTAAGCAATTGTTTTCTTTTAACCGCACGATTTTACAAACTAGACACCATATGTTGTCTGTTTGAAAATATCTATTCCAGAATCAGTCAACAAGAGTTCATCATTTATCCAGAACCAGAAATTTATGAATTATTACCTACACAAATTTCGCGCTGCATGTCAACCCCTCGGCTACGACAAAGCTACGGCAACTAAAACTAAACATTTTTTCGATATTGAAAATTTAAATATTGATTTATATTGACTAAACCAAACATTATACGCGATACGCGATAAACGATACAAAAACCTAGGTTGTTTTATTATTTGAGTTTTTATAAACACCCAAACTGCACAAACGGCGAAATTTTTCCAGCGATATGACTGAAATCCTGTAATATATTTATATAGAAATACTGCACTCGATATTTCTTAATCAACTATATTGATTCTTAACTAATAAAAAATATTACAAATTACAATAATAACACGCTGGTTTTTCTAGACAAAAACAAAAACCGTCACTTTTTATATCGGTAGTAAACTACCAAATACAAGTGTATATAAAATTGCATACCTTACAAATCCTTTTATAATGACACGGGGAATGGCCAATATAAACTATATCTATCGCACCTTAACCCATTATATTTTCTATACGTAGTATACCTTACCTTGTTGGCGTCACGAGCCGCGGCACTTGGAGTTTAATACGTGTAAAACATAGCGGGAACGAAGGACAAAATGAAATTTTGACCGGCAATATTATGTCATGGATTGCAGTTGGAGAGTTGGAACCTTTGGTGTTACAACAGCAAAATAAATCACTAATTCACCACAATACACCAAAACACTTCACTTTTGCACTGGACGCGCGTTTCGCTAACTATGTTAGCATCATCAGCAAATGATTACAACTGTTGAGTTATTATTAAAAAAAACTTAATGTTAAAATTGAAAACAAAGTCCAAACCACTATCAAAAAAAAATTTTTTGGCAGAGATTTTTATTTTTTTTTATTTTTATAATGAACTGCCAAAAATGTATCCATTACCATTTTATCATTAAGTTTTTTTACCATAGGCCACCACTTTGTGAGATAGAACAAACTTTATAACTTATTATTAAAACTCAATAGTTTTAATCACTCATGTTGATGCTATTGTTACTATATTACTATATTAGAGTAGGTTCTTACTTGATAACGGTCGGTGGTACTTCTGACCGAAACGTTGTGTAAAATTTCATAATTCAGGACAATGTCAGTTCAAGAAGATATTTTATTTCAGAATTATATTGTTGTGTTACTTATTTTATATTGTTAGTTACTTGATTTTGTGTTTTAGTAAGCTGATAAAAGAGCGTAAGAGGTTACCTAGATGTGTCCATGGTCCTGGGAGTTTACTACCAAGATACGACGCGCTTCAAAGCCAAGGCCAACAATATTTGTACATTATCAATGACAAGTAAATCAATCATTTAAATAAGCACAGCTCTTTGTTCATGATTGAAATATATTTTTTTTAGAAATTATGAAGAGAAATTGTTAGCTTACCAAGTGCTTCGCAGCGGACCAGAAGATCTGCTTTGTATAGTGTCAGATAAAATGGTTAGAATAGTGACTGGACCACCAGATCTAACCACCATCATACCGTGTCATTTAAGGTAAGATTTTCTCTAACTCTCTGTCCAGGATTATGTAAATTTATTACAGTTTATTGTAATACAGGGTGGTCCGATCTGTATTCCGGAATCTTCGGCAGCATATTCTGCAGATAAAAATACTTTCGTATAAATGTATGTTCTAGAATGCTTAGTTTTGGAAATACAGGATGTAGAAGTTTAATTTTTCCAAATAATTTATGAAGTAACGTCAATATTTTGATGTCAATATGACTCCTACTTGTAGAGGGCGCCACCTACATATTTTTTAACTGGTTCGAAGAGTAATAACTTTTCGTACGTACCTGTATAAAACGACTGAGCAAAAAAATACATTTACGACGTTTTTTACGTAAAAGGTCTCTTGGTAAAAATCACTACGAGTAATGGTTCTTGAGATATTTGGAATCGAAATTATCAATACCTGTCATCTTTGACATAAATTAATAATGTTGAAAATAGTTATTAAACTGAAATCATAAATTTGAAATGTTTTTGCGCCAAAGTTCAACAGAAACTGTTTTATCATCATTTTTCTTAGAAAAATTTATGATGAATTTAAAAAATTAAAATTTCCCAAATTTATTATTTCGGTCAAATAACTATCTAGTCAACAGTTAATTTTTGTCAATGATGATATGTATTGACTGTTTCGATTTCAAATATATTGAGAACAGTTGCTCGTAGCGATTTTTACCAAGAGACATTTTTTTACGTAAAAAGTCACGGAAATGTATATTTTTTCACTCAGTAGTTTTATACAGGTACAAACGAAATTTATTGCTCTTTAAAACAGTTAAAACACATGTAGGTGGCGCCCTCTACAAGTAAGACTCATATTGACATCAAAATTAAATTTCTCATGTCAAAAAACTCCCAGACATCAATTTTCATCCAAATATTGACGTAACTTCAGAAATTATTTGGAAAAAATCGAAATAAAAATGAAACTTCTACACCCTGTATCTCCGAAACTTAGCATTTTAGAACATACATTTATATGAACTTATTTACTTATTTTTATCTGCAGAATATGCCGCCCAAGTTTCCGGAATACAGTTCGGACCACCCTGTACAAAGATTAAATTATAATATGTTTTTAACATTCATATTAATTGATATAGTCTGTAGAACCATCGTTCAACGTTACATCATATATTGTTGTGTTCTTTTTAGTCCTTCTGTGGTTTTATCGTTACTAAAATGAAAATCAAGAAGATTTTGATAAATTTCTTATCTTTTGACAATTTTAGCGACCTAGAATCCTGTAACGTGATCAAAGACTCCGAAAAGAACGAGACCAAGTACTACATAGAAATAGTGATGCACCACGCAGGTCTGAACGCTGCGGTTTTGAATCCCGACCCGATCAAAAGGCCGAAGGTGCGCTGCAACACCGCAGAAACGGCCGTTACTACCGCGCAGCAAATCAACTGCGCCAGAACGCTGTACATCGAGAACCTGTACACGCTGATCGGCGAGGAGAACAATGCAACATTGGAAGACTGAAGAGGCGAAAGTCACCAAACACGAAACGTAATTGTACATATTTATTTTTATTAAAAATAAGCGGACAAATCTATAAAAAGACGTAACAACGAATGTGATAAAGTACTTGTTATTTTTTAGTTGATTAACGTTTTTTACGCGTTAAAAAACGAGTTACCAACGCACTCAGTCAAAGAAAAAAGTTTGATTTTACTTATATTCACAGTTAAGCTGAAAAAATCTTCACGGATTCGTTTATTTATCTTTGTTTTGCTGTATACCGGGTGCGTCTCAAAAGTGGCTCACTCCTAAACGAGATATTGTATGTTAGTAAATGACTAATGAATGAATAAATTAGGATTGATTGACGTATTCAATTGGTTTTGGTCATTTTTAAATGACACCCACTTTATTTTTTTACTTTATTCCATAGAAAATGACACTCTGAGTGAAATGACATAGCATGTGTCAGCTTTTGACATTTTCGAATATGGTTTATTTGAAATTGTAACATGCAGTTCATAACGACAACTTGACTCGAAATACCAAGTGTGTGGTACCAAATTATTCGTAAAAAATACTTTTTTTCGAATATGCTAATGAGCCACGCTTGTGCCATTTGAAAATATTGAGATATGATTAAAAATACAATTTGGGCATCTTTTAACCGGCCCGTACAAGACACCAAAACTTTTAGACGATCAAATCTATTTTTCCACGGCTCCTTGATTAAAAATTAGTGTTTTTAACACACCCATGGCTCTCTAGATTGAAATTTAAAATACGATTTTTAAGCAAAAATGTCAAAAGTTGGCATATGATAAATATGTCATTCTATTCAGAGTGTCATTTCCTATCGAGTAAAGTAAAAAATACAGAGACCGTGCCATTTAAAAAATCAAAAGTTGTAGTAATTTCCGGTAAAACAGGAAGTGACCAAAAGCAATTGAATACGTCAATCAATCCTAATTTATGTCATATACTAACGTACCAATCTCGTTTTTTTATCTGAAAAAATAAACAAATTATTGGGGGGTTCATTTTTCAGACGCACCCGGTATATATTTAACTTATTCTTTTCCAATATGGGCGTTCATGTTGCATTTGTTCGAAACAAAACTCTTAAAGCATTTTTTTGTATTTCTTTTTTCCAAGCGTATGGTTTTTCAATCGCAAAGCAATAAGCTCCGTTGTTATTTATTTCGAGTTGTTTTGTATTTTATATGTGTTGTTTTTATTTGAAAGTTTACACGTACAGCAAAAAAAAACCGTCATGGAAACTGTATAAATATTTTTTTTACTTTAGTGATTATACAGTATTACAAACCAAGACAGATTTTCCTAAGTGTTATTATTTATTATTCGAGGATTGTAGGTATACAGAAAATAGTTTTTTTACCAAAGATGAGGTTAATAAAGGAAAGATATGAAATAGTGATTTTTTTTTATTTATATTAGTTAGCAAAGTAACCAATTATACAAAAACGGCGTTACGGTAGCTTTTGAAATTACTATCATGATACTTTTTATAGCTGTCCAATGAGTCAGGGAAGTTTTTGACAGATGACATCCAAAAAATGACAGATAATACAATTTATCAGTGAATTAAAATGAATTGGGTATGTAGAATTTTTTAATAATGAACCTTGCCTTGGAAGCAGTTGACACAGCAGTAATAATTCTGGCTATACCAGTTATTTTTATTTTTTCTCTTTTTAATGGAAAATTGTATATAAACTGGAAAGAGAATAACCATTTCCCGATAGGGGGCGTTAAATGCCATTTAAATGCCCCAAATTTGTCAGCAAAAAGTAAGGTTAGATTACAGTTGAAGGGTCCAGGGGAAAAACATGATAAGCGCCATTTTACTAATTTTACAGGAGAGCACTGGACGGCTGGTGGTTATCAAGTTCTTTACGTGTATCCTATATTTTTACTAGGCATATATCATAGGATTTAGCAACTTATTGTCCTGCAGAGTTTATACATTTTGTAGGGACCAGTTAAACCTACTATAATATTGTAAAATCAGTTGTCAAAACATCATCAATGGTCATTGTCATGTCATCGTATCAACGGATGATGGATATATGAAAATCTACCTTAACAGACATGGAAAATTGAAAAAATAGCTTTATTTAAACAAAAAAAAAATAACTTGTTAGCAAAATATATTTGACTTTATGCATACAGTTATATAACAAAGAAAATATACAGTTATATACAACTTACGGTTAATATCACTTGGACTTAGTAGTATATAGAGCGATAGGTATGTCTTACTGCGGCGTATAAGGAGATTTTTCTCCACAAGCTACACAACTGCATTTTGAAGGAACGGCTACTTTTTTCTTGAATTTCGAACCATCGTCGCAGTCTAATTCTATTTCTAACGACTGATAGTCGGTTGCTTGGCAACAGGAGCATACTGATTCGTGCAAACCTGTCTCTGTATAAAGGAGATATAAAATTAGAGTTTTTATTAAAAATATAACATCTGATTGCGCGAAAACCGCGTCATAATAATCACTTAATCAGTGAAATTGAACGAAGGTAGACTTACTGATGTTAAAGTATGTGGAGGAATGACACGTTCCGATACATTCGGTAAAATCGTTTAGCTCGTGTTTGTTCACACATTTGCGACCTTCACGTGATACTTCGATCATTCCTACAGTTTTTTTGAGAGGCATCGGTTGTGGACTGCACAGAGCTGAAATAATGTTTAACAAATATAATCATATTATACCGTATAGAAAATATTTTTTCTCATATTTAAATAAAGGTTAAATATGATTACTTAAAATTAATAAAATTGGAACTTAGCGGAAGTTCGTAGACAGAAATTGGAAATTATAAACTGATCTCAGACATACCTTAAAATTATTGATATAAATGATGATGGCATAACATTGAATGATCATTGTACAACCTAGATCATATACATAACTCGTGGATAAGTAAATCGCTATGGAAATTGTCGCAAACATATCAACGACTTCAATTTATCTTCTTTCTTTGTTGCACACGCGGTGTTTCTACTCTATCTATCCTTGTCGAGGACCTAGCGTCCACGCGCCAAATTTGAACATTAATTTTAAAAATTTAATTTGTAAAATGCATATATTTGAACATTAAATTGAATATGCTTGCTTCATCCACGTTACCGTAGATGGAGCTAAGAAGGCTTAGGTAGGGTATATATAATAAATGAAGAAAAATACAAGTAGCGGAAAAAGAGGCCAAAAAACACTACATATTTGCTTATTCTCTGCATTAAGTTCATCAGACCGAAGGGAACAGCCATTCGACGACCGGTTTCGGAGATTTTTCTCCATCAATAAATTGAATGTTTACTGTCACAAATATTATATATCTTTATAATAATTTTAATAACTACCAACATTTATTCACAACGTAAAATAAAACAACAAATTATTGAGTCTACCCCACGTCTACCCTACATCATAGTTTTACATTTTTTAAATAAAATTAGAACGACACTGATAACCGGAATTTAACCGGATCCGAAACCGGAATTTAAATCGGCCATATTTGCGGCCCATCGCGGTGTACCTAAGATTTTTGATATGCTCCTTCCTTAGTCTTCTTATTCAAAGGCATGCGCAAAGTAAGGTCCTCGGAAAAGACAAACCTATTGAACGTTTCATAAGTGCAATAAAGAAGGTTTGAAAATGGCATGTCGTGATGTTGGAGACATATTTTTTAATGCTAAACTTATGGCGATGATTTATCCACGTAAGTATATATGATCTAAGTTGTACACACTATTGATTTTGCGATGTTGAATGTTTAAATGATGAGAAGTATAGGTGAGAAGAACTTTAGTTCAACGGTATAATATTGTAAAAATATTAAACTTACTCATTGCTTCTATAGTAACATTGCAATATTTACAACATCCTTTAGTATAAACATTTTCAGCTGGACAATCCTCTATATATGGACAAGCTTCGTGATTACTTGAAACCAGCAATTGTCCGCCTGGATATTATTTTTGTTAGTAATAACTCAATTTTATTCATTTAACGTTATTTTACCTAAATTATCACACGAATATGTAACACATCCGTCCTCAGACTTCCAGGTTTCTTCAGGCTTCTTCAATTCATCGTTTACCACGCAAGATGTTTGAACACATTCGCCGCAACATTGTGTTTTGGATTCTTTATATTCCCATCCCTGTAAATTTTTGCAAAAGGTATTATAATTAATGTTAATAAAATATAAACAACTATATTATACCAAACCAAAGTTTACAGAATAATTTTATTCTGTAAACTTTGACCAAACCATATTTTAAAAATATAGTATACCTTAGAACAGTCTTTTTTACATGTTTCTATTGATTCCTGTTTCACCAGTTCGTGACTGTTAGGTTTCTTTACGCAAGTTACGTTTTTACATTTATCTCCGTCTGGTGATGGCCATATATCTCCAATCTAAAAAGATAATTAAACATTAATTAATAAACAACATAAAGTAAGCTATGAAAAGCCCAACAAATCAGGAAAATTTCAAATAAAATTTAAAAGTGTCAATTGTAATATCAAACTGAACCGTAAAAAATTACGCTTATGATGTATATTCCGTCTTCAATGCATGAATACGTGGATAGAATTTAGCATTATACTCCTTTTTTAATCTTTTATTCATAGATATGAACCTGGCTTTATCGTTAAGTGATATATTAGAACTACCTGTCAACGTTAAGTAAAACATTTGAACTATTATCTATTGACGTTAAGTAATACATTTAATCTACCTAATGACGTTAAGTAATGCATTCCATTTACCTTATGAACTTTATCTCCTACTTTGCAAGCCACAATTTTCTGATCTTTACAACACTGACCCTCCACGGGAATGAATTCGTAAACGAAGTCTTTCAGGTTCTCCTCAGATACCACAGAGCAAGATACTTTTACTGCTTCAACTTGCAACTAAAAAATATAAATTACACAAAATTAGTATTGGCATTTTTGGCATGTGTTTAAAAAATAAGGATGGTACTTACAGAATCATTTAAGTTCAAACAGAAGTAGTTCGTACAATGGTCTGATGAACTCCATTCATCACCAACTTGGTGAACTATATCGTCAACCACGCAAGCCACTTGCTTGCAAGTTCCACAACATTTTTTGGATTCTTTCTCGGGTTCTTCGTATTGATATCCAAGTTTACACTCCTAAAATATGAAGTTTTTATGTATTATTTAATACATACCAAAAAATAATTTAATATATAGGCTGTCTCTTAAATAAAGCCTGATTTTCATGCATCCGTTGTCCGACGATACGATGATATGATATTAATTTTATTGGTTGAATTTAAAGACTTCGATTGGTTAGAAAATTACGCAGTTTTTAAATTTATTGCATTTTCATGCCTCCGTTCATCGGATATACGATTTGCTTGTGATTGGTGTCATTTTATAGTTTCACTTCCATAACGATTTCGCTGTTTTGCTTATAGTCTAAGAGCTAGCAACTTTTTCGAGAGATAATTTTAAGAAAGCTGGTTCTTTAATATATATTTCGCTTCTATGCTCTCCTGAACAGAGTGCGGACCGTCTGGCTGCCGGTAGACGTTGCGTTCATTACTCCGCATCGTATCTGTATTCAACATCTGTTCATTACTGCGCATCACAAATTCGCCCTGTATTTCAGGAACTAGGGAGGCTAGGACAAACATATGTGTAGTATATTTAGTTTCATAAAAAAGTAGCAAAGTAATATGAAAATCCCGTCATTGTATCTCTACTCATAAACTAGAAATCCTATAAACCACACGAAAATGGGATACCCTGCACAGATGTGATGCGCAGTCGTGAACCGAGTATTCTACCGGCAGCTAGACGACCCGCACTTTAGTCAGGAGAGCATAGTGTCTTTTATTTTTCTGGTAACCACTTTGAAATGAATTAAATTTTTGCAGTACCTTATTACAAGTTTGAACTGTTGTCTGCTTCTGTACAGTATCCGTCTCCACACACTCGAAATGAACACATCTGTCACCTTCTTTATCCCATTTTTCACCGATTTTGTATGTTTTTCCCTCGTACTTGCAGGCGCTGCGTTTGATTTTCGGGCAACACTGTCCCGGAACCAGGACCGGAGTCAGTTCGTATTCGGAGTAGTCATCTTGGCTCTCAATCGATGGGCAATCGGTTTGAGAGCAAGCCGCCTGATACGTCCCTGTAAGAATAAAAATAAGTTGATTTCAAAGAAATTTAATCAAAAACTAACTTGTTTTTGGGACTCTAGAACACTTTAGTTTTATTTTTAAAAGGATGGCAATGAAAAAAGGACTATAAAGGTTTTATATTCTAAAAGTAAAAGTAAAGATTTCAGTTAACGTCTCCTTTTTGCTGCAGGGCTAATCTGGACGGGGCCTACTTTGTTTACGCGGAATCCGAACCGCGGTCCTCGGCCATATCATGGTCAATGGCCTACCGACTTGGTAAGTTTAGTGTCTAAATCGACTCTTACTCACGAGATATCCGATCTCATCCGGCCTCGAACCGACGCACAGTGGCTCTTGCATAAGTTAAAGAGCGGTCATAAGTGATTTTGGAAAAATTAAACAATATGATACACTGTTAAACTTTTTGAATAGTAGTAGCATTGGTTTAAAAAAATCAACAACAATTTTTTTGAATAAAATTTGTAACAATGTTTTTTTTCTCTTAAACCCATCACATTTAATTGTCTTTTTCGCTTAGTGATAAGCAAATAAGAATCTAAATATTTCTGGAGGCTTTAAAAAACCCGAGATGATTATTATTTTTTATATTTTAAAGAAAAGGTTTTCTCTACTTTTGAACTATTACTAAGAAAGTTCTGAAATTATTATTATGTATTAATTTTTCATGTTTTTTTAAACGTCGTTTTTATCCATATTTTTATAGTTTTCAAAATACCAAAAAAAATACTATCGACGCTTATCGACGTTTCCTCTTATCGCAAATAATATTGTTTGAGGAATGTATTTGTTTATAAACAAAAAAATGGTTTGCCGATTTCTGCCTATTCATGCGATATATTTATTTGAAGTAGTCCGTGTTTCTCAATAGACCGCAACACAATTTTAAGTTATATTTTTTCAGAAAAGACAATAGTCGAAAATGTTCACGGTATGTCACAAATCAAGATGTTTTTAATTGTCTCCTAATATCCTCTGACCCTTATTTGGCTGCTTTTCGGCATATATGGAAGAAAAGTGAATGTTTAGAGCTGGATGATGAAGCGAAAGAACTCCTTTTATAGAACATATTACTGAGTTAGTTGAGAATATGTTTTCTTAAATAAATATTATTTTCTACTTTTACGTTCAGAGTTGTAATGGTGGTTTAGTTTTTTTGTTTTGTGAAATGTATATGTTTTTAATTTTATACTTCAGGTTTAGTTTGGATTGTTTAAAGTTTCTTTTAAGTATGGAAATCACTTGATTTATAAAATAAAACTTTTTTACAAACATAATTAAATTATAAACACTTCTTCGTCTGCACGGATATAATATATTTTTTGGATCCCATTGTTAAATTAGTATCTTGTTATTTTATTTTTTCACAGGGGAACTTGAATTTTTTTATTAAGAAAGGTCTAAACAAACAGCTAGTGATACAAGAAGTGATTTTTAAAGAATTTATAAACTTATCTCTTTCACCTTTCACTTGCTCACCCAATCCAAACATTTCCCGAAACCCATCCCCCACGTTCACCCTTTAAAGGAGGGGGCGGGCGCGGGCGTGGGGCTCTTAATGTAAGAAAAACATTTTTTGGAGTTCACCAGAAATCATTACTAAGCGATAACAGTAAATCTACAGGTGTGTATCTTTACCGATATTATTAAGTGACACGCTTTACAAAAAAAATAATTTTTGCAGTCATAATTAGACCGGTGTTTTGCTAAAATTCAATTAAAATTATAAAAAAAATCTATAGATATTTTTCTTTTCACCATAAATAAAGCAGCTGGGCTACAAATTACTTATTAAAGTATTTTTTTCTATTTATGACTGCTATATCCCTATACCTCGATCCACTGTGCGGCGTGAATGAGCAGTGTGTGTCAATAGATTTTACACCTTTGCATTTTTTTGGACAACAGCACGCTATAGAGTTTCGAACCGGGCACCCGTCCATCCACTAGCAACGCCTTACGTCGCTTAACATCGGTGTTCTAATGGGAACCGGCGTTTCGACGTAGCTGGGCCGTTGCCCTTTTCCATTCTATATCCATTCCATATCCGTTCCGTATTTTTTATTGTATTTACGCTATACGTAAGCTTCCGTTCCGTATCAGTTCCATACTTTTTATTGTACAATTTATTTCATTACGAAAGCTTTATTTTAAAAATTTGTATCTTTTGAAAAAGGTAATAGATTTAATTAAGAGGTGAAAAAATAAATAAATATCAGCAAAATGTTAACAGAGCTGGTACAAAATATAAGAACTTGACAACGCTGTTTCCGATACGCTTCCGTCCGCCAAAAAAATGTATGGAAGGAAAGGATATGGAACGGAAGGGAAACGGAACGGATAGTGTGTATTGTCCTATCATTTACATAATATAATATTTTATGTAAACGGACGGGAAACGGAAAGTAGCTGGTACGAATGGTATAGTGAGAATTAACCTTAAGTCTTAAAAATACTATACCTATGCTTGTTAGTGAACATTTGCAATCTCTGCAAGGACCGTCATTCCAAGTGTCATTAGCATTCTTCAATATCTTCTGTTTTTCAAACCTATCAAAAAAATATATTATTTAAAATTATTTAAAGCAAAACAAATCTTCTATTACTTGGTAACAGATCTTTCGCCACCTTCTTTAGCCTCTGTATATTCAGTTTCGAAAATACATTTATTTTTGGGAGCTTCACAGGAATAAACAGGACAACATTTTCCTTCAATCTCTTCTTTCTTCAGCGTGTGGTACTGAGGACACTCTTTAGGATCTGGACACTTCTCCTTTTTGCATATCAGTTTTACCACAGGACAGCAACCTTAAATTTTTAAGAAATTAATTTAAAAAGTAAAGCATTAATTTTTTTGTCATATTTTTTTTACTTATTAACAGATAGACAGATTCGCCAGGGACGTGCATATGGGTTATAACTGGAATATGTTTCTAAAAGAAACTGTACATCACTGACTTTTTTGTCTTGTTAGCAAACCTTGTGTAGGCTGTTTAATGGCGATTAAAAGTCATCTCTTCATATTTTGTCGTTTTTGATCTCCTTGATGAGATAAACGCAATTTCGATACAACCAATGATATCAGAAGTGGGATACAACTTTTAGTCGCCATTAAACGGCCTACACAATTTTGCAAACAAGAGAAAATAGTCAGTGGCGCACATGTTTTTTTTTTAGAAAATTATTCCAGTGATAGCCCATATGCAAGTCCCTGACGAATCTGTGGGAAATTTTTAACATTAAGTTATGTAATACTTAAAGTAACTTTTAACCCCAAAATATCATTCGAATCGCTAAAGGCGCTTGAAAGCTTGAAGACTTTAACCCCGTGTAGCTACGAAACAAAACAGAATACGACCTATATTGATATAAAAAATAAATATTATTTTTACATGAGGAATCTACCCACGAGAGATGTCACATCTTTTTGAAGCACCCTGTATACTGATCACCATCATGACGGAAAAAAGATCGGACTTCCTTGTCTAATATGCACCAATCTTTGAATAAGAAGACTAAAGGAAGGAGCATATAAAAAATCTTAGGTCCACCGCGATGGGACTCAAATATGGCCGACTTAAATTCCGGTTTATCAATGTCGTTCTAATTTTATTTAAAAAAATGTAAAACTATGATGTAGGATAGACGTGGGGTAGACTCAATAATTTTTATTTATTTTACGTTGTGAATAAATGTTGGTAGTTATTAAAATTGTTATAAAAACATATTATTATAATAAAAATAGATAAGTTATAATAAGTATTTATTAACACAAACATCCGATACGCTACTGAAGCAGGTAAGTCAAATTAACGTATCTAAATTCTTTGACATCTAATCTTTGACAAGTAGTAAATAAAAGCAAAAATGCAAGAAAAAATATATAAGTAATTAGTTAATTTAAGTGAATTTCATAAATGATCGGTTTACTACACGTATGTATATTATATAGTCACTTACTAGCGAAAAGTTATTCTATTATTTCACTCGATTTTTGCCGAGATCTACCACACGCCACACAACCAACTATTTTAGCGTCTTTTTCGATAAATCGCGATAGTGTCACTGTTAATTTAAGTTCTGCCACAATTTCCATCTAGATTTACTACCTTTATACAACTATCAGTAGTAGAATAAATAATAAATAACATAAAATAAGCTCCGTAAAGACTGAGAAATCCACAAAATTTCAAATCAAATTGAAATCTGTCAAATGAATCGTCAAACAGAACTGTCAATAAGGATCCCCACCCTAGAGTCCTTTTTCCGCCCACCATGCATGAATACATGGATAGCCATTATGCTCCTTCCTTAGTCTTCTTATTCAAAGGCACCAATAGAAAAAGTCGAACATCTCGTTTTTGTATTAACAGCTGAAAACTTATGGACCAATTCAAGAAATACGTGAAAACCAATATGGCATCGAAAATGGTGACGTAACTGTCAAAGATCGAAAATCAAACCGTATATATTGATAAATAAAAATCTAAAAATGTTTAAATAGAAAGTGTGGCGTAAAAATCTTTATAATTTAATGAAATACTACTCTCGCAGAACAGACTATATCTGTTAAATACATAAATTTGGTACCTTCTTCGTCAATTTTTCTTATATAACCAGGCTCCAAAGGTTTATCGCTTTGAATATCAACCTTTTCGCATTCGTCTGCAGGTTGGCATTCACAAATAAAGGTCTGACAGCCATTTGGTTTTGTATCAAGTTTCAAAATTTGATCTGGTCCACAAACCAGTTTTTGTGGAGGTTCGCAAGTAGGTCCAGCGGTCGGTTCGGGAACTAAAATTGACATTAAATGATTGTTTTGTTTATATTTTTATCTTGGAAAATATTACCGCAGGCGTATTTGTCGCAACATTCGTCTTCTTTGCTCGATATTTTAATAGCGTTAAATCTAAAACAAAATAAAATTCGGTATATCCCAATTAATTATATTTAGGAGCAATCGTTTTTTTTTAGACTGTTTTCCGTTGCAAAACCAGGCGAACCAGACCGGTAAACTACGGTAAAGAGCGGTTCCTGAAAAACATCGGTTTGATACGGAACGGTTTGGTAAAATACTGGAAACGTCAAATGTTGACGTTTTCTAAATTCCAATACCTCTACTATAAATTTTATCTTTTATGCATTTTTAATGTACCTATTCTCTGCTTTTACGTTTGCTTCTTCTTTTCAATGGAGTTTAATATTAATAAAAGTACTTTATTAATAAACTGTTAAACTCGTTAGACAGCTCAAGTGAAGATTTGCAGATCCAATATTAAAACAGATCAATAATAAATAAACAAATCTAATCAATATTTATATTTTTAGAGCTTACAAAACATTCACGATTACTTGTCTTGTTTTTCATGTTTTCTTTAAATGTTCCTGACTTTAAGAAACAATGGCTGCGTGATAAGTTTAAATGGTCCTAAAAAGTCATTCTATTTAGTTAATGAAATTTATTTACCTTTACTGCCTACCTCCATTGTTTTAGGATGTAAATACAAAATATTACAGTTGAGGGTTGGAACCTTTGGTGTTACACAGCAAAATAAAAACACTAAATCACCACAATACACCAAAACACTTTTACTTTTACACTGGACGCGCGTTTCGCTAACCATGTTAGCATCATCAGCAGATGATTATAAACTAAAGTACAATTTACAAGTTGAGCGTTTATATACTCGCTCAGTGGGCCCCGAGTGGGCGTGGTAAAATCTAGCCAACCGAGTCAATTACAACAATTATTAGGTAATCCAAAAGATAAAACACCTCCACTGGAAGGGTCGGGTATTTATGAAATTTCTTGTAAAGATTGTAATCAGAAATATGTTGGGCAAACTAGAAGATCAATATTAACTAGATTTAAAGAACATTTAGCTCAGATAAGATATGGTAGACCGGATAAATCTTGCGTTGCCGAACATATTGTTGATAATGAACATTGTATAGATCTTAATAATTTAAAATTAATTAAACAAGTCTCAAATTACAGGCAATTAGATGCATATGAAAGCATCAGAATTAATAAATGTAAAGATAGTATGAACAGAGTCAACGGTCCAATTCCTTCAAGTTCTTTGTTCCTACTACTCTAGTGGCGGAAATCTAACTGTTACGCTCAGTTGGCTCTGACTCGGTTGGCTAGATTTTACCACGCCCACTCGGGGCCCACTGAGCGAGTATATAAACGCTCAACTTGTAAATTGTACTTTAGTTTATAATCATCTGCTGATGATGCTAACATGGTTAGCGAAACGCGCGTCCAGTGTAAAAGTAAAAGTGTTTTGGTGTATTGTGGTGATTTAGTGTTTTTATTTTGCTACAAAATATTATTACAAATTTTAGAAATTAAATGAGAATTTCACTCGAACTTCCAATATTTGCTTTATTTCTGTCACATAAATGACATTGATTGACAAACAAAATCAGAAAAACCAGCCTTCTCGCGCTGGTTAGTTTGGTGACAGTTATAACCGAATTTTTCAGGAACCGTGTTCCGTAATAAGAAAACTTTCAGGAAACCGATAGAAACGGAACATAAAACCATAACCAAGGTAAGCAACGGAATACACCCCTATGATACACCTTTAGATTTCGAAATATGACGTTGTAGGGTTCAGCAATTTTTCTCTAATTTAATCATCTTTGTATATCTTCTAGTTTACGAGGTCCCCGTAGAGTGCATTCTTATATGGAACACCGTGTATATGACCAAAAAATATATATTTCTTACCCTCTCTCACAGATGGTTTCTTTGCCAGGACAGTACTGCGTATCACATTTCAGCGATGTTCCTTCACATTTACAAGTAGTACACTTATCTTTCTTCCATGTCTCTCCAGGATGGTGACCTTCAGCATCGCATACTTCACAGTCTTTTGGTAAAACACAGGTATCGTTAAGCAGTACCTAGAACATATTTTTTTATCCAATAAACTTATTTAGAATGAACATAAATAACTACTTTTCCTTCAGGACAGAAGCATCCTTCAATAACACCACTTTTTTTCGGAGTTGTGCTTGCTTTAGTCTTCTGGCTCTTGGCTTTGACGTCATCACAAGTAGCTTGTTTAGACGTGGCACAAGGTTCGTAGTGTTGATCAGACGGGCAGTTCTAAAATAAATCACACCTATAAGTTTAAAAATGGTTTGAAATTCAAAAGAAATTAAAAAAGACGAGCGAGATAAACAGAACATGGAAGCATAGATAAATGAAACAAGTTTAGATTGGAAAGTGCCCATAAGGCCAATGTAAACACTATTTGGCGCTATTGTAGCAACGGTCGCGACCCAAAGCTTTTGAAAATTTCAGAGCGGTTCGGCTTTTTCCGGAATTATATCGCCAAATATTATTTATTCAAATTTATTATTATTTTCTTTTAATTTTATAAATAAAATACAGTGTATTGCATACAAGAAACTTTATTTTATATAAGGACATTTATGAAATACCTATGAAACATTGGAAACCGACGTTATGCCACGATCCACGATGGTTTTTGCAGTTCACAGTTCACAGCACAGCTTTTTAAGTTTTTTAATGCCACTTTTCACAATTATCACGGGTTTGAGTAAATAAAACTTAAATTAAACTCACAAGATAGCAATAATTACTTTGAAAATGGACGCTTTAAACACTTTTCGGAATTTTTTCAATGAGAGCGGTTTAGATTTTGAAAGATTTTATAATTTTTGAAGATTCTGACTTTAACAAGGGATATGGACAAGAGAAAATTATTTCTGTTTTTGTTTGTGGTTGTTCTTAGCAACCGCTATAGCAGCGCCAGATCGCGCACAATGGTCGCGACCCAAAAATTTGACGGGCATTCCAATCTAAATTTATTTCCTTTATCTATGCAGGGAAGTAAAGATAGATGATGATGTGACACTCTCAACATTTTAAAAAGTCAGTAATGCCAATATTATATAAATGTGGTTCTAAATAAAAATGTTTTTCTTGTTTGTTGTTCAATAACTGATTATTGCTTACCTCTGCTGGGCAGTATTCGTTCCTCCAATTGACACAAAATCCTGCAGAAGCACAGTCTCTTGCGTAAGCTTCAATCGCAGAGCACGACAGCTCTGGATGGTTTCCACAAGTATCTTTCTTACACCAATCCAGGAAAAGAGATGGATCTTGTACGTTCAAACACTGAAAACAGAAATATTCAATTTAATGAACAGAGTTGTCTTCATTTGATGGATCTCCTTTATTTACTTGTCCAAACTTCACACCATCTAACAGCTGCATGCAAGGATCGTCACTTTGAGGAATTTCTGGACACTGTTCTTCGGGTTGGTTTCCGCATTGTTCTCGACTTTGACCACCCGGTAAATGTTCGTAAAGCCTTTAAAATAAACCATAATAACATGGTTAATATGATAATAATAGAAATAAAAGAAGAATTAATTTAATCATACCAGTTCAAGGTAAAGTCATTGATATCTTTCGGTTTACTACCATCCGGGTTTCTGATATCGTCAGAAGGGTTCTTGTTACAATCTCCACACAATCCTAACAAAAAATATATCTTACATATTGTATTTTGCTAAAATTAACATACCCACCTTCTAATTTTCCGCCATACTTGTGTGATGGCGCCTTAACAGACACTCCTAGCGAAGGATAGTAAACAGAAACCTACAAATTTTTGCATTTTCAGCTTACAAACTTAATTTTACTGTAAGGGACAAAAGTCTTACCTCCACTTGATCGTCTGTCAGTAATATCTTAAAATGTTTTGACCCTGTTTCACGTACTTTGGCCCAATCTTCTATTTCCTCAAAATCGTCAATTCGTTCACTGTCTACGATAAGTTTTAGTTTGTTTCTGAAATAGTCCACCAGGATGTGGACTTTGTGGCCTTTGTACAAGATGGTCACTTTACCCACACACATTTTGTCCGGTTTTGTTTTACAGGGGTGATTAGTTATTAGAACCTGTAAAAAAAAAATAATATTTTGTTAAACAAAAATTTAGTGATATAGTATCAGCCCATCATAGCAGATCCTTCTTACTGACTATTCCCTGATAAAAAAAAACCAAATAAGCAACTTGCAGTAAAGTTTTCTATTAACAGGCTATTTAAGTGGAGAAACAGTAAGAGGGTAGAGAAATCTATACTAATATATAAAATCCTTAAGTGACCGACTCACTGATTAATCACGATCCTGCTCAAACCACTCAACGTAAGAAGCTCAGTTTTGGCATACAGGTTGATTCTAGGGTGTAGAGATTCGATAAGAAGGGCTTTTTCCATAGACTTAAAATAAAATATAGACTACACTATTTACATCTCAACGCGGACAGACAATATTTTTTGTACACATGTTTACTTCTGGGTACAGTCGACCGAGCCTTCCTCATCCAGCCTATGTTGTCACGTCTTTAATATTATCAATATTTTTTTTCTTGTTATACACATATATTGAGATATTAATACTACAGTTTAATAAAGTAGGTTTTAATATTCCAGAGATGTATTAAATAGTCCTTATACTACTAAATTATAAGTCGGATACTGTTTAAAAAGGATAAGTTCTTTACAATATGACAACACCGATTAGAGGCGAGGGAGCCTATTCATTCATTTATTACCTTGTAGTACGTGTCGCACGTGTGCGGTAAAGCTTTGTTGCCGCTATCTCCCCGGCTGTATTAACGCATTTTCTTAGCTTGTAGTGCTTAAGTGTTTATTTTATTGACTTTTTCTGTTCAAGAACTATAAAATATGGTTCGCCAGTGCCAAATTTGCAAGAAATTTGACTTAAATAATCCATTTAAGTCTTGAAACGACTTTTGACCGGTAGGCAACTCTCAATTTACCCATTGGGAGTCAGTGGCGTTGTTGTAGAAAGGCGCTTATTTAGATAATATTTTAGTAAAATGTAAAATCTGAATTTTTTCTCTTACATTACATTATTTACTTACTTACATTGTAACAAAATCATAATTATAACCCTGTTAATTATTAATAATGTTTTTATTAAAAATATATTCCGGTTTATTCTAAAATTATCTTCAGAATCTAAAATAACATACAAGAATTTTAAAATGATATTACATTATGAAACAATATTTTTTAATATACCGGGTCGTCCCAAAAGTGGCTCACCCCTATAACTTTTTTATTTTTTCAGATAAATAAAAACAGATTTGTATGTTAGTAGGTATATGACATAAATTAGGATTTATTGACGTATTCAATTGTTTTTGGTCTCTTCCTGTTTCACCGAAATGATTACATCTTTTGATTTTTAAAGGCACCCTCGGTATATTGCTTCTTTATTCGATAAAAAATGATACTCTGAATAGAATGACATATCATATGTCAACTTTTGACATTGTCGCTTAAAAACAAATCCTGTTTTAAATTTCAATCCAGAGTGCCATGGTGTTGTTAAAAACACTAAGTTTTAATGAAGGAGCCTTGGAAAAATAGTTTTGATCGTCTAATGGGTTTCGTGTCTTGTCTAGGCCGGTTAAAGGATGTACAAATCGTATTTTTAATCATATATATGTCAATTTTTTCAAATGGAACAAGGGTTACTCATTAGCATATTTGGAAAAAGCATTTTTTTTATGAATATATTGATACCACACATTTGGTATTTCGAGTCAAATTGTCGTTATGAACCGCGTGTTACAATTACAATTAAACCATATGCGAGAATGTCAAAAGTTGACATATGATGTGTCATTCTATTCAGAGTGTCATTTTCTATCGAATAAAGTAGAAATATACCAAGGGTGTCGTTTAAAAATTAAAAGTTATAGTCATTTCCGGTGAAACAGGAAGTGACCAAAAACAATTGAATGCGTCAATCAATCCTAATTTATGTCATGTACTAACATACTAAATCTTGTTTTTATTTGAAAATATAAAAAATTATGGGGATGAGCCACTTTGGGACGCACCCGGTATAATAAAGACAGTACCGAGTTAAATAAATGTAGTTTTCATTTATCCACTTCCTATCACCTTCCTTGCTTTAATGGAACAGATTTATGTTTTCTCTAATTTACATAAGACATCACTTAACCAGAAAAAAATTACAACAATCATATTTTTTTTCTCTCCCTGTCGCCGATTCTATTATATCTGTGGAATAGATCCTGTTTTGATTAATATTAGGGGTTGTAAATGTTTGACTAAAATTAATAATTTATTATATTAATTTCAAAAATTACGTAATTTCGATTATAAAATTTCTTCTATAACGTGTATTTTATTATTTTTATCCTTTTTGGACTCTAAGACGTTTTTTTCTAAACTTTTATTTAAAAAACCTGTCCTAAATCTTAATAAAATATAAAAAAAAGTTTAAATACGATATATTTTTAATTTAATTATAGCTTCATTAAAATAAAAAAAAATACCCGGCTATGATACGGAGAGTTCAGGTGTACTTGAGAAACGAAAGACAGTGTTGTGTTTCTCGGCAGAGTCGTCAGGGAACGACCGTTACGACAGAGACAACCTATCTATCGCTCGTGTCGCACTCGTTATAACCTAAAACAATAACACAACAATAACAAGACAGTGTCTGACCGCATGTTCCAGCTATTTATGAATGAGATGCTCAGTCTATATTTTATTTTAAGTCTATGGATTTTTCGAAATTCCAGATCCAAGGGGGCGAAACCACCCCTCAAATATTACAATATTTTTTATTTAAAAAACGGTCAAGGTGCCGAAAAAACGCTTAAACACGTATATTTTATTTTGTTTTTTTACATATTTTAAGATTTTTTAAAAACGTATACAGGGTGTTGTAAACGTATATAAAAATCTGGTCATTGATTAATCACGATCCTACTTAAACCGCTTGACGTAAAAAGCTGATTCTTGGAAAACGGATTGACTTTAGGGTGTAGAGGTTCGATAAGAAGGGATTTTTCGAAACTCGAATTCTGAGGAGGTGAAACCACCCCTCAAATATTAGAATATATTTTTTTTAAAAACCGGTGAGTTTTTCCGAAAACTCTTAAACACGTATTATATTTTATTTTGTTGTTTTACATATTTTAAGATTTTTTAAAAATTTATACAGGGTGTTTCATAAAATATGACCATTGAGTAATCACGATTCGGCTTAAACTGCTTGATGTTTAAAGCTGATTTTTGGTTTGTATGTTAGTGGAAATTCTTGCTTTATCATCACCATTACAAATGATTAATTCGACGCGAACGAAGTCGCAAGTACACGCTAGTAACATATAAGAGAGTAGCAGAAATAGAGAAACAAAAATAGTAAGACTCATGTTATGGACCTGTAAATCGGGACTACAAAGAAATCAAGCGTAGATCCACTGTAATTTGTAATAACAGTTCAGTTAAAGGTTTTGAGTTAAAGGGTAAAAAAAAGAATGTGAAGTTGCAATTTGGTTAACAAACTCACCTGCCATTTGTGTGTTTCTTCGTCTCCAATCAGAGCATCTCTAGACATGACGTAGACACAATTCCCACTAACTGTAAAGTTACTTTCGTCATAAGTGACGTATTGCAAGTGAGGCAGAACATTGCATTCGCAATCTCTGCAACTAGATGGCTTAATGCAAGTGTCATCCTTCCTCACGTGTCCTATAAACCAGAATATGTAAAATTATAACTGTATGGTAATAATAATTATGATTTTTTACTATTATTTTAATATATACAGGGAGTAACGCAGAAGTCAATAATAGATTTTAGTAGAAATAAAGTATCTCTGAAACGTTTAGTAATATAATTATGAAAAACAATTTACCTGCTGGGCAATAACATCCCGGGAAACACATATTATTAATTTTGGGACAGACGTTGGGATCTGCAATAGATTTGCAAGTGGGTTCGCATTTTCTTTGGTAGCAGTCGTGATAAACCAGCGGTGCATCGCATGTAGCAGCTAAAAAGTTGGTATAATATAGTATCAACAGGGTGGTTCGAACTGTATTCCGGAAACTTTGGCAGCATATTCTGCAGATGATAAAAATAAGTAAAAAAGATCGTATAAATGTATGTCCTAAAATGCTTAGTTTCGGAGATACAGGGCGTAGAATTTTTATTTTTATTACGATTTTTTCCAAATTACTTCTGAAGTAACGTCAATATTTGGATAAAAATTGGTGTCTGGAAGTTTTTTGATATGAGAAATTTGATTTTGATGTCAATATGACTCCTACTTGTAGAGGGCGCCACCTACATAATTTTTCACTGGTTTGAAGAGTAATAACTTTTCGTCCGTACCTGTATAAAACTACTGAGTGAAAAAATATACATTTCCGTCATTTTTTTCGTAAAAAATGTCATTATCAAGATATTTAGAATGGAAATAATCAATACATCATTATTGACAAAAATAAACACGTCGAGTAGATAGTTATTTGACTGAAATAATAATTTTGGGAAATTTTTATTTTTTTCTAAACATAAATTTTTCTTATAATTTTTGAAATAATGATAAAACAGTTTCTGTTGAACTGTTGGCACAAAAACATTTAAAATTTATGATTTTAGTGTAATAACTATTTGGTCAACATGTTTAATTTATGTCAATGATGATAGGTATTGATAATTTCGATCCCAAATATCTCGAGAACCATTACTCGTAACGATTTTTACCAAGAGACATTTTGTACGTAAAAAGTCGCGGGGATATGTATTTTTTTACTCAGTAGTTTTATACAGGTAAGGACGAAAAGTTTGGTTTGGTTTGGATTACTCTTTAAAACAGTTAAAGCACATGTAGGTGGCGCCCTCAACAAATAGGAGTCACATTGACATCAAAATCAAATGTCAAAATACTACCAGGGCAAAAAAAAATATACCCAGGCACAAATTTTCATCCATATTTAATAATTTGGAAAGAATCGAAATAAAAATGAAACTTCTTCACCCTGTATCTCCGAAACTAAGCCACTTTAGGACATATTTTTATACAAACTTTTTTACTTATTTTCATCTTCAGAACATGCTGCCGAAATTTACGGAATACAGTTCGGACCACCCTGTATATTGGTAACTAGTTTGTAGTCATTTGTCGTAAGACTATTTTTTGTAAGTTTTTGGTAATATTGTTCCTAAAACAAGTATGTGAAATAAAAATAATAAACTCATTATTACAACATTAATAAATGATATTTTATTTAATAAAAAATGAGACTCAGTATACTCTGTTTTTTTTCTCAGGTAAGATTTCGGCAGACGATGACAGAAGAAAAGCAGATGACATCCCATACCAATCTATTTATTTTACTAAAAAAAGTTTCTAATAATTTTTAAGTTAACTATGGATGGGTTTAAATATAAATTCGTCATGCGTCGTCACTTGTTGTTTTTAACCAGTTTTATTGGTTTATTTCAAAAATGACAGATCGTATTTCAATTTTATTGGTTTGACGGAACGATGAACGACAAACGGACGCCAATGCGTATGAACTCGCCTTTAAATTTTTGACGTTTGTCAAAGTCTTGCCAAATTATAGGTTATAATTTTCTGACAACTTTTGTCAAATACCCTGCGTTTTGGAAGATGATGCATTTTGATTTGTGTTATTACGAGTGTTTTGTGTCTTTTGAAATCAAGTGGAGGAAAAATCGAGTAAAAATTAACTCTAGAACCCAGAGCACAGGTTTTGGTTAATAGTCGCTGCCCAGGCAGAAAGTCTTATACAGATACACCAATAAAGTTACTATCAATAAAGTTCGTATACCATCTCGTCGTAGATAAGTGCATCTCGAATATGGTAGAAGGACCATACTAAACACATACTAAAAACTGGAGTAGCTGTAAAATATCGACATCACACGATAGCTAAATAATGGATTTTAGTACTGCAGAAAAATAATGTCAAAAGGTACTAGTTTAAAAAAATTAAGATTAAAGTTAATTAATCAACCTGTGAAGTATAAAATTTGGTAAGTGTTATTATTAATAAAATAGTTTGTTTTATTTATGTTGTTTTATTTATTCCTGCGGAATGTTACAAATTTGTATTTGTACATAAGTTATATTGATAAAATATAATCATAAATGCGGGAAGTTTCATAAAGCTTGAAAGTAAGAAATAGTTCTTTTTTATATTTTTTGGTATGTGGTTCCACACCATGTTGGTATTTTTTGGTATTAACACATACCGTTTTTTATTAAATAAAATAACTCGATTACATTTTTTCAGTTTTATGCAGTTTTATTCACAATATTTTGAGGTTACTTGTCAGTCAAATTTTAAATACATATATTAATTTCCTGCTATGCGTTCCAGTTGTACCAACTTATTTCTTTGTAAAATAAAATAAACTACTTTGAAATTAAAATGACAGACACATCTATCCCTGTCAAGGATCTTCTCGTTGGACAGACTATAAAACAAAAAAGCTTACGGCAATCTTGCAGCACTCTCCAATCAGATAAATCCACAGATGAATCAGTCGAAAGACAATCGATTACAAAGGTCTGCATAGCGTTGCATCTGCATTCTTCGGCTGCAGTATGATTATCTGGAGACTTTTCCAGACAACTGCATGTCGTTTCCAGACATCTCGAAATAAAACCCTCTATATCGAGAACTTTCGCGCATTGGCCCAAAGGTTGTTCTCTGAAAATCGTAAAAATATAGCTTGTTACGTTTAAATATTAATGGTTTGTAAATTAAGTAATGTAAAATTACCTCTAAAGACAAGACCTTTTTAAAAATAACCCTGTATATCCAAGTCATCTATATACTTACTTGACCTTTGTACATATATCCCATGCTTGATTTTGAATATGTAAAGGACAAGCCTTGGCTTCGCACCATTCTGGTTGTTCTTTATCCAATATCCAACTAAAAAACATCATTACGTTTTAAGTCATAAAACAATTTTGTTTACTGATATAAAGAATGTGTACCTATCGCCAAATTCAGCAGTGGTTCTGGCCAACGTTCCATCAGGTTTTCGCTTGTCATCATCAGGATCATCGTTGAAATACCCGCACAGTCCGTCAACTTTGCCTTCCAGTTTGTGCACCACTCCAAACTTGACGTTTGCCAACTTGTTCCAGATTATCCAGAATCCAAATCTAGACAAAAAATATTATATAGCATATTGCAATGAATCTGAAATAATAATAATTGAATTTTAAAATATAAATACTTTAAAAATCGTTATTTGGCAGTTGTCTGTTGTTTTAATTCGAAGGTAAATTGAATTGTTCTGTCAATTTTTAAATGACGTTATTATTACCTATTTGAAATAAAAAGTACTGTGCTGCCGAGTTGCATGACAGAAAATCCTTTATCTGGACCTCCGATGTTCTTAATTTGCTCCATAGAATACTCGTATCCATCATATTGTATACTTAAATCTGATCGAATGATGACTTCGTGATCGTGATGTTTGATTATCAGATCTCTTGAGCAAATCTGGCTACAGTTCTTCTTCAGTGAAACCTAGCAAAAAAAAGATAACAACAGACTAAGTCAACATATTTTATTTTTGTAATAGATTTATTAAAATATCAAAACATCAACAAACATTGTGGTTACTATAAAAACCATAATGAAAAAGTGCAATATTCTAAAAACTGAAAACTATAAAAGAGTATAGAATTTCGGTGGTATCTTACCTCCCAATCTTCGTATTCTAAATCTCGACCAATGACATGGTTACAAATGTCGTACTTCAGTTCGGTGTTGTCAAATGTATTGAAAGTACGGCCAGTTATATTGCAGATCGCATCAGGTTGTGGTTGAGGATAGCAAGAGTAACTAATTAAAAGAAACCGACATATAAATACAAAATTGAGAGTTCATAGAGAATAATCTCGTAGCGCCCTATTTTATTAACATCTACGAACTCCGACCACCCGGCTGTTAAAATTAAAAAGCTAGTGACCTCTACGTAACTCATTCTGAATTAACTATTCTTGGTGTTTATTGAACTTTGAATTTAAAAAGGTGCCACAATTTTTGGCGCCCAACGTGGGACTGATTTATTGGATAATTATTCCAAAAAAACTCGTAAAAGGCAGGCAGAAAAATGCATGGTTCATTTAGAAATATGTAATAATTACTTTTATTCAAATATGCGATAATTATTTTGAGTAGTGTATTTCATTTACACAATTTTACTTACGTTGGACAAGTTTTTGTACCATAGTCATCAGAATAATCCAACACAGGTATGAAATTAGCTTGACATATGATAGGGGGACACTCCTCTACAGTGTGAATATAGTCAGTACGTGGTTTATTAAGAACACACTTGTACTGAGGACAAATAATTTCTTCTACAACTTCCGAAGGCTTGGGTTTGGGTAGAGTGTATTTTTTTTGAGTAGTCTTTACACTGGTTTTTGTTGGAGATTTTGCTCCGTAAGAATTTACCTGTTTTCTTTTGGTTTTTGTAAAAGCTGTAAAAAAGATGAAACCCTGTGTTAAAATAAAAAAAAAATGGTTAATATAAAAATTTTGATTTAAGAGATATTACGAAATGATCCATCAATTATTTAACAGAAGAAAAACAATAATAATATAGTTTTTCATCAATTTGGCACAGCTTATTTAGTACAAGCTGGTCATCTTTCCCCAATGCATGCTCGTTTCTTTTTAAAGATTTTGATTTTATTTTGATTACGTTAATTGACCTTTACAATAAAAATAAGTAAGATTAAATTCTTGTACCTTGACTGACTATCATGGGTGATAAATAAGCTTTGTGAGCTTCAGTTCTTGACATTTCTTGGACAACCTTTTTGTATCCAGGTTGGCATTCGACCACTGGACAAGTTTTCGGCTTTTTCGTGGTTGTTGTTGGTGCTCTAGTTGTAGGTTTCACAGTAGTAACAACGCCTGAAATAATATACAAATGACAATAAAATGTCTACCTAAAAAAAGGTACTTACAGTTCAACTCATCATCTGGACAGTCTTGAATGCCGTTACACCAGAGCGTCGAATTGATGCATATGTTACTTGTCCGACATAAAGTCGTACCTTCTGGGCACGGTTGACAAGTGCAATGGCAAGTACTGGTTACTGTACTTCTGAGTCCTGAAAATAACGACCTTTAATTATACTTTCGTACATACCGCTACGCCAAAATGTTTCATTAATAATATTATATTCTAATTACTATTTTTATATTTTCTATCATCTAGTAAATACATTATAATATATATCAAATTCAAATTACCTTCTTTGCAAGAGCCACACTCTTTTGGTGTACAATACGAGACTCCTCCCAATTTGCAGATACATTCTGAGCAATCTTCTTTCTCGAAAGCTGTTCCCACCTCGTAGGATATGTGGCCAACCATACAAGGACACTGGGTACGATTCACGCACTTCAAACCATCAAACCATAGATCAACAGCACACCTATACAAATTTGTATAGTAAAATAACCTAAATAATCACTATAGTCTAGATTGATAGTTGTTTCGTGTCTTTTTTTGAATGTTCTCTGTCGAAATCATATATTCTTCTCTCGCTGGGTTGTCTATACCTAAGAAGATACTTAAAGGAACACCCTGTATATTCACCTGCAGGCCTCCATTTCTAATGTCGAAGCTTTCACTCCAGGACAGTTGTTACAGGGTAACGAAGATTCAGTGGTAGTTGATGGTATTTCTAAAATAGGGTATGGTTTAAAACAGCCATGAAGTTCTACCCTCAACTGAATTTTATTCTTCCATTTTAAGGGAATCAGCTTTATATACCTTTAAACAAGTAACATTAGTATTCTGTCATAATATAGGTGGATATGATTCACCTGGCATTTATTGGTAAGGCAAAATTATTGACTTGGGGTGAGTTTTCATCGAAGTTCCCCGGGAATATTTTTTCTTTTTCAGTTTCATCGTCGAGAATAGGATTCCAGTCAAGTTCGTTATGAGAATATTTAACAGAATAAGCTGTTACCCAGCCATCACTTCCACCTGAAGTAATAAAATCATCAATAATAATGTAATAGTAATTAATAGACATAATAAAGGCACCATAAAATTTTTATGTATTTTAAAGTTTTATATAGTGTGTTCTAGTGGACCGATTGTGATGATTTTTTAAGCAATTTGTAGCTAAATTATTTGAATTTTTAGTATATCTTTCTAAATTAAAAATGAAAGTTGTCATCCGTCAATTATACGAGGGAAAACAAAATGTTGACATTTTGGTGAAAGTTTGAAACACCCTGTGGAATATGTTAACAAAGCAAGGAATTTAAAAATAATTTTATCATCTAGGTACGTCTTTTTTCGATAGTTTGTTTTTTGATTCATCACAATAGCTTTATTTTTATTGGAGATATTCGCTTTTGAATAAGACAGTAACATTTACAGCAATTTTAGCATTGATTTTGGGTCCTCATCAACACATAAAATAGTGTTTATTGTTTTTGTAATGTCACTATCATTAAAATTCATATTATTATTGTTTATTGACGGTTACTCTAGTGGAGATAGTTAACTAACCTCGCTAAAATTACCATCCATTATCATTCCCCAGCCGTCTTTGACACCGTTTTTTTTTCTATCGTAGGGTATTAGTAAATATATATTTACCTTTAGTAACAACACCAGTGATATCCCGTGGTTCTAAGAAATCAAACTGAACCCACTCTGTTGGTGAATCACTCAACGGTTGCCAGAAGTTCAAATTATTCAGTCTATAATAAAAAAAAATTCACATGTATATTAGTTTGAAGGAAATAAAGTATGTTCAACGAGAAAATACTTGACAGTGACAGTTGTTCTCTGTCTTTTTAGTTCTATAATTGTTATTATTGTCAAATATTGGATGTCGATGTCAAAATATTCCCCGTCTTGTAGAACAGACTTAGGTATATAATGTTTAATTTGAAAAAAAATCTGTTTATTTTACCTAATGTATTTTTTGCTGAATTGGCTGGACAATTCAGAACTAACTTTGATTTGTTGATTGACAAGTGACCCGTTGGACAACCCCATTTCATCATCACATAGCGATGGATGGTCAGGAGGTAAGGTTACAAAAACTTCAGAAACTGTGGTACTAATCAGTTCTGAGCATCCGATAATTTCAACTCGCAAAGAAATTCCGTTGTTCCATGTTTGGGGTTTGATTCGCACTATGGAAGCTTCAAAAGGTTTGTTGAATATTTGTTTTACTGGAGTATTACCATCAATTGATCCTACAAGAATAAAACGAATCAGTCAGAAAAAACTGTATACTTTTTAAATTTTTGTTTTTAAGAGTTTTTCTTTTGGGGAGACTTCCAAAAGTATCATCATAAAATATAGCTTTAAAAACAAAGTACTAACCTCGGAAAATTTGAGGTCTTGGTGGAGATTCCTCGTTCAAAACGTAGTAAAAATCGAAACCGTCAGGACTGTAAAGTACCATGTAACTTGTGACGTACTCATCGTACAGCGGACTTCCCTGTACTATAACTCCATAAACTGGTTCTTGTTGGCCTAGGTCTACTTCAAGATATTGTTCCTAAGCAGTTATAAATTAAAAAAAATAAATTAAATATTTTTTCTTTGAATAACTTATTTATTTTCAAAATAATCTAAATTTTGTTTATTGATATTACCTGATTAGTATATTGAGGTGCCCAACTTCCTCCAGATTTTTCTGTAATTTTGGTGTTCAATTTTCCATATTTAGGGGCAAATGACGCACTAAGAACACTACTAGCACTGAAAGCACTGTCTGGTAGTGGTTGGTCTCCTTGTATCAGATTAATATATCTAAAAAATGTATATTATTGAGTAACAGTAAATTTAAAGGAAAAAAAAAAGAATCAGGAAAGAGTATATCAGCAAAAAAATTATCTGACATTTGTCATTTTCAAGAATCGTTGGCAAAATTACAAATTTTATTCGACATTTGTCAAAGAGTCAAAGTAAAAAAAGTAGCCGTGGCAACATTGCGACGTACATTCGTACGTCAAATATTTTGATGACGTGCATGCCAAGTTATACTGATTCCCCTATGCATACCTATCCTCTGTACATAGTGGTGGAGGTGACACCGATGGTACCAAGTAACCTTGAGTGGTGGGTGGTTCTTTGTACAGTTCGGACACGACAACTTTCTCGAACCATGTTTCTGTGGTGGCAACATTTTGACAGTTGTCGTGACAGGAATAGAAGTTGTCTACGCATTGGCATTCCATACAGACGCCTTCGTAGACGATTTCTCCAGGTTTGACAGGTCTACCTTCGTTACTAATGCACATACAGTCCGCTTTTGAAACGCACGTGTTTTCATTTAACCAGAAATAACCTAAAATATCAGGATTAATAGTTGAAATACTATTAGAATAATATAAATAATATAATCCAAAGAACTGTAAATATATCATGGATTTTTTGATAAAATTCAAAACGCTTTCTAGGTCTACTTATTTCTCTGAGGTTAAATATCTATAATTTTATGAATTTATATTCATAAAATTATAGATATCAAATTCTCAACACTAACCTTCTTGACATTTAACCCTGTTGCTAGCAGAAACGCATCCTGCTTCACATTTAGTGCCTTCTTTGCACATGCCTTCTTCGCGAGTCACCGACAAGTAGTTTGCGCAGAGCCTGTCGCATCGTACTGCGCAGTTCTCTTTGATAGTACCGGGCGGACAGTTGCCGCATGTCGGTTTGATTTTGATGACGTTGTCCTCCCAATCGCAAGTCATCGATTCCGGATTGTAGAACATGTCAGGACCGCAAGTTTTCTCCACCTGGTATATAACAGGATATACAGGATGTTTCAAAAAACATGTACTATTTCTCGTGGGGAGATTCCTCACGTACAATCTTAGTTTTTTTTTACTTTTTTCTTAATTTTCTTCCAAGTTCTTTTACCGATTCAAATGAAATTTTGAGGGTAAAAGTTACTATAAGTGGGACATATTTGAATGCTAAACACGTGTCCACACATTCACCAGGGACGTGCAAATGAATTATTACTGGAATATTGTTCTAAAACATGTGCGCCACTGACTTTTTCTCTTGTTAGCAAAATTGTGTGTTTAATATGTCTCACTAGTAACCTTTACCATCAAAATTTCATTCGAATCGTTAAAAGCACTTGGAAGAAAATTATAATAGATTTAAAAAAATAAGGTTTTAACCCCCTGTCGCTACGAAACCAAGCAGAACATATGATGATATAAAAAATAAATCTTGTTTTTACTTGTTTTTGAAACACCCTATATATCAGATATATGTTAGTTTTTATCCCTATGGGTGTTTTTTACATAAAAACTATTTAATTATAATCAAAAATTAGTAAGTTTACTTACAAATTTTCCATGATCACATTGCAAGAATTTGCGACAATCTGTTGGATGCTCTTTATTTGGTGAATTAACATCACATTCCGAAGAAGAATTACAGGAACACAATACCTAGAAAATAAGTGCCTATGTTACAGTATGTTATATAATATTACATCCAGTATATGATACAGAGTGATTCTCTAACTTGGAGTAAATTCTGTAATGTAAAATATGACGACATCTCGAGATTTTTAAGATTTTTTAATTGGCAACCTTGTAATAGTGGCTCAAATAAAGTCATAGGAAAAGAAGTCTTGCTTACTCGTATTTTAAAATCGGGGCAAGGATTTTTCTTATCAGAAGATCGACAAATCAATCCATTTTCTAAACTGCATTCCACATCTAATTCTAGTTCTTTAGGATGACGTCCGTCGGTTGTCAAACATTCTATATCTGTCATCTCTTCTAATGTACACTTGCTGGAATTCTTCAATTGGTTCAAAATGATTGGGGTGGGGACAGGTTCTACGTCGTTTAGTTTCTTCTGTTTTCTACCCTTGACAACTTTTACCTGCAAAAATAAATATAATATAAAAAATATCAGAATGATGTTTTGAATCAATGTGCAGTAAAACTCTGGATCAGGGAAAAATAGACTGTACATTGGAGAAACAGTTCGATATTTATTGGGACTGAACAGTAGAACTCACTGCCAGGATTTCTTTAAAAATTTCAAAATACTGACTCTTCTTTCTTTATTCGTTTTTGAATCCGTTTGCTTAATCCGCAAGCACATATCTGCTATTCCCGAAAGGCCATCTCATAACTATCCACTCAGGAATGCGGAGCACGATCTTTATCTGCCAACCCCGAGCTCAGAACTAGTTAAAAGTTCAATACTGTACATTGCCAAAAAAATGTACAATCATCTGCCTTTGAATATCAAGTCGCTTTCATTCTTTCCCGCATTTCGCAAAGCTCTGAAATCATACTTACTGGAGAGAGCCCTATATGCGGTGAACGACTTAAGGGTCAAGTATTTAATATTTTATAACTCTTAAGATTGTATCTATTTACAATCTTCCTATTGTAAAACTTTATTGATACGCCTTTTTTCCTGTTCTGAAATAATTGTCCATGTCTATTTGTAATTTTGATGACATAATTTTTTTTTGAATTGTATGATTTGTATTGTGTATGTTTTATTATTTGTACGTTTTTTGTGCTTTTCTTTGTTGTGTAAATGCTTTGTCGATGAAGCTATTTTGGCTTTTTGCACAATAAAGCGTTATTTATTAATTTATTTATTATTTGGGAAACGCTATAGAGAGGCTAGAACCGGAGGAACTATGCTTCCTTTCTATCAAGGACCTGCACAAACTGATGCAGACAGAGAAAGGTAACAAACCCCATAGATCTTAAACATCGCAGTGTTTCTGACAAATGAACTCCCTTAATATTGAAGAAAAAGAACAAATGATGTACATAGTAGTATAAATTAATTTGGTTTGGTTTTAAACAACCTATCCATAAATGTCTCTATCCATAAAACTATTCGAGAATATTCAAAAAATACTTGCTTTATCTTGATTGAGCCAACTGGTCCATCCTGATGTACATTGCACGGTTTGTTCGTTTTGTTCTGTGGTGTATTCTAGAAATTCTGTGGTACTGCAAGGTTGTCCTTTGCATATTTTCTCGCCTCTGGAACAGTAACAGCTGTGACAATCATCCTCTTCAACCAGGTCCCCTTCGTAGTATGTAACTCCGTCTAACTCTGCATTTTTTATTGAACAAAAAGATAAAACAAATGAAATAATGTTGATGCATAGTAAAACAAACAATAGTATTTATTTTAGCGTGATATAAAAGCGTTAAAAATTTATTTTTACTTTTAAAGATCCTGTATCTGGACATATAAACAAAAAAAACTATCAAGATATACATTTATTAAGACAGCTTTAACAATTTTAATATTGACAAAAATACAAAAATTTAGCCTTATTTTAAATTTTATAGAAGGATCATAATATTAGCCACATCATGGAGATAATACGATGAGTACTATTAACCCTAGATAAGCAATAAGATTTTTAAATATAATTATTTTTTAATATTCTTAATTTAAGTTCAACTTAATATAACAACCTTAAAGTTTTTCGCACTTGTTCTGGAACATCCTGTATATAATGATTAGCGATGGGAACTATCGAATGAATTAGACTATCGAATGGTTACTGAATGAATGATTTCAACTATCGAATGATTATTCGAATAAAATCATTCATTCATTTGTATACTAAAGCATATGTGACAACCTCGCCGTGCGACTAAATAGTTATCGTTGAGCTACGACTATCGAATGTTTTTAATAAATTAAATTTAGTATTCGTTTGATTTTTGTGTGCGTCAGTGCATTATTAGTTCTTCCAAATTTTTATAACTTGCCTTCTAAATACTGTGCTATTTTTGTGTTTATTAAAATATTTAAAATACTAAAATAGTAGTTTTTTTTTAATAATTGACGATTGTGTGCGTGTGCAGGTGTCAAAATTTTTCCGAAAATTTGTGTGATTTTCCGTAGCCCGATCTTTCAATTATTTTATTTTATATGGTATATGGTCTATTTTTTAATGGGGAATTTTGAGAAGTAGCAATTATTAAGAGAGATGAGATGAACTTAGAATTAATTTTAAAAATACATATTTGTATTTTAGATATTTCAATAATATGAATTAGTTGAACTTAATAAACTTAATAATCACATTTAAGTAATGTGGTTAAGTAAATGGTTATCGAACTCAAACTATGGGGTGAGAAAATTAAATTGAAAGTTTTACACGTGCCAATTTAAAAAAAAAGTTAACGATGTTTGTATTTTGTTTATGCTAATTCTCTTACATGTAGTTTTTGTAAAAGAAATATTGCATTTATTTTTTAAAGTAAATGCCAGTAAAAGTAAATATTATTTTTAAATAGTAATATAAAGTACCTAATATAAATAATTTTGATTTCTAATTTTTTATTTATATTTTCCTTCCATTACACTGCATGCTTAGGAAATTAATAAATGTTTATATTTCATGATTTTAAAGTTTGTTTTTAATATAACAAATTAGTTCTGTAATTATTATTAGTTAATAAACCAACGTTGCCAAAAAATTTAAAGACTATATTATTTTTAAATAGGATCTAATATAAATAATTTTCACATCTAATTTGTTCTTTATATTTTGCTACTACGTAAAAAATGTTTATATTAAATTATTTTAAATTTTGTTGTTAATAGGTATAACAAATTAATACTGTTGTTATTATTTTCATTAAACCAGTCTTTGCTTAAAAACATTAAAAATCGTTTTCCTACATCCAAAATAACAAGTATTATTGCAGTGTAACAACAGAATATTAATAAAAAAATGCAAAATATATAGACATACTATCCCTAACTAACTAAAGCCAAACAATAATATTCTTTGCTAATATGGCTAATATCAACTAATACCAATATATGGCAACAGCGCCCTTCATAATGTATTTTCTGTGTAAATACTAGCACCTCAATAAAAAAAATAATGTGTCCTTATCTTTATATGACTCCGCAAAAAATCAAAGATGCCGGCTTCTTTCATAGCATTGCCACCGACCGCTGTCGGGTTTCTCGGAAAGAAATCTACGTCGCCGGGCGACAACTAAAATCCAGTTAATATTTTATTATGATCGATCCTGACGAATAAATGAATGAATTTTATAAATGAATGGTTTTGCTGCCGAATTACTAGAATACAATATTTCAAGGCAGATGACGCATCTATTCGATAATTTTTATTCGAATAGTTTTCAACGAATGTTTTCTAACTAGCTATCGAATTATTCGAATGAATTGCAACTATCGAATGTTTCGATAGTATTCATTCGATAGTTCCCACTACTAATAATGATACTGTATGTGACACGTAAATAAAGGAAACAAGTTTAGATTGGAATGCTCGGCTTGCCGCCAAAACTTATAATTGTGGTAAATAAATATAATAAAACTTATAATTGTTGTATAATTGTGTTTCATATGTCCTTATATAAAATAAAGTTTGTTTTTTATATGCTGTAGTGTATAAATATTATTACACCCTGTACATAATAGTTTAGATATAAGTATTTCTTAAGTTAAGTTAATTAAGGCCAGTTATATTACATGTTTAGAATTAGTTGTTTATATAATATTAGGAATGCAACTATGCATTATTGGATGTCGCGCGATATGCTAATTAGGGTTAACCGAATTCAATTACTATTAAGACATACACAAGAACATATTGTAATAGTTATTCGAAATAAAGTTGGTTTTTTTATATAGTCTTAAAGTTTCCTTCAGAGCATGTAATTGCGAACCCAAATAAGAACATTACATGGCGACCCTGCCATTGCATGCTTTGGGGATATTTTAGGAAGACTATGGTATAAAAGAATGGGGCATAATCAATCCAAAGAGGAAGTATTTATTAACCAAGCCGGCAACAGTGGTGGCGTTAGCAATGGTATGGCGTGGTTTTCACTAAGTTGGAGTGAAATTTTAGGAATCATCTCCTTCTGTCTAGTTTTGGCAGTAGTTTTTGCGTATGGATACCAAAAATTAAAGAAAACTTTGGAGAGGAAAATAAGATCCGAAATTAGAAGAAGTCAAGAGCTAGTTTAGTTTAGTAAGTAGTAATACGGGATTTAAAGTTAGTTATTATGAGTTGATTTTAGATTTTTATGAGTAGTGTAAATTTAGAAGGAGTTAAGGAATTGTACGTGATCGTCAAAAAGTTTCTTGAAAAAGTTACTAAGGAACCGGAAGAGAGACGGGGAAATTTAGAAAGAAATAATAAAATATTATCTGAATAAGAATTATTAGAAAAGCAATTTAGTAAATTAAAAGAAGGCTGCAGTCCAGAAAATATTGACAAAAAATTTAAAGAATATTTTGAGGCAACAAATCAAACTCTTTTTCGAGCCCGTACAATCCTAACTACTAGAATAAAAAATTGTGTAGTTATTAAGAATAGTAGTGTTAGAAATATTGAAAATATGGGTGAAAAATTTGATTTACGCACAGCAGCGTCCTTGTTACCCTCTATGAATGGGCCTGAGGAGGCTACTAAACAATTAATTGATGCCATCGAATTATATAGCGAACTTTTAGATCAATCCAGTAAACCTTTGCTAGTTAAATATATTTTAAAGGCCAAGTTAAACCAAAACGCTAAGTGCAGGTTAAATAAAGCTTATAATAGTGTTGTTGATTTAATTGAAGACATGAAACGTTTCTTACTTGCTAAAAAATCTGTACCGGCTTTATCCACCCAATTGCATTATGCGAAACAAGACGGCAAATCTATCGATGAGTAAGCGGAGTCTATCGAGAAGCTTATGGTTGACTTAACTTTAACTCAGGCAAATAATGACGATGATGCTTTGTCAGTCTTACGAGGAGTAAATGAGAAAATCGCTATCAGTACATTTGCAAATGGTCCTAGAAACGCAGAATTAAGAACAATTATTAAGTCGCGAAATTACCAAACTTTAAATGATGCTATTGTCGGGGCTAAGGAAGAAACCTGTTCAAATAACGTTAGTTCTTCAGTTTATCATATTAAAAATAAGCAAAATTATAATAGGGGATATTACCAGGATAATCGTGACACACTGTATTTTATTTAAAAATTAAAAAAAAATAATAAATTTGAATAAATAATATTTGGTGACATAATTCCGGAAAAAGCCGAACCGCTCCGAAATTATCTAAAGCTTTGGAGAACAACCGTTGTAAGAATAGCGCCAAATAGTATTTACATTGTCCTTATGGGCACTTTCCAATCTAAACTTGCTTCTTTTATCTACGATGGTGACATAATGAAACGTACCTAAGCATACTGGTTTGCATGTATTTCTAGGAACGCAATCTGTATAAGATTCGTTCAAGTAAACATGATCTGGTGGACACGGCTTGGGATTACAGCCTTCCACACAAGTATCCTCTCCACAATTTTTAGTCAGTTTACTATTGGTCAGCAAGTTGTCACAAGTCTCATGAGGACAGGTGCTCATACAGGGAGTGTACGTGGAACACCGCTCGTCACATTGGACAGGACACAGTTGCTGACTTCTCCATTTAACAGGAGCACCTCTGTTGTTACATTCCTGAGCATATGCTGCGAGTGCTGTGCAGAGACATTGGCAGTCACCTCCTTGGTCGCAAGCGCATGCGTCAAATACACATCTGAAAAAATAGTCATATAGAGTCAAGTGGTGTAAAAATTAAATATTTTCCAAAATTTTTAGTTGTTTTCTTAGTTACAACCATTTAAATACAAAAGTTACCCCTAAAAAAGTCAATATGCAGAAAAAAAGTGTCATATTTAGCAGATAAAAATTCTACAAATGAGACATGGTTGGTTAAATATGATGAAATATGTCACAAAATGCACGTTTAAAGGTCCTGCTATCGTTTATATTAAATGCTGCAGTAAAGATGAGACTAAGGATAGAAATTAAACATAGAAATTTATATTTTTTATTAGTCGAACTCAAATAAAAACTCTAAATTAATCAAGAACACCTGCATATATTTCAAATCAAAATACAGTAAAATTACACCGTAGCAAAAAATTGATAAACTAAAAGTGTAAAACAATTACCATTTTGAAAAAAAAAAACAAGTTAAAATCTCAAATTGTACTCACAAAACTGTTAATATAAGTTAAACTCTCAAAACATAGGCACAAAAAAATTACAAGTAGGCCATAAAAACAATATTTTACAATATGAAACTTATCTAGCTAAACTCACCTATCGAAATACGCATCCAATGGTACTTCTGAATGACAGGGTGCAAACAGAGAACTCTTTAACACTCCACATTTCTTCAAAGCCCACACTTTTCTATCAGGACGTTCAGCGCAAGTGTCCTCCACTTCCAGAGCCTCAGGACAGTAGTTTTGCAATCTAAATACATTTTTACCATTATTTTCCTAAAATAATTAAATTTTAGCATAATCTGACCTCCAGGAGTCCCCGAAAATTTTGGCAGATGCTTCAGAAAGGCCGCCAGAGGGAGTTTGGAAGTCGTCTTCTTCGTTATCGTTGTAGTTGCCACACAGTCCTTTAATTTTGTTTTTCCATCTTGGATCCACTTTTACGTATACTCTGGTACCTTAAACGTTTTATAAAAAATATATCTATATTGTCTTTTTACAAAGAAAAGTGTTTCATGACATAAAAAATTATGCAAATAATGATAAAGTAATATAGTTTGCAAATGCGAGAATGCATGACAATGACAGTTATTGTTTCTCATTTTAGTTCACAGTAGGTGTATTCCGTTGCTAACCTTAGTTATGGTTTTATGTTCCGATTCTATCGGTTTCCTGAAAGTTTTCTTATTACGGAACACGGTTCCTGAAAAATTCGGTTATAACCTATGGTTATAACTGTCACCAAACTAACCAGCGCGAGAAGGCTAGTTTTTCTGGTTTTATTTGTCAATCAATGTCATTTATGTGACAGAAATCAAGCTAATATTGGAAGTTCGAGTGAAATACTCATTTAATTTCTAAAATTTGTAATATTATTTTGTATTTACATCAAAAAGCAATGGATGTAAGCAGTAAAGGTAAATAAATTTCATTAACTAAATGAAATGACTTTTTAGGACCATTTAAGCTTATCATGCAGCCATTGTTTCTTAAAGTCAGGAACATTTAAAGAAAACATGAAAAACAAGACAACAATTAATCGTGAATGTTTTGTAAGCTATAAAAATATAAATATTGATTAGATTTGTTTATTTATTATTGATCTGTTTTAATATTGAACCTGCAAATCTTCACTTGAACTGTTTAACGAGTTTAACAGTTTATTAATAAAGTACTTTTCAATATTAAACTCCACTGAAAAGAAGAAGCAAACGTAAAAGCATAGTATAAGTACGTTAAAAATGCATAAAAGATAAATTGAAATTCGAGAGGTATTGAAATTTAGAAAACGTCAACATTTGACGTTTTCAGTATTTTACCAAACTGTTCCGTATCAAACCGATGTTTTTCAGGAACCGCTCTTTACCGTAGTTTACCGGTCTGGTTCGCCTGGTTTTGCAACGAAATACAGCCTAAATTGCTTGCTTAATTTTTTGTTCTAACATTCTTTGGATCTCACAGGTCAAAATATTTTTTTGTTCCTTTTTAGTTCCTTATGTATAGTCGTGCAAACCAGAGGATATATGATTTATTTTCATTTTTATTCTTCCGCCTTAGAGACACTTGCCCTGTATACAAATTACCCTGGTACTTTAAACATATAAAAAGATTTTTAAATAATAAGATAAAAATATAATATCTAAATTGTTTTAATAAATAAAAGTTAATCCTGACATGACAAATTGTGTAAATTATTATAAAAGTAATATACAGGGTGTCCCAATATGCCGTGGACATAAAACTACTCGTATTTTTGGAATCAAAATAAGTTCATTGCATACAATTTACCTCTATAAAAAAGTGCTTCGTTTGTCCGCTAGAGGGCAACAAAATTTAAAAAAATAAAAAATATTTCAGATATTTTAAGAACGTTATTCCGATTTGAATGATATTTTGAATGTCTATGTTTTGTTAAGTGCTTTAACATTTGACTTTCACAAAAATTAAGAAAAAGTACGGGAAGGGTGAAAACTACTCCCACCCCTGCATAAATTTTAGTACTATAAATATTTTCCAATTCCACCGATGACAGTGTTACGGTTATATATTTTAAAGGGGAGTTAATTTTCTTATATTTATTTTAATCATACATCTTGACAAAATGGTGAATGTGGTGATTTATTATTTTTAATTATATCCTTGAAGATGACACGTTAATAAAATATAACAATACATTTCTTAATACATATTAATTATTTATTTATTTTCTATTTATCGGGGGTTTTCCTGCTCGGGCGCCATTTGCTACCTTCCGGTTTGGGAGGTGGGTTCAAAACAGATTTTTCTTTCACAGATTTTCTTTTCGTTTTAATTTTTTTTTTCGTTTAATTTCACAGAATTTCTTTTCGTAAAATGGTCCCTCTAGTATTTATTACATTTTTCGTCATTTGTAAAAAAACGATACATCGCATAGTTTTTGTGACAAAAAATTTGGAGAATTTATTTTTCCAAAGTAGGCCTACAAAATATACAGGGAGTTCCAATATTTCGGTAACAATATAAACAGAAAAAATCAATTTTAATCGCAACTGAGAATATAAAATATACTTAATAGTACCTTTGTCCCAATGAACTACCAAACCCAAATCAGGTGCTTCTACAATCACAAATAATCCTATTTCTCTTATGGTGACGTGTTTTTTGGTAACGAATTTGGGAACAGATTTGTCCTTGGTCAGTGTTATTACTTCATTATCGTCTCCAGAAATGATCCTGGAATTTTTACAAATAAATAAAATAAGTATATTAGAATTAAGTAACGAATCAGAAAAATCTATTTGAAAAAATATTATTATTAAAAGATTATTTTAAAACTAGTTGAAGCCTGGCGCATCCGCCACGACGCGACGTCAGAAAGAAAATACTTTTTATTTTTTTAATTAAATGAAAAACAAAAAATCCGGCGACGACAGTTTTTAGAAGAGCCAATTTACTAAAAGCTATCTTTTAGTAAAAAAAGCAACTTTCTAGAGCAAGTCGTTACTTCAGTAGAGACGACACAGATAAACATTAGCATTTTATATATGTAAATTAGTCATGGATTAAAATATGTAAGTATAATACGCTTATGTAGCAATGAAATAAAATAAATAAATGTATTAGATACCTGATAGTCACACTTTTAGAGCAACTGGTACCCAAAGATCCACAAGGTACGTTCTGAATAGTGACATCGAAAGTATCAGATTCCAAGTTTCCTTTGGCCAAAACATAGTCGCATTGTCCCTGATAGTCAAAATGCTTCCCATCGAAAGTTTTGTAGTGCGAATCACCCCAAGCACTGCACTCTGCCGTGCACTGCCTATCAGTGCATGACCATTTGCCGTTTTTGCACGTGCACGTGTTGCATTCGTTTTGAACTAAGTTGCTCACACTGTATATAATAAGAGTACCCAACGAGAGTCTTACCTATGGATTTCTCCTTATAACTTCTACCACCATGCTGACAGGGACAATCAGTCGGTTTGACACATATCTTGTTTCTGGAGTCCAACGCAGTGTTTCTGACAAATGAACTCCCTTAATATTGAAGAAAAAGAACAAATGATGTACATAGTAGTATAAATTAATTTGGTTTGGTTTTAAACAACCTATCCATAAATGTCTCTATCCATAAAACTATTCGAGAATATTCAAAAAATACTTGCTTTATCTTGATTGAGCCAACTGGTCCATCCTGATGTACATTGTACGGTTTGTTCGTTTTGTTCTGTGGTGTATTCTAGAAATTCTGTGGTACTGCAAGGTTGTCCTTTGCATATTTTCTCGCCTCTGGAACAGTAACAGCTGTGACAATCATCCTCTTCAACCAGGTCACCTTCGTAGTATGTTACTCCGTCTAACTCTGCATTTTTTATTGAACAAGGAGATAAAACAACATGAAATAATGTTGATGCATAGTAAAACAAACAATAGTATATATTTTAGCGTGATATAAAAGCGTTAAAAATTTATTTTTATTTTTAAAGATCCTGTATCCGGACATATAAACAAAAAAACTATTAAGATATACATTTATTAAGACAGGTTTAACAATTTTAATATTGACAAAAATACAAAAATTTAGCCTTATTTTAAATTTTATAGAAGGATCATAATATTAGCCACATCATGGAGATAATACGATGAGTACTATTAACCCTAGATAAGCAATAAGATTTTTAAATATAATTATTTTTTAATATTCTTAATTTAAGTTCAACTTAATATAACAACCTTAAAGTTTTTCGCACTTGTTCTGGAACATCCTGTATATAATGATACTGTATGTGACACGTAGATAAAGGAAACAAGTTTAGATTGGAATGCTCGGCTTGCCGCCAAAACTTATAATTGTTGTAAATAAATATAATAAAACTTATAATTGTTGTATAATTGTGTTTCATACAAGTCCTTATATAAAATAAAGTTTGTTTCTTATATGCTGTAGTGTATAAATATTATTACACCCTGTACATAATAGTTTAGATATAAGTATTTCTTAAGTTAAGTTAATTAAGGCCAGTTATATTATATGTTTAGAATTAGTTGTTTATATAATATTAGGAATGCAACTATGCATTATTGGATGTCGCGCGATATGCGAATTAGGGTTAACCGAATTCAATTACTATTAAGATTTACACAAGAACATATTGTAATAGTTATTCGAAATAAAGTTGGTTTTTTTATATAGTCTTAAAGTTTCCTTCAGAGCATGTAATTGCGAACCCAAATAAGAACATTACATGGCGACCCCAAGCTACTGCATGCTTTGGGATATTTTAGGAAGACTATGGTAAAAGAATGGGGGCATAATCAATCCAAGGAGGAAGTATTTATTAACTGCCGGCAACAGTGGTGGCGTTAGCAATGGTATGGTGGTTTTCACTCAGTTGGAGTGAAATTTTAGGAATCATCTCCTTCTGTCTAGTTTTGGCAGTAGTTTTTGCGTATGGATACCAAAAATTAAAGAAAACTTTGGAGAGGAAAATAAGATCCGAAATTAGAAGAAGTCAAGAGCTAGTTTAGTTTAGTAAGTAGTAATACGGGATTTAAAGTTAGTTATTATGAGTTGATTTTAGATTTTTATGAGTAGTGTAAATTTAGAAGTAGTTAAGGAATTGTACGTGATCGTCAAAAAGTTTCTTGAAAAAGTTACTAAGGAACCGGAAGAGAGACGGGGAAATTTAGAAAGAAATAATAAAATATTATCTGAATTAGAATTATTAGAAAAGCAATTTAGTAAATTAAAAGAAGGCTGCAGTCCAGAAAATATTGACAAAAAATTTAAAGAATATTTTGAGGCAACAAATCAAACTCTTTTTCGAGCCCGTACAATCCTAACTAGTAGAATAAAAAATTGTGTAGTTATTAAGAATAGTAGTGTTAGAAATATTGAAAATGCGGGTGAAAAATTGATTTACGCACAGCAGCGTCCTTGTTACCCATGAATGGGTCTGAGGAGGCTACTAAACAATTACTTGATGCCATCGAATTATATAGCGAACATTTAGATCAATCCAGTAAACCTTTGCTAGTTAAATATATTTTAAAGGCCAAGTTAAACCAAAACGCTAAGTGCAGGTTAAATAAAGCTTATAATAGTGTTGTTGATTTAATTGAAGACATGAAACGTTTCTTACTTGCTAAAAAATCTGTATCGGCTTTATCCACTCAATTGCATTATGCGTAACAAGACGGCAAATCTATCGATGAGTACGCGGAGTCTATCGAGAATGTTATGGTTGACTTAACTTTAACTCAGGCAAATAATGACGATGATGCTTTGTCAGTCTTACGAGGAGTAAATGAGAAAATCGCTATCAGTACATTTGCAAATGGTCTTAGAAACGCAGAATTAAGAACAATTATTAAGTCGCGAAATTACCAAACTTTAAATGATGCTATTGTCGGGGCTAAGGAAGAAACCTGTTCAAATAACGTTAGTTCTTCTTCAGTTTATCATATTAAAATAAGCAAAATTATAATAGGGGGATATTACTAGGTATCAGACACTGTATTTTATTTAAAATTTAAAAAAATAATAAATTTGAATAAATATTTACATAATTTTGAAAACCGAACCGTCTGAAATTATCTTAAAGCTTTGGAGAACAAATCCCGCTGTAAGAATAAGCCAAATAGTATTTACATTGTCCTTATGGGCACTTTCCAATCTAAACTTGCTTTTTATCTACGATGGTGACAATGAAACGTACCTGCTATTTTGTTTGTATGTATTTCTAGGAACACAATCTGTATAAGATTCATTCAGGGTAACATGATCTATGCTTGGGATTACAGCCTTCCACACAAGTATCCTCTCCACAATTTTAGTCAGTTTACTATTGGTCAGGAAGTTGTCACAAGTCTCATGAGGACAGGTGCTCATACAGTGAGTGTACGTGGAACAACGCCTCGTCACATTGGACAGACAAAGTTGCTGGACTTCTCCATTTAACAGGGAGCACCTCTGTTGTTACATTCCTGAGCATATGCTGCGAGTGCTGTGCAGACATTGGCAGTCACCTCCCTTGGTCGCAAGCGCATGCGTCAAATACACATCTGAAAAAATAAGTTATATAGGATTCATGTATAAAATGAGACATTTTCCAAAAATTTTTAGTTGTTTTCTTAGTTACAATCATTTAAATACAAAGTTAACCCAAAGTCAATATGCAGTCATATTTGTAATATGTATTCTACAAATGAGACATGCTTGGTTAAATATGATGAAATATGTCACAAAATGCACGTTTAAAGGTCCTTGCTATCGTTTATATTAAAATGGGTAAAGATGAAATTAAGGATAGAAATTAAACATAGAAATTTATATTTTTGTTAGTCGAATCCCTAAATAAAAACTCTAAATTAATCAAGAACACCTGCATATAATTCAAATCAAAATACAGTAAAATTACACCGTAGCAAAAATTGATAAACTAAAAGTGTAAAACAATTACCATTTTGAAAAACAAGTTAAAATCTCAAATTGTAATTACAAACTGTTAATATAAGTTAAACTCTCAAACATAGGCACAAAAATTACAAGTAGGCCATAAAAAACAATATTTTTACAATATGAAACTTATCTAGCTAAACTCACCTATCGAAATACGCATCCAATGGTACTTCTGAATGACAAACAGAACTCTTTAACACCCACATTTCTTCAAAGCCCACACTTTTCTATCAGGACGTTCAGCGCAAGTGTCCTCCACTTCCAGCCTCAGGACAGTACTCCTGCAATCTAAATACATTTTACCATTATTTTCCTAAAATACAGAAGCATAATCTGACCTGTGAGTCCCCGAAATTTTGGCAGATGCTTCAGAAAGGCCGCCAGAGGGAGTTTGGAAGCTTTCGTTATCGTTGTAGCTACACAGTCCTTTAATTTTGTTTTTCCATCTTGATCCACTTTTACGTATACTCTGGTACCTTAAACGTTTTATAAAAATATATCTATATTGTCTTTACAAAGAAAGTGTTTCCATAAAAAAGTATGCAAAATAATGATAAAAGTAATATAGTTTGCAAATGCGAGAATGCATGACAATGACAGTTATTGTTTCTCATTTAGTTCACAGTAGGTGTATTCTGTTGTTTACCTTTAGTTATGGTTTTATGTTCCGATTCTATCGGTTTCCTGAAAGTTTTTCTTTATTACGGAACACGGTTCCTTGAAAAATCGGTTATAACCTATGGTTATAACTGTACCAAACTAACCAGCGCGAGAAGGCTGGTTTTTCTGGTTTTGTTTGTCAGAAATCAAGCAAATATTAGATTAGTGAAATTCTCATTTAATTTCTAAAATTTGTAATAATATTTTGTATACATCCAAAAGTAATGGAGGTAGGCAGTAAAGGTAAATAAATTTCATTAACTAAATAGAATGATTTTTTAGGACCATTTAAACTTATCATGCAGCCATTATTGTTTGTTAAAGTCAGGAACATTTAAAAACCAAACCAAATCAAACAACAAGACAACAAGTAATCGTGAATGTTTTGTAAGCTATAAAAATATAAATATTGATTAGATTTGTTTATTTATTATTCATCTATTTTAATATTGGACCTGCAAATCTTCACTTGAGCTGTCTAACGGGCTTAACAGTTTATTAATAAAGTACTTTTCAATATTAAACTCCATTGAAAAGAAGAAGCAAACGTAAAAGCAGAGAACAGGTACATTAAAAATGCATAAAAGATAAATTTTATGAGACATTGAAATTTAGAAAACGTCAACATTTGACGTTTCCAGTATTTTACCAAACTGTTCCGTATCAAACCGATGCTTTTCAGGAACCGCTCTTTACCGTAGTTTACCGGTCTGGTTCACCTTTCGGTTTTGCAACGAAATACAGCCTGTCTGCTTTTTGCTTTTAATTTTTGTTCTAACATTCTTGGATCCTCACAGGTCAAAATATTTTTTGTTCCTTTTAGTTCCTTATGTATAGTCGTGCAAAACCAGAGGATATATGATTTATTTCTTCATTTTTATTCTTCCGCCTTAGAGACACTTGCCCTTGTATACAAATTCAATTCTGGTACTTTAAACATATAAAAGATTTTTAAATAATAAGATAAAATATAATATCTAAATTGTTTTAATAAATAAAAAGTTAATCCTGACATGACAAATTGTGTAAATTATTATAAAAGTAAGGACAGGGTGTCCCAATATGCCGTGGACATAAAACTACTCGTATTTTTTGGAATCAAAAATAAGTTCATTGCATACAATTTACCTCTATAAAAAGTGCTTCGTTTGTCCGCTGTGAGGGCAACAAAATTTTAAAAAAATAAAAATATTTCAGATATTTTAAGAACGTTATTCCGATTTGAATGGATATTTTGAATGTCTATGTTTTGGTTAAGTGCTTTTAACATTTGACTTTCACAAAATTAAGAAAAGTACGGGAAGGGTGAAACTACTCCCCACCCCTGCATAAATTTTAGTACTATAAATATTTTTCCAATTCCACCGATGACAGTGTTACGGTTATATATTTTAAAGGGAGTTAATTTTCTATATTTATTTTAATCATACATCTTGACAAAATGGTGAATGGTGATTTATTATTTTTAATTATAACCTTGAAGATATGACACGTTAATAAAATATAACAATACATTTCTTAATACATATTAATTATTTATTTATTTTCTATTTATCGGGGGGTTTTCCCAGCTCAAGTGCCATTTGCTACCTTCCTTGGGAGGTGGGTTCAAAAACAGATTTTCTTTCACAGATTTTCTTTTCGTTTTAATTTTTGTTTCCTTGTTTAATTTCACAGATTTTCTTTTCGTAAAATGGTCCCTCTAGTATTTATTACATTTTTCGTCATTTGTAAAAAAAACGATACATCGCATAGTTTTTGTGACAAAAAATTTGGAGAATTTATTTTTCCAAAGTAGGCCTACAAAATATACAGAGAGTTCCAATATTTCGGTAACAATACAAACAGAAAAAATCAATTTTAATCGCAACTGAGAATATAAAATATACTTAATAGTACCTTTGTCCCAATGAACTACCAAACCCAAATCAGGTGCTTCTACAATCACAAATAATCCTATTTCTCTTATGGTGACGTGTTTTTTGGTGACGAATTTGGGAACAGATTTGTCCTTGGTCAGTGTTATTACTTCATTATCGTCTCCAGAAATGATCCTGGAATTTTTACAAATAAATAAAATAAGTACCGTATGATCGAAAAAAAACTACGTCAGCGATGACTATTAAATGAAGATCGCATAGCTTTTGTATGTAAAATTATATGGGGAATGTCATCGATCGTCATTCCCAAGCCAACTGGACGCCGTTTTTTTTTCGATCATCCCGTATGATTTCCCAACAAATTTGATCTCTTGACTTTTTTTGGTACGACGCACCGTTTTCGCGTAAAAAAATAAAAACCATTTTCATACATGACCAAATCGCTAAAATTTTAATGTAAATTTTCATAGTAAAATTTAAAAAAACGGCAATTTAGATTTTTGGGCATTTTGGTTCGCACTTAGGTAATAAAAACAGGATTTTGGAAAATAAAAAATTATTTTAAACTTAAGTTTGCCATTGAAATTTACGGTAAAATTTTAGCGATTTAGTCATGTACGAAAATGGTTTTTATTTTTTTACGCGAAAACGGTGCGTCATCCCAAAAAAAAGTTAAGAAATAAAATTTGTTCCAAATTTAATGTAGATTTTAAAAATAATTTTTATTTTAGAAAAAAACAGTGGCATACCATTTTTTTCTTCAATAATATTTAGTTTAAATACCGTAGGCACGCCACTGATGAAAATAAAAAAAAGTTAATAGCATAAAAAAATGTAATTTTATGGTAAAACAACGTGTACCAAATTTAGTGATTTTCGTCCAATAGGGCGCTGAGATATTAAAAATAAAACCTTTTTAGGGGCGAAATTCAGGGGGCTGTAAATCCTAAAAGGGGGGCCACTCGCCAAAATACGGTAAAAAAATACGGGTCACCTATTTTTTTTCAAGAATCTATGACAAAATTTTGTTGCATTAATTTCCGGACACCCTGTATAAGTATAATACGCTTATTTAGTAATGAAATAAAATAAATAAATGTATTAGATACCTGATAGTCACACTTTTAGAGCAACTGGTACCTAAAGATCCACAAGGTACGTTCTGAATAGTGACATCGAAAGTATCAGATTCTAAGTTTCCTTTGGCCAAAACATAGTCGCATTGTCCCTGATAGTCAAAATGCTTCCCATCGAAGGTTTTGTAGTGCGAATCGCCCCAAGCACTGCATTCTGCCGTGCACTGTCTATCAGTGCAAGACCATTTGCCGTTTTTGCACGTGCACGTGTTGCATTCGTTTTGAACTAAAATTATAATCCAAATTTTATTTATCATTAGAAGGTATAATTTTTCACCGGTAATTAAAATAAACAGTACAAAATTAAAGAAGATTTTGCTCACACTGTATATAATACGAGTACCCAACGAGAGTCTTACCTATGGATTTCTCCTTATAACTTCTACCACCATGCTGACAGGGACAATCAGTCGGTTTGACACATATCTTGTTTCTGGAGTCCAACACATATCCTTCTTTGCACTTGCACCCAGCATGACAGACAGTTGGTGAAAAATGATCATTCTTGTGCATGTTTTTGCAGGTCACTGGTTCAACATCTTCGCATGTAGTAAATTCAAAATTCCTTGTAACGAAACATTAAAAATAAATAAAATTAAGTCATGATATTTTATTGTGATTTTTTTCTCATTCATTTCAGTCATTTATTTCACTGTTTTTACCTTGAGGAGTCACATTTGGCTTTGAGATCATTGGCTCTAGGAAAATCTTGGATTTCTGCTATTGTAGCCAGTTTACATTGCCAAATAGCATGTAGACATGTGCATAGTTCAAGCCCTTTAGTTCCTGGTCGTATTTCTTTATATCCAGCTGGAAAATCTAGTCCTTCATGTTGACATTTGCACTGACCAATCGGAATACATTCGCCATTGTCATCTAAAAAATATAAATAGAAACAAAAATAAATACCAGTTTTCAAAATGAAGCTTACATTGAATAAAAAACTAGGGAAAGAGTATACCTAATCAATAACATTAGCGAGACTTCGAAGGGGGTTTAATATGGCTGAAATAAATTCTGGTTTATCAGTGGCGTTCTAATTTTGTTTAAAATGTGTTAAAATATAAAGTAGGGTAATAGACTCAACAAAAATACAGTTAGGCTACTGGAATAACTAAGTAAAATTCATAAAATTGACTTATCTTAAATTGTTTTTACCAGAAGTAATAGATTCAAAAATGCTGACGCAATATCTTTCTAGATTTTGACATTTTGCATAAAGTGATAAAACCAATAACAAAATTAAAAAGAAATCATTTTTATTCGACGGAATTTTATTACCTAAGGCTTCTCCTTCTGGACAGTTACAACCCTCAACGCACTGTCTCTTACAGTCTGGTCTTAGAGAAATCTCATTGCAAGTTCTTGTACAGGCATTGCCACAAACTTGGTATTTTTGGCCGCCAGGACAGTGAATTCCACACTCTCTTACTTCGTTTCTCCAGTCAATTTTGACTCCTATCAAAAAGAAAATTTAACTGTATTAAAGTATATAGCACATTACACTTTAGTTAATATATTTATTTTTATAGTTCATATATACGATCTAAAATTAAATATAGCCTAATTAGCGAAAGAATATATGACCAGTAATTGTCTATTATTTTTTCATTTTAATTTAAAAGTATATTTGATATCAACTAAACTTTTTGTTACGTAATCGAGGGCGCCTTTTTTAAATTCATTGTTGCCAACCATGGACATATTCGGCGCCGGGCTGACTAACTGGAATTTAAATTTCCCGCTAGGGATTACCAGCTCTGCTGTAAAAAATGTCAAGTTGTCATATTTATTTATTTATTTCCTAACATTGTCATTCGTTTTGACACTTTAGTTTTGTATTAAGAGTTTTTGGTTTAAATAAATAGTGTTGTGATAATTTAAGCTTAAAAATGTTTACTAGCAGACCTTGCAGTCGAACATTGTTCTTTTTAGAATCTGTTTTAGTGCGAAGTGTACAAGATAGATTAATAGCCGTAAAAAAATCATCGCAACATTATTAGAATATTTTGAACGGGAAAGCGGTAGTAATAGCTCCTTATTTCTATTAAATGCTGTTAAGAAGGTAAGCTTTATTAATGTAAATAATAACTGTTTATATATTTATAATTAATTTATTTTTATTTCCTTAAATATTTTGATTGAAAGAAAATATGTAAAAGTACCGGTCAAGCTTAATCACGTGACTAAAAGTTTATTTGATATAAACTATAGATTGATTTTCCTGTCTATTTTTTGAACATATATTGATGAAAGTAATATGTTCTTTCGTTAGATACGCTGATTATACGGTAAGCTACCTTTGCTAGAACATTCTAGAGCATATGCGGACAACGTGGGGCACAAGCACTTTGAAATTTTAAATTCGCAAGAGCACATATCGTACATACAGTCTTGATAAAACTGTTCTGGATCAACATACCTGAAATAGAAAAAATATTTTTGTGTAATTGCATATATTAATTGCATAATATCCAATTTTATTAATATTTACAATCTATAGTCTGTCCGACGAGAGAATCCATGACAGTGACAGTTGGGTCTGTCTTTATTAGAAGTCGTATGTCGAAATCTTCCCTCACTTGTTGGACAGACTATACTATGATCCGAACATACTATAATACCGCAAGATAAAAAAACGGCGTCAAAGACTGCTGGGAAATGACAATCGATGATAATTTTGGCGAGGTCAAGCCCTAGATGTTATTTACTTGGCCCGTACTCTTCTTTATTTTTTAATGGCGCTTACAGCCAGTTGGCTTTTACAAAGTCGTAATTTATTTTTATATTGAGTAAAAATTATTTTAAAATTCGAGAAAAAATATTTTTTTAGAAATAGATATGTGTGTCTGGAAACGTTTTATCCTTTTTTAATATTTCTTTCTTCGTTTTCTTCTTTTTTCGTTTTCTTTGTTTTTTTTTCTTTTTCTTTCTATTTTCTTGACAAGTTTTATGTTAATTTTTAGTAAATGTTATGTACAGATTGACCTCGGCAAAATTATTATCGATTGTCATTCCCCAGCTGTCTTTGACGCTGTTTTTTTTTCGATCTTATGATCTTTTCGATAAATTTTAGATAATTTTTAGATATATTTCAAAACACAAATCATACACATTACCAGTGACAATCTTTGAACAGGTCTGATCTGAGTTTTGAACAGTGCTTCTCAGCTGCGACTTTCTTATGTAGATTGACATCACACGGATGGTTAGACAACACTTCTGGAACATCGTTACACATTTCTTCTGTTTTCCATTTATTGGCAAAAGCGATAACAGATTGTTCAATATCATCATCAGGTGTTAAAAAGTCGTCTTTTTGGTTGCTGTTAAATGTCCCACAAAGACCTCTGGTTTTGTCTTTGAAATTTGCTGGAAGGTCAATGTAAACTCGAGTCATTCCGTCCCACCAAACTTCAATTCCGTTAGGAAGTTCTGTCTAAAATCAGTAAAAATAGGTTTGTTTTTTATTACAAAACATTTTATCACAGCCTGTAAAACTTGTAACCAGCTTGCCGACTTGTAGAATATTTACTTAAATATTCGCCTATCGTATGTTAATCACCGCGACCTTATAGATCTATCTAACTCATCAAACAATCTCAGAGCTTTGAGAAAAACCAGTATCTGAGACGGTTTTACTGAGGTTAGTTCTCTATCTCCGATGTCAGTCGTACCCAAGTTTATGGCACGAATGGTTGTCATCTCGGCGCACTCAGTGATGAGGTGTTTTGGTGTTTTCCCAATTTCCCCACCGAATCTGTATTCTCCGTTGTTTCTTAGCTTCAATCTACTGAGGTGTTCACTGAGGAGACAGTTGTTAAAAACTTGTTAAAAACCCCGTGACAATTCGGAGATTGTTTTACTTGTATGCTGTATAACAAATAAGATTTAGCACTACGTTAAAGCTTCGTTTAAAAAAACGATCAAGATTGGTGCTCTGACTGCTGTCATGTGTATAAAAATTGACAGAAACAAGCGAAGATGGCCAGCTGGTACTATATAAGCTGTGATTTTTCCCCAAAATATTTATTTCTATTTTACATAAACCAAATTTTTAAATATAAAGTTATAGGGTTTATAAATATCTATTAGCGGGTAATAAATTTAAGTATACAAGGTCGGTCATAAAGACGAGGCATATCAAAGTTTCATTTTTTTTAAATGGGACTCCCTGTATATTATTGCATATTTCGGTTCTTCCTTCAATTGTAAGCAAAAATCGAAATACACACAATGTCATACCAACCGTTTCCGAGTTATTGACTTTTTAAAATATCACTTTAACAATATGATTTAATTATTTTCGATATGTTCATATGGTATAATAAATATACAGAGTGTCCCATTTATAAACCCTAAGCATTGGTAAATTTTTAAGTAATATTCAATATAAACCTGTAAGAATATCGAAGATACTGCTCTAATGTTAACTCCAGCCACATTATGAGGAATCTTCGTTATATCTATGCCATTCACAACAACATCGTGATTTTGTTTCAGTTTTATGACTTGTCCGTTAATTCTTATTGTCACAGTTTTGGTACAAGATGGTAAACCTAAAAAAAGAAATAATTATAAAGTAAGCAGCTAAGCAATCTCAATTAAATATATATATATATATATATATATATATATATATATATATATATATATATATATATATATATATATATATATATATATATATATATATATATATATATATATATATATATATATATATATATATATAGATACAAGGCATTTAAGTTTCTAAGGTTCATACTAGGGCTGATTTTTTATACAGGATGAGTCTTAAATAAGTGCCACTATTTTAGGGGTAGTACATTACGACCCCAGGAACACGATTATGAGGTTTTTTTTGCGTATTTTTTTTTTGAAAATTTGGTATTATATTATCAGAGTCTTATCAGAGTTAAAAAACATAATTTCTTAATAATATGACAACATAGGTAGTACAAGAATTTCACAGAAAAGAAAACTCAGAAAAGATCCAGTGGTTCTCAAAATTTAAGCAACAAATAATTTTTTTGATATTTTTAAAGTAAAAAAATATTTCGGTTGTTTTGGACTTATTTGAAAAACGGTAAAGAGAAAATATATTTCTTTTATCGAGATCTACCAGCCCTGAAAATATTTGCACATATTTAGGACTCAACCTGTATGCATAATTTTATAAGAAAAATCATATTTCATTGATATTTAATTGAATATGAAAATATAAAAAATAAATAAGTAAATTATACTTATCTTAGTAAACACCCTGTATAAGCGGTTAATTTGACTTACCTGCAGATACGCTAACGGGGAAGTTCATAGCTTCGGATATAGCTCCTGCACAAGCAACATTTTCAGCTTCAATACTGAAGTTGTCAGTTTTCATGAGATAATACGAACACTGACCCATAAAATCAAAACGTTTACCATCAAAGGTGATGTAATGAGGATCCCCAACTGCACCACACCTAGCACCACAAGAAACCTAGAAATTACCAAAAAATACAAAAAAATTAAAATATGAATACTCTAATTGTATCAAATGTGTTGTAGAAAAATAGAATTTTTTGGTAAAACTGCTTCTTACTTGGGTACATTCCCATTCTCCGTTATTGCAAGTGCAAGTGTTACAGTCTTTTGGAATTGAAGATCCAGGAGAAAAACTTTTTCCCCTAAGTTTACAAGGACACTGGTCTCTGGTAATGCATTTGTTGTCATGTAAAACAGTACCTAAAATATACAGGGTGAGCTTTTTAAAATGTTACAAGGTTATATTCTTATTTCCTTTTTTTAGAACGTATTAAAATTTAAAGTAGGTAGACACAATAATTTGCTAGTTTTATCTTTCGTTGAGTCAATATACCGGGTGTGTCTCAAAAATGGCTCACCCCTATAACATTTTTAGTTTTTCAGATAAAAAAACGAGATTTGATATGTTAGTATATGACATAAATTAGGATTGATTGACGTATTCAATTGTTTTTGGTCACTTCCTGGTTCACCGAAAATGACTACAACTTTTGATTTTTAAATGGCACCCCAGGTATTTTTTTACTTTATTTGATAGAAAATAACACTCTGAATAGAATGTCATATCATAGGTCAACTTTTTACATTTTCGCATATGCATTATTTGAAATTGTAACATGGCGTTTGTACAACAATTTGACTTGAAATACCAAGTGTTCCAAATTATTCATAAAAAAATGCTTTTTCTAAATAATATGCTAATGAGCCACTCTTGTTCCATTTGTAAAAAATTGTGATATGATTAAAAATACGATTTGTGCAGCTTTTAACCGTTCAGGAAAAGACACGAAAAACATTACAAGATTAAATTAATTTTTCCAAGGCTCCTTGATTAAAAATTAGTGTTTTTAGCACAGCCAATGGACTCTAGATTGAAATTTAAAATACGATCTTTTCTTAAAGCGAAAATGTCAATAGTTGATATATGATATGTCATTCTATTCAGAGAGTGTCATTTTCTATCGAATAAAGTAAAAATATACCGAGGATGCCATTTAAAAATCAAAAGTTGTTGTCATTTCCGGTGAAACAGAAAGTGACCAAAAACAATTTTTGAGACGCACCCGGTATAAATAAAAAAAAGTATACCTTCTGGACAATAACATCCTTCAATACAAGTATCTCCCACTTCTGGAAGAATAGAGACAGCCCCACACATAGCCTGTCCTTTTTTAGGTCCGCAGTTCATATAAACCTTACCGCCAGTACATTTCATAGCTAAAAATCAAATAAAATAAAAAAATTATAAAAAAAGATTTAGAACACATACGGCAAGTATTTTCATCTCTCCATTGGGTCAGGCCTTTAACACCTTTATGTGTACAGTCCCTAATATAAACCTCCAAAGTTTCGCATGTACACTCGGAAGGATCGTTGTGATGAGGGCAGTTACAGTAGTCCCATCTGCATGATTCTAATAAAGATGTGATATCAACAGCCTGAAAATGGTAAAATATTTGATCAAAATGGGTGAATTTTAAGAAAATGGAGTGGTTGTTACATTTGAGCAAGCTGAAAACCTGGAGTCTGAGAGTATTTTTGTACAAAAATGAGTAGCATCTCTGCCTAGTTCGCCATTTATGCTGTTGACGTTGCAACTGTGTTCGTCGACGAGTGTATCGATACAGGGCTCTACAAAAAAATGTTAAATATACAGGGTATTTCATGGAAGTAGTTTATTAAAGGGAAAAAATAAACAAATTTGCATGTTTCAAGATAAGGATATTTCCAGATGTTTGAAGCATTTTCCACTTTCTAGCACTATTTTTTTTTCTAGCACCGATTTATCCGTAAGTAGCTGATAACTTCCATTTTTTTAATAGAAACACCTACACAAGGTGTAGCACTGGCTCATTCCTATAACGTTTTTATTTTTTCAGATAAAACAACGAGATTTGGTATGTTAGTATATGACATAAATCATGATTGACTGATGTATTCAAATAGTTTCGGTCTTCTTGTTTCAACGGAAATGTCTACAACTTTTGATTTTTAAATGGTACTTTCAGTATTTTTTTACTTTATTTGATAGAAAATGACATTCTGAGTAGAATGACATAGCACATGTCAATTTCTGGACATTTTCAGTTAAAAAATAGTATTTTAAATTTCAATCTAGACTGCAATGGCTTTGTTCATATATGAACACCGCCATTGCACACTTTTTTTAAGCGACAATGTCAAAAGTTGTAATCATTTCCGGTGAAACAGGAAGTAACCAAAACAAATTTATGTCAATAAATTCTGATATACATATGTGTTATTATACATATGTGTTGTGTTATACTAATATGCCAAATCCCGTTTTTTATCTAAAAAAATAAAAAAGTTATGGGGGCAAGTAATTTTTGAAAAATACCCGGTATATTAAATTCCATTTGGAAAACTACAAAAAATCAACTAAAAATAAATAAAGAAAAGAAGGGGGAAATAAGAAAAAAAAAGAAAACTACAAAAATCAGTTAAAAATAAATAAAGAAAAATAAAGAGGAATAAGAAAAAAGAAACAAAAAAAATAAGAATAATAAAAAAAAATAGAACTAACCTTCCAAATCATCTATTTTCCAGCTGGACGCCATGGTGATTACTGATTTGGCAACATGCCCTTCTTTGGTTAACATATCGTTCTCAATATCACCATCCATTCTGCCACAGAGACCTTCAGTCCTATTCCACATACTTTCTTTTACCTGGAATCATATTTCAACTGGTAGCAAATTTAATTGAAAACAATTATTAGAATCTGCAATTAATTGACAATATTTAGTATACCTCAGCATGTACTAATTGTTGACCATCCCACTTGATCGTTACACCAATAGAATCCAACGACAAAACTATATAGTTAGCGGCCATTGTCACTCTGATTCCTGGCAACTGTCCAGGAATAGGCAAGACTTTCTTGGTCGAGGCAAAAATAGGCAATCCTTCATCTAAAACATTTATACATAATAATTAATAACAATTAATTTAGTGCACTATATAAGTTTAAGATTTTCATTTTCAATGAAAACTACCTGATCTTTTTAAGAAATATTCTTTATCTTGATAATATATCTTAATAATCTTAGAGCATCCCATAGATGAAGGGCCTTTATAGCATTCTGGGTGGTTTTGAACGATTACACTGAATGTTCCATCTATGGCGTCTTTAAAGAAGATATGGGGACATTTGGAATCAAAACTGCAACAATAAATTTGTATTTGCGATATAACTATAAAAATTATTGGACAATTATTTGAAATAATAAAGACGTACCTGTAAACTTTGCCATCAAAGGTTTTAAAATGGCTGCCAGACCACGTGAAGCAAGATCCAGGTTTAGGAACTAGGTCTACAATTTCGTTGGAAATTTCACCATATGATAAAGTGGGAAATACACCTTGGTGGGATTCATTTAAAAGTTGTTCAGGAATATTCTGAAAGAAGATGAAATAAAAAAAATAATTATTTTTGCATAAAATTTGAATCTCTCTTTGGTTTAGATAAGAAAAATATAATATAATAGGTAGATAAGAAAAATATAATATAATAAATGAAAAAATGACAATAAAATGATATAGGGTTTTGACACACTGTATATTTATTCAAAAAACTGTTGCTGTTGCTAATTATGTATGTATTTTGTCAAATTAAAATAAAACAACACAAAAAATTGTGAATTTATCTTAGCGTAGTGTAAGAGGTGTATCATGTCCAACTCAGTTATGTATAAAAATTATAATCAACAAAACTAAATTAATAAACATCGTGAACAGCTAATTTTAACCACAAACTCAAATAAAAATAAAATTTTGTATTTATTAAATATTAAAAATTACAAAATAAATTTGGTATATTTTGTGTTAATATTTTACCAATGTTAAAATTAAATTCATTTTTATATAAATAGGCTTAATTTCTAAATTAACAAAACCTCCTTGTTTACGTGAGTCTCAAACCTAAATCACCAGCACAAGTACCCAACTACTACCTACTAATAACTACTAATAATTTACATTATACAACATTTACATTTATTTTGTATAATGTAAATTTTGAATGAATGTTTTACTAAAATTCTATTGTGTATAGTAAACTTTGTATAAACTTTATTACAATGGTGATTAGTTGTTCAGCTTTCAAGTGTAAAAGCAGCAGCGATAAGAAAGAGCCAGGAGTTACGTTTCATAGGTAAATAATCAGCCGACTCCACTTTTTTAGCGTTTTTTTTATTGAAATCTAAGTTGTTCTAAGTCTCGAACTTCAGTCATCAGCACAACTAGCCTACCTTCTAACTAAATTTACCTTTAATAATTATAAAATTTCTTTTTCGTTTTATATATGTAGATTGGTCTTCAATAAAATTTATATAACGTTTTATGTATGCAATAAAATAAATAAATTAATTATTATAAAGAAAATAAAAAAATATAAACTTACTATTTGATACTGAGGCTTCAAGTGTTTGTTTCTGTTTATTTCAAATAAAGCTTCTTCATCTTCCTGAGGAGAAAAAGTTGAAAAGGAATGATGTTTTGGAAAATATTCGTGAATAAAAGAATGAACATTTGATTGCATGCTGTTTGAGCTGGATCCCTGAGATACTATATTGTAATTTGATGCTGAAAAAAATATAAATTAAATCATTCCAATAATTTTAATAAACTACACCTCGAAGAACAAATCATATAATAAAGTACATACAAGGTGGCGCCTCTCATACGCCGCTGAAGTTCCAAGGAAAACGGTAGTTTATATCGAAATGAAATTTTGGCAGCATATGTAGGTTAACTGAAAGCATTTTATAAAAATATATAGAACTATGCAGAGTGTCCCCAAAAAAAGTTACACATTAAAGTTGTGTTTTTTCTAATGGAACACTCTATATATTAATTGATTTTCGGATTCTAGGAAAAAAATAAAGGTGAGTTTTATTAAAGAAGCATATACCTAAAATCTAAGGATTTTGACATATTTCACATTTTGTGAAAATGAAGAGTAAATTTTAAAGTTCGATAAAAACTACCTAAATTTTAGTTGACCTTGTATAGCCTGATATTTAATTACAGTAACCATTGTATGTTAAACTAAATTGAATTTTTACCCGAAAAGTTATACAGGGTGAGACAAAATTAATATAAAACATTAGTCACTTTAAAAAGCAAGTTACTCCTTTATTTTAAACGGAACATCCAGTATATTTTTCCGGTGTTCAATGTGGAATTTATATATCTTCAAAATATTATTAAGGTTGCCTACCCGTCAGATAAAGATTTTCCTAGATATTTTAATTTTTATGATTTTGCGTCTGTAGATCTTTATTATTTGAAAAAATCTAGGTGGCTGTGTGATATACCTTTTGTTAACTGACACAAAATGATAACTGTAATTGGTCTAATTAGACAGCTATGTTGAAGTAACGTCAAACATATCACAGCCACCTAGATTTTATCAAATAATAGATATATACTCAGATCGAATCATGTGAATCAAATCACATATTCCTTAATCTACGAAAATCTTTGTTTGAGGGGTAGACAACCTTAATAATATTTTGAAGAGACATGAATTCTCCATTGAATATCGGAATAATATACTGGGTGTTCCATTTAAAATAAAAGAGTAACATGCTTTTAAAGGTGACCAATTTTTAATATTAATTTTGTCTCACCCTGTATAACTTTTTGGATCAAGTTTTAATTTGATTTAAAGTACAAGAGTTAGTTTAACTATATATTAGGCTATACCGGGTAAATTCCAATTTAGGTAGCTTTTATTGCAATTTAAAAATTGTTCTTTATTTCTAGAAAATGTTAAATATGTCAAAAACCTTACATTTTAGTCATATACTTCTGTTATAAAACTCACCTTTATTTTTCTCCCAGAATCCAAAAATCAATTAATATATATATATTACAAAAAACACAACTTTGATATGTAACTTTTTTTGGAGACACCCTGTAGAACTCTCTATATTTTTAAAAAGTGCTCTGAATTAAACCACATGTTTTTAGAAAATTTAATTTCAATACAAACTGTCGTTCTCCTTGGAGCCTCCGCGACGTATGAGAGGCGCCACCCTGTATATTAGAGAAACCATAGTTTTAAAACTTACGATAAACACACTGGGGTATAGGACTAGGCTGGAATTCTCCAGTAGAATACAGACAAGTATAAACTGGTTCAGGCTCAAACTGGAAAGCTATCCCTTCTGGACAGGATAAACTACAACCAAACGAGGTCATATCGCCAGAACAATTATATCCTCCATTGAATTGTAGTTTTTTAACGCTACACACATCGATACCTGTAAAAATTAATTTTAATAAATCGTATGATCGAATAAAAACGACATCAGAGTAAGCAGAAGAGTTAAAAGATTTACTATGTCTATTACTGAAGTGTTTTTAACTTAAATTCCGATTCTAGGCTTACTGTGACTTCAGTTTTATGTGATCACAGCTTATAAATAAGTTAAGAAATATTTTTAAAATTTGATCTTACTATATTGACATTGAGGTCCTCGAAAATCTTGAGGGCATTGACAGTAGTTGAAGGAAAGGCAGTTTCCTCCATTTAGGCATGGTGGTGAACAAGTAGCTACATAAAAAATGTAACATTTAAGTAAAAAAGACAGAAAAAAAGAAATGTTGCCATAATTTTAATACTATTATTATTGTTTATTTTGTACCTTGGCAATCGGGAACAGTAATCCACTGATTTTTCATAGGAACCCACAAACCATTTTTACACGTCATGGTTGTGATGGTTGAACCATCTGGGAACTGGTAGTTTGGCATACACTCTATAGTGCATTGGCTAAAATTTGAAGAAAACATGTTTTAAGGGGCTTTAGATATATAGAAAATTTAATCAAGCATAAAATTTTTATGACAAATCTACTGATTAAACAACACAACTTAACACAAATTTAGTGTAAAAATATTTTTAATTCACCCTGTATATCTATGAAGATATTTTTAAGTATGATTCCTTTATTTTGTTCACACATAAAATAATTAAGCTTGTATATAAAACTAATGAAAAATTAAGAAATATAAACCATTATGTAACTATGTTGTTAATGATCTTTATTATGAAGAATTTACTTATATGTATGCATATGTGATTACAGAAATAATACTTACGTGGATCTACATGATCTTCTGGAATTTTTAGGCAAAATAGGGTAATTCAGGCAAGGTTTGTTCTCAAACTGGCACTGAGGACCTGAAAAACTTTCAGGGCATTGACACTGGTTCGGCTCAATACAAATTCCATTGTTCTGGCATTCGGGTAAACAAATTGCTGAAAATTAACATATAATCTATCTCAAAGCATTCTTCGATTTGACTGCATACTAAACAAATACAGAAAAAAAATCTTAAATATATTTATCAGACTATTCAAACTATTTTTTTACACTCTTTGATTCAAACAGCACTTTTATCGGCACCTTGACAATAAATAATTTTGTTATAACAATATGATAACAATTTGACAGAATATCAAGCATGGCCACCTAATAAAATTATTGCCGATGTCTTAATTTAATTTCAACAAATGAATCATGCCGTTTTCATTTCAACTCTCAGTGAAAGAAAAGCGGCATCGAGACAGCTTGGAGAAGACGTTCGATGACATTTCCAAAATAATTGTACACATAAAATGTCAACGATCTTCATTTTCACGTCATTATAGACCAATAAATTTAGATTTTTTCAACAAAAAAATACAGACTCGAAACTTTTGACACCTTTTGATACAATAATTAGTTTCTATTAGATAAGTAGATAACAAAATCACAGTCTTGCTCATATATTTGATATGGTAAGTGTCCCCCATTTTAGATTTAATGTTTTTTTTAGGATTTCCGCGTTCTCTGCATTTTCGAACAAAAAAGTTTATAACTTTTGTATAAATAATTTTGTAAACATTATTTATTTGTTTAAAGTGTCAAAAATTATAACATAAACGTGTTTTTTTCAACTTTCCAATCATTTATTATAAAAATAAGGGACATGTTTAAATAGCAAAGTTGAAAAAAAGCTGAAAACTAAGGTCGATTGTGTAGAAATTTAGTTGATAGAAAAAGTTTCTTACTTTTTATTGAAAAAAAAACACCTACACACCAACCATATTTAAAACATGGTATAAATAATTGTAAACAAATATTTAAAGCAAGTTTAAAAGAAGTAATAGTATTTTAAACAGGTTTACACTTATTTTTAAAATGTTTAAAACATAACGACTTTATTGCGATCCATATGTGTAGTAGTACCGTATGATCGAAAAAAAAACGGCGTTAAATAGGGCTAGGGAATGACAATTGTTGATAATTCTAAACGATGTTCCAACTTACGTTGACATGAAGGTACGGCTTCCCAACTTTCATCCACTGGTTTCCATTGACCACCGACACACTTGAGCATTAAATCGTTTTTTCCATTTGGAAATTGATAATTGGACTCGCATTCTACTTTACATCGGCCATGGGATGAACATCTCATGCCAGCGTTCATAACAGGCTCAGGAGTACCGGTACAACCTATTTAACATCAAAAATAAAGATGCTTTAGTTTAATTCCTTCTAAAACATCAACCTGGTAAGTTATTAAAGAAATACTTGAAACAATACTGTCATTGAATTGATACCTGGCATTGTGATACACAAATAAATATACGTCTAACAAAATTTTAAGACAGCAAAATACCGTAAAATACTAGTAAACACACTAGCCAGCATAAAAAAGGACATACTTTTTAAGTTCGATATATTTTGTTCCAGTGTGTCGATTTTCTTGATTTTTTAAGCAATTTGTATTGGCCAATCAGTGATAAATAACGTTGTTTATTATACCTCCAGAATATGATCCAAACTTGGTCTTAGTTTTGGTTTTAAATTTTGTTTTCGTCTTGGTCAAACCTAGTGCCCCTCCATAAGGGTCAGGTTGATTATCGTAAACACCACTTCCAAAATTATAACCTCCGCTGCTATAGGATGATTTAGTTTTGGTACTAGACAAGGTACTTCTAAAAATATAAATTTTCACTATAAGAAAAAGTGGGAAAAGGTAAAAAGTATGTGGTTTACCCTCCGAAGGAATCCAGACCACCGTATTTTGTTTTCAAAAATTGGGGAATATAACCCTCTGACCTGTAAAATAAAATTATTATACATACTGTATATGATCAAAAATAAAACGGCGTTAAGTTATCTTACTTATCTACTATCAATAATATTTTATATGTAACATTATATGGAGAATGTTATTGATTGTGAGTGCTAAGGTAAGTTGACGCCGTTTTTTTTTTCGATGTTACTGTATGGTTATGTTTTTTAATGAAAAAAACTTGACTACAATTAGTTTTGATTTTCAAATTTGATACACCTAATGTAATAATGTTGTAAAGATTCACAATTTTATTAAAGAATATTTAAACAGCATAGTACCGTATGATCGAAAAAAAACGGCGTCCGGTTGGCTAGAAAATGACGATCGATGACATTTCCCAATAAATTTACATATAAAATAACAGCAGTCTTCATTTCATAGCCATCGCTGACGACCCGTTTTTTTTCGATCATACGGTTTTATTTGAATAGAAATTTGTTAGTAAATATACTGAAAACATATACTGGGTGTGCGAAAATTACATGGCCAAATTTTAGGGGGTGGTTCTTCATTAAAAAATATGAAAAAAAGGTTCTATAAACATGGGCCCGGAAATGCATAGCTTTGAAGATTCAGCATATTAAAACTTTTTAAACAATAAGTTCATTATTTTTCTGAATTTGCTATACGTTATAAGTAGCATTGAAACAAAAAAAATATTTTTTTTAAAGTTTAACATCTCGTATCGATAAAAGTCTCCATTTCCAGGTCTATGTTTAGAGGAACTTTTTAGAGGAATTCTTTTTAATGAGGAATCAAACTCCCTTAAATTTGGCTGTATTTTTTGAAGACTGTGTATAGTATACAGGAGGGCTTTAAAATGTGAAATTCACTTAACAGTGTGAAAAAATTAGTATCAGAAATAAATTCAGAGATGTATAGTAACACCCTGTATAGTAGGTATTTTATAATAAATAATTTAATAAAACTATTAGTGGAGGTAAAAGTAAATTTAGATATGATTGCAGGGGGATACAGGGTGAGTCTTAATTAAGTGCAAATATTTTTAGAGGTGGAATATTTCGACTCCAGGAACATATTACAGAATTTGAAATTTTTATTACACGGTTTTTTTCGCAAAAAAAAGATGCTAAAAATCGTACATTTTCTTTTAAATTTTCCTGTATATTTTAAAAAACTTTTTGGAACTGCCTATTCACCGGAAATTTTACCACGTTATAATTTCATAATCTCTGATATTACCATGGTTATGGCACTAAAAGGGATGCAGAAAAAATCCGGTAGCCTTCAAAATTTTTAAATATAAATCATTTTTTTTAAATCTTGAAACTTGAATTACTCGGTTATTTTGAACTTATTTGAAAAACTGTACAGAGAAAATATGTGTCTATTATCGAGATCTACCAGCCTTGACAATATTTGTACTTATTTAAGACTCATCCTGTAGAGGTATATACCGGGTGCGTCTCAAAAGTAGCTCAACCCTATAACTTTTTTATTTCTTCGGTTAAAAATACGAGATAGGGTATGCTAATATATGACATAAATTAGGATTGATTGACGTATTCAACTGTTTTCGGTCACTTCCTGTTTCACCGGAAATGACTACAACTTTTGATTTTTAAATGGCACCCTCGGTATATTTTTTTTACTTTATTTGATAGAAAATGACACTCTGAATAGAATGACATATCATATGCCAATTTTTTACATTTTCGCATATGGTTTATTTGAAATTATTGTCAAATGCGGTTCATAACGACAATTTGACTCGAAATACCAATTGTTTAGTACCAAATTATTCATAAAAAATTGCTTTTTCTAAATATGCTAATAAGCAAATTTGAAAAAATTGAGATTTGATTAAAAATACAAGTTGAGTATTTTCTGACTGGCCAGGACAAGACACTAAAAACATTAGACGATTAAATATATTTTTCCAAGGCTCCTTGATTAAGAATTAGTGTTTTTAACATAGCCATGGCACTCTAGATTGAATTTTAAAATACGATTTTTTATTAAACGAGAATGTCAAAAGTTGACTATTCTATTCAGAACGTCATTTTCTATCGAATAAAGTAAAAAAATACCGGAGCTGCCATTTAAAAATCAAAAGTTGTAGTCATTTCCGGTGAAACAGGAAGTAACCAAAAACAATCGAATATGTCAATCACTCCTAATTTATGTCATATACTAATATACTAAATATCGTTTTTTTATCTGAAAAAATTAAAAAGTTATAGGGGTGAGCCACTTTTGAGACGCACCCGGTATATTAATAAAAAAATAAAATAATAGTATAAAAATTAAAATTAGTTAAAAAATGAATTTTTCAGAACAGCGGTTCATATGATCGAAAAAAAACGACGTTAGTTGACTTTGAAATGACGATCGACGACATTCCCCATATAATTTTCCGCTGACGCCATTTAGTTCGATCATATTGTACTACGAAAGTTATATACGAAAAAGAATTATAGAAAGCAATATAAAATTAATTAAAAAAAGCTCTTACCTGATTCTCTGTATAAATATAACAATAACAAACACTACAACTTTCAGAAAATTAAACTTCTCCATTTTGTTGCCGCTTCTGTCGGACAACTTCCTGGAGAATACTCCAAAAGTGAATATTGCAAATTAATTTATCTCGTTCGGACGGACACCGGGACTGTCCCCTCCCCCGCCCGTCCTTTTTTCTCTATGTTACGCAGGATATTTTCAACGGTTTATATATTTTTATACTTTTTATCTGGAGATGATAGCGAGTTGTGTCGCAAATTATACGTTTAGTTTTTTATACTTATTATATTTATGCAATTTTATACCGAAGAATTATATTGAAGCTTAAAAATTTAACTGATCACTTAAATAGACCCAAATTTTAACCCCAAATTTAATTCTTGAGGTACATTCATATACAAGAGTGTGATCGAATTCTAAACAAGCTCCGCATAATGTCTGATTCTATCTGAGATTTTCACTCCAGTTTTTGACAACCTTTGCTGGCAATTATTATCTACATTTTAAAACCATGTTCCTAAATACAGTGTTTTTCAGACAAATGGTTAATTTTTAAAAGTTTTTTTTTTAATATTTTCCACTTTCAGCCCAATTTGGTTATTTTAAAAAAACTCCCTATATATATATATATATATATATATATATATATATATATATATATATATATATATATATATATATATATATATATATATATATATATATATATATACTATATATATATATATATATATATATATATATATATATATATTATATTATATATACTTTTTCCGAGACTGCCGTCTCGGAAAAAGTCTTAATGCACTAGCTATTCATTTTCAGAACCAAGATCATCAATTTGATTACGACAGTGCATCTATACTGGAACAGGAAGGCAATTTCGAAAAAGAATTTTTTGGAAATGGTTCACATTAATAACAACAAAAACTCTATAAATTCAAGATCGGATATTGACAGCCTTAGTTCCATATATTGTAATTTATTAAGGGAATTATAAATTAATTAAATAAAATAACACACATACATTTAAATATAGCAGCAAAAATAAGATGGGATGCGATGCCTGCAAATATGCAGTTTACAATCTTTTTATAGTTTTTTTAGTTGTTTGTTTCTTGGAGCGTTCGCTCTTCACTAAAGCGAAAGAATTTGATATTAATACACTTCATGTTTATTTTATATACGTACGTTGTCAATGGTGGTTTGTAGAGCAAAGTAGTTTAGTTTATTTTACATTATTGTATGTTTTTTTTTTGTAAAATTTGACTCTAATTGTAAGTAGTATTTTTGTTTTGTTTTATTAATTTGTTGCAACGTATTTTAATGAAAAAACTTTTATTCCTAAGTTACAATTGTAATGACTATTGTTTTTAGCTGACGCTCCTGATGAAGAACATAAATGATGTCGAAATATAGAGCTATTTAGATTAAAGTGAGTTTAATTGAAACAGACCGCTTCCCGATATTATACCACATTTATTAAATCGTACGGTCGAGAATAATCAACAAATATATATATATATATATATATATATATATATATATATATATATATATATATATATATATATATATATATATATATATATATATATATATATATATATATATAATAAATATTATTGATTATTAGAATTGTATTTAAATTCTTTTGTATTTAAATTCTAAATACATATTCTATGTACCATACGATCGAAAAAACGGCGTCAAAGACGGCTGGGGAATGACAATCGATGATATATTTTGCCGAGGTCAAGCCCTAGACTGCCAGTTGGCCTTAAAAAGGTTCTAATTTATTTTTATATTGAGAAAAGATTGTTTTTAAATATTATAGTTTAAAATTCGAGAAACAAACTTTAAATGTTTAGAAATTTTGATCTAAAAATGATCATATTTCAAAAACCACTCGGTCGTGTAGGTGATGAAATATTTTTATTTTTTCTAACGTCACAAAAGTATTATTTTTTTCGACGTGATTGACAATTAAAAAAGTCATTTTAACGCCTAGGCATAAAAGTAAAGCACTTTTATGCCTAAGCATAAAAATATGAAAATATATTATTAAACTGACATAAAGTATCAAATTCAACGAGCGTAACCATAGTTTCTCGATTTATCATTACATACAAGGTATTACTTTTAAATATTTTTATATTATTTGGAACATTTGAAGTTGTTTAAAAATTATTTGTGGCTTGTGAAAAAAAATAGCATGTTCTAGTCGGAGTTATTGGAAAAATGATTTTTTGTGCCTCGCCTGTATGTCGAACTTACATTAGCCTCGCCACAAAAGTGTCATTTTTACTCTAAGTTTTTACTCCTAATAAAACAATATACTATTTCTTGCAATGAGAAACGTTGTAACAAATTTGCAAAGCGAAGAAATATACAACTTCACTAAAACATTTTAATTGTACATTTAAAAAATACTTTCTATAAAAATATTTTTAAAATGTGCAGTATTATTGTCAAAATTCTTCGTCAAAATTTCAAATAAAAAAACTTGATATGGACCTTTTGCAAAACGCTGGGTCACCTTGTATATTACTACACGTTACTGTACGAGCGAAAAAAAACGGCGTCAAAGATGGCTTAGAAATGAAGATCGCTGTCATTTCATATGTAAAATTATATGGGGAATATCATCGATCGTTATTTCCAATTTCCAAGCCAACTGGACGCCGATTTTTCGATCATAGGGTATATATTATAGGGTTTGATAAAAAAAAACATCAAGCTACCTTAGAAATGACAATCGATGACATTTACCATTCAATTTGACGTATAAAATAACTCGTCGCTGTTTTTTTAATAATATTGAATTTTTAATAGTGAAACATATTAGTTGATCCAAGGACTGTTCACAAGCAAAATAAAATAATAGAAATATCTTAATTTAGGTAGAAATCTCTTAAAATATAATATTTTTATCAACTATTTGAGTAACACGTTTTGGAAAAATGAAGACATACAGCGCGGTAGCAGCAAACGTCAAAAGAAAAAAATCAAAATTAGAATGATGTTTTCCTGCTATCTTTTGTCGTCTACAAAATTATATATTTGTTCTATTGCCCTGACATTCTATATTATATACTCTACCGAATATAATAATTATTGTTAACCACCCCCACAAAAAAAAAACAGTTGCGTCAGTAGTATCTATCAACGCATAATTTTTTAGCTGTGTTATGCACTTGGCATTGACATGTTTTAAATTGGCGATATAAAATTACATTTTAGAAAGAATAAAGATAATATTAATATTTAATTATATTCTTTCAGACTTAAATTTTTACTAATCTCTGTTCTAAACTTGTCGCATTGACTGAAAAACAATTGATGTACTAAAATAAACACCGACAAAGAGCAATTTATTGAATATGGTCATTAAAATATTGATAAATCTAGTGGGTGCAGCATCAAAACAGAGGAAGAGGAAATGAGTATCAAATGCTCGCGTGTTTTGCATGTACCGATAATTGTGTCAAGGATAAGGAAAATACACACGTTTAACAATAATAAGCGTATCCCTGTAATTTGATAAAATGTCTGGTTTTTCTGCAAACCGAAAAGAGGACATGTAGGTATGCTGATAACTCAAACAGGCGAGTATGTGTGATAAAAATAAGTATTTTTTTTATTGCGAGCTCTATATGATATAATAAGAGTAAATAATAAATATTTAACAAATAATTAACAATTTTAAAATTATTTTACAACAATACAATTTTTTTGTTGCGATTTTCATACAAATGATCGAAAGTCGGCAGGCTGGGTATAAATTCGTTGTGGTTATAACAAAATATTTATTATATTATACCACTTTAATGAAATCTCATCTACTATTTTGTAATAACTAATTAGTAAATTTAGTCCAATCAAAATTAATTTAAAATAGTCAGAAGATAAAACTAAGTAAAATATTGTCATTAGGAATATCTGTTTGAACATCCGGTATGTGCCTACTTAATAATAATAATATTAATAAAGTCTTCAAATTAAGTGCTAGATTTTTTAGTTTTAAAATTGGTAGGAAAATAAAAGAATCTAGTAAAATATTTCAAATAAAATCACTGTTTGAACACCTATAACTATCTAAAAACGACTTGATTTTAATAAACACAGTAAATTTCGATTTTTCAGTGTAATCTTTTTTAAGTAGACATAATTTTGTGATTTTGGGTCACTGGTCACTCTATACAAAGAAATAACTTTATGAGAATGGGCATATCGAAAAATTTCATAAAAAAAGTCACATCTCTAATTTTTTTCCTAAATTTCATTTAAATATTTAACTTTTAACTATTGGTACCCCTGGTTCATTTTTTCAGATAGCCACAGATCAAAAATATAAAAACGTCAGAAATATTTCAAAAAAACTGAGGTTAAGTTTTTAGCAGTTTACGCTGCTTGTGTTTGTTTTTGTGATATTTTCGAGCCCCACAAATCATGGACAACGATTTAAATCGGTCCGTGCGTCTCCTAGAAGATGCTCTATCCACCCCCAGCCGAGGCCTATTCAAAAAATCCCTATCTCAACATTTCAACGAGTCGAAAGATCTTACTTTAATGCTTGCACCCCACGAATTACAAAAGCTCAAAAGCGATCACTATCTATACAACGAAACTATGGCCGATTTACTGCATGGAGATACTACCTTAACGGGGAGTGTTATACAGAATGAGGCTCCATGGAAAGGCACAGTCGATAATTTGTATATGGAGTTTTTCGAGGCACTCCAAGGAGATTCAGGTACAATATAACAACCGAAAGACTGAATTATATTCTAACAAGTTTACGTTTTAGCAAGTAAAGATGTTCTGGAAATATTAGCAGAGCTGGCACGTTGTTGCTCAGACACATTGAAAGTTGTGCGAAGTCTTCATTCTAAAGTTGCTCTAAGTAGTATAGATGAAGAGAATTGGCTTGAAAAAGAAAGGGACACTTGGAAACTGTTGTATATTTTATATCAAGATAGGTTCATGGCCCAAAACTTGGTAGATGAAGATATGCCAATACAGTATTTTGGAAAATCTGAGAAAAATTGTATGGAAAGCTTATTCAAAAGGGAAAGCTTAGTCAGAGAATGCCAGCTAGTTATTGATTGGTACTATAAGTCTTGTTTAATATTTAATTATATTTTAATTGGCCATATTTTGTAGGCTAGAATCACAAACTTGTGAAAAAGATGACAAAGTTCTACATTTTTCGGATTCAACAGTCGGCTGGGAAAATACACTGCACCAATTACAGTCTTCTGATACTATTGCTTTTGGTAGTTCAAGGTCAGTTTTTTCTTATAGTACAATCACAGTATATTTAATTTTGGCGTGTATTTCAGACAAATAGTCTATAAATTAGACCCAGATGCTCCACACTATCAAAAAAAGCCACTTCATGATTTGGATAACGATGATGAACAAAGACTGAACAGGCATCTTTTCGAACAAATAAGATATGGGAAACTAGAAGAGGCTGAAAAAGTATGTTTAATTGTTTGTTTTACCTAATTATTTTATACTGATAATAATAATTTAATAGTTGGCAAGGCAATGTGGGCATGGATGGAAAGCTGCTATTTTGGAAGGATGGCGTTTATTTCACAATCCAAATATCAAGGAAGAGACTGATAATGAGGTTGATGATGGTTATGAAGAGATGGAATTAAATGAATTGAAAGATATTGAAGGGAATAGTAACAGAGATGCTTGGAAAATAATGGCGATTAGATACTGTAAACAGGTATGTTTTATATATTGTAAAATGAGACTACGGGGGATTGTTTATATTGTTATTCCATGCCAACATGTCTAATACAATGTTTCCAGTTCTACTTTATTTTCAAGATTTTTATACCTATTATCTATTATTTAGTGAAATATAACAAATAATAATGTAGTTAGTTGGCAACTGTTGATTTCATATATTGTACTTTTATTTAGTACTTAAAATAAGAATCATAGAGACTATGCGGCTAATTTTTTTGACCTTGAAATCACATGTTAGGACAATTAATCACATTCGTATACTGAAAAAAATGTCTAGAATCTTATTGAAAGAAATTACAAATATACTGAGACAAATTATTTCTTTATTAAGGTATTATATAATTATGTGGCATTAAAAAATACATATAACCCTAAATTTTTACCCTTTTACCATCAACCCCTATTTTTTAATAGCGATCATATAACCCTAAATTTTCACCCTTTTACCATCAACCCCTATTTTTTAAGAGCGATATTAGTAATTCGATAATTTTAATTTAACAACAAATTGTTTTTAAAAATTGTTAGAGTACCTTAAATTAAAAACGTAAGTATGATTGGGTATATACCCAATCCATACTTACTTGAGTAAATACCATTATACCCGGTATATACCGGGTATAATGGTATTTACTCAAATTTCAATAAATGCTGGGTACTTGCCCATCACTGACCTTAACCACAGCAACGCGTGGCAGGGTCTGCTAGTTTATTTGTAAAATATAATTTAAAATAAAATTATAAACGTCATTACAAGGGACCAAAGGGGAAATATTAATCAGGGATGGGAATTTAAGCGTCTATCCTAAAAAAATACAGGTAAAAAATGTAAAAAAATTAAAATAGGAACAAATGGCACTTAAACAATGACAAATTTTTTATTGACACGTTCAAGCCAATAGAAATGTATATGAATTTTATAGGACTGGATAAGTAAATACGAAAAAGCTTCCATAGGCGTTTTTTGTGGTTACATAAACTCCATTTTACCTGTATGTAACACATGGGAAGATTTTCTATGGGCCTATATGAAATGCATGGTCGATATTAGAGTAGAATCAGAAATAAGAGACTGTTGTACAAAAGACAATGGATATTTACCTCTTCCTGATGAATATTGGATACAAAGGTACATTAATAACATGTTTTTACTTTTATTTCAACTAATTCTTACAAAATTTTATACAGAACGTCATTAAATGATGTTTTTACAACCCTGGAATCGTCTAAAAATAAAACGGTGCGTGAACAAGCCAAAGAACGCGAACGTATCATCCAGAAATATATAATTCTGGATGAAATACCGGCTCTTTTAAGGGATTTAGAAGAATGGGTTGAAGGAACTAATGTTTCCACTCAGTTTCTGAGATTCGCAGCCCATTTGGTGTTATTTCTTGACCAGATCGGGCAAGGACACAAACAAGTTGGAATAGAAAAAGTTATTGAAGCGTATGTATAGTGTATGATTAAAAAACGGCGTCATAGTAGCCTTGAAACGGCAGTCGATAATATACCCCCTATAACTTTTTTATTTTTTCAGAGAAAAAAACGAGATTTGGTATGTTAGTATATGACATAAATTAGGATTGACTGACGTATTCAATTGTTTTTGGTCACCTCCTGTTTCATCGGAAATGGCTACAACTTTTGATTTTTAAATGACACCCTCGGTATTTTTTTACTTTATTCGATAGAAAATGATACTCCGAATAGAATGATATATCATATGTCAACTTTTGACATTTTCTCATATGGTAACGTGCGGTTTATAACGATAATTTGACTTAAAATTCCAAGTGTGTGGTATCAAATTATTCGTAAAAAATGATTTTTCCAAATATGCTAATGAGCCACCCTTGTTCCGTTTTAAAAAATTGAGATATGATTAAAAATACGATTTGGGCATTTTTTAACCTTCCAGAACAAGGCACGAAAAACATTAGCCATGTACACAGCCATGGCACCCTAGATTGACATTTAAAATACTATTTTTTTAGCGAAAATGTCAAAAATTGACATTTGATATGTTATTCTATTCGGAGTGTCATTTTATATTGAATATCTATATTTCTAGGTCATTTCCGGTGAAACAGGAAGTGATCAAATACAATTGAATACGTCAATCAATCCTAATTTATGTCATATACTAACATACCAAATCTGGTATTTTATCTGAAAAAATAAAATAAAAAATTATAGGGGTGAACCACTTTTGAGACGCACCCGGTATATTCATCTAGTAGAAATTGACATAAAAATGTGTCAAATTAATATTTAACTTAGGCAAAAGGTCACTGTGACACTGTTTTTTTTCGATCACGTTCGATATTTCTATAAAATAATCATGAAAATATTATTTGTAGTTATATAAAACGTTTAATGCAAATGAAAGAGACACAGTTAATTGCTTTTTATGTAAACAAACTGAGCCCTAGCAAGCAAGTGCACATGTACGCCCAATATTTAGAAAATATAATCGATTATGAAGAAAGAAAAATATCTTTGGAATATGCCGATGAATGTGGTTTGGATGTCATGAGTGTGGCCAGACAAGTTGTGGAAAATATAAGAAAAAGACCGGAGGAGGTGGACAAATCTGGAAATCTACAGGTATAGGAAAAATGTTTTTATTTTATATATTTTTTTTTCGTCCAATATACATTATTTCTTGTTTATGTTATAATTGATTTTATGCATTCGCTTAAATCTGGGAAAACATTGTACCAGGACTTGAATTATAGTGATATTATCGTGAATTTTATAAATAGTTTCAAAAATGGTTACTGCAGTTCTTTTGATGTACAGGGTGTCCCACTAAGAATAGCACTCGGCTGTATCTCGGAAAGTATTAGCCGTAGGGCCAGCGGAAAAAAATATTAATAACTAAAGAGGCTATGAGAAATTGCTGGAAATGATTTTCAAGTATGTAGAACGGTCGCTAGAAGGCGCAACTGCTATAAAAATAAGAAGACGGAGTTTTTACACAATTTTGTCTAGATAACGGGTACTATAAATGATTATTATCAGCTTATTATAAGCTTCATAATCTTCACAAAACTTTGAACATTTTTTGTTAAAACCATTTTCCAGTATCTGCCAAAATAAAGTGGTGGGGGAAGATTAGATCTGTTTTTATTTAAATATTAATAACCCCGGACTGGATCAATGGAACCCAACAAACAGGAGTCGTTTAAAAGAGCGTTTCTTACTCTATATTATATAGTATAAACAATAATAATAAGCTTTTGAATGTAGACGTTAGGGGGCGCTGTCTTATAATTTAACAAACCGCGCGTTTTTTTTTCAAAAAAATTAAAGGCGATAGTATATGTAATTTTAGCTGATAGTAAAGAGTAATAAAATTTTAAAAAGTCAGCGAAAACCGCATCTTGATATCCTGTTTCAAACCGAAGATATTAGCAAAATTATAATAAATGCGAAAAAATGATATTTAAAAAACACTTTTAATTATGACAATTCTAATAAAAAATAAAATAGAAACGATTAGTTTATTCTAAAATCTACAAATACCAAAATACCATGTCAGATGTATTAATATCTAATAATTAGGTATCAATGACAATGAATAAGAAATGACTCCTCAGTGAAGTCATGATAGGCTGTGGAAAAAAGTTGTTTTTGACGTAATAATATAAACGTCAAAGTATTATTAGATCAACATGTTGATAGTCTTAGAAGCGTTTTTTCTCTTTTGAAAAAAGGAATTTGTAGAAAAGGAATCAAAAAATAAAAACGCTGCTGAGACTATCAAAATGTTGATATAATAATATATAATATTTTGATGTTTAAACTATCTCTTTAAAAGCAACTTTTTTCCAAAGCCTACCTTGAATTCACTGAGGCGTCGTTTCTTGTTCACTGTAATTAATATCTTAATTATTAGATATTAATACACCTAGTATTATGGTATTCTGGTACATTATCGATTTTTTGAATAAAATAACCTTTTTTATCGTATTTTTTATTAGAATGGGCATAATCAAGAGGGCTAGTGATATCATGTTAGAAAAATAAGCTAATTAAGGTCTTATTTTTTTGTATTTATTATAAATTTGCTAATAACTTTGGTTTGAAAAAAGATATCAAAATGCGGTTTTCGCTGACTTCTTAGGCTTTTATTGCTCTTTAGTATCAGCTAAAATTATATATACTATCGTATTTAATATTTTTGAAAAAACGCGTAATGTTTGTTAAATTGGAAGACAGCGCCCCCTAGCGTCTACGTTCAAAAGCTTATTTTTATTGTTTATGTGGTATAATATAGAGTAAGAAACGCTCTTTTAAACGAGCTTTCACTTATTGGATTTCGATCATCCAGTCCGGAGTTATTAACATTTAAACAAAAAGAGATCTAACCTTCCCCCACCACTTCATTTTAGCAGATAGGGGAAAATTGTTTTAACAAAAAAGGTCATAAATTTACTGAAGATTATGAAGCTATTATTTATAGTACATCATATCTAGGCAAAATTTCTTTAAAATACCATTTTGTTATTTTCCATAGCAGTTGCGCCCTCTAGCGGCCGTTCAACAAACTTGAAAATAATTTCCAGCAATTTCTCATAGTCTCTTTAGCTATAAATATTTTTCCGAGATACAGCCGAGAGCCATTCTTAGTGGGACACCCTGTACTTATTTTTGTATTTTGTTTTTTTATGTTGTCATATTTTAGCAAAAAATAACGGAGACAGACAAATTCAAAATATCAGCTATAGATTGGTTAATATTCTATGAAAGTCAACGTATCGAAGCTTTAGCACAAACCAATGCCATTATTTTCAATTTCTTAACAGTAGGAAAATTAGATGCTGCACAATTGGCTTTCAATAAAATTCCTAGCGATTCTGTCAAAACTATTCAGTCAGAGATTTCAGGTAAAATATACCATATTTTAAGAAAATATTAATTAATTTAGATTATATTTCAGAAAGCAATGAAGAGTTAAACCTAATAGTAAAAGAATACTTAAGTTACAAGGCCTATTTAGAAGCTTACGAAACATTTAACGAATGGTTTAAACAAATTAAAAACAAACCAAGCGAGCCAGAAAAATTACCTGAAACCGCCCATTTTCCGGAAAAAGTCGCACATGAACATAGGGTATCCCAATTTAAAGCTGAACTCGAAAGGTAACATGAAAAAACACAGTGGTTTATTTGAACTACTTTTTTTAATTTTAGATGGAAATTAACAACTAATCATTTAGCTAAGTCTGCCAAAGGGCATTTATACAATGTATTACTCTTTCCTGATGGTTGGTTATCAGGAACAAAAGATGCAGAGAGCTTAAGAAAAGTGATACTACCTGAAGTCACTTTGTTGCTATACTCAGTATTATCTGAGACAAAACTATATCAAGAATGTGTTCAGTTAGCTGATATTTTAGCTACGGAAGCTCATGGTCTATATAAGGTAATTTTATAAGCTTTTTTTTATGGATTAGTACAATTTTTGTGATTTTAGGAATTCACGAAAGATCAGCTTGGAAGTTTTTTGATTAAAATCGGAGAAAGTGCGGCACTATTGACTGAAATGGACAAAGACCCATTTGGTAATGAAATAACGGCTTGAGTGGTATTTTTTACGTTTATTTTAGTGTTATTTTTATAAATAAATTATTACATTTTGTAAAATTGCCCTTTTTTTCTCTAGGTATACTATATATTATCTTGTCAAGATTACATCAGTTTTTGATACTATTAGTTTCAATAGTTTAGACTCTAGGTGGACTATAGTCTCGACTATTGACACTAATTAAGACAAATATTGAGTATAACACAAATATTTATTATATTTTTATGTTTTATTATAAGCTTATTTATTTTATATAGACTAATTTAAAGTTCTTTTCCAATTTCATTGGAATCCTTCAATTTGAAACCCCTCTTTTCCAGTAACTTGTTACAAGCTTGCCTATTTAACTTTTCCAGTAAGTGCCTCTCTACTTCTTCATCGGCTTCATTGAAGAAAATCAGTTCTGGAGGGTGACCCTGAATCTTCTTCCATTCTACGTTTTCGTATTTGGGAATATCTTCATAGATAAAAGCTCGGACTTCTGCAAGACGGTTCAGTTGGCATCCAGCACAGCTCTAATGAATAGATTTAGTATATTACTGGTATAAAAAACGGTACTTACATCAACTCTAGCTCTAACAATGCTTTTACTCTGGTCAGAAGTGCTCGAATGTATGATTAAAACAAAAAGGACAGAAACCAAATACGCCTTCATTTTATACAGGAATAGTATTGATTATAATGTTAAATACTACGGTATCACACTACAGTTATCACGTATAATACTGAAGAGGTACTTGAAATTGTTTGTTTTTATGAAATATACAGGATACAGAATAAAAATGCATAAACAAATTTTGATTAAGAAATCCTTGAAAAGTGTTTGGTTAGGTTACATTAGGTTATTTGAACTACTAAATAGAGATGGCAGCGATATATGGATATGCAAAATTATATCGATATGTTCATCTTGTTTATTTTTGTTTTCTTTCTCCAATAATTAATCATAGATTACAATTTGATCTCTCTCCTTTTGATTATTTTTTTGGAGAATGGCCAGATGACCTATATAAGTTCAAGCCATGTAAAAATAAAGAAGAAAAAAATATATGCTAAATCTGTGGCTGCTTATGTTTAGAGCCATAAATATAGAAAAGAAGAAGAACCTTACTTTTATTCTGTGGTTACGGTTCTTTTAAGGCCTGAAATACGAAAAAGAAGAAGAATACTGGTGGCGCCATCGTGAAAAAAGTGAGAGAATTTTGAACTAAAATGTTTCCAAGGTTGCCAAGATATTAGGAAAATCCTGAAACTAATCTAAATCGATATTTTTGTAGGTCTAAAATGAATTAAACCGTTACAAAATCATCATAAATCTAATAAAAATATAATACAAACTTTGTTTCAGTAGAATAAATAATATAATTTTCTTTTAGAAACAGCATTATTTATGCAGCAAAAAAATGAGCATTCTGTTTTACATGTGTTCAATCTGACAACGTTGACGTACGACATTTTCCGTTGTTAATAGCAAGTCGTTATGTTGCTCTTACAATTTTTCTGATTTTTTATAGAAAAAGTGATTTTTCTATGCACTATTGGAGTTTATTCTGTTCCTTAAGGCCTGTTTAATCTCCCGAAGATGTAAGTACCCATTATTTTGCCTGTTTTCTATAGATTTTTTCACTTTCAAATATTTCAGTTACATCATCATTAAAAGTTTATGTATTTTTCCAATTTTTATAATTTCCGTTTTCAAAATCGAGTATATCGAAATATAGATACATTCCTTGATGTCTCTATTGTAGAATAAAAATAAAGTTACTTAGAATATTACTTCATATCTAAAAACAGTTGGTATTTTTTCGGCCATTTTTTTTTTGGTAGTGTTTAAAGATATTTTTTTATTCCTAAAGATAATTTTTTAGGTGTTTGTTTATACAAGTAATCAAGTATTTTCTACGTCTTTCAGAATAAATCAAGTGTTAGTATACCCAAAGGTTTCTCCACAATTACATAATACTTTTGTATTAAAAAAACGTTTTTTTATGTAAACATATACGCTGTCGTCATACGTTGGTCAAATTTGCATTGTTTCAATATAATGCTTTAATAATAATTTTCTTTTTTAGGAGTGCTATTTTAATAATACACACTCAGCAAAGAAGAGGCCTGGGTTACCCCTTATATAATTCTGTTGTTGGGCATCATTCTGGCTTACGAGATTGATTTTCTCTAATCACAAAAAAGTAAGTTTATTTTATTATTTAAAAATAAATTTAATAAACTTATTAAATATTTATTAACAGACTAACCATATGTCTTAAGGTATATTTAATATTATTACAAAATGAAAATAATAAACAGGATTAGAATAGCATAATTAAAAAAATGTAATATTATTTATTTATTTTTTACAGATTTTATACAACAAATCGATGGATGTATACATTTCTGGGCAGTACAAGTATCCTTTTGATTAATATTACCAATAACAATCGTTATCTTTTGGTTAAATATGTATATTTTTTCTCGTTTTTAATGTTCATCAGTGGATTCTAACATTTTTAAATTTACTTATGTAAGAAAAAATTTCCAATGAGTGTCTGAGTTACATTTTTACGATTTCTTATTTTCATAGACAAATTCAACCTGTCTGTTTTTATTTTGGGTCAATTTTTGGCTGTTGGTCACTTCTCTTTTTTTTTAGCAGAATACCATCTACTTAGAATTTTACTTCATGTTGTTTTTGGTTTACTTTCATGTCTCTGTAATAGCTACACTTGCATATTTTCTTGATTGTGGAAATAATATCAATTCTATACAATATTCCATTGACTATATTTCTGTAGTTCTTATTAATTTGGTAAAATATACCATGTAATATACCTTGCCTCCTATATTTTATTGTTTATTTTGTTGTTACTGTAAAAATATTCCATTGATTTTAAGTATTTTTTTATTTGTATTATTTTTCTTGTGGTGTCATTCTTCTAACACTTGTAATTTCTTGTACAGATATTCAGTTTTGATGGATTCATTTTTATCTCATTTTTACAGATGATATAGCATGAATTGCTGTAATTTTACAGATTCTGTTGGTTTGGTTTGCCTGTGTTTTCAAATTTCAAAATAACGAATTTCCATTCAGTTCCTGGCGCATTCGCCATTTATTCAAAAAACCTGTTTTGTCCATAGCTTGACACTTCTGACTGCTTCTGACTTTCGGCGTTATTTCCAATGTATTTTCCTAAGTAACATCGACTCCGGAGCATCATAGCTAGCCTCCCCTAAGAGGAGGAGACCCGGGTCACCCCCTAACCCTGATGTTCGGCCATCGATGACCTATGTAGCATGCATAGGTACCCAAGGGAGTCACCACCCTCTGGTTTACGAGCTAGGTGTTCTAACGCTAGAGGCTTCGGCCGGATACGACCTGGCACCCAAGCTACGAGACTTCTTCGTGCACGTATCCCGTGACGTCTCGACAGTAGAGGGGGCGGGATATCGGACACATTGAAGATGATGAGGGGGGTCCGCCTGTAGGGGGTCCCGGTGGATGTCTGCTCGATGGGTGACGAGGGTGACCTGAGACGAGGCTGCTTAGCTGGGATGGGAACTGACTGGTGATGCTTAATCGTCGGCCAAGGGTTAAATCTGATGAAGGGGGGCGAACTTGTATGCTCTGGCCTGGAGGACTTTTCTTTATGTGCTTGATGTCATGTTTTGACTAGGTATTTTTGAGAGGAGGCTAAGCATAATTTTTGGTAAAAAAACCGCTCTTTTTCAGATACATCTTTATTTGTTTTTAATATCCAAAACTTTTGCCCATCTTGCTTTTGACCTACCTCTAACTTTTTTGGTCTGCCATTTTTTTATCATTGGAATATTATCATTCATCAATTTTATAAATTCCTTCAATGATTTTTTTCTAAGACTTCTAAGTTATATTTCGGCCTGTGTAGAATTATAACTTTTTTATTAATTTTTATGCCATTTTTCCCAATTCATCCCTCATTTTCATGCCATTTTTTTCAATATATCATATCTCTATTTCTTTATTTGTCTCTTGTATTTATTATTGAATTATCATCATTTGTCAATTCTATAAACTCTCCTATTCTATCTGTGCATTTTTTTGTGACTTTGACTTCGTGTCTTTTCTGTGTTAGACATAATATTTCAACATTTTTATTGCCTGTATAGGAATTATATCTCTTATTTTAATAATCTAATTATGAGTGAGTTGAATTGTGTTATCAGCAATCATTTACTGGTATATTTTTTCTATTGTGTCATTTTTTAAATAAGGTATTTTATTTCAATTGTCTATATAAAGTTCTAATTTTGTAATTACTTTTATGACTTGTTCAATTCATCATACCATACAGAGTACTTCATTTAATTTTTCTTAAATGTAATTTATTATATTTCTTCTGTATTGATTGTATTTCTAAATCTCTGCTTTTGTGTGTATTATTGTTTATACTACTTGTATAGTTTTGGATTCTTTTTCAATTTTTTTTTCCGTTTCTAATTCTCGAGTTTTTTTAATGAGATATTGTACTGCTTTGGAACAAGGATTTTTTGGAACAACTGCACTTCAACCACCCGTTTCAAGATGACATTAGGTTGAATAAATTCAACCTTCAACAGTGAACTGAGAATGAAATTCATCATTGAAGATTAAGCTAAATTATTTTAGGTAAATTAAACTAAAAGGTGCATTTTTTAATGGGATATGTTTAATCAATAACCAACATTATTATATTTTGTAAAATGTATAGATATATTATAAACCTTGTACAAATAAATAAATTCAAATAATATTTTGGCGCACAATTCACCACATAGGCAACTAAAAATACAACAGAAATTTAAATGATTTTTGATTTAGGCAACTAGAAATACACTTAAGTGTATATAGAGTTGCCTATATACATATACAGAATTTGAATTTATATTTAGTTTTTCAGGCTTTTTTAATTATTATAATTAAAATATTTCTCAATTACAGGTACAGGTAACTTAACAATGTTATTTCCATGTATTACTATTAAAAAAGATCCTTATTACGAAGATTCTGATATATATTTTGATATTTTATGTACCCTCTCAATATATTGATAATTTAATGTATGATCGAAAAAAAACGGCATCCAGTTGGCTTAGAAATGAACATCGAAGACATTCTCCATATAACTTTACATATAAAATGACAGCGACCTTCATTTCTTAGGCATCGCTGACGCCGTTTTTTTTTCGATCATATGGTACTTTTAATCAAGCTTTTTAATGAACAAATAATTATTTCTTTATATTTTTATTACAGATCTAATACTTTCCAGAAGGGTAGCCAGAAGATTTATTTACTACAACATAGAGATCAACTTGTCCATCAACACCTTTTATTTTAATACACTTTTTATATTACTCTTGTTTCTGTTAATAAAATATGATATGTTAATAAATAATAATTAATAATAAATGAGTTTTATTGAATCAAAATATACATAGTAAAAAATACTGTCCAATTGTGAACAAAAAGAAAGTCAAGTAATTATTACAAAAACAATATATTCTGATACTAAACAACTTAACAAGTTGTTCTGAAATAGACAGTATTTTATATAAAAATAATAATTACGATTACCTCCTCGCTTTTATGTACTCCTGATACAAATCTCTGATGATTCTGCTATATAATTCCTGCACGAAAATTATTAAATCTGGTCAAAAATCACTGATTTTTATTAGGAATACATAAAAGTGAAAAGTGAGGTATAAATTCAATACCACATGTAAATATAGCATTCATCAACGATATTTCTGCTATCTCTAGCACTTTGACCTCGTTTCCAAAATTCAACCCCTAATATTTTTGAAACTATAAGGGGTAGAAAGGAACGGAAGTCGGCATTCGATAGGCATTTCAACCCTCTATAAGGACGCAAAACCAGGGCGCGATCGGAGACAAAAAAAAATTCTTGGCAAAAATGAGGTAAGGGGTTAACCTTTCTTCACTTTTGCCAAAAAATTTTTTTTGTCTCCGATCATTCCCTAAATTTGCACCCTTATAGAGAATTGAATTTCCTATCGATTGCCGACTTTCGTTCCTCGATATCTCTTATAGTTTCGCCGTAATTTACGTTTTTCGAAAAAATCTAACTCATTCGAACTCGTTGGTCGGGTTGGTCATTTTTTGCCAGGTTGAAATTATTTTTGACAGCTTTTGTTAAAAATGAGAAATCTTAGAAAGATCTTGGAGGAGGAAATCATATCCGGAGTATTCAGTTACATTCACCATTTAGTCAAGAAAATTTAAATGTCAGATAAGAGTTAGGATTATTAAATTTGTATCAGATTTGTATATATAAGAGCGAAGAGGTATTTTTTGATACCAGGAGTTAAGCAGCTGCATTGGTCATTTAAAATTTAACGTGACAGTAGTAGGAAGCACAATGTACAATTTACCTCCTCGTCAAAAATCACCTATTTCTAACAGGAACATATAAGTGTAAAGAGGTAAGGAGTAAATTGTATCCACCTATCTAGGGATTTTTTGATTAAGCTAAAGTATTGCACATTATATACGATGGCAAATGTCAAGAGAAGGAACTTTCAGGTGGGAAAAACTATATACTATACCCAAAGATTTTTTTAAATAATACAACTTTGTAATGGCATTATACTTTATTATTTTACTTTTTATAAAATCACAAACGTTAACATCCTTTACATAACAAGTTCACACAGCAAACTCAAGAACTTGGCTTGATTTGTTCCTAATAAATATCTTCGTAACAACGATTTAGGTATAAATAAACATCCTGATAAAATAACAATGTCCTCAAAGATATAGTCGAGATACAGGATGAGTTTCTTAACAAGAAATGTACATTCTCCTTTAGGAAGCACCAACAATGAATATAATAAATTAAGGGTAACGACTAGATACATTTTTATTTTTGTAAATATAATATGTATATCATATAGAAAAAAAATATTATATGTATATCTGATTATCATACAGATAACAAATTCAAATAAATTAATACTATTTATTAACTTACACATCCTACTATAAAATTCAATGTTTAAATTGTACCAGATCAAAAAAAATGTATCTAGACATTTTACTACTTTTTAGTTATTCGTGAATGAACAAGTTTCATGAAAAAAAAATTGTATAAATATAATAAATAGCGAAAAAAGAAACATTATAGAGCATTAAATCTATATACTATAAACTAAAAAAAAAATGATAACTATAATAACAATCACACAAGAGTCGAAGTCGTTTCATCTTAATAATAAATACTACAAATAAAATGTCATATCATACCATCGAAAAAAAAACGGCGTCTGGGCGACCTTCGAAATTAGAATCGATTTATCCAAAGACCACCGCGACGCCTTTTTTTCGATGGTATGACGTCATATACCTATTTTTATATATTTTTTCGATTTTTTATACAAACATAAGTCGACTAATTTTCGTTAAAGCAAAAAAATAATAAATAAAAATGTACAAAGAGTTTAGCTACCTTTTGCCTTGACTATCGTAATTTTTCAGTGAAAACTACTGTATATCTAACACAATTAAAAAAACCTTAATTCAACAATATTTGAGCCTTAAAAACCAATCGTAAAGGGTCTGAATTTTTCCCGTATATATTGTCTTTTCACTCCCACGTTAAGACTAATTTTGATTAAAATATCACTTGAACAAGACTTGTTTCTTGTCTTTTAGCCTCTCCTTCTGAATTGAACTAGGCGTATACAATATTCGATAAATTAATTGACATTTTTTTTGTTGAAACCACGACACACGTACTTCCGGAATGCTCTTGCGCAGGTTGTGACGTCACATGGTGTAATGACGTAGCTTGTGCTACAACATAAAAGCACCATACATGGCATTTATATGCATTCTCTTTGTAGTTATTACATATGTATACAGTACAGTTTGAGTTGACATTTTCTATTAATATAATTTTTATCATAATTCATAATAAAAATCTAACATGGCTAAAGATATTAGCGCATGCGTTACTTTGACATTTATGTTTGTTTATTTAGAGACAATTAAGCTATACTTATAACCAAATGAGCAAGCAAGAACTTGAATTAGTAATAATTATGAATTCCTTTCTGTATTGCAAATGAATTCATAACTTTCCGATTAGAAATATGGTAAATTTTAAATAATAAAATCAACTTACTACAAACCATAACTTTATTTAAAAGAAAAGTATATTTTAAGTTGATTAACATTCATTTATATTTTTTCAAATAAAGCATCTCAGTTGACAACATAACGTTTTCAAAATGTTAAAATACTGCATGACGTCTTCTCTACGTAATAACGTTATTAGTGCATAAGCGCTTACTATGACACTTTAACTGTCAATGTTGTTATAATAACGCCTCCCTTAATACCGCACATTGTTGCCATATCGAATATTTAAAATATATAACAAAACAACGAAGTTATTGAGAAAATAAGAAAAAACAGGAGGAAATATTTTAGATAATCTTTATCAATGATGTAATGTGCTGAATGGATGCAATTCGGTTTTGTATGTTGCATACCGGTAGTACCTATATGTATCGTGGTCAAGGCATATCATATAAACGACGAATTCTATACAATGTGACCAAACAATATCGGTCACTTAGATAAAACTTGATTTTAAATTTCACAGAATTTTTTATTTTCTGTAAAACACTGCATTCTCTCGCCAAAATTTAAGCCTGTTTTGTTATTGTTATTTCTCATTTTGTACAGGGAATATTCAAAAATATAAAATTTAACTCAATAATAAAGTACCTATGCGCTTTATTTTACACTGTAATAGTTTGAAGGAGGAAAGAGGAAAATAATATCAAATGAACCCCAATAATCTTTGAGAGAATCAATAAATCGTCGCTTGTACTTTACTGGCAGTTACATAACTCTAAAATATCTGGAAAATAAATTTAGATGGGTTCAGAAGTCGTTGGAGACTGGATAATGTGAGAAGCCCTGTCTGAGTAGTAGGATTCGTTTAATGGTGATACTGAGCCCCTGTCTAATGCTGATCTGTGGCTGTAAGGACTGCGTCTGAAATACAAATAAAAATGTATTACAAACTTGGCAAAAATACTATTCAAAACTAAATAGTGTCCTTCAGTGAGATAATATATGATTTCGTAAGATGAATTACAAAAAAAAACAATTTATTTTTTATATAAAATCTCAGACAAATGCCAATCTTACATATTGTTTCGCTAAACAGACTATTATCGCTAAAGAATCTTATTTAATGTTGTTATATGAGAGTTTATTTAGTAAAGCTTGTCCAAAGAGTAAGGAAAGATTCAGAAGACAACATCCAAAAAATAACTTAGGCTGTATTCCGTTGCAAAACCAGGCGAACCAGACCGGTAAATTACGGTAAAGAACGGTTCCTGAAAAACATCGGTTTGATACGGAAGGGTTTGGTAAAATACTGGAAACGTCAAATATTGACGTTTTCTAAATTTCAATACCTATATTATAAAATTTATCTTTTATGCATTTTTAATGTAACTATTCTCTGCTTTTACGTTTGCTTCTTCTTTCCAATGGAGTTTAATATTGAAAAGTACCGTATGATCGGGAAAAACGGCGTCCAGTTGGCTGGGAAATGACCATGGATGACATTTCCCATATAAATTTACATATAAAATGACTGCGATCTTCATTTCGTAGCCAACGCTGACGCCGTTTTTTCTCGATCATACGGTACTTTACTAATAAACCGGTAAACTCGTTAGACAGCTCAAGTGAAGATTTGCAGGTCCAATATTAAAACAGATCAATAATAAATAAACAAATCTAATCAATATTTTTATAGCTTACAAAACATTCACGATTACTTGTTGACTTGTTTTTCATGTTTTCTTTAAATGTTCCTGACTTTAAGAAACAATGGCTGCATGATAAGTTTAAATGGTCCTAAAAAGTCATTCTATTTAGTTAATGAAATTTATTTACCTTTACTGCCTATAGTAAACGCCACGAATGTTTGGGAGTGATTCATCGGTCGCTACCATGTGAACTAATCTGTTCAACGTCACATAAAACTTAATTCCAGTGCCGTCTTTCAAGTCATATAATAATCAATATATAATCTGTTGTAATTTGTTGTTTTAACTGTCAAAGTCTTGTCAAAACATATATTTGGTTATAAATATAAAATGGAATGCCCCATTCGTCGCACTGCAAACACACCAATGGACTGACGCACAAAAACGAATCAATCAAAGAAACGCGATATAGTATCGTCTTTGTCAATCACGCTAACATTTTAGAATAAGTAGGAGGAGCGCAGGCAGATGATTAGACCGGGCCTTTAAAAACCTACGTCTGCGGTAAAAATTTACGTTTTTAATGTAAAAATGATAGCGCGCGTGTCGATTCTAACTTCATCAAGGGATGAATCACTCCCAAACATTCGTGGCGTTTGTTCTACCCCATTACTTTTGGATGTAAATACAAAATATTATTACAAATTTTAGAAATTAAATGAGAATTTCACTCTGACTTCCAATATTTGCTTGAATTCTGTCACATAAATGACATTGATTGACAAACAAAACCAGCCTTCTCGCGCTGGTTAGTTTGGTGACAGTTATAACCGAATTTTTCAGGAACCGTGTTCCGTAATAAGAAAACTTTCAGGAAACCGATAGAAACGGAACATAAAACCATAACCAAGGTAAGCAACGGAATACACACCCTTAATTATTTATTAAAATGACAGAGACATCTGTCATTGACAGGTGCCATCCCGTTGGATAGCCTCTACTTTATTTTTAAGGGTTTTAATAATTAGTATTAATATAAAAAGATAGTAATACCGCTGCCTACCTTTTTGAATTTGCACTGCTCAGTAAGTCATCCAAATGACTCTCAGAGTCTGGATAGATGCCTCTAGTTACGCTGCTCGGTCTAGCAATTCGACTGTTGTATGTCTGGTAAGATCCAGGTAAATTCTGGTAAGAACCTAAGCAGAATGATATATACGTACTCTTGAGGATAAATATGAAAACACATCTATATGGCTACTGAATGTCTTTTTCTAGGTTGATGATTAGATATTATGGCTAAAGTGCTTACCAATTAAACTCTGATGGGTATTGGGGACGTTTTGGTAGGTGTGAGTGAGAAGCTGATGTCCGCCAGGTACATTGACGTAATCGTTCAGTACAGAAGCGTTCGAGGAGGTACGACTGTAAGTCTTGTGCTCTCTGGGAGTACTTGATGATGAAGGTGAGTTCACTTCGGGTATGTATGAATTGAAACTAGGCCTAGTAACAAAAAAAGACAATAAAACATTACATTTTTTACTTAATAAAGAAAAAAAAATACTCATACATGACTGATTCATTATTGATACTCTTAAGAAATGTATAAAAGAGGGGTTTCCACCTAACATATACGTGCAAATTGTATACAAACCGTTTGTTTATTTACAGTTCAATTTTTTAAGATAAAAACAAAGAGGGCATCAAACTTTCAAAAAATAAACACATTTTTTAAGATATTTTAAGAACCGATCGATGTTCCGATTTGAATGAGATTTGAGGAACCATCAAAATACCAAAAAAAAAATAATACAGGGTGGTCCGAACCGTATTCCGGAAACTTCGGCAGCATATTCTGCAGATAAAAATAAGTAAAAAAGTTCGTATAATATGTCCTAAAATGCTTAGTTTCGGAGATAGAGGGTGTAGAAGTTTCATTTTTATTTCGATTTTTCCCAATAATTTCTGAAGTAACATCAATATTTGGATGAAAATAGTGTCAGGGAGTTTTTGACATGAGAAATTTGATTTTGATGTCAATATGACTCCTATTTGTAGAACTGTAACTATGAAACTATGAACTCTTCCTGGAGACAAACGGTACATTGTGAGACAGAAAATTGTAGAGAGAAACAAGCCCTATAACATAGGATACAACATTTTAATGAATAGTGCTGTCCATAAAATCAATAAAATGAAAAATATACGAAATAATATGCATGTACTGATTTCTTTCGAAAATCGACAACTATGAAACTATGAACTCTTCCTGAACACAAACGGTACATTGTGAGACAGAAAATTGTAGAGAGAAACAAGCCCTATAACATAAGATACAACATTTTAATGAATAGTGCTGTCCATAAAATCAATAAAATGAAAAATATACGAAATAATATGCATGTACTGATTTCTTTCGAAAATCGACAACTATGAAACTATGAACTCTTCCTGGACACAAACGGTACATTGTGAGACAGAAAATTGTAGAGAGAAACAAGCCCTATAACATAGGATACAACATTTTAATGATCAGTGCTTTCAATAAAATCAATAAAATGAAAAATATACGAAATATTAGTTTTAACTGTTTCGAAGAGTAATCACTTTTCGTCCGTACCTGTACTACTGGGTGAAAAAAAAAACTACTGGACGGAAAAATTTAAATTTTCGTGACTTTTTTTACGTAAAAAATGTCTCTTGGTAAAAATAGCTACGAGCAACCATCCTCAAAATATTTAGAATGGAAATAGTCAATACATGTCATTATTGACAAAAAATAAACACGACGAGTAGATAGTTATTTGAGTGAAATAATAAATTTGGGGAATTTTATTTTTTTTAAATTAATCATAAATTAAAAATAAAATAAGAGACCTTTTTTACTTAAACAAAGTCGTAAATGTATATTTTTTTACTCAGTAGTTTTATACAGGGATGGACGAAAAGTTATTACTCTTCAAACCAGTTAAAAATATGCAGGTGGTGCCCTCTACAAGTAGGAGTCATATTGACATCAAAATCAAATTTATCATCCAAATATTGACGTTACTTCATAAATTATTTGAAAAAAATCGAAATAAAAATGAAACTTCTACACCCTGTATCTCCGAAACTAAGCATTTTAGGACATACATTTATACGAACTTTTTTACTTATTCCTATCTGCAGAAGTTTCCGGAATACAGTTCGGACCACCCTGTATATTAAACAAAACCAACTATACCTCCGACTGACACTGGGACTCCTATACCGATCCAAAGAATTATAATCCGGCTTCGCACTACCGTAATCCTTGTACAAATCAAGATCCTTATAAGCTCCCACCAGACTAGGCTTCCTCGTAGGCCTCTTCTTCTCGTTGAACCTCGTATAAAAGCTCTTTCTTCGGATCCGGTCACTCACGGACTCTCCTTCATCCCCTGAGTACAATAGTGAGTGACCGTTGTGGGATTGAGGCGAGTGAAGGTCGCTGAGGTGGTGGAAGTCCGAGCAAGCTGACCACGAGTCGCAGGAGAGGTAGTCCTCGGTGGGGGAGAGTATAGTTGAGCTGTCGTCTGTTGTGGAAGACAGGCGGTTATCGTGGGACGGTTCCTCGATCTTGTCTTTGGCAGGCTCGACGATGACCTGTAAGGTTTTTGTCTTTGAATAAAAAGATCAACGAAGAAGTACAATGGCTATCCATGTATTCATGCAGTCCTTGTTTATATATTAACTAGTTATTCAGCATAAGTTAGTTCTGGGAGTTTATTGATAGATATCTGTCATGTTAAGAAATGAAAGTAAATAAAGCGCCTCTCGTGTTTGTTCGCATACTAAAAATTTCAATTAAATGCCTGTATAACTTTTTAATATATTTTTTAAATTTGCATTTTTTTAATTGTAAAGTAATATATTATATTTAAATGGAATATATTACTTAACAATTAGGTATGCCAGTTACAGGCTTGTTATCTAATTCTTTTTAAATAAAACGAATTATAAAATTCCAATATATGCATATTTATCGTAGGTATGAAAAAAGTAAAATATAAAATGGACAAACGCTTACTCACATTGCAATAAAACTGCCACTTTTAGTTTTGCAATCCAAACGCAATATATATTTCTTTTTCACAAATAAAAATATCCGACAACATTAAAATCACTGAAACTTCCGCGGCTGACAACGAAAACTAAAAAATATAACAGCACTTCTTGTTTTAAACATGTATACCAAAATTACGCTGTACCATTATATTTTTGTTTTTGAAATAATATAAAATATATTAAAATTGTCTAATTACTAATTATTATAACTTAATGTTCCTGAATTTTAATATTTTAACTATCTTTGTCAATAACTAACTTTTTCTTAAAAGTTCCATTAAAAAATTCTTCTAAAATCAGTAGTGGAGCTAAAAAACGACATCCTTAAAATTTACATGTAATTTCCTATACAGGGTGTCCCAGAAATAAGTGCAAATATTTTAACTGGTAGTATAGTTCAACCCCAGAAACACGCCTATGAGGATTTTTTCGCGAAAAAAAAATTTGAAAATTCGAAATTTTTTGAAAAATTTTTTGGAAATTTTTTTTAGTTTTTAGTTAAAAAACATAATTTCTTGATTATATGGTAACATAGGTATTAGATTAAACTTACAAGAAAAATAATCCAGAAAAGATCCAGTGGTTCTCAAAATTTTAGCAAAAAATCTTTATTTTTTGGAAATTTTCAAAGTAAAATATCTCCGTTATTTTGGACTTATTTGAAAAACGATAAAGAGAAAATATATTTCTTTTAGCGAGATCTACCACCCCTTAAAATATTTGCACTTATTTCTGGGACACCCTGTATAAGCTAAGCTTATACATAGCCCGGTAAAAATCTGTCCAATGATGATACCATACAGTGACAATAACAATTTTGAAGTCTGTTTCTAAGATTTACAATAATTTCACTGTAATTCAAGTCCTGACATAATGTTTCTCTAGATTTATACACTTTGCATAATTGTATATTTTTGTGTTTATAACATGATAAACCGGAATTCAAGTTAGCCATATTTAAACCCCATCGCATTCTCTCAACTTTCATTGATATACCTCTTCTTAAGTCTTTTTATTAAATGCCTGCTCTGTATACCATAAGTTAAATAAAAATAAATACATACCGGTGCAGCGTTCCTTGAAGGTATCCTGGAAAAATCCAGCCTCAAATTCCTCCTATCTGGCTTACTCTGAACTTCCAGACTCTCGTTACTCGGGTTCTTGTTAAACTTGGGCGGTTCAGGCAAGTTATCCAGGTTTAAACTACGCCTGAACGAATTCACCGGTAGTTTCGATTTAGTTTTGACGTTGTTAGTCTCCACCTGATCCAGAACACTGTCGCTCCTAGCACCGTTGTAACTCTGCTGGAAGTGCTTCATTTTATCCAGGAACAAACTCTTAGGACGTTCCTTTTTTTCCGGCTTTTCTACCTCGACCGATTGTTTTTCAACACTTTCGCGTTTTTCTTTAGATTTTTTCTCTTCCTTGCTCTTACTTTTTTTAGTTGGTTTTTCCTTTTTCTTGTCTTGCTCTTCGTACTTTTTAAACAGCCCTAAAATCTTAGTAACGCTCTTTTTACTGGCTTGTAAAGATTTCGTACCTACAGCAAGATCTTCTACAGACACTGCACGTTTGATAAGACCACTTTCGGTACAAGGTTCGAGGTTCCTGGGCAAGCTTTGTTCTCTTAAACGCTTTATAGCACTCTCTACCATAGATTTCTTATCCAGAAGAGCTTTAGCTTCATCCGGATCTTTAACAGCTGTTATATTATTGGATCTGAATTTCTCTAACTTCTTTTCAATACTCTGAAGAAGTTTATTTTTGTGCGCTTTATCTTCTTCGTTTATGTTTTTGTTTGTTTCGTTTTTATCTTCTTTACTCTGTTTGTCTTTTTTACCGAACCCTTTCTTCAATTTACTGATCTTAGATTCAGGCTTTTCAGGTTTTTCAGCTACGTTTTCAGGTTTAACCTTTGTCCTTTCTATATTTTCGTTCGGGTAACTTTTTGGTCTGGCTATTTTAGAAATTCTGCTTTCTTTTTTGACTGGAGTTACAGTGTTGTCTTTTACACTAACGTTCACATAATCGTGTAAAGGTTTTACTGACTCTTCAGTCTTGTTTTCAAGCTCTTTTTCGAGATTTTTCGGGGAAATACAGGTATTCGGAGCAGGTACATTTACGTAATCGTGTATGTTTTTAGTCGGCGAAGGTGACTGTATCTTTTCCTTGTAATCATTCAAAGCCTGTTCGTTTGAAGTAGATTTCAGGATAACCTCCTCTACTGCCGGGCTTTCTAAATCCCTTGAGGGAGTCTTACTTCTGGTATCATCAGTATCAGACCTCCCCCTGGACCTAGATCTCAATCTACTCTTTCTTTTGTCCCGGATTTCCTTCAAAACCTGCTGAGTTTCACGTTCCCTCTCCTTCTTTTCTTTCAAATAAACATTGTCTTCCTTGGATTCGAAGAAATCCGGTCTCAAAAACCTGGAAATTCTTCTAGGTGACGCGTTCGAAAGTTTCTTGTCAATCTTAGGCGGTTCTGAGGATGTTGGAGATAAAACATGAGGTGATGTCAAACCTGGAGTATACCTAGTGTAAGAACTATCGTTAGAGTATCTAGAATAAGGTCTGGATGAACTAGAATCTGAGTATTTTGAGCTGAAACTGTCGGTGTCCTTTTTATATGAACTGGAAGTGTCGTCGTTTTTGGACAGGCTTTCTGAAATGCTACTTTCTGGACTATGTAAGTCAATCCTGGACATCCTGGGTTCTCTGGTACTGACTGAACGCGCTACTTTAGGTCTGGAGAACGTAAACTTGAAGTTTCCTCTGGGTTCAGCTCCGCTGCTTGAAGATCGAACGCTGAACTCATAAGGACGGTATTCTTCCTTGTTGTTCGGGTATTTTATAACAGGTAAAAATGATTTCGGAGCGTTCCTAACCAAATTCTTCTCCTCCTTGTCTACCGAGCTCTTTCTAGGAAGCGTGGAGCATATTCTGTCAATAGAACGTCTCCTGTCAACTTGTGGTTTGTCCAATTCGTCGCTGGTTTTGGAGCTGAGCGTTCTGCGAAGTTTTTTCACTTCGTCGGGTGTTAGTTGGGCTAAAAGCTGTTTCTGGATGCGTCTGGATAATCCTGGAGTGAGGTAGGACAGGGCCATGCGGTCCTCTTCGCTGAGATTGAGCTTTTTCAGGTCTAGGTCTGTTAGATTAAGGTCTTCTTGCGCGCGATACGTACGGTCATCTGAAATAAAGATATTTTGGCGTAAATATTCTAACGTCAAACGATTTTGCGTCTTATTACAACATTGAATAAGACTAAAATCGGTTCTGGCATTATAAAAAAATATATATTTTTAAAAATGTTTTAATTTGTAAAAACCATGCGTATTATTATCTGAGTAACTTCAATACACAAACTCTAAAAAAAAATACAATCGAACATCATCAAAAAAAAGAACAAATACAAATATATAAATAAAAAACACCTACCTTAGGTTTGGGTTAGTGTGTGAATTTTTGGCACAATACATCGGCTGCGGCATGGAAAGAACACATAAAAAAACAACGTAAATTAGTAAGAAATCGCAACAAAATATAAAATAAAACTCCACAAAAATTAAAATCGGCTGTATTATGGGGTGGGTGCGTGCAAATGATGGATGATGTCAGAGTAATGATGGTTTTTGTAGACAGATGGTTTGAATTGATTTAAAAAAACTTTAATAATAATTTGAGAAATATATTGCAAGAATTGATTTAACGGGAATAATAATATGAGAGCTGATAATTGGTTTTACTAAAATATTTGTCACGAGAAATATTTTTAAAGATGTAGATAGCACCATGTTTCTGATTGTAGTATGTTAAATTTAACTCTGGTTTGACTTTATTAGTTTTAAGTACCTACTGAATACAATCAATGCATCTAAGTCTTTATTTCCAATAGTGTAGTTACTATGTTCCTGGATTTTAATATATAGATTGATATAGAATCAAGGTAGTAAACAGAGAAGTTAAAAGGCCTTGCTCCCTACAAGTGTGCTGCTAGTGAATTTAAGCAGAAATTCGCACACTGCATAGTATTTTATTCTATACAGATACCTACTTTTGCTTTCAGCTCCATCTACGGTTACGTAGATGAAGTAAGCTTGTTTATTTAGAATACGTTTTAACTAACAAAAATAAATTGCGATGAATGATATGGCTGCCACTCAATAAATAAAAACAAAACAATTGCAATAGCAAATGGACCTGTCTATTTAGAAAAATAAATATTTCTGATTAGACTTCTCATAATATTTTATTATGAAGCAATACGAAAAATAACAATGAATTATAGGATATGTTTCTATCAAAATTTTGTCTTTAAATATGTTTGTACTTAAGTTTTTCAAACATTCTACAAAATAAAGAAAATGTACAGACGTACGAGAGTACATCTGATGGTGACAGTTTGGTCTGTCCTTTTAATTTACAAAAAAAAATGCATTTTCTGTCATTTTTTGGATGTGAAACCTTCCTTTACCCGTTGGACAGACTCTATATCGAAAGTATCGATATTTTGAGCATCGACTTTTACTGAACCCATACCTTCTAAAACTATTTTGTTCGATACATTATATGAATATTATTAGAAAATTCATCCATCCCTAGCGTTGAATAAAAAGAGACTAAGGAAGGACTTAAATACTGTTTTTATATGCATAGAATAATAACAAAAGAGAAGTTTTAAAAATATAATTTTTATGATTTTTACTTTGTTCGTGTAGCGCATCTGTATTGTTATTAAACAATTACACTAATTTATTTATTTTTATTAAAAAATGTTTTGTTTTAAATCAATTTGAATTGTTCATTCCTAGACTCAAATTATTCACTGCACTCCATGTATACAGGGTGGTCCGAATTGTATTTGGGAAAGTTAGGCAAAACATATTTTGCAAATAAAAATAAGTAAAAAAAATCGAATAAATTTATATCGTAATTCATGCAAGGTGTAGAAGTTTCATATTTATTTAATTTTTTTTTAAATAATATTTAGATATATTAGTATCTTTCACCGTCAACTCGTTCACCATCTGGTTAAAGCTTGATTTTCATGCATCCGTTATCCGACGATACGATATTAATTTTATTGGTTGAATTTAAAGACTTCGATTGGTTAGAAAATGACGTAGTTTTTAAATTTATTGCATTTTCATGCCTCCGTTCATCGGATATACGATTTGCTTGTGATTGGTGTCATTTTATATTTTCATTTCCATAACGAGATTTCTCTGTTTTACTTATTGTCTAAAACCTAGCAACGTTTTCGAGAGAGAATTTTAAGAAAGCTGGTTCCTTAATATATCTTTTGCTATGCTCTCCTGAATAAAGTGCGGACCGTCTGGCTGCCGGTAGACGTTGCGTTCATTACTGCGCATCATATCTGTATTCAACACATGTTCACTACTGCGCATCACAAATTCGTCCTGTATTTCAGAAACTAAGGAGGCTAGGACAAACACATGTGTAGCATATTTAGTTTCATAAAAAGTAGGAAAGTAATGTGAAAATCGCATCATTGTATCTCTACTCATAAATGGGAAATCCCATAAAACACACGAAAATGGGATACCCTGTACAGATGTGATGCGCAGTAGTGAACCGCAGTAGTCTACCGGCAGCCAGACGGCCTGTACTTTTGTCAGGAGAGCACAGCAAAAGATACATTAAAGAACCTTTCTTAAAATTCTCGTTTTCCCGACGTTGCTAGCTCTTGTACTATTATATTTTTATTAAGGTTAGATTAAATTTGTCAAAAAAGTGTCAAAACGTCCGTTATCGTACGATCTTTCTCCGTTGACGGGCTGTAGTAAAAAATTTAGGGATGAAAAGTAGCGGGGAAACGCTATGCATGACCAATCAGAGCGCCGCATTCCATGGACAAAAATCGAAAAAAAAAGTTACAATTTACTAATATCTGAATATGTAATTTTATACTTATAGCAATGTTCAATCATCCTGTATATTATTTTTCATAAACAGCGTTTTTTGTTAGCAAATATTTTCACTAAAAATAAATTTTGCGATCATTATCTTATTATTATAGCATTCATAGTAGTTCTATATATTATGGAGTTAAACGGTACGTACTTAATTGAAAGCCACTATGGATATTGTTAAACAAGTACTTTAAATTTATTTCTAAACAAGTTCATGATTGTTTAGTTCTTATTTATTTTTTAAGATGATTCTTAAATGGGTATAAAAATTCTACGTTTTCAAACTTCAAAAAGGCATTTAAAAAAACATATCAAAACATATATCGTATTTATTGAATATTTTTGTTGTCATATTCATACACTTTTAATTTTTGTATAGTTCACCTGCGTCTGCTTGCGACGAACTTTATTTTATAATACTTTTCAGATGGAGTAAAATTGATAAGCAATGCCGATCTGGTTAATACTTGGCTTAATCATAAGGACAAGAACTCAAATTATTTGTATTTCAAAAAATGTGTTCTTTATTAGATATTGATGAACCTTTCAGTCAAATGAGACACCACTTGTGCCTGAAAAAGCCCACTATGTTGGAGCGAAACGTCGCATAAAAAAAGTTTCCATCTTTCAATTTATTATAAAACCTCATACCAAAGAAAAGGAAAAAATAATATATGGATATGGTCTATTAAAGAGGTAACTATTAACATCCGAACCCCTCATACCAACAAAAAGAACAGTAACAACGCGAAAAAGTAACATATTAGAAAATGACGTACAGAAATATCTTATATGTGAGGATACTTCATCTACGTGTGATTTGGATACTATAAATTTGGAAGATTCTGTCAGCAGTGATTCTTCTGAATCAGAGTAGTTAGGATCTATGCATTTTGTTGTCCTAAAGTAAATTTATAGTATCTTAAGTTTTTTTTTAATTAAATATAACATTAATGTTTCTTTTTCATTAAAGAAAAACATTTTTATCTTATATTAGGCTGATATTGTAGGAATCATGTTCTCATGTTATTTCAATTCTTTTTTATCACAGGGATTTATTTAATACTTACACCGTTTTCATACTATAAATTATTATTTCCTTAGATGGAACACAGCTCCAACATTTTTATTATTTATAAGATTTTTTTTATAAACGTGGGACTAAGAACATCATCATTTAGTACAATGAGAGTACTCATCATTTGTGTCAAATAAACCTAGTTTGAATAAATTGCCTACTATAAAAGAGAAGTTTTGTATTTTTGTCCTCTAGAGCCATATGTTCGAAGCACTGTGCATCGTATCAACGGATAACGGACGCATGAAAATCAAGTTTAAGTTTGGCAATATACTCCCTCTTTATTCTTTTTTATTTAATGATCCCTAGCGCTAATTTGAATTCTATAGAAATTGACAGGTCCATTATATGATTGTAACGCCAAAAAAAAAAGAAAATTCCTAATTTGTATTAGGTATAATAATAATTAAAAAAAACATAATCCTGATTGTATATCGGTGCATGCAAATATCTGTGAGCCTACCGAGTGGTGGTCGTTCGAATAGTACTAGTAGTAGTAGTTGTGTCGATTTGGGGGGCGGTTGGCTGTGGCTGTGGCGGCAGAGGTAGCGGGCGGGAGGTTAGTGGGTGCCGGTCCGCTGGTTGGCAGCCGGTCCGCAGGGCACATGCACCGTGACGCGCACGCGCGCTGCAACACGCAACACGGTCACCACGACATGCCGGCAAAGCCCCGTCACATCTTGACGTACCCAGTGTCAACAAGTCTTTTCGAAAATTATAAAAAAACGCCCGTTCTTTGTTCAGAAATTACGAATATTAGGCTTTTTAATATTAGTGATTTAATTGATCACGACTTTCTGTTGCATGGCTGTTGTAGCATGCCCAATTTTTAATTATTTCTTTAAATTGACGTGGAAGTCTTATACTAAGGGCTGGCAAAGGTTAGTCTTGGGTCGAAATTTCCGTATGTAAGAAGAGTACAATGCGTTCATATTGTACTGAACAAAGAGAGAACAGTAAAAAAGTTGTCAAACGTATGAAATAAACCGAAAAACTGTGCACATTGCTAAGAGACGTGGAAAACTGTGTACAACATGCGTTCAACTTCACGATTTAATTACGTCTCGTGATACTTTATTAACGAGTCATAATTTTCCTTATAACTTGTAAATTTTTAAGTGCAAGTTAGAAACACTTGCACTTTTGGTAAAAATAAGTGGAACTGAGTTGGTGTTCGACAGTGGTCGCGCTATTAAAACTCTGAATTCAAAAATTGATATCTCGAAATCCATTAATAATAATTCATTGTAGTTTTTTTTCAAAAACTATCTTAAAATTTCTGCTATATTTTCTTCGCAGACAGTATATGAAAATCTTTATAAATAAAAAAGTTACACGATTGCTGAAAATTGCAATGCACTAAAAGTAATTTTGAATGAAAAAAAAACAAGCCTATCAAAATATTCTTATTTAAACATCTTGTAAAAGATCCGAAGTTCAAAATATAAAAAATGTTTCAATATTTAAAGTAGTTCTTGAGTTATCGCGTGTTATGTGTTAAAAAGTTGAGTCTTTAAATTATCGCGATTACTGACGTTTTCTCGTTATAAAAAAATGGACATCCTAACGATATCCTTATAATTCCATTTCAGATGCTCAGAACCATATCTAATGATTTTATCTAGTTATCTTTTCGAAAATAAAAGTCTTTTAAAAATAAGCGGTTTGCGAACGTGATTTCTGCAGTCCTAAGTTAAAGGTTCTTATTTTGGCCACCAATAAGAGATATTTTTTGTGGATGCAAATTATATTACATGGCAATAATAAATATATAAAAATAGTAAATATACATTTTTAACAATAGACAATGTAAATCAAGATGTGACAAGACAATAAATGTTATTCTGTCCCCCGCTCTATGTATTTTTATTTAAATTTAGTATTCATTTCAAGTTGCTAAATTGACTGTTTTATTTTGACACCATATTTTACTTAAAAATGCAACATTCATAATACTAAATTTAACAAAAATCAAACATTTCTGTTCTACCTCATATGCACAATGATCTAAGATCTTTAGGTCCCATAAAAAAACATCAATCAAAAAGGAAAGAAAAAACATCTCATGGTCATAAAACAAAAAGATCTACTACTCTGGCAAGACTAAACAGTATTTAGTAATTCTACAGAAAAAAAAACTTTGTAGGACCAAGAGGACGCTAGTTATTTGTAAAATGTGACAAATTTTAAATCCTATCTAAAAAAACACAGTGTGAAAAACTCTCTTCTAGCACGTCTATTTAAAAATTCTCAAAATTACTATAAAAAAACTACTGCATATGAATGCTATTTCAGAATAAAATTGAAACGAATTGAGATTAATGTATCTGGATTTTTCGAGGGATCTTTCAAATTATTTTTTGGGCAAAGAGATTGAAAACTATTAACTTGTTGAGTTTTTCTGTGAGTTTTTGTAACAAACAGATAATTTTTTTATTTTCCCTTAATACTTGTATATACTTATTTATATGACATTAAATGACACCCTCCATAATGTCGAAATAATACTTTTGTAAAAGTATTCTATTTCCAAACACCTCCTACACCAGCAGATCATCTCATCGCCCAAACTTAAATACACGTGCCAGATCCTGTTATACACTTAACGATATGTACCGGTCACAACACAAACTATTACTACTTCATAGAAAATAGAAGGGCATTAATACGAGATAACTCAATGACTAAAGAATATAAAGACCAATAACTGTTACCAACTGACCCCAACAGTGCCGTGCCAGAGGGTTAATACAAAAAAAATTAAATAAAAATTGCGATTTTAATTGTTTCACAAATATTTTTTTCAAATTATTATTCGATGGTTTTTAATTTTATTTTTTTACAAGTCTGCCTTTAATGATAAAATCTTTGAATAAGAAGACTAAGGAAGGAGCATATTAAAAATCTTAGGTACACCGCGATGGGCCTCAAATATGGCCGACTTAAATTCCAGTTTATCAGTGCCGTTCTAATTTTATTTAAAAAATGTAAAACTATGATGTAGGGTAGACGTGGGGTAGACTCAATAATTTGATATTTTATTTTACGTTGTGAATAAATGTTGGTAGTTATTAAAATTGTTATAAAAATATATAATTCTAATAAAAATAGATAAGTTATAATAAGTATTTATTAACACAAATATCCGATACGCTACTGAAGCAGGTAAGTCAAATTAACGTATCAAAATTCTTTGACATCTGATCTTTGACAAGTAGTAAATAAAAGCTAAAATGCAAGAAAATATATAATTTAGTTAATTTAAGTGAATTTCATAAATGATCGGTTTACTACACATATGTATATTATATAGTCACTTACTAGCGAAAAGTTGTTCCATTATTTCACTCAATTTTTGCCGAGATCTACCACACGCTACACAACCAACTATTTTAGAGTCTTTTTCGATAAATCGCGATAGTCACTGTTAATTTAAGTTCTGCCACAATTTCCATCTAGATTTACTACCTTTATACAACTATCAGTAGTAGAATAAATAATAAATAACATAAAATATGCTCCGTAAAGACTGACAAATCCACAAAATTTCAAATCAAATTCAAATGTGTCAAATGAATCGTCAAACAGAACTGTCAAGGATCCCTACCCTAGAGAACTTTTTTCGCCCACCATGCATGAATACATGGATAGCATTATGCTCCTTCCTTAGTCTTCTTATTCAAAGGATAAAATAGATTATTTAATTTTTTAGTTCACAAAATTAGTTTGCAAATGGAACCAGGTGAGCCAGGTAATACTTACTGTTTACTTACGAATAATTAGACGTATTTAGTTATGAATAATCTTTATTTATTTATATGTTTGGTAAAAGTTTCGCCTACACCTAATAGTGGAAGTTGCTTTTTTAGTTGGTGGTATGCCAATTATTTAAAGAAAAAAGTCTTAAAACTATTATGCTTAATATGTACCACAATAATCAATATGTATGATCTGTATACCGGGTGCGTCTCAAAAGTGGCTCACCCCTATAACTTTTTTATTATCTCAGATAAAAAACGAGATTTGGTATGTTAGTATTAACTTCCTGTTTCACCGGAAATGACTACAATTTTTTATTTTTAAATAGCATTCTAGGGATTTTTTTTCCTTATTCTATAGAGAATGACACACTGTATAGAATGACATATCATATGTCAACTTTTTACATTTTGGCTTTAAAAAATCGTATTTTAAATTTCAATCTAGAGTGCCATGACTGTGTTAAAACTGTAATTTTTAATCAAGAAGCCTTGGAAAAATAGATTTCATCGTCTAATGTTTTTCATGTCTTGTCTTAGCCAGTTAAAAGATGCCCAAATCATATTTTTAATCATTTCTCGATTTATTCAAATGGAACAAGGGTGGCTCATTAGTATAATAATTGGAAAAAGCATTTTTTACTAATAATTTGGTACAAAACACTTGGTATTTCGAGTCAAATTGTCGTTATGAACCGCATGTTACACAATTTCAAATAAACCATATGAGAACGTCTTTGTATTCTTTAGTCATTGAGATAACTATAGGGTGTGGGGTCAAAATTAAACTGGAAAAACTGAAAAAACCGTGACACTGAACACAGGGAGCGACTTACCTCCTGGGGGTATTCTGGCGGTGGCGGTAGCACTTGGGGTGGCATTGGGGTCGTTGAAAACGCTCTCTATGTCCGAGGCTAGGTCTCTGCTGACGCTCCTACGCCAGGGAACACCGAAAGCGTTGTTGGTTTGGGAGGAGTTGGAGTTCAATGGACGGCCGAAGCTCCTGCCCAGCGACGAATGTCTACTAAAAGTTACATAAAACAAAAGTTTTTTACGTTCAAAATAATGAATTAAGCATAACAAATCTACGATTATAGGAAATAAGAATATTGTGAATGGGGTAGAATACAGTAATGGTCCTAGATCATATTATATAATTTCGTAGATAATGTTATACAGGGTGTTCCTTAATGAGCCTATTTTAAAAGTCAACATTTTGATAGTCTTATCAGCGTTTTTTTATCTTTTAATTGCTTTTTCAAAATGCCTTTATTATCTGAAATAGTTGAAGTTGTTGGCATTTTGAAAAAGAAATCAAAAGATAAAAAACGCTGATAAGACTATCAAAATGTTGATCTAATAACAATTTGACGTTTATACTATTACGTCAAAAGCAACTTTTTTCCAAAGCCTACAATGACTTCACTGAATCATCGTTTCTAGTTCACTGTTATTAATATCTTAATTATTAGATATTAATACCCCTGGTATTATGGTATTCCGGTATTTCGTCGATTTTAAAATAAACTAACTGTTTCTATCTTATTTTTTGTTAGAACGGGCATAATTAAGAGGGCTACTGATACAGTGTTGTAAAACTAAGGTAATTAAGGGCTTATTTTTTGGTATTTATTTTAATTTTGCTAATATCTCCGGTTTGAAAGAAGATATCAAGATGCGGTTTTCGCTGACTTTTTAAGTTTTTACTACTCTTTACTATCAGCTAAAATTACATATACTATTGCATTTAATTTTTTTGAAAAAGCGCGCAATGTTTGTTAAATTGTAAGACAACGCCCTCTAGCGTCTACGTTCAAAAGCTTATTATTATTGTTTATATGGTACAATATAGAGTAAGAAACGCTCTTTTAAACGAGCCCTCGCTTGTTGGATTCCGATCACCCAGTCCAGAGTTACTAATATTTAAATAAAAACAGATCTAACCTTCCCCCACCACTTTATTTTGGTAGATAGGGGAAAATGGCTTTAACAAAAAATATTCAAAATTTACTGAAGATTATGAAGCTATTACTTATAGTACACCTTATCTAGGCAAAATTGTGTAAAAACTCCATTTTCTTATTTATTGTTGCAGTTGCGCCCCCTAGCGGTCGTTCTAAAAACTTGAAAATAATTTCCAGCAATTTCCCATAGCCTCTTTAGTTATAAATATTTTTTTCCGCAGCCCCTACGGCTAATACTTTCCGAGATACAGCCGAGAGCTATTCTTAGTGGGACACCCTGTACAGAGATAAATTGTGTTAACTTATTTTGATTCTAAAAATACGTAGTAGCACAGGTAGAGTCGTTTGTCTATACCTACTATATCCACGGAATATAGGAACACCAAAAACCCTATATATTTTGCATAAAAAAATTGCCTGATCATAATCCAGAGAAAGTAAGTGATAATATAATCCATATTTTCCAATTCCAAAAAGGTATCTAAACATAGTCGTGCTAGAGATGTATAAAAAAGTATGTAAGAAGATGTAAAAAACAGTCATTATAAAAATGTAATGACGTAGAAGTATCTACGAAAGTATATAATAAAATCCATGCTTTCAGCAGACAAAATTAATCTTTTTTATTGTAAACAGAACATTAAAAAATATAAGACATATTTATAAAAAGTATTTCTTGAATACTCTGTACATTTTTTCGGACAAAAAGGACGAGTACTCGATTATCGAAATTCATCGGTTTTTCCCGTTACTAATAAAAATACAGTTTCCAGTATCCAAGAAATTGATAAACACTGAACAGAACAAGAACTACTTAAGAAACCTACCAAACAATTCTATTTCTCTAAGTACGACTCACTTACGTCACTTTTTCTACCTTTCTTCTATAAACGATTTGGCATTGTGTGCTTGCAAAAAGTATTTTTTTGTTTATTTTATCTATTAATTAAAAATATAAATACCAATATCTTTAACTCGGAAAGAAAACAAATATTGTTTAATTTAATCAGAAATCAAACTAAACTAAATAGTATTAAAAACAAAAATTTTCCTTAAAGTAGTTCAAATGTACCATGTAACATTTATCCAAAAAATATATGTTAAAAAATCAGTTATCATCATTATTCGTTCTTACCCAGCTAAGGGATGTTCCATCCTGTTCCAGAAGTTAGTTCCGTGATCGAAATGACCCAAAAGCCTGGAACTGGGAAATCCTGGCCTAACGTTATCGTCAACGTTAAGTCTTTGAGTTAAATCCCGAACCTATATATAATTATGATAAAATTAAAAAATATACCCGTAACAACTTTTGATACACATACTCTAGACAGTAGCGTAGAGAACAGATTTTCCGCAGTCAGCGTTTCGAATCCCTCGTCATCATCCTCTTCACCCGAGCTTAATGAATCGTTGTGCTCTAGAGTGGCCCTCTTAGGTCTCGTTGTCCTATAATAAATTCATTTTGAAAATCACTAGAATTTAGCTAAATAGCTAATAGACATCGTCTCACAACAAAAGAAATTACAGAAGTGTTTATTCACTCTTTTTTTCTTTATTATTCAAGTAAAATGTCTAATTAACAAAGGATTATGTTAAATATGTTTAACAGAAAAAGCATTACTTTTATTGTTCTGCCCTGAAATGACGGCACTTCGTTATTTTATGTTGGCTACAAAACTTTCCCCCCGAAAAAACGTATCTACGTGTTTTATGGTCTACGGTCTTACCTTAATCTATGCATATGATGGAAATTATCCTTCCTAGAATCCTCGGTATCGCTGTCTTTGCCAAACGAACTATGCCTGTGTAGGGTGGCAAAAGGAGATTCGTCTTCAGAGTCTCTGTCATTTAATAATGAACTATAAAAAGCAAAATAATATAATTAAAAAAAGTTAGCTTATTTTTTATGGTTTTATTACCTTAGTCTTCTAGGTCCCCATCTTTTACTTCTATTTGTCAGCGTGCTAGCGTTACTGGTAGATTCGTTCGGCTCTAAGCTGCTAGCTCTGGGTGTTACATAACCTGTATAAAAATAGCGAATAAAGAAATTAACTTGAAATTAATTAATATAGAAATATATACCTCCTCCTTCTACTGCAATGGGTATAATATATTCCCTTGGAGATTTCTTGATGGGATCGCCTGTAGAGGTCGTCGTTTCCGAATCAGATTCTTGAGTGGATTGTCTTGACAGACTATTTGACCTACAGAATTTCAAAAATGTATTTAGTTAGACAGTGTTAGAAATTTTTTTTTCTTCATTTCCATTCTTTTTTTTCTTCAAAAGCTGCAAATTTGAAAACTAAAGTATCTAATAATATTTCAGTGTTCAAATTTTTTATTTGAGTATTTGAGTTGCTCTAAACAGCTCAAACAACACAAAAACCCAATGTATATGACAATAAAAATATTGTTATCCAATTTTATATAATAAATAATATTTTTTTTTTATATTCTTTTCTTTGACCTCTCAATATATATTTTATTTAATTTTTCTGATCAGAATGAAAATGATAAAATTGTAATAAGTAAACAATCTACGTTCAAGTAATAAATTTTGATAAAGACCCTACCAGGTCGAAACGTCAATGAAATTTTTAATATAAAAAACCGCTTTTCTCATTTTTACCTGACCTAAAGCCAAGAAAAAATTAAATAAAATAATAAATAATAATATTATATAAGGATTCTTGCCACTTAACTGCTGATATAGAAATTTAATTCTACGCTGTTTTTGTCATAATGTGGATCAAACTGCTCTCAGTACCGGTTTCGGAGCCCTACTCCATCATCAGGTGAGCTTGGGCAGATCCACAAAATGACAACCACAGCGCAGAGATAGTTAATTCCGACTTGTCGGAAAGTGTCGGTTAGATATTAAAGATAGTTGCGCCTCGGTGGTACGAAAGTACTACCATTGCACGCAGGCCGCTATCTCCCGTTCGGGACTTAATATCTAACCCACACTTTCCGACAAGTCGGAATTAACTATCTATGCGCTGTGGTTGTCATTTTGTGGATCTGCCCAAGCTCACCTGATGGAGTAGGGCTCCGAAACCGGTAGTGAGAGCAGATTGATCCACATTATGACAAACACAGTGTAGAATTAAATTTCTATATCAGCAGTTAAGTGGCAAGAATCCTTATATAATTTTATTATATACCTATACTGCAAGAAATTTGTTTTCTATTTTATAAATAATAATTATTGTTCATTTAAATTGAAGAAAAAAAAATTGGTTTTATGCAAAAGACTGAAATTACAGTGACATTGTGAATCTGTGAATCTTAGAAAAAGGTATCAAAAATTGTTACTTATACAGCATGCGATTGATTTCAGACAAGAGAACTGAAATACCATACGATCGAAAAAAAAACGGTGTCAAAGACGGCTGGGAAATGACAATCGATGATAATTTTGGCGAGGTCGAGCCTTAGGTCGTTATGGTCCATACTCTTCTTTATTTGTTAATGGAGATTACTGCCAGAGAATAACCTCTAGAGACTGACCTCGCCAAAACGATCATCGATTGTCATTCCACAGCCGTCTTTGACGCCGTTTTTTTTTCGATCATACGGTACAATGAAATAAGTTTTCGCGTAATCAATTAAGACAGATATCTGGTTAATAGTAAAATCTACTAAACTAAAAAGTTTAATTTATACAAGCCCGTTGTAATAAGATTTAGACTTGTTTGGTAAAATTACTAGATATATTTAGATTACCATTTAACATTTATACTTTGTGTGTTCCTGTTATATTTTACCTTTGAGAAATATTTGATCTTTGAGCCTGGAAAGGTCTGGATATCGGAGGTTTTGCAGGAGGAGACTGTACCGATTCCTTATTTTCTTCCTTCTTTTCAAACGCGATTGGTATAATTCGTTCCTTGGAAGATCTGATATCTTGATTTTCGTTCGCTCTGAAAAAATACATGTTTTATTCAAAAATCATATAAAATAGACATGATTTGAGGGAGAAATGTATACCTAAAATCGATAGTAGGCGTGGGAGATCCTACAGGAACGACAACTTCACTTCTTACTTGAGGTGGGGCTTCGACGTTATGAGAAGATTCAGTACGGAATTCCATTTGAGCGGGTTTGGGAGATGGATAGTTTAGTTGAATTTGAGCTTTTGTTGTTTTTCTATAAAAGAAAAAACAGAATTTTATGAGTACCTATAGACTACTGTCGAATTGAAACAAACACCTTTAATTTCATGTAAAAAATCTATTAAAATAGCATATAATTTGTAATTTTGATTCAGAGGACTAAGAATTCAAATAAAAAATGTTAAAAAATACAAACCTTCTAGGTAAGGTAGCGCTTTTTAGTGTAATCTCTGCATTGCTGACTTGTGGCTCGTCTATACTGGGTGGAGTAGGTTCTTCTTTCACCTTAAACAAAATAAATAAAAATAAATTGAAAAGAAATATTTTAAAACTCTCTATATACCTGTTTAGCTTCAGTGGTAACTAATTTATTTTCATAACACGGTCTGATAAATGGCTTCGGACTGACGTTTTGAATGGGTGGACTTAGAGGAGCTACAGTTCCGATATTTCCAGACGCCGATCTACCACTGGCCTAAGAACAAACAAATATTTAGCTATTTGTCGTTATAGAATATGTCCATGAGCATTAAAATAAGTAGAATAACGATTGAGGTGATTTTAGTGTTAGAGCACAGAATAACCTTAGCTATACAAAAGCGACAGTATTTTGCGACAGTAGTTTTGTAGTAGGTGTCCTGAATTTTTTGACCTTCATGCATAGATAAAGGAAATAAATTCAGATTGGAAAGCCCGTCAAAATATATAAAGTCAGAATCTTCAAAAATTACAAAATCTTTCAAAATTTAAACCGCCCTAATTGAAAAAAGTGCTTAAAGCGTCCATTCTCAAAGTAATTATTGCTATCTTGTGAGTTTAATTTAAAGTTTACTTACTCAAATCCGTGATAATTGTGAAAAAGTGGCATTAAAAACTAAAAAACTGTGTTGTGAACTGTGAACTGCAAAAACCATCGTGAATCGTGGCATAACATCGGTTTCCAATGTTCATAGGTATTTTACATATGTCCTTATATAAAATAAAGTTTTTTGTATGCAACACACTGTATTTTATTTATAAAATTAAAAGAAAATAATAATAAATTTGAATAAATAATATTTGGCGACATAATTCCGGAAAAAGCCGAATTGACCCGAAATCCTCAGAAGGTTTGGGTCGCGACCGTTGCAAGAATAGCGCCAAATAGTGTTAACATTGTCCTTATGGGCACTTTCCCATCTAAACTTGTTTCATTTACTAATGCCTTCATGTCGCGTATTTTGGCAATTAAACTCGCATAATGAAAGATAAAAAAGTGCCTGATAATATTGTGAAATACGAGACATACTAACACCAGGAGGCACTAGACAAGAAGATCTTGTTGAATAATAATGGGCCTTAGCCTTTTAAAGAAATAAAAAAAATATTTTGTATACTTTGTAGTTAAAAATGCTTGGAAGACGTCGATGTCTCCATACCTTGCTCCATACCTTCTGGGAAGAGGAGAATTATGAAGTTGGGCGTTTAGATGTAAAAAATCATATATTCTCCTGGAGAATGTCTACGGAGAATTTCTCCATAAGAACTTATAGTTTATTTTGTGTTCAATGTTACTTTGTATTTCGTAGAAAATACACTTTTGTTGAAAAAAAATTGTCTCTTTTTCTGATGTTGTTTAACTTATACAAATATAATATCACTTCATACTTCCATGATAAGAATTTGGCTTGATTTTTGTTTAAAGTCTAAATTGTTTATGTTTTACTATATTTTTGTAGGTAGTTTTTAACGTAGTTTTTGAAGGTAGTTTTTAAAATTTTAAAACGTAGTTAATAACAAAAAACTACGCGTAGTTTTTGGCGTAGTTTTTTGCTTCATAAACTACTTAACAACCCTGCCTAAGAACCATAATGGGGAAGACCAGAGAGAAACTAATAACTAAAGTGAGAGGGCTTGTGGAATAGGGCATTTCGTAGATAAGTTTATTTTGTCACCGCGCTTCCCAGACGCGCATAGCGTTTAGGCGGTCAAAAAAGGAAGTTTTCAACTTTGCAAGTTAAACATTTGACAGGATTAATTAGATTGTCAGTAGCTTTTTCTATTTCTTAGCTCTAGAAGGAGATATCTAAAATCTGTTGATAATCGGAGTAATAAATTGTTTTTGACTGAATGTGCCTGTTCTTTTAGCTTGTCAGAAGAGAAGATTATTGTCATTATTGATTATTTCAGGTTCCACGTTATTCGGCGTTTTTGTAATTTTTGTTTTGTGGTTGAGATCCAGACAAAACGTTTCCTTTAAAGGTTTTTTAAGGTAATTATTTTAATATACCTAATAGTAATAGTAAGTGCACATAATAATCGTACATTGCTAATTTACATAAGCTTAACCTGTAGGATAAATCCGATTGTAAAAGTAAAACATCACATTCTTTTCTGATACCTATGGAACGACTAGCTATTATAGCTGGTATTATTACCAGTAATACAAATTATTTTCTTCAACTGATAGGTTCTTGTTATAGAATAAAGACTATCGAAAACATTGAATACCTACGGGATACCTACTGATACTCTGTGCGAGCTCCCAACCGTGCTTCCCTGTTCACTCCCAACCAAGTTAGATAAAAAAGATATTGAAGATTGCAGCCTTGAGTTGGAGTATGGCAAGGAGTACGGAGTTAAATAAATTATTATGTTCCTACACAGTATTTTATTTATAGGTTTTAATGCTTTAAAGTCTAATAATAAATTTTCGTTGTCAAGAAAATAATCTAAAAAAACTACGAAGATTTCTTATTATAAACTTGAAAAATTAAGATTCGGTTCAAATATACAAATTTTAAATTTTTGCCGCCAGTATATAGACATGAATGCAACCTACTATATCGATAATGCGCTCATAGTTTGGGTTAGACGCCAAAGGCCGCGCCACTAACACAGTCTTCAAAAATTAACGTTGATCGGTCTCTTCCACTTTAATTATTATTAGTGTTCTCTCTGGGGAAGACTAGAAGAGACAGAATTAGAAACACAAATATCAGACAACAATGTGGAATACAGGACGTAGTAAAATGGGGTAGACAAAGAAAAAGACAACGGTTCGCACACGTAAAACGCCTGAAAGAAAACGGGCTACCACGCATAAATCTCGAAGAAAAACCCGTGGGTAAGAGACAGTCGGAAAGACTTCCAAAAAGATGGAAAGACAGTTGGCAGTCCATCAACTCCTACAGAGACAAACTTAAAACTAACAGATCGACTAGATCTCAAATAAGTAGAAGAAAAAGAATAAGAAATTCGCTTGCACGTTGAAAAATATAGAATTTTATGAAAAAAGTTTTCAAATACACTGAGAAAAATTATTTGGTTTATTGAGGTTTTAATTTAAAATCCGTCTTTAATCATAATTACATATAGCATAAAAATATGACAAATTCACTTAAAATTTGGTAGCCGAAAAAAAAATCGCCCATATGGTTTCAGTATGGTTAAGTAAGTAATTCTGTGATTTTAGTAAAATATCACTGTTATAAATTTTCAATTCGCTGTCGTTATTCTACTTATGTTGTAATGCCGATGAACCCTGACGATGATAAATGAAAAACGACACATTATTAATAACGAGACACAAGAAAAAAGAGAGAAAAAGTTATTTACTCCAAATGGTACTGGGGGTTTCCGCATCATACACGGTCTAGATTTACTCTTTCTAGTACCCTCCTTATCTAACGCGCTCGATATGATACTAACTGCATTTTTCACCTTCTCTTTTCTGTCGTCGTGTTCAGTCTTCGCGTCTTGCTTGCTGGCTTCGGGCTCCGCCTTGGTAGGTTCTGAAAATAAAGTACTATTAGACCTAATAATAATAAAGTCAGTAATAGTCTGAGAGCAAAACCATGCAAGAGTTTTCTGAAGGCTAATATTTTGAAAATCGATTGCATTTTAGTGTTAAAATGCAAAGGTACAGTCAGCAGTTCCAGTTCCGGGACACCTGACGCTGAAAACGCGCAAAGGTGTAAAACAGCCGCTACACTATCCCCGAAAGGTTTTTACGAAATATTTTTTGGTGAAACATTTCACAAACCATTTCTGGAAATAGTACGATAAATATAAGCCCGTGTTTAGTAGATATAAGAAAATATAAGTCCGTGTTAACCCAGATTAACAATAAAAAATTGGTCAAGTGCGAGTCCGACTCGCGCACGAAGGGTTCCGTACCATTTATTATATATACATTAGGCACTATATTATTATAAACTTTTTTTCCGATTTAGCTGAAATTTTGAATGCGCGTATAAGTAATTAAAAAAAAATGAAGAAACACATTACTAAAAATTGTATTAATCAATAATAAATATGTAAAAAGTAAAAATAAATATGTAAAAATTAAAAAAACGATTAAAAAAAGTCGCCTTGACTAGGATTCGAACCTGCCTTACTACGGCTCCACCGTAACGCTTTAACCCACACGGCCACCGAGGATTTGAGGGATTCTATGTAAAATTCTTACTTAAAAGATAATGTTTAGTGAAAGTACTTTTTTATTTATAAACATTTCTTTAATTCTGTTTTTAGTATTTGTTCTTATAGCGGCAACATAGATACATTATCAGTAAAAATTTCAACTGTCTAGCTATAATGGTTCTAAGATGGACCTTTGTGACAGACGGACGGACGGACGGACAGCGAAGTCTTAAGCCGGAGTCTCATGCATCCGAAATCCGATGACACGACGATCCGACGGTGCTCTTATGGGTCGAAATATTTTGACAACAATTTTTATCCGATAATTTTAACTAATCATCCGACGTCGTATAAAGTTAAATTTTGTTTAACTTTTGTACGATATCGTGTGTTTTTTAACCACACTTTTTTTGAAAACATTTGTTTTTAAAAACAAGTTTAGTGGGAAGTGGGCAATTTCGGGATATTTGGCGAGGAAGTTATTTTTATAAGTGTTTCTCTAATAAAACATGACATGAATCTCTATTCAGCGCAGCAGAAAAATGTTAAAACTGTCAAATTTCGGAACGAACTTTCGGATGTATGTGACAGGCTTTTTTTATTTCACACGATAACTTCAAATTTCGGATGTCGTACCATCGGATTTCGGATGCATGAGACTCCGGCTTTAAGGTGTACGCGCACTGAATCGGTACCAGTCCGGCGAGAAACGGCGAAGGCGGTGACTCGACTATCGTAGATAGGTAGAGGTAGGAATCTGGCCTCTACAGGCCGAAATGTTTTAGTGGACGCCGGCGCCGTCTATATGTACGATGGTCGCAGTCGCTTTTGCTGGTCGGTCCGATCCATATACATATCAAATATATACTGATTATCGCCTATCTCTGCAATGTGTTGGAGTTGAAGCCGAGTTAGAGACAACTAGATAACCGGTTCATGTATATTTCACATAAGTTCATCTGTTAGCGAGACACTGGCGCAACAGCGCAACTCCAAAATTCCGAATATCGATTAGCCCTTGCTCTGAGGATTAGCCAATTGTCGAACGGGAACGCAAACGAAAGCCGTACGAAGTTGGACGGAGCCGTACGAATGAACAGCTGGTGCTAGCGTCTAGTCTCTTATTGGTCTAGTGATCCAATCGATAATTCAAAATCCAGTCTTGCGCACTACGATTGTGCTCCGCTAACTGAGCGACTTATGCAAATTCCTTCAGAAGATTTATATACCCATTTCACCGGCTCGGCTTCACAGAATGCAGTTTGGAGTCAATATAGTTAGTTAGTATATATATGGTCCGATCCGATGCAGTGCGCGCCTTCCTTTAAGGTGTACGCCCACTGAATCGGTACCAGTCCGGCGAGAAACGGCGAAGGCGGTGACTCGACTATCGTAGATAGGTAGAGGTAGGAATCTGGCCTCTACAGGCCGAAATGTTTTAGTGGACGCCGGCGCCGTCTATATGTACGATGGTCGCAGTCGCTTTTGCTGGTCGGTCCGATCCGATGCAGTGCGCGCGGAGCCTTAGTAATAGGGTTCCCGTTTTTACCCTTTGGGTACGGAACCCTAAAAACAAACAACCAATCACGGCGCGTGTCGATCAATTTTAGGAAACATGGGAATTAATTTTTATAACACGGGCTTATATTTATCGTACTATTTTGTGAAATAGCACGAGGCAATCAAGGTCAAACGTTGTGATAGCTTCAGAAAAATAAGTAAACATGGAAAAACTGATATGAAAACAGTTACCGATGGTAAATTAAATTGGCCATTCCTGGAAGGTTACACAATAATACTTAGTTTTAATCATTGTCTAATATTATTAATTACAATATAGTAAAATTTATCGGCTTATAACCCACGGTATTGCGCCTCATGAACAAAATATACACAAAATTATTACAGACTCGTATAGTTACTTATTATTTCTGGTTATGGTAAAGTAACATTTATACTGTGGTCTGTAGCAAAGTTTAGTTTACGAATTTGGTTTTGTTTTTCTAGTTTTAATTGTCTAAATCCCTGCATAATAAATGCTAGTTGAATGGATTTATATGAAACCATGCTGGGTGCTAATAAAAGTATCGTTTTGTGTAGTTTTTAGTAGATTTATAAATTAGTGAAGTGTAATATCGTGTGTTTAAACACAAGGACCAACGGAATTTTAAATACCAACAGACCTGGAATAAACCTTAAATATTTTGAGAAATGAATCAATTTCTAACCTGGCGTTTCAGGTTTTCCACCAATTTTGCTCTTCACTTCGGCTTTCTTTGCCTCCTGCCCTTTAGTGGCTTCTTTTTCTACCGCTTGTTCTTCTTCAGACTTCTGTTTGTCAATCAGCGTCTTCTTGGGAGCTGCAGAAGTCTTAACTTTAGGCGGAACTATAGAAGTAAGGCTGGCCTTACGTTCGAATTCCTTCTTGAAACCATCCACTGAAACACCTAAAACACGTATGGAGGAATATGTATTTCAATTAGATGAAAAACCAATGTTTTAAAAATGGATAATAAATACCTATATATTTATTTATTTATTAACTAGTGGAATTTATATTTAAATAATTAAAAATGAAGGGTCCATGAGGAAAACATGATAAGCGCCATTTTACTAATTTTACAGGAGAGCCCATGACGGCTGTTGGTCTTTTCAGGTTCTTTTTCCGTGTATTCCAGATTTTTACTAGACATATATTAAAATTATTTTTAATTAATTACTAGACATATACTAAAATTAAGAAATTAGCAGTTATCAAGTATTTCCCCTGGACCCTTCAAATTATATTGTTATTAAAACTTCAGAATTCAGAACTACCAAATAAATGAATGTACAATTATTATTATTTAGAAGCTTACAACAATTATGCTCTTTTTTTAAATTTTACAGTTTCCAAAATACCCATGTTAAGATTTATTGTTAAAAATGCATAATGAAAAACCAAGATAGACCAATCAATATATTTGGTTTTTTTCTTAAGAATATCAAACCAGCAAAATAAAACACTAATATCCACAATACACCAAATCTGTTTACGTTAAAACTGGACTCGCGTTTCGCTAACACGTTAGCATCATGAATTAAGACGATTAAAACTGTATATGTTTTAATCATATCTGCTGATAATGTGGCGAATAAATGGTGAATTAGTGTTTTATTTTGATGTTGTTTTAACTTAAGTTTGTTTCCACTTAAGATCTTAGAAATTTGAAGAGAGTTTTCAAGTAAACAATTTTTAGTCATAGTAAATCCTAAAACTATAGAACAATATTAAATGAATAAGTAATTTAACATGTTTTTTTAAATATGTTTACTCTCTATTCCCTGATTCGGTTTGTCGATGCGATTCGTTGGTTCGTTTGGAGATTCATCCATTCTATATGTGATATTTCTTTTGATGATTCGCCCAAAAACCGACATTTCGCCGAATTGCCGCATTGACGAACCGAATGAGATGAGCGAATAGTAAGTATGGCTCTATTTTCAAAGTTATATGACTTTAAAAATTATAAAGGTGTACCTGTTACCCTATTGTGCCAATTAGAATAAAAATTTAGTGTCAAAAGACAAAAATGAACAGCATTTAGAAAAAGCAAAGCATAAAGTCGACGGCAGAGCGTTAATAAGGATTTATAGATTCATATAAATTGAAGTTGAACAAATACGAATAACGCTTTCACAAAGGTTGTATTAAAATATTAATATTTTTGACTGCTCACAAATACACGTCGCGTCACTACGTACTAAGCTAGTAGGCTGTGTCTCGCTAGCTCGTGTGACACGGCTTTGAATTTTTACTCGCAGCCCACGTCCTTACCACTTTTCGTGTCGCTAGCTCGTGTCACGGCCTTGAATTTTACTCCCAGCGCGCGTAAAGAATTCACTTCAAGAATCAAATATCATTATAAGTAAAAATCTGTCTTTTGAAAGCCCTAAATTAACTAAACAGCATTAGCAGTGAGCTCTTAATTGACATAAACTTCAACTTATGAATTTATTTATAAATCCTGTATTTTATGAATGAAAAAATTATCAATGAATGATTTAAAGCAATAAAAACACAGGTCTCTCTCTACGTCACATACCTTGTTGTGTAACCATGCTGTCTACAAAATAAAAAAAAAGGAAAGTCAAAAGAAAAGAACAATTTTCGACACATCCAAGATTAATAGTCTTGTTTTTAAAATAAAATATAAATGTTAGTTAAGTGTATATTGTATAATAGTCAATTATTGCTAAAAAACTTTTTTCTGTACCTGGTATTAATATTTTCTTTGGCTTTTCTATTGGTACTGGTTTGCTTTCCGTCGGACTGATCAAATTCTGGAATTTCTCCGCAGCTTCGAAAATTCTAGATTTTCTCCTTTCCACTGGTTTTTCTTCAGACTTCTGTTGCTTCAAAGCTGGTTTTTCTTCTTTGGGCGTGGCTGTTCCGTTTTCTTTAACTTCCTCTTCTTTCTTTTCAGGTTTTGTAGTTTCTTTCTCAGTTTCCTCCACTTTTGCTTTGGTCTCGTTTTCGTTTTTGTCCGTCAAAACTTTCTTCTTGACAATCTTTTTCTTTGCTGTAGGTTTTTCTTCGGTTTTCTTGGTAAGTTCTTGTTGTTCCTTGGGCGTGGTAGGTTTTTGAAGTTTGTTCTCTTTATCTATGTTGTTCGCGATGTTTTCCTGGCTCGGTATCTCGTTAATACCTGAATAAATAAAATTTATTGTTAATAATTTATTTACAGGGTTGGTAACTTATTGTTCTGCGAAAGCTAGTAAAGTTTTGATAAGTGGATAATTAATATCAGAGATGAACATGTAAAAAACTAGCTTTTTGCGTGGAAAAAACATTTTACGAAAAGCAAAACAAAACAGTTTTTACGAATAAGTAAAGCCCCTTTAAAAACAAATTCTCTTAATATCTATAGAAAAATTTAATATATTTCATTGTTATTTTTGTTTTGTTTTGTTTAGAAATCAAAATTAATGTCAAAATCAATTGAAAGTATAGGTTGGGAAGAAATAAAGGGTAATTTTCCTCCTCTTTTTTACTTTTTGACAATTCTTACAACCTGTATTTTACATCAAGACGATTAAATGCCCATCCCTGGTGGTACTCTCCCTTTATCCCTTGTAATCACATTTATAATATTTGAATAAAAATATTAAGGAAGGAGCATATCAAAAATCTTAGATCGAACGTGATAGGGTTCTAGAATGGTTGACATAAAATTCCGGTTTATCAGTGCCGTTCTAATTTTATTCAAAACGTGTAAAAATATGATGTAGAATAGACATGGGGTAGACTCAATAATTTGTTGTTTTATTTTACGTTGTCAATAAATGTTCCTAGTTATTAAAATTGTTATAAAAATATACAAATCTAATAAAAATAGATAAGTTATATTAATTATTTATTAATACAAACATCCGATACGCTACTGAAGCAGGTAAGTCAAATTGACGTATCTGAATTCTTTGACAAGTAGTAATAATCTTTGACAAGTAGTAAATATAAGCAAAAATGCAAGAAAAAATATGTAATTAGTTAATTTTAACTGAATTTCATAAATGATCGGTTTAATACACGTATGTATATTATAGTCACTTACTAGCGAAACGTTATTCCATTATCACCAAACCAACTATTTTACAGTCTTTTTCGATAAATCGCAATAGTGTCACTGTTAATTTAAGTTCTGCTACAATTCCCTTCTAGATTTACTACCTTTAAACAACTATCAGTAGTAGAAAAAAAAAATAAATAAAATAAGTAAAGACTGACAAATCCACAAAATTTCAAATCAAATTCAAATGTGTCAAATAAATCGTCAAACAGAACTGTCAAGAATCCTCACACTAGGGCCCTCTATCCGTCGACCATGAATGAATACATTGCTAGCATTATACTCCTATAATCTTTTTATTCAAAGTTTATAATAATATCATTTGAAATTCTTCCAATTTCGGAAGTCTCACAAAAGATCGATTGACAATTAAAAAAACATAAAAAGTGGATGATATGATTACTGTAGACTGAATAAGTTTAGCCAAATTTGAAAATAAAAATCAAATATTATTCGAAATATATTTACCTTCCAGTGTTTTACTTCCCGCGATGGTTGATTGTGTCTTTTTAACCTTGGAAGCAGGTTGTTTCTTGTTCTCTTTCTCTTTGATTTCTTCCATGATTTCTTGACAAGCAGCTCCTTTAAGAGTACAAGAATTCATTGATAAAAAGAATATTCCAAATAAAGAAATCAATAGTTGCAAAAATTATAATCACCGACAATTTGAAAATTTAAAAAAACAGAAGTAATTTTATTATAACCTAGAATTTTACCTTCCACAAGTGGCTCAACATCCATCTCTTTAGAAATCGTTTGTGTGAGAGATTTATTAAGAGGCAAGGCTTCTGACATGCTGGCATCATCTTCTTGAGGCTCGTTCTCATGAATTATTCCATGAACCTTAATAAATACAAAAAATAACACTTAAAACAGTTATACCGGGTGTTGCATCGTCGAGCGGGACATAGGAAATCCCATGTAAATTTTAATGGGGTCAATTATTGGCTTCCCTAATTATTTTAGAGAATAATTCTATTTAGGTTTATTGAAGAGCACTAAAACCCACATTCAAAAGAATAACTTTAGATATTAACTTTTGATTAGCCCGTTTACGAGTTATCGCCGATTTTTTTTAAAATATTTCTCCTTGTATCCCCTGTATTTACTTATGAGCACCAGTCAAGGTAAAAGATAACTGTCAAATGAAGTTGTCATTTCAGAAATTTATCTATTTAGTACTTTATTATTATTATTAAAAACTCATACCTACATCGAAAATATTAGCAATGAATTACACTACCGAAGAAAAAGTATTGATGATTAAATGGTATTATCAAGGAAATAGTTATCAAAAGGTGTCGGACATGTTTGCTGCTCTGTATCCGAATAGACCGATACCTGGAAACTCTACAATCGAAAGGAATATCCAGAGATTTGAGACCAAAGGTACCGTAATAAATAACTGCAGATGTGAAGCAAGCCAGGAACAAAGAGAAGATGCAAGAAATGATACCGACTTGGTATTAATTAGTAGTAAGTTTATTGTGCGTGGAAGACAACGATGGAAAGATCAGCACAAGAAAACTTGAGAATGAAATAGGAACAGATCACACTACAGCGTTTCGAATTTTGAAACGACATAAATACTATTCCTTCAAATATGAAAAGCACCCAGAGCTAAGAGATGGGGACGAAATACGGGGGCAGGCGTTTTGTTTTGATATGATGGAAAGAGCAAACACGGATAGGGAATTTTTTAAAAACATGTTTCACTGATAAATGCACGTTTACCTTAAATAATGAACCCAATGTTCAAAATTATCGATATTGGAACAAAGAAAACCAACACAGGTTTGTCGAAACAAGGACGCAATATCCACAGAAAGTAAATGTTTGGGCAGGGATATTCGGACACAATATTATCGGGCCATTATTTCTTAACATGATGCCGCTAGGGAAAATCAGGAAGTTTGGTACCAAATGGATGGCTACCCGGCACATAGTACCCTGGCTGTTCGGGAATATTTAGACAATAGTTTTAACGGAAACGTTATTGGCCTAAATCATACAGTAAATTGGCCAGCAAGGTCTCCTGATATTTCGCCAAATGATTTCTTTCTCTGGGGCCATTTAAAAAAACAGGATATATATACAAGGATAAAAAATACCCAAATCTAGACGAGTTAAAAAATGCTATTTCTGCCGAATGCAATAAAATTTCAGTTTACCAACTAGCGAATGTAAGAGAATTTTATGATCGCCTGGGTTATTCTCTAGCAGTCGATGGAGGAATATTTGAACATCTTCTTAAATCCTAAAGTTCTAACAATTTAATAGTACCTAAATTAATAAGTTATTGAATATTATAATAATACTATAATTAACCTTGTAATTGATTACTTTATTTTACTTTAATTCCTATTAATTTATATTTATAAATACATTTTTAGGATTTCCGATGTAGGAATGAGTTTTCCATGAGTTTTCAATAATAATAAAGCACTAAATAGGTAAATTTCTAAAATGACAACTTCATTTGACAGTTTACTTTTACCTTGACCGGTGCTCATAAGTAAATAAAGGGCCATAAGAAAGGAGAAATATTTAAAAAGAAATCGGCGATAACTCGCAAACGAGCTAATCAAAAATATCTAAAGTTATTCTTTTGAATGTGGGTTTTAGTGCTCTTCAATAAACCTAAATAGAATTATTCTCTAAAATAATTAGGGGAGCCAATAATTGACCCCATTAAAATTTACATGGGATTTCCTATGTTCCGTCCGACGATGCAACCCGGTATAGGACCTCCAATGTCAAGACAAAAATTATCACAGATTAACAAAGGCCTCTATGACGCCTTATTTTCCATGGTACGGTACTTACCGATATATCCGCCACAGTATTTTCTTTAATAATCTTATCCTTGCGTTTGTCCAAGTTCATTCTGTCGGTGCTCAGGGTAGATTCCAGTTTCCTTTTTGGTTTACTTAGTGGAAACTCTTCATTGATTAGTTCCAATATTCTCCTTGAAATATAAAAAAATATGTTACTAAAACTCAATACAAAAATCAATAAAAACAATACCTTTCTGTTGTGGACAAGTTCATAAGACTACCGGCACTTTGAGATCTTGTTGGTATGGCACCCTCGCCTTTGACAGCTTCCTCTGCCACCTCACCTGTCACTACTAGTTTCTCGCTTTCTAGCTGAGGCGCAGGAGGCGCTAGTGACAGTAATAAATCTAATCTAACCTGGAAACAAAAGAAATGTCACTTGTTGCTTAAAAATACATCGAGTGATCAAGTGAAAACAACTTTCCCATGTTTATTGTTAAAATCGTATTTCTAAAGTACTCGTTTCGAACTTAAAAGATATTACTATGCCTAGAATGACGCTGCGTTTATGAGATTAAACGGTATAAAGAAAAAAACATCTTACCGGAGTTTGATTGGCTAAGGCTGCACTGACGTCCAAGCAGTTGACGTCATAAGTCTCGTTTACCCACCAATGAGAGCATATTTTTTCAATATCGGCTCTTTTTTCGGGGTTGACAGTCAACATATCACGAATTAGTGGAGATGCAGCTGAAATAAATAATAATTATTATTAAAGTTTCTATATACAGGGTCGGCAAGGTACGGTTTTGGGTGCAGATTTTCGTGTGTACAAAGAGTTATAACAGTCATATATATATATATATAAACAGTCAATACGCTTAGTACAATAAGATGTACTGAACTTAAATGCGATGTCTGGTCTGTACTCCTGTATGGTGCCGAGTCCTCGACATTGACAGAAGTGTCCACAAAGAAACTTGAAGATTTTGAAATGTGGCTATACAGACGAATTCTCAAAATCTCCCAGGTATACCACGTATCCAACAAGCCCTTTTCAGAAATGCTTCAAAAGGAGAACGAAATAGTGGAAATTATTTTTCTCTCTCCGACTTACAATATTGCCATAACGATTCACTCCTAGACATGTAAATACCCACCCAAAACTGTCGCTTGCCGATGCGGTATATCTACTATATTATTTTATTTTACATATTTTAAGATCTACTTACGGCTAGGCTTGGATGGTTCATAGTAATCCCCTTGGGATATCTGCTTGACCAGTCTTTTAAAGTTACTACCATCAAAGGGCATAGCTCCGTATACTAGGGTGTAAAGTAGGACTCCCAGAGACCAGCAGTCAACTTCTGGGCCATGGTATGGCGTTCCTATAAAATTAAAAATTATTTTTGGTGTTTCAGGTGGTTTCATAGATATTCTAAGTACCTTTTACGATTTCCGGTGAGGCATACAGAGGAGAACCGCAGAATGTATTGAGCAATCTTTGATCGTCGAAGACGTTCGACAATCCGAAGTCAGCAATCTGTATTGGTAAAGATATGTAGGTATATTAATGCTACTATTAAGAAACTCAAATTAATGATACCAAATACTTTAAATCAATTACTAAACAGGTTAAAAAAAAAGTGTGTAGTTCATAATGTATTATCCTACATTGTTTGTATAAAATCAGATGTTAAAATGATGAGAATCCTAGAAGTAGTTCAAATGTACCAAAAAATATTTTAAATAACTGTCTTTCAAATCAATCTAATTGCAAGATATTTTACGATAAATAGTCCACAAAAAATCTGAATTTATACAATTAGTTCAAATGTATCGTCCCCCCAATTCATTATTATTTTTACCTTAGCATTTTTATTTTCGTCTAAAAGAATATTCTCCAACTTCAAGTCCCTATGGCAGATTTTGTGTTTGTGGCAATAGTAAGACGCCGTAGCTATTTGTCTGAATATTCTTCTAGCTTCCTCTTCAGCTAACACTTTACTTTCCGATAAGTAGTCGTATAGTTCTCCACCAGCCGCATATTCCATTACCAATACCATTTTTTCTCTATTTTCAAAAACTGCAAAAAAATTAACATGTCTGCATAAATATATTATACACTTCACGTCAAAATTAACGCTATATATTAAAAGTAGTATCAAATCCAACATATCAAGGTGCGTCCACATTGCTCGTGATCCTGCTCGCGCTCTTGCTTCTGATCGTGCTTGCGTTGCTTGCGCTTCCTGTTCGTTGTGTTTCTGAAGATCTTTCAGCTTCGGCTCGCAAGCAACGGAGTCCAGATTGTAATGAAGTGCTTGCGTTCGTGCTGTTCAGACATTGATGATACCGAAGTATTTTTAATAATGGCTGCTAGTGCGATCATTATTACAAAACGAAGGAGACAAAGAGAAAAAATGGCGGTGTTGGATGTCTAATAATTTCAAAAGTAGATCCCAGCACAGTGAAAGTAAACATCTACGCGATTTACAAACAGACAGAATGTTTTTTAATATTTTTTTTATCGCATGTCCACTACTGATTTTGAAAGACTTATTACCTTAATTGGCCCCCGTATAGAAAGAAAAATACAACTTTTAATTGTATTCCGGTTAAAGAAAGAGTTAAATAAAGATTGGCCACATAACATTAAGATTCTTTGCAACTAGAGACTCACATACTAGTTTGGGTTATTTATTCAGTTTCCAAGCAAAGCATTTCAAAAATAATACCAGGCGTATGCCAAAATATAACTAAAGTTCTCAAAGATCAGATTAAGATAAGTAGGCAATATAAATATAGAGTTATATTTTATTAAAGGTATATTTAATATTATTAATCCAAGAACAAAACATAAATATTTGTAATTTTGAACAAAATAAAATTAGAAAAATCATGGTAGTATCATCATACTACAGTAAATACCGAATCCTATGAATGAAACCAACTAAAAACTTAACAAACATCGAGCGCTTTGCACCGCGCGCCGTAAGGTATGCTCGCATGGGTCCGAAGCGTCTCTTTGATGTACCGCGACAGAGCCGAACAGTCGAAACAGGCATTTTATGAGATCGCAAGTACGTGCAGCACCGCGAGCATCGCGAACATCTCGCTGCGACTGTTTGCCATGTTTTTCGTTTTTCACGTGTTCGTTTGGCCTGATCGCAAGCAATGTGGACGCAGCTTCATATTTTCTGTCCTTCATTACTAACTAAAATATGCATTAATTTTGTCAAAGAGTGTATTTTCTTTGATTTGTTTATACCTTCATATATGTGTATAATGTTAGGATGTTGTACTGAAGACATAATTTGGATTTCTCGCCTAATTCTAATAAGATCTGCGTCAGACTCAATTTTTGATTTCTTTATAGTCTTAATTGCGACCTGAAACAAGAAATATTTTAATTCAAAGTTCTTATTGTAAATAATACAATTTTGGATAAAAACCTCTTGTCCAGTCTCTTTGTTGATTCCTAGCTGCACTTTGCCAAAAGTTCCTTGTCCTAGTTTCTTTATTATGTCAAACCTGAAATAAAATTCAAAATAGAATTAACAATATCATAATAACACTATAGTCTGTCCAAGGGGAGGATCCCTGACAGTGACAGTTGTGTCTGTCATTTTAATTCACAAGAAAAACTCTAAAATCTCGGACTCATTTTTTTATAATAATCTTTGTTTATTTCTGGCAAGGATGTATTTTTAATGAAAAAATATTTTCTAACGCACTTTTTTAAACTAAACAAAAATATGAGTTGGTTAAAACAGAACATTTAAAAAAAATTTTAATGAGTTTTTAATTTTTTTCATATTGTTCCACCACTTCAAAAAATTCTAAAAAATTCCTGAGTGTAAAGAAGCATAAAAGACATTTTCTGGCGATTTTTAGTTTGTGACATATTTCACAAAGGTTAAAAAAATAAAGATTTTAATTTTCTTTCCTCCGCTAAAAATGGGCTTTTCGTTTAAGAATCATTATCATCTTAATTTTTCATGTCTTAGACTTCTAAAAATTACAAAAAATCGTCATTAATTAATTTTGAATTTTACTCTAAAAATAAAAATAAAATTGAAAAAACAGTTTCCGGCTATACCCTTTAGTTAAAGATAACAAAGATACAAAGAAGCTGAATATGGTAATTATGATGTAATATGAATTAGCCTATTGTAGAAAGTTCCCCAAAGACCACAATTGTTTATTTTCAAAAACAATACATAAATCCGTCAAGGACACGTGGGACACACTGTACATATTATTCATACAATTCAAAATGCTCCAAGCAGACAATAAAAAAAATATGACAATAAATAATGGGACAGATGTCATTAGGCGAGCCTCTGGTACTAAATTTAACTCGATTCCTAAAAATAAATAAAGGAAAAAAATAAAATAAAACTAGGTGAAATATTACTTCAAAGGTGTTCGAAGGTTAGTTAACCTACATATTTAAGAAAAAATAAAGCAAAAGTTATGCTTAATTATCACAAAAGAAGGAAATAACATGATTGGTTCGGGAAATAATTATTTTGTTGAGTTCATTAAAGTTATATTATAACAAAATTTATAACTTGAATATGAACAAATTATTGTACATGCAGAAAACCAGAAGAGTTTTTTTAGACAGATTTCGAACTAGGCGTCTTGTTGTGTTGTGAGTTGTGACAATTTCATATTAATAAAATTGCCAAGAAAATGTTAACGCGTAAAGCAATAACATTCAATAATTCAACTTTCCCGGATATTTCTCACAGCTTCATAGTTTCCCAGCTTCATAGTTCCTCACACCGATTTGATCAAAAGCATTGTATGTTTTTTTTGTTACAATTGAAATAAAAAAATACAAGACAGTTAAATAGTTTCAAAAATGCGATATTTTAATATTGTTAATCATTCAATTTATAAAATATTTGGTGTTTTACTGAGTTGTTCCGTTCTATTTTCGAAAGAAATATTCAGTTTTTTTCACTTTTTCGAAAAATACAAACAATCTACGAAATTTAGTAGCGAATTTTGCGCTAATCGACGCCCACGGATGCGCTAAACGCTCGACAGGTCATAAAATAAATATAGATTTATCGGAAAACAACTAGTTTTTAGAGAGAAAAAAAATTAAAAGCTTATATTGTCTGATTCTTTTCTCGAGCCAAAATCTTCAGCTAACAAATCAATTAATTTTAAGCTTATTTTGAAGTTTTTTTTTTCTAAAATGTTTATAGAATTGATCTCCATCACTTTGATTTAAGGGTTTAATCAAGGAGCCTTGGAAAAATAGATTTGATCGTTTAATGTTTTTCGTGTCTTGTCCTGGGGCGCTATTTTAATTGTTGTTGTCATAGTTACCGATCGGTTCTATGGCAGATATCGCAAATTTGTACCGACGAAAATCGGTATCTCTACCGTGCCCTTGTCAACCTCACGGTAGAGATACCGAGAGTCATCGGTACAAAGTTGCGATATCTGCCATAGGGCCGATCGGTAACTATGACAACAAATAATCAACACATGTTACTATATACAAATACGTACCGATAGCTGTCGGTAACTTACCGACTACCGACGATTGTACAGAATAGCGCCCCTTTCCGGTTAAAAGATGCCTAAATCGTATTTTTTTTCATATCTCAATTTTTTCAAATGGAACGAGGATGGCTCATTGTATATTTAATCATATTAATTTTTTACGAATGGAACGAGGGTGGCTCATTAGCATATTTGGAAAAAGCATTTTGTCGAATAATGAACCGCATGTTATAATTTCAAATAAACCATATGCGAAAATGTCAAAAGTTGACATATGATATGTCATTCTATTCAGAGTGTCATTTTCCATCGAATAAAGTAGAAATATACCAAGGGAGCCATTTAAAAATTTAAAGTTGTAGACATTTTCGGTGAAACAGGAAGTGACCAAAAACAATTGAATACGTCAATCCTAATTTATGTCATATTACTAACATATCAAATCTCGTTTTATCCAAAAAAAAAAAAAGTTATAGGGGTGAGCCAGTATAGAAACAATGACAGAAAATGCAATTTTCCTCTGAATTAAAATGACAGACAACAACTCTATCAGACTACCAGTCAGACAAAAGACTACCTGTCTAGTTACTACTACTTGTTAGAACAACTTTTTTTTTGTTTGCATAATTTATTTCTGTTAAGTAAAAGAGCTTTAAGAATTTAATTCGATTTTTGATATAAATCCCGGTTTATTTTCATAACAAATCGTTCGTATCCAAGATCGTATCTAAGATCGAAAAAAACGGCGTCAGCGATGGCTACGAAATGAAGATCGCTGTCATTTTATATGTAAATAGCGTGTACCCGCGACTTCGTTGGCGTCGAATTAATCATTTGTAATGGTGATAATAAAGCAAAGCAAGAATTTCCATTACATACAAACTGGATAAAATTTTCTCACATTTATGTCAGCATGAGAAAAAACAATACCTATGGCGATATTATTATATAACTTCGTAATATTTGAGGGGTAGTTTCATCTCGTTGGAATTTGACTTTCGAAAAATTGCCAAAAATAAGCTTTTTACGTCAAGCAGTTTAAGCAGAATCGTGGTTAATCAATTACCCAACTTTTTGGAACACCCTGTATGATTTTTTAAAAAAATTCAAAATATGTAAAAAAACAAAATAAATTATGCGTGTCCAAGCGTTTTCCCGAAACTCTAACCGTTTTTTTAAATAACAAATATTGTAATATTTGAGGGGCGTTTTCACCCTCTTGGAATTTGAGATTCGAGAAACCGCTCCTTATCGAACCTCTACACCCCACAGTCAATCCGTTTGCCAAAAATCAGCTTTAAACGTCTAGCAGTTTAAACAGAATCGTGATTCAATGGTCATATTTTATGAAACACCCTATATAAATTTATAAAAAAACTTAAAATATGCAAAACAACAAAATAAAATACACGTGTTTAAAAGTTTTTCCGAAAAACTCACCAGTTTTTAAATAAAAAATATTCTAATATATGAGGGGTGGTTTCGCCCCCTTAGAATTCGAGTTTCGTAAAATCCCTTCTTATCGAACCTCTACACCCTAAAGTCAATCCATTTTCCAAAAATCAGCTTTTTACGTCAAGCGCTTTAAGCAGAATCGTGATTAATCAATGACCAGATTTTTCGAAACACCCTATATACATTTTTAAAAAAATAAAATATACGTGTTTAAGCGTTTTTTTCGGAAACTTAACCGCTTTTTAAATAAAAAATATTGTAATATTTGAGGGATGGTTTCACCCCCTTGGAACTGGAATTTCGAAAAATCCCTTCTTATCGAACCTCTACACCCTAGAATCAACCTGTATGCCAAAATTGAGCTTCTTACGTTGAGTGGTTTTGAGCAGGATCGCGATTAATCAGTCAGTCACTTATTAGTATAGATTTTATACTAATCATTTTCCAGCCAACTGGACGCCGTTTTTTTTTCGATCATACGATAGAATCCACTTTTTTTCTAGGTAGATGACCCAATTGGTATTGACAACATTAGAAAGAGACGACTCTATGGAGAACTAGTTACATTGATATATCCCCACCGATATTGGACACCGTCCAGGAATCGTTCTGTGTCAAAGCGCACTGCCAAAAGTATTTAAAAACCTCGTCTTTTTATTGTCATACGCGATTAGACGGGTTTGCCGAACATTACGAACGCTTAAAATTGTTTATCGGGTGTAGACGATATACGATGCGCGGTCCAGAGAAGATGGCGTTCAGCTCTATTCAAAACTGATTCAAATCGCTCGTGTATTATTAATGTAACGCGGGTTACACACGTTACAATTTAACGTACGGCATGTCGTACGTTAAGTAGGTCGCATGTAGGTACATTAATTCAGAATTTCTTTTCATTGAAGCATTTTATAGTAAAGTGCGATTGAATTTTTTCTCTGATTTTATTTATTTATAGAGAAGGTATTATTTTCTAGGTCCAAGATCATAATATACCGGGTGTTCCTCAAGAGTGGTTCGCCCCTATAACTTTTTTATTTTTTTCTAATAAAAAAATGAGATTTGGTATGTTAGCATATGACATAAATTAGGATTAAATTTAAATCTAAATAAGGATTTTATTTTTTTCTGATATATAAACGGTTCCCGAGTTACAGTCGCCCACTATTATTGGTCCACCCTGTACATGTGCTGAATAATAAACAGGCCTAATGCTGACCCCACACTAAAGATATTTCGTACCTTTGTCTTAGTTTTTTCTTGTGGTTATGTTGTTTAACTCCTCCCGTATTTTCTATTCCGCTCATGATGCTGTTAACTGCACTGTCTTCCACACCCATTTTAATTTTTCTATAATAAAAAAAAACAAATATTAATACCTAACCCTAAAATAAATTAAATGAAATGTGTCCTCTTTTGGGGCCCCTGTGTTACATACAAAATGAATATCTGTATCTGTCTGTATGTAGAGTTTAGTAGAATATTAATATAAGTACTCCCAGCACTCTCAAAAAAATAAACATAGTTATGTAGGTACTCACCCTGAAAGCATTGATTTAATTTTAGCAATTTTACTGAAAATATTGCGTTTTGACATTTTGTTTCTCTGATTTTGACTAACCACTGTATAAATTCAACATTTCTGGCATTGGTAAACAAAGAAATTAACCAAAATCACTTTAAACATTACTATCGTAGCAGGCTAACTAATTTAAACTTAAAAAATGTTACATATAGGTAAGAAAAACAACTGAACAGAATGACGTAACCAAAACAAAATGAACTGATTATTTTTTACAAAATGAAACCATTGTTATGAGTTATATCGATTTTTAAATTCTTTCAAATTAATTCCAAATTTAATCAATTAACAGTTGTTTACACCTCAAAAGTTTAATACAAATTTAGGAAAAATGTTTGTTTACTTAAAAATTGTATTTAATACATTTAAAAAAGAAAATCTTAAATTTTTTAATGAATAAAAACATACATCTGATTGTAAATTTATTAATATTTCATTAATCTAAAACGGTCCATAAATGAAAAAAGTGTTGGGCAACAAGTTGTACAAACATGATGGGTTCAAAGCTTGTTCAAAGTTTTTGGTTTCAGAAGAAAATGTCATCAGTTAAGATATTTTACACACTGTACACTCAGAAAATACTATATTTTCGTAGATATACAAGGCGATTTCAAAATATTTTACAAAAAAGTTGTAGTTTTTTAAATATGCCAAGAAAGGCTCTAATTGGTTTACCACTGTATTTAACTGCATTGTATAAAATTCACACTTCAAAAATACTATCTTGTCATAATCTATACCTAGTGGTTTTTGAAATATGTATGGCCAATTTTAGATTAAATTTTCTACACAATTAATGCTTTTATTGTTAAAAAATCGCAGATTACAGATATTTTTTAACCGGAAGTACAATATGATCGAAAACAAAACAGCGTCAGCAATAGCTATGAAATAAAGATCGCTGTCATTTTATATATAAAAGTATATGGGAAATGTCATCGATCGTCTTTTCCAAGTCAGCAACTGGACGCCGTTTTTTTCTTGATCATACAGTATTTTATGTAAGTATGTATCTTGTTCATAGCTAATAATACTAAAATAAACAAAATCTCATGGTATATACAGGATGCTACAAAACTAGATAAGATGTTTTTCTCAAAACACTGGGTAGTCCCCTTGTATACTGGGTGCGTTTCAAAAGCGGCTCACCCCTATAACTTTTTTATTTTTTTCAGATAAAAAAAACGAGATTTGGTATGTTAGTATATGACATAAATTAGGATTGATTGACGTATTCAATTGTTTTAGGTCACTTCCTGTTTCACCGGAAATGACTACAACATTTTATTTTTAAATAGCACCCTCGGTATTTTTTTACTTTTTCGATAGAAAATGACAGTCTGAATAGAATGGCATATCATATCTCAGCTTCTGACATTTTCGCTTAAAAAAATCGTATTTTAAATTTCAATTTAGAGTGCCATGGCTGTTTTAAAAACACTAATTTTTAATCAAGGAGCCTTGGAAAAATAGGTCTGATCGTCTGATGTTTATATTGTCTTGTCCTGGCCGGTTAAGAGATGCCCAAATCGTTTTTTTTTAATCATATCTCAGTTTTTTCAAATGGAACAAGGGTGGCTTTTTACGAATACTAATTTGGTACCATACATTTGGCATTTCGAGTCAAAATGTCGTTATGAACCGCATGTTACAATTTCAAATAGACCATATATTCAGAGTGCCATTTTCTATCGAATAAAAATAAAGTAAAAAAATACCGTGGATGCCATTTAAAATTCAAAAATTGTAGTTATTTCCGGTGAAACAGGAAGTGATCGAAAATAATTGAATACGCCAATCAATCCTAATTTATGTCATATACTAATATACCAAATCTCGTCTTGTTATCTGAAAAAATTAAAAAGTTATAGGGATGAGCCACTTTTGAGACGCACCCGGTATACTGTTTATAAGTTAGTACATATAAAATTTCGTTCATTTATGTGATCTAGTAAAATACAGAGTATTATATTTGAAATAGTGGAGAAAAATAAAGCAACTACAATAGTTTTGAATCACCCTGTATACCTATTTATAATTTTTTTATAAAATGCGCTACTACTGCGCGCATTTTTAAAAATAAAGAACTGAAAGAAGCATTTTTTAAAAATATTTTAGCAAAAAAAAATAAAATTAACAGAAGACATTAAAATTTTTTGACTTATGAACCACGAGGTGATATTTTTCTACACTGAATTCAGTCTTAAATAAATTTCTAGCAGCCAAATATCTATAAAAATTAATTACGTTATTTTTTTCTTGGCACTAATTTTATCTTTCATAACTGCATTTCATTTTATAATTATTGGGCCAAAGCCACTAATTATAACATTTTTTTTCCTTCTAAGAAACAAAAACAGGAAATATTAGAGATTATTTTACCGGAAAGTGAAAAACAACAATTAATATAACATTTTTCTAATAAGTACTCACATTTTTTATAAACTTTATAAGCTGGCAGTTAAACTCAAACACAGAAATAAAGAAAATCTTTAAATTTAAACTAATCTCACCATTTGCTTAAAACATTGGCGTCTAAGTAAATACCATTAATTTTTAACACTTCTGCACCTGTGCAATAGCTAGATATCAATCAAATAAACTGATATTAATAATTTATATTTAGAGATCAAATCAAGTACATATACTGTCTTCTTTATAACATATCAGTAAAATAAGTGAAAACAAGAATAAAATTCTCGGAATTTTGAAAAACGCATATTTGTCATCACTTATCAAGTGGGCCTTGCATTTGAATCATCTGAATCATTCACTAGAACAGTATTTTAATTGTCAGATCGTATACGAAAAATATGCATCTTTGTGTAAATAAAGGTGTAAATGTTGTTGCTTGTGTAGGGATGGGCGATAATAGATTTTACTATATCGATAAGTATCGCAATTCACCTATCGATATAACGATAACTATCGAAAAATATCGATAACTATCGAATTACCGATAGTTATTGGTTTATCGATAAAAATCGATAATTTTGGACTCACCTGATGTTATTCGATATATCGATAGTTATATATACAGGGTGTTTTAAAAAAGATGTGCCACCTCTCGTGAAGAGATTGCTCGCTGCTAAAAATAAGATCTGTTTTGTTTGTAACTGTAACTCTAAAACTATGCATTTCCATACCCATGTTTATAGGAACTTTTTTTCATATTTTTTTGATGAGAAATCAATGAGTACTAATTAAAAAGTTTCGCAAGTTAATTATATTAAATTTTTATAAAGGTTGCTATTAGACTTGGATCAACGCAAATTAATAAAATTGCGTTTATCTCATCAAGGAGGCCGATTTCGACAAAATATCAAGAGATAACTTTTAATCGGCATTAAACTGCTTACATTATTTCGCTAACAAGAGAAAAAAAAGTCAGTGGCGTACATGCTTTTTTTAGAAAAATATTCTAGTGATAACCGATATGCACGTCCCTGGTGAATATGTCGACACTTTTTTAGCTTTAAAATGTGTCGCATTTATAGTAATTTTTACCCTCAAAATTTCATTCAAAACGCTAAAGTACTTGAAAGAAAATTATAATAAATCGAAAAAATATTAAGACTTCAACACCCTGTAACTATGCAACAAAGCAGAATCGGATCTATGTTGATATGAAAAATAAATCTTACTTTTACGTGAAGAATCTCCCCACAAGAGATGGCACATGTTTTTTGAAACACCCTGTATATCGAAAAAAATCTATCCCTAATCGTAACTGTCTAATATAAAAAGTCGTCTTATGAAATGTCAAAGAAAACTAAAAATATAATATGCCTCGTTTTCTTTGAATAAAAATATTATTTCATATAACAATTTTGAAAGATTTAACAAATATTCAAGTTTTTAAAAAGGGTAAATTAAATGATGTACAATAACCGATACTAATCAAAATGCTATCAATATATTGATACATACGAAAATTTTTAAGTCACCTATTGTTATTCGATATATCGATAACAATCGATAGTTATCGATATATCGAAAAAAATCCCATCCCTAGTTGCTAGTCGTCCGCTAAACGGATAAATAAAATAAATTAATAGTCCGGTTTTTACATCAACATCTTTAGAACAATTTATTAATTATTATACTTGATATCAATTAAATTTTTAGTTACGTAATCGAGGGCGCGATTTTTAAATTCATTGTTGCCAACCATGGACATATTCGGCGCCTGGCTGACTAATTGGAATTTAAATTTCCCGCTGGGGATTCAGGTGGTAGCTCTGCTGCAAAAAATGACAAGTGGCAACATTTATTTATTTATTTCCTGACATTGTCATTCGTTTTGACACTTTAGTTTTGTATTACGAGTTTTTGGTTTAAATAAACAGTGTTGTGATACTTTACGCTTAAAAATGTTTACTAGCAGACCTTGCAGTCAAACATTGTTCTTTTTAGAACCTCTTATAGTGCGAGAAGGGTACAAGTAGCTTAATAGCCGTGAAAAACTCATCACAACTTTATTAGAATATTTTGAACGGGAAAGCGGTAGTAATGGCCCTTTATGTCCGTTAAGTGTTGTTAAGGAGGTGAGTTTTGTTGTTAAAATAAAAAAAAACATCTGGTTGATTTTGTTCCTAGAAATCCTAAAAACCAAAAGACGTTTTATAAGGTTATGTAATTTCGAAGTCATTCTTTGACAGATTTTGATTCTTTGACAAATTAAGATTGTTATTATTAATCTTGATTAACGATGGATTAACGGCATATTATATACCTGATATATTTTGCTGATGTTAAAGTATCACAGGGTGTCCCAACTCTTAAATTATTAATATTAAAAAAGTTATACTTAAACCATTAAATTTTACGTAAAAAGGTATTTTTTATTTTCATAAAAATAAAAAAAAATGCATAGCGAAAAATTTACGATTTGTTAAAAATGCACATTTTTGAATAACACCTCGTAACTCCGAAACGGTAACAAATATCGATGTGCGGTTTTTACCATCATGTTTTTGATAAAAATTGAGCTCCAGACAGTCCAGACACCGATATTAGTTTTCGTCTATCTCCTATAGAAAAGAGTGTTTTCGTTTAAAAGTGTCCAATATGGCCCACCCTGTACAATCAAATCAAAAAAACCTCCATATTTTTGAAAACGTATCCCATCATGTCCCAATTTTTTTCGCACTTATTCCTTTTTACCCTGTATAACCGGACGATTATTTTTTATTTTATTTATCCGTTTAGCGGATCGCTAGACACTCCGTTATTTAAAATTGCACGTAAACGTTTGTAAACAGATGCACAACCGAAAGATGCGCTTTTTTATTTCTTCTTCGAAAGGCCGTTTCCCTGATGGTACGTAAATAAATGGAGTGAAAATTAGTCTAGAGGTCAACAGAAAAAACTGGCAATGACCTCCAAGGGTTAAATCACAGAAAAACTGTGGTAAACTTTCATTTTTCCTTGCGACCAGTTTCCATATAGGGCCACGTTCTTTATGCAATGCGATTTGTGTTACTTGTTACAAGTCAATACCCACAAAACCTCATTAAAAACCCACGTGCGGTGAATATATGTGGGCGTAGAGGACCCCATTTTGAAAATGACTGTAGAAAAAATTCTAGAGCAGAAAAAATCCAAAAAAAACGTCTAGGAAATATCAGAGAAGTACCAAATGAAATTTGAGAGGTTTTAAATGCATTCTAGACGTAACAAAGCAGAATTAAATGCATAAAACTACGGTACGTCTCGTCGTTCCCGTCCAATCCCAAACGAAAATGTCCCCTAACCTAATTATAAACTAGGATTTTTAAATATAGAATTTTTGACGTCTTGCGTCAAAAGGTTTTGTTGATAAAATGGGGGATTTTATCTGGAAAATCGCCCTTATCTAGAGCTCGACAAGATCATAAACAAACGATTTCGAACTTACCTGAAATTCGCTTATTTCCTAAGTAGGCGAGGGAGGCAAGTCCACCCAAAAGGTGCGAAAAGAGGTAAAAACTCACTAAAAAACTAAACGAAATAAATAAACTGTACAAAACACTGTTCTATACCTCGAAACAGTCTTTTTCCGCCGATTTTCACCTCACATTATGGTCGTTCTTAGCGGAAAAGCGAAATTTTCACGTTCAACACGAGAACGAATAGCACGGCCGACGCCATGTTTCTTTTCGCTGTTTAAAAATAGTCGGCGACATTGGTATGTAATTTTTTTATTTTGCGGGACGCGCGAGATGTTATTTGGGTATATTTTTTGATTCGAATTACAATTACACACGTAATGTATATCGCCCTGTACAGTTTCGTGTTTTTTTATAATGTTTATGTTCATTAAAAAATAAACCAAGCGTAACTAATGAAACAAATAAATATTAATTATTAAAATTTTTGCTTCATTACTAATATGTGTCTCATTACAAACACTGCTTATTTTCAATATGAATTTTTTTATAGGTATCTTATTGCCCCTTGCCCACTACATATTCATTTTTTTTTAAATCAAAGTTCAGATGTTTGTCTTTATATTAATTAAAAATAATTGAAGTATAATAGCAGATAGTTTAAAAAATATATAGATATTTATTTTAAAACATTCTTTCTGGATGACCTGTAGCCTTCTTGTAGTAAACAAATGCGCAATCTTTTAAACATTGTTTCTTTTTGTTTAAAGATTGTTATTATTCTACTTATTTTATTAAAAAAACTATAGATATGAAGAAGTTTTAGTAGATCTGAGACTTCTAGAAGTGTCCTAGGGTATGTTTAATAATTCATTTACTGAAAGAAATAATCAACAATTGTAAAAAATACACTGAACAAAAACACAAATGAATAAGGTCAAGTAAGTCAAGTTTAACGAATAAGAAAATATTTGCAGGAGCTCCCTATTAATTTTGACAGAGAAGTGACAGATAACTTATAGGGATGGTAACTTTGTAATTAAAAATTATCGATAGTCTTTATTTACGATTTAACGTTGTGAATTAATATTTACAAATTTTAATAACTTTTCAAGATACACAACGCATATCTTTCAATTTTGCTATCACACCTACTTAATAAAAATTATCCCAATTTTTCTTTTTTTAAAAAAAGTATTTATCGATACACTATATATCTTATCGTTACGAAGTCCCATGCCTAGTCCAATTATGTCTTATGTCATTCTGTCAATCAATACAAAATTTTTAAATCGCAAAAACAAAAAATGGATAAACATTCCAAAGTAAAAAATCGTAGGAAAATAATAAGTCCGGTTTTTCATTTGCAAACCAAAGCTGAAGATGAGAAGCACTTCTCCAAGGAGGTCGTAAAGAGTGTCAGGAAAACCGGAGTTTTAAATTTAAGTGGAAAGCATTTGGCTTCTGGTAAATATGTTTCAGTTGATTTATTATTTTAAGATTAAATAAAGTTATTAACTGTTTAAAGGGATGCCATCTATTTAGTTGTTATGATTGATAACTTATAGAACTATGAGATCAAAATAATAAATTAGTAATTGTATTATTATTTAGATATTAACCATTAATTTTAGTGCCTGAAAAACTCTTTTCGATATATGATTTTACTGATGAAAATGTAGTAAACCTTGATTTTAACAGACCAGATAGAGACGATGAGTTATGGTGGAACCTAAAACCATTAACAAATTTAGATTTAAGTTCTAATGTTTTAACAGAAGTGCCCGGTCGTATTGCCACGTTCCAAGACTTAACAATAATTAATGTAAGAGTTAGTATTTTAAATAAACTAAAACATAAGGTGGTTTTAACTATTTCCAGTTGCAAGATAATTCTTTAACCTGTTTGCCTGCAGAAATAACTACATTAACTAAATTAACTAGACTGATATTAAATCATAATAAAATTAATACACTACCGAATGATATCGATAAGCTTATTGACCTGCGAGTTTTGAGAATTAGCCATAACTTACTGGAAGAACTTCCTGATAGTTTGGTGGATTTGGTAATGTTAGAGACCTTGGTAAGGTATTTTACTAAAATATTAATGTTTATGGCACATAGTTCTTTTTAAGTTTGTATTATTTACTACATATTTTAGGATTTATCGTATAACTCTATAGAAAAACTACCTTCTGGAATAGGGTTTTTAGTAAGACTTACGGATTTGAATGTTTCAAACAATAAAATAAAGACGTTGCCGCCAGATATAGTGAATTTAAGAAGTATGTTTATTGGTTTATTTGGTAATATTCATGTATACATTTATATTGATATGATTTATAGGCTTAATAAGGCTGGATATAAATTATAACAATATTAAACATTTACCTGAGAGCTTGGGTGAATTGAGGAAACTACAGTTGTTATACGCTCAACATAATGACATAGAAGAAGTTCCTGATTTCACTGGTTGTGAATCTTTGCAGGAAATATACCTTGGCAACAATTTTATCAAGGTATATAATATGTCAATTACAAAGTCTATATTTTATATAAATACAATAACGTAGTATAAAAACGGCGTCATAGTGGTCTTTGAAATCATAATCAATGATAATACAATCAGCTGCTTTTATATCTTTTATTATTATTTATTGAAATTTTTTTTTTATTGAAATTGACATATAGATAGATATATTGAAAATTGACATATAGAGCTCGCAAAGATTAATATTAAAATAGAAAAAATAAGATTTTTCAGATGCATACACACACTCCAAACATTCATAACTAAAAATACCGGGTGCGCCTCAAAAGTGGCTTACTCCTATAACTTTTTTATTTTTTTAGATAAAAAAAACGAGATTTGGTATGTTAGTGTATGACATAAATTAGGATTGATTGACGTATTCAATTGTTTTTGGTCACTTTCTGTTTCACCAGAAATGACTACAACTTTTGATTTTTACATGGCACCCTCGATATTTTTTTACTTTATTTGGTAGAAAATGACACTCTGAATAGAATGACATATATATGTCAACTTTTGACATTTACGCATATGGTTTATTTTAAATTGTAACATAAATATGGTTCATAACGACAATTTGACTCAAAATGCGAAGTGTGTGGTTCCAAATTATTCTTCAAAAATACTTTTTCTAAATACAGTATTGGCCATAAGTGGATGAACTTTGTTAAAATAATGGGTTTTTCCTAATATGTTTAAAATTAAAATTTGAGCTATATTTACTTGAAGTCTAGTGTCAGTGCTATAAAAATAAATAGCATTGTTTTTTTAAAATGTGCTTTAATAAGGTAGCAAAAAATTTAAATTGAAAAAACTATTGGACAAAAGTAGATGAACAAAATATATATTTAATAAAAAAAAAATCTTATGTTAACAAAAACTGAAAAATTAACTTATAATTTACTAGTACTTAGTGTAATAACTCTTATTCTTAATTACTTTTAGACATCGCTTAGGCATGGATCCCAGAAGATTTTCAATTATAGAAAAATCGGTATTTTTCCAAGACTCTTCCAAAGCTGCAAATAATTCTTGCTTATTTTTGTAGAATTTGGTCCTAATGTGTTGATCCAAAATTTCCCATAAATTTTCTATTGGATTCAGGTCTAGGGATTGCGATGGCCATTTGAGAACAGTCACCATTTCATCTTCCAAAAACCTTTTAACCAATTGTGAGGCATGTTTAGGGTCGTTATCATGTTGGAAGTAATGTACAACTATCGTGTTTTCCTCCAAATAAGGCACTAAAAGGTTTTGTAAAATGTCTCTGTGGCCAAACCGATCCATTATGCCCTCAATTTTATGGAGAGGCCCCATCCCATACCCAGAAAAACACCCCCATACCATGATTGAGCCCCCACCATGTTTTACAGTGGATCGCGTGTACTTTGGTAGCAATCGTGTGTTGGGAGGTCTTCTTACATGTTGAATTCCATCTGATGACACTAAATTAAACTTTGATTCATCACTAGAACAAACTTTTTTCCATTGTGCCACAGTCCAGTTTTGATATTCCTTGGCAAATGCTAATCGGGCCTTCAAATTTTTTTTTGATAGCAGTGGTTTCTTGGCGGGTCTTCGGGAAAACAACTTCTGGTCAACTAATTTACGTCGGATCGTCCTTGTACTCACTGGTGGATAGCCCATTTTTTCAAGTTTTGCTTTTATCTTCGTTGACGGAAAAATGGATCTTGTGAAGAAATTCGTTTTATGGCTTTTATCATATTGGGACCAACTTTTTTAGGTCGTCCTGGTTTTCTTTTTATAGAGACATCTCCTCTCTCATTATATCTCTTTAAAATATAATGTACCCCTGATTTTCCAAGGCGTAATTGCTTAGCGATTTCCGATTGCTTCAAACCATCCTTAAAAGCATTCACTACTCGCAACTTAAGATCTGCAGACAAGTTAATTCCACGTGGCATGATATATCACAAGAGCTCAAATGTTTTTAAATCGCAATTGTTCATAAAAGCAGAACAAATGAAACTAACGATTTTTAAAAATATTTGGTTCATCTACTTTTGTCCAAGACAAAAAAGCAATATTTGCCAATGCTTATCTATAAATGATAAGACTAACAGAAGAATTTATATTTGTTTGTAGTATTTTGGTGAGAATGTATTAAACTTTTAACATACAAAGGTACATAAAATAATTTTGATATTCAACACCTCAAATCTGATTTTCTTCGCAATTATTGGTATTGGTTCATCCACTTTCGGCGAATACTGTATGCTAATGAGCCACTCTTGTTCCATTTGAAAAAATTGAGATATGATTAAAAATACGATTTGGGCATCTTTTAACTGGCCAGGACAAGACACTAAAAACATTAGACGATCAAATCTATTTTTCCAAGGCTTCTTGATTAAAAATTAGTGTTTTAACGCAGCTATGACACTTTAATAAAGTAAAAAAATACCGAGGGTGTCATTTAAAAATCAAAAGTTGTAGTCATTTCCGGTGAAACAGGAAGTGACCGAAAAGAATTGAATATGTCAATCAATCCTAATTTGTCATATACTAACATAACAAATCTCGTTTTTTTTATCTGAAAAAATAAAATGTTAGGTTAGGTTCCCGGTATACTATAAAAATCGATTTTAAAATACGATACTTTTTTATAAATTAGATATTATTTTTTAACAAGTGTTTAAGTCAACTTTGAATAAATAGCATATAGGTGTTGGCCTGACAAGAATTTTCACATTGACTGTCATTTCATTCAAAGGCCACTTTGATGCGTTTTTTTAATTACACATTTTTGTTTAGGAAATTCCACCAGAACTGCATGAAAATTTGCTTCAACTAAAAATCCTAGAATTGAGAGATAATCAAATTGAAATTTTACCAAAAGAAATTGCCAAAATGGTTCACCTAACCCAGCTTGACTTATCTAACAATGAATTAACCGAGTAAGGTTTGATTATTTCTTGTTAACTATATGTTTTAAAATGTTTTTTTTTCTCAAAGAATAACTCCGTTTTTGGGTTTGTTGCCACATTTGCACTCTTTAAAATTGGAAGGTAATAAGTTGAAGCAGATCAGGGGCGATATAATACATACAGGGACACAAAGAATACTACAGTTTCTTCGAGAAAAGTTAAAAGAAGAGGATCTTACTGAGACAGACAGTGTTGTTCTTGTACCGAGTGATGCTTGTGTATTTCCTGACAGGTATTAAAATAATTATATGTATGGTAATCGGAAAACAATTTCCGATGCACGTGATCAACTTTAACGAACAAGCGATGGCGACAGCGCTGCCACATTATGATGAATTTATGAGATGAATCTTAATTTAAAATTGACAAACAACATATTTATTATATCATTTTTTTAAAGAGTTTTACGTTTTATTTTTAATTTCATAACTAATATTTTAGTGATTAATTGATTTATTTGTTTTATAGCTTATTTTACTTATTACATATTGGCAAAAACTAGTCCATTATGAAGATTATTATAAGCGTTATTATGGGTTATTTATTTATTGATGCATATCTTACAAGGTAAGAGGTAATAACAAGTAAGAGGGTGCTATTAATGCACAAACTAATAATCACAGAATTTAATTAAAACTAACTTTGAAAGTGGTATAATGTGCTTATCAATCAAACTTACTTTTCTGACTGCAGTCAAGGGTAATAAAGGATCAAAATAGTTAAAAAAAAACAGGGAAACTACAAGCTCTGTGCCTCGACTGTTTAAATGCTTCGGCATATTTTCAACACACAAATTCAAGAAATGCAATAGAAAAACTCGAAAATTTAGTTCTTAAAAGAACTGTTTGTGCTTAAAAGTACAATTTAAAAAAAAAGATTATGAAAATAGGCAAAAAAACGAGAATTACTCGCAAAGATTCAACAAGAACACAATATTATACAAAATAATGACTGACACTAGGATAATTATTGTCAAATAATAAAGGACAACATTTCTGAACACGGCGCACAGTAGGCAATATGTCCAAACCAAGTTGCAAAAAATAACATCCACAGTTAGCATTTATGGCAATAACATTAGATTGGAAACATATTAGTTAAGAGGAAACCACATAAAACTAACAAAAAAACATATTCGGAGTCTCTTTGGAGGGGCTGTAAAACGAACTTTGCGCAAAACCTACATTTTCAGTTAATTTGTGTCCAATAACTGCCTTTTTTCTACAATTTTTTAAATAGTAGGCGTTGCATTCAAGTGACACAGTATTATAACAATTGAATCGGACGACTTTAGCTTACTGTCAATAATTATTGTAAAATTGTCATAACGTGTTTTACGTAGATTCCCGGTTGCGGTAAATTTAATGTGAAGGTAAGTAAAAAAGTATCTTTTATTTTGATTTTTTGGATAAAAACTAGGTAAAGGTCAAAGTAGAACATAATCATTTAAGGTTTTTTTGATAGTGGCATATATTCTTAGAAAAGTTAAGTCATAAAAATCGCAAAAAATCGCAACATTAAATTATGAAGCGTAAGTCTCCATGCGTATGTGTATAGTAACATCCTTTATGTGGATAATTCTCATAAATTAATTGTTATAGTAGCTAGAGCTAGAGAAGAACTTGAAATATAACGTTACGTAACTTTTCTCAAGATTTCCGAAGAAGTATGTCATAAATGTCAAATGACATTTTTTGACAAATTTTGACAGTACCTAATTTTTTAAAGTAAATAAAATGGATTTTTCTTTCAGATTTAAAAATGTATACTTCGTGACCATTGCTTCCAGCTGTTATAAAACAAAATATCAGTAAATAGTAGGTGGTAAAATAAAATTTAGATATTTTTAATAGGTATAAGTTCTGTTATTTTCTAAATCGTCATTGTTTAATTCTCAGAATATCGTTACTTATTTAAAATATAATAATAAAATATTGTTCACATATTGTCTGGTATTATTAGAGACCGAACTTATTCAAATGACAAACAATCTTGAATAAAAGTTCGATTGGATTAGTATACTAGGGTTTACTTTTATACATTGACACCCCCTTTATCTTTTTTATTTGACGTTTCCGAAAACTGTCTCAAATGAAAGTGGTTTTGAATAAATTTGCCAAAAAAGTATATTTCGCATATACAAAGTGCTTCAAAAAGTCGGGGCGTGGTTCATCTATCTTACCTCAAATTAGGTATAGGCTATGCTACAAAGTAGTTAGGATTTTTAGGAGAAAATAAAAATAAAATAAAAAATTGGGTACTAATTTGAAATAAGAAATTTGGGCCACATACAGGATTTCTAAGGCACCCTGTATATGCAAAGAAGACTGTTTTGAAAAATGTATTCGAGACCATTAAACTTTTATTCAAGACACTTTTTTCGAAAACGTCGAATAAAAAAGATACAGAGGATGTCAATATATAAAACAAACCCTGTATATGGCGGAGGAGTAATATTTGCTCAATATTTGCCTGTTTCATCTTGGCTCTGTCAAAAATCGTGAAATTTAGTGAAATGTAAAATATTCTTACCGCATTTTGGTAGCTGTATTAGTCAAAAGATGATTTTTCCATTTTATGAATCCCTTCCACCACCCCCAACCACTCTCAAGTCAGCCAAAACTAACAGGGTTCACGGCCTACGGGCATAGAATGTTTTTACCAAATTTGAATAAAATCGTACAAAAAAAGAATTTTTGCAACATACTTCTGGATTTTTGCCCACTGTGCGGCGCATTGTGACCAACATAGCGATAATAAAATTCCGTTTAAACTAATTTTTGCAGCTTTAATCTAAATAAAATATCTGTTACAATCATTTGCTCTATAAAATAAAATGAAGAGCTGCTCGGTATCTTAAATTATAACAAATTTTAACATTTTTGCCAAAATTTTATTTAGTCAGGTTTATAGACTTTAGTGTCAAATGTCGATATGATTGATGACGTGCATCGGAAAATGTTTTGCGATTACGATATGTCATTTGATTCAGAGAAAAATGTGTCATAGTAGGCAAAAAAATAAGGGATCTCCCAATGTCTCATAAAAGATCCATGTTTGGTTTCCTGTTTTAAGATTTTAACTTAATTTTTCTACAAAACTTACAGGGAATAGAAATACATAATTAAAAAAATCTTAAAAATATTTTTATAGATATATAGGGTGATTAAAATGTATTTTTTACACTGAAGTTTTAGTTTTTTAAATGGGATGGCTGTATATTTTATTTGCGCTTTGGGATTTGACATAAAATTCCCATTTATTGGAGTGGTTAATGTTGTATTTTTCATTTAGAATCACATTATATATATGATGCTATACGGAGTATTATACTGGTAGACAGAAAAACTAATCTAATAAATATCACACTGGAAATAGTAAAAGAATATATCTGTAAATATACAGGGTGTCTCACAAAAGAATACGAACTTTCACTAGCCATAACCTTTATGGACTTCAATATGTCCTAAGGCAATAGTAGAAGCCCTAGCAAAACAAGGTATTGATAGGCCTTATATAGAAACCCTCGCCAATATATACAAAGAAACCAAAGCAAGAGTAATGCCCGGACCCCATTAGCCAACACTAGTGATGGGTTGTTATTTAACTATCTGTTATTTTATAACAATTATTTAGAAATAACATAACGCAACCGTTACTGCTTTTCAAAAATAACAGATATAAAATAACGACACGCAGAGATCGAGTGTTCGTGAAACGAAGTCGGCGCTCTGCACCGCCACGAAATTCGATGCTGCTCGAAGCAATTCCAAAAAACAACTAGTATGGATGGAAAACCTATTATTTCGACAACCATCGATACAGGCGGCGAGATACAACGGACAACGGAGTGGGGTATGCGCTACGGCGCGGCGCGTCGTGTTGGGCTGACAACAGCTTAAAAATAATAGGATATAAAAGAAGCAGCTTTTTTGAAACAGTTGCGGGCATAACGCCTGGCTGTCGAGATAACAGGAGTGGGAAAGGAGCGCTGCTGCATCGGTCGATTGTCGATGGAGGCTCGCAACGGGTTGGAGAATAACGCATCAGTTGTTTTAGCTATGTTGTTTTTTTACCTGTTACGAGCATAACAGAACGGCGTTCGAGATAATCGGAGGTTTGAAACAGGTTGGAGAATAACGCATCAGTTGTTTTAGATACATATTGTTTTTCAACCTGTTACGAGCATAACGGGCGGAGGTCGAGATATTATGGCGCTGTATGTTTCAATACTTTGTTATTAAGTTTCAATATTTAAGTATTTATTTATTCTGAAAAATTTTCAGAATAATATTTTAAGATTTTTTAAAAATGTATACAGGGTGTTTTGAAAAATCTGGTCATTGATTAATCACGATCCTGCTTAAAGCCCTTGACGTAAAAAGCTGATTTTTGGAAAACGGATTGACTTTAGGGTGTAGAGGTGCGATAAGAAGGGATTTTTCGAAACTCAAATTCTAAGGGGGTGAAACCACCCTCAAATATTAGAATATTTTTTATTTAAAAACTGGTGAGTTTTTCGAAAAAACTCTTAAACACGTATATTTTATTTTGTTGTTTTACATATTTTGAGATTTTTACAAAATATATACAGGGTGTTTCATAAAATATGACCACTGAGTAATCACTATTCTGCTTAAACTGCTTGACGTTTAAAGCTGATTTTTGGTAAACGGATTGACTGTGGGGTGTAGAGGTGCGATAAGGAGGGGTTTCTCGAATCTCAAATTCCAAGAGGGTGAAAACGCCCCTCAAATATTACAATATTTATTATTTAAAAAACGGTTAGTCTTTCGGGAAAACGATTGGACACGCATAATTTATTTTGTTTTTTTACATATTTTGAAATTTTTTAAAAAATAATACAGGGTGTTCCAAAAAGTTGAGTAATTGATTAACCACGATTCTGCTTAAACTGCTCGACGTTTAAAGCATATTTTTGGCAAATGTGAGAAAATTTTATCCAGTTTGTATGTTAATGGAAATTCTTGCTTTGCTTTATCATCACCATTACAAATTAATAATTCGATGCGAACGAAGTCGCGGGTACAACTTAACAAGTATAGCTAGAGACGTGAGAAATATAAAATAAGAGACGCCCCCCGATGCGCAGTGGACATCCCACAAATTTGCTTCAATCAGATTTTTCGTAGCGTAACTGCATCTCTCTTCCGCCGAATGCGTTCTCTCTCTATCGTGTGCGCGACCGGTGCTATCCCCAAGTCTCTTCCTATATTTGTCAAACTGTACATGCTAGTTTAAGTGTAAAATTAATTCGAACTCTAGTGTGTAGTTGGTTTACTTATGAAGAATATACTACACATTTTCTTATATTGCTATTTTTTGACCGCAAATGGTAAAATCATAACGAAGAGCTTCTCGCCCGTCGAGTGAGATGCACCCTGTACACTGCTACGCAATTCAGAATCTACGCGGATCGAGGGGTAGGGCGTAGGTAGATCGGAATTTATAGATATAGACGAGTGGCGGCATTTTGGCTTTTTTATATCGCAATTTGTAAACAGCGCTTATTTGTAAACAACCCCCGTTTTTAGAGAGGTATTTTAGATAACAATCGATATTTAGAAATGTTATGACACCCTGGAAATACTACCACCGAGCACGTCATTGTTGCAACTGCGTTAATACGCCTGGCGGTGACCGCCTCATATTCTTTCAGATATTTAGCAATAAAATAAAGAAACCTGTTATTTTTAAGCTGTTATTTTAAGCTGTTTTTTATAAATAACTATAACAGTTTCAACTGTTATCTAAAAATAACAGTTTTGCCCATCACTAGCCAACACGCTACGCCACGCGATGCCATGCTACCCCACGTCATGTGGATCAGTGCGTATGTTTTTCCATTTAATTACATGTATTGCGTACACACTAGGCAACACGCCACGCCATCCGACGCAATAACACGCTATGACACGTGTGATGGTCGATTCGTAGGTCCCAGATCTCACCGACGTGTGTTACGGCGTGTTGTTTCCCGCTTGCCTCTCTAGCCCTGCAGCTATCTATTTTTGTAGTTGATGTAGGAATGCCCCAAAAATAAAATAAATCGATATTTTCAATCGATTCAACATCGGATATAACAAGATAGATCCAGAAAAAATCGGCAACAAAAGATTGATCCCGAAAAGATTGATTTAATAATATCGATATTCGATTCTGAATATATTGGTGTACTGGTATTATGATTATAATCTAATATCGGTATGGGTATCGATACTTCTAGTATCTTCGTAATAAAAATTCGTGTTAACACGTGTTAATAGGAAATAACAATGTTTTCTGGATTTTTCTATATCGGATCGTTCCTTTCTTTGTCGATTCCCTTTATAAATCAGTTTAAGTGAAAATTTTCAGTTCGTTCAGAACGAAAGAATACTACTAATACTAATAGTACTAATTACTAATATTCGTCCATAAGAGGTTATCTTTATGTTCATTTATAATTCGGTTACCACAGATATAATATTAAATACTACTAATTTTTATCTCGATTATATCGAAAAAGATAATCGAATTAGTTAGTTTTAATTTATTATTATTTGAATTAGTCGTATTTATGGAGGCTAGAAGGAGGAGGCGAATCGAGCGCAAAAATTATGGGCCCAGTTTTTGAGATCTAAATGAAGTTCGAAAATCGCCGTTAGGGGCGCATGTGATCCGACAGATTGAGAAATACAAAGCTTCTTATGGCAAGAATTACTATTTTGTTATAAATTATAGAGTTCAGTTAATATTTGGGCATATTTTTACCAGATTTAGCTTTTAGAAACGTGTTTTTTCTAATTGAACAATGTGCGTGGCTAAAATTGTGAATACAAAACCTTAAATTTGAGTTTGAAAAGTAAGTTAGAAGTTAGGTTATATCAGATGCCGGTTTTAGATATTCTTTTTTTAAGTTGTTATTATAAAATTTTTCATTATATGGTTTTTTTTAGTGCATACACGACCGAAGAAAAATATAAGCTGCTAAAATAAATCTTCCCTATAACTGTTGTACAAAAAAGATAGAATTTCCAGCAACAAATATCACCAGTTCAACCTTTGATTTGATGTTAACAGTAATTGTTTCTTGATCACAAATGCGAATTAAATAGTTTATGGTGTGATTGTGTTAGTGATTTATTAATAGTTTTTCATAAAAACATTTGAAATTGATATGTTTACAAGCAGTTCAGTGTGATATCATTTTAATAAACATTAAAAACTTTCGTAACAGAAACTGAATCACGAAAATTAAAAGTATTTTATCAGGAATAACTTCAATGGAAAGTGAAGATGAACACTACTGTTGCACCCTTTGATCAGTGTTATCTATCTCATAGCTTTTTATAGCTGAAACCAGAAAATAGGTACATTAAGCTGAAATGTTTCCCGTGTCCAATAGTGTTTTTTCTTTAGATTTTCTGAATTTAAGTTTTAATGTCATTAGCAAAATTTTGCAAATTGTCACTGTTTCGTAGACAATTAAATTCAAGATGTATTATATTCAATGTCACCTAATAATTGTAAAGGTAAATTTTTGTAAATAAAATATTAATGAATAAATAATGAACTCAATTTATTTTAAAAGAGTTGTAAATATGTATATACCCTGACTTATTTCATCATATATTTATTTATTTAGCAATATTAATACTTTACAACTTTTGTTTTTAACTGACTAATTCCACTAAATTTAATAAATAAAATATACAGTATATAAATTTAATATACAATTTAGCACCTATACCAAAAAAATATAACAGGAGCAAGTTATATCAAGAACACAAAGAATTATAATTTAAAAATATGCATTCTAAATAAATACCTGGCTACAATATACCTACATATTAATTTAAAGAGCTTATTCATAAAAAACTATTCTAAATGGTTTATATACACAATCAAAAGTCCTTCAACCACTGTACATTATTTTTCAATTTAAATGAAGCATCTCGGGTAAGTAAATTATTTTATATTAGAATACTATATTGCTTTGGCGTAAATTCACTTTCAATAGCACTGTTCAAATGGTGGTTAATACATATCAACAGGTAATTTTAGCCACCAGCTAGTAGGTAAATTATTTTTATTTTATAATAAGGCCTCCTAGGTTATGTTACGCAGATGTTGATTTTAGGCTATATTCTCTATTAATTTGAATTTAAAATTAATCTGTACACTGATAGTATATAATTTGAATGTTTTTCTTAACATCTATCTATATTTTTTTAAATAAATAGTTATACCACTTACATTAGGACCTTTGAAAAGGCTTGGGTTTCTTTCACCCCGTTCTTTATTTGCCTTTTTTCCACTGTAAGTCCCACTTATACAGCCAGGTACGAAGCAAGATCTATTATATAGGGTTTTTTTAATCACACTCATTGTTACATTGCGAATAGTTTAATAAAATAAATATAAATTTAAAGAAAACTAGTAAAAACACAGTTAAATCGTATTCTAACAATGCAAACGATCAATCTAACCCGCTTACAGTGCCTCTGGTGTCAAACCGAGCAACTTGCTTTAAAGTAGGGACAGAAATTTCAAATATGCCCATTGTCGATTCGCCTCCTCCTTCTAGCCTCCATAGTCGTATTATTTAATTCGAATTTTCCCAACACTAGAAGAAATCTTCCGTCAATTGGACTGGACCACCAAAAGATTAAAAATAGATGGGGAATATCTTAACCAGCTAAAATTCGCTGATGACATACTCCATTGCCAATAGTCCTGAAGAACTTTTTTCCTTTTTTTTTAATTTTTTTGAATTGATTTGTATTGTATGACATTTTTTTTAATTATTTGTATATTTGTTTTTGTACTTTTTTGTTTTAAGACTTTTGCAAGAAGGACGGACAACAGATGGACCATACCATAAAATATTTCCATTAATAAATCAATAATTTTATATTTTTCATGTCCAGATTTTTTAAATTTAAAAAGTTCTTCAATAGCTCAAGTTCTACTGTTACTCTCATGAATTTTTATGATAAACCTAGTAAAGTTTGAACGAAAATGATATTTTTATGCCTAGTATGACATCGTTTTCATTGTATGATAAAATAAAATGATTTAAAATGCAGTAGTTCAAATGAACCATATCAAACTTTTAGGTATAAAATGCGGAATGGTAATATATTGAATTTAACGATGAAAAATTTAGCAACTATACCAGATGAAGTATTTTCTGAAGCAGAGGAAGCAAAAGTTTCTGTAGTGGATTTGTGTAAAAATAAACTTACAACTGTGCCTTCTGGGTATTAAAAAAACTCGTATTATTACTTAACTTAATATTTATTTGGTTTTTCCTTTGCAGTTTGCAAAAACTATCAAATTACCTTACAGAGTTGAACTTGTCAGCAAATCAATTGAAAGAAATTCCCGATTTTGTTGGTTGTTTTACAAAACTGAAGTTTTTGGATTTGAGCAATAATGCCTTAAATGATTTGCCAGATATTTCACTTTCCAATCTCAGAGAATTGGTTCTATTTAATAACAGGTACCTAATTTATGTGTACTAAATGAGAATTTACAGTTGTAAAATACTACAATAACCATACGATCGAAAAAAAAACAGCGTCACAATGGTCTTTGAAATGAAAAAAACATTATAATTTCTGCTAGGTCGACCCCTATATGTTATTTATTAAAAATTGACATTAAAAAATTGTCAAAAATTAATATTTAAATGAAAAAAAAAATGAATCGGAATTTAATAAATGACAACATAGGAGTCGATCTGAAAGAAATTAATATGAATTGAAATTTCGAAGGCTACTTTAACGCCGTTTTTTTTTTTGATAATCCTATGTTTTTTCTATAAATTTAGATTTTCAAAAATACCGCAGTGTGTGTTTGGAATGACAGGCCTGGAAATACTCATGTTAAATGACAATAAACTGGATGAAATTGATGTGGTTGGCTTACAAAAACTAACTAGATTATCGACTTTGGATTTGACAAATAATAACATTAATTTTGTTCCTCCAGAGTTAGGAAATATGACCCATATAAGGTATTTTATGATTTCATTCATTCTCATTACACATACCGTAGTCTATCCAACGATTCTGGGAATATTTCGACAGACTACATACAAAAATTACAATTTTCCTGTCAATTAAAACGACAGACGCAATTGTCACTGCCAGGAATTCTCCCGTTGGACAGACTACGTCAGTATGACACAAACTAATTGTCATACAGTCGACGTAGATGCATATAAACCAAAAACCAATGTTTTTTGCATTTGCTGTGGACACCCTGTATATTCCAGTATCTTATTTTTTGTGGTTGAATCTTTTAGATGCTTAGAAATCAAAGGGAATCCTTTCAAACAGCCAAGATACGCCATTTTGGAACAAGGCACTGAATCAGTATTAGCATATTTAAGAGACAAAATTCCTAGATAAACATACTCATAAAACATTAATTTTAAGTAGATTTTAAGCACAATTTTGTTATTTTAAAGCTATTATATTAGGTACAAAAACTATTGTACACTGGTTATTTTTTGTGTTAGTTGTTTTGTGATATAGTTTACTATTGTTTTTTTTGTTATTGATATTAATATTTCTTTATATTTTTGCCATACATAATTATTTTATATATGTATATTTAAGTAAGTTAGTTTTAATTATATTGGATAAATATATGTTTGTAATTTATGATTATTTAAAAAAATATTTTTGCACAACTGTAAACGACAGCTCAAAAATCGTAATAAAATGCCTATTTTTTTGGAAAATCTATTATATTATTTACTATTATTTTATGCTGCATGAATAAAATACTTTGAATTTGTTTAAAAGTAACATTTTATTATAATAGTTTACATTATACGATATGCCTAGCGAGATATTATGTAACTTTGACAGACAACTTCAAATTGCAATATTATGCACCAAAATTTACACAATAAAATTATCATAATATGATAGAAACAAACAGATTTTTATAATATAAAAGTTGCATTTCTTAATATTAAAAAATTACCCTAAAATTATAACGTTATCGTTCTAGAAATTATCACTTGTGCGATAGCTGTCTATTCTGAAATCAAAAACGCACATGCGCCCTTTAAATTTCCATTTAATTGACAACCCCAGGTCGCAGGAGTTTTTTTTGTGTCCTGTGGAGGTTCGCGCCTGGTACGCTGTGTCCTTTTCATTTATTTCATGAAAAATGTATAACAACTTAGAAAAATGTCCGTGTTCTGTTTAATTTTGACTTGTGTTGTTAGTGCACAGTGTTTCCCGACATCATTCCGAAGTGAATCTATTTACTCAAGTTTGTTTACATTGTTAAAAGGCTTCGGAAATCACTAAAACCCGCAGGACGTCATAGAATATTAATAGAAACTGAGGAATGAGAGCGGAATTTCTAATTCTTCCCAATAAGCAATAATAATAACACCTGAGAACGCTCGCTACAAACAAAAATGACGAAAGAAAATTATCGACAATAAGCAGAAAGAAATAGGTCAAAAAATTTGTGTATAGTCGACGAGCATTTTTTGTTTCATGGGGTCATAAACATACACAAAGAGCGAAATTGTATATTTAAATAACAATGCATTGTCAGTGAAACAAATTTGTGTTAATTGTCTCTTTCACTATTGGAATTGGAAACTGAACAGAGAAAGGAATATAATTTAGTCAAACTTTCTAGATATGAGTGATAATGATGAGACAGACTCGGAATTGGATCCAAGAATTCAGATAGAATTGGAAAAATTGAACACCACTACTGATGAAATTAATAAATTAGAGATTGAATACGATGTAAGTGAATTTGTATTTTATTTTTTGCAGTATCATGCCTACCTTTTTTTAATACCCCTTTTATTGAATTTCGTCAGTGCTTACCTCTTCAAAACTACAATAGCATTATTAGATCACATGTATTATCTCCATTAAGTTATTACCTATAGATTTTTATCACGGGCTGTTAATCATAATATTTACATCAATCAAACTTAATATACCTACTGGCATATTGATCATATCATCATCTAATAAAGTTTTAAAAGTAATTTATATGTATAATTATACATGAAGATCAAAGAAGTGGGCTTTGACTTTGTCAGTTAGAATAATTCTATTGTTTTTCGGTCATCATACAAAGCATGCTTGGTCATAAAACTCCTTGATCGCGTTGTATTCTTATTTAATGTATTTCAAATTTTTATTTGTTATATAAGTACAAGCCTTGTATATTAATTTATCCTTGTTTATATTTTTTTTTATGTACAAGGATATTATGTAAGGCTTCAAAGGGTATTAAGTGAAACAGCTTTTCTACAGGGTTATTTTGGGGCGTTGAAAGACTATTAGAGTTACAGTTTAAAATTATTTTCATGAGGTACAGAGTGTCCCATATAATTAAAAAAATATACAGTATGTATACATACATATATTATATAAACAGTATATTAAAATTATTTTTTATCGGATGGAACATCCTGTATATTATTGCATATTTTATTTCTACAATTAATACATACATATGTAGCTAAATTTGATTTAATTTTTTTTTAAATGTTTTCAGTTTATTCGAAAATTCCATACGTAATAATTTTAATGCTTTATTTCTTCAAGTACCATCATATCAAAAAGTTAGTTACCAATATACTACCAAATACCGTATGATCGAAAAAAAAAACCGCGTCGAGTTGGCTTGGGAATGACGATTGATGACATTCTCCATATAATTTTACATATAAAATGACAGCGATCTTCATTTCATAGCCATCGCTGACGCCGTTTTTTTTTTCGATCATACGGTATTTTTAATATGCTTTAAAAACCTTTTTTTATACATATACAGGATGTCTAAAAATTAATTTTAAATAATAATTACTAGCTTCGCAAATGAAATTATCTTGTTTAATTTAAATTGTACACCCTTTATAATATGTTGCCAACATCAGATTCAACATTTAATTAAGTATGTATCTAATCTATTGAATTATATTTTTTTTAATACGTAATTTTTCAGGTTTTTGTAGAAAATGCATATTTTTGTTCTTTGAGATTTCTTTTAAAATTTCTATTATTGATTTATGATCATTTATAGAAACTTGGCGTTTCAGAATTATTTAAAATAAGTGTCGAATTTAGGAAAAGTAAATAATAAATATCTAGTAATCCTTCAATGACACAGACATAAGGATGTCATGAAAACTGGCAATTTCTAAAAATGTATTTTTTAGCTAGAATACTCCGCGTCGTATAGGTATCATGAATAACCCTGTATATTAAGTTAAAATTTACTTATTATTGCAAAAAAAAGGAAATGTTTAAGAAGTATTCCTAATCAGTTGTAAATAATATTGACTAAAATAGCATAATATTGATTAAACCTTGAAAATTTTAAATTTAATTGTTGTATGAATAACCAGGTGTGTTTAACTCATTAGTAACATTTTTTTTATCTCGTTTTTTACAATAAGTAATACAACGATCTTAAAAATTTTACATTAACATGACTATTTGATATTTAATGTTATTTAAAATATTTTATAAGTGTTTTTTTTTGTTGAAAGGAAGCAAATACAACATTTCGCATGCTCCTCAATGAATCCACCAGAAGATTGAAATTGTTAACAAAGAAACTGGGAAGTTGTATTGAGAAAGCAAGACCGTACTATGATTTGTTGGATATTGCCAGGAAACAACAGAAAGAATGCCAAGAAGCGGCATTACAATATCAAAAAGCCAATGGTTAGCACAATAATTATTGTATTAATCATATATTACATATTGATGAATAATCAAAATAAAAATGAGTCAGTTCAAGTTCTGTAATTATTTGAGTATAATTATTTTTTATAGGAATACATGCAGCTGCAAAGGAAACCGTAGCATTAGCTGAACAAAGATTTCTGACTAATCAACATGAATGGCAGTTTGATAATGCTTGGCAAGAAATGCTTAACCATGCTACAATGAAGGTAATACATATTCTCATTCAAAAATATATGGTCATTCGATAATATTCTTTCATATTCTTATAAAATTATCTACATAATATAAAATGCTAATGTTTATCTGTGTCGTCTCTACTGAAGTAACGACTTGCTCTAGAAAGTTGCTTTTTTTACTAAAAGATAGCTAATTGGCTCTTCTAAAAACTGTCGTCGCCGGATTTTTTGTTTTTCATTTAATTAAAAAGAAATAAAAAGTATTTTTTTCCTGATGTGGCGGATGCGCCAGGCTTCAACTAGTACAGGATAAAATTATAGAGGAATCTTACCGAAACATTTCAAATAAATGAGGGTTATATTATAATTCCAGGTACTCAATGGGAAGGACGCATATTCAATGACGTCATATTAATAGGCCTATTTAATGAATTTTAATCCATATAATTACTATTTTTCTTCCAGGTTATGGAAGCAGAGACTCAGAGAGCCGAAAGAGGCAGAGAACATCAAATCAAAGCCTGTATTTATAAAGAAACTGAAGAACACTTGAAACAGCTTGAAGAAAGACTACAAAAGTTTATTGTAAAATCTAGGATGTATTTCGATGAAAAAGCTCTCTGTCAGGTAACTTTCTACAATAAATATTTTATTCATATATAGTCTGTCCAACCAGAGAGTATCTATGACAGTGACAGTTGTGTCTGTCATTTTAATTCAAAGGTAAATTGTATTTTCTGTCATTTTTTAGATCGAGTCTATCGAAATATTCTCTGACTCGTTGGGCAGACTTTAGAGAGTTGAACAAGGAAAATATTTTTGATACAAATTACAAAATTACGTTTACAAAAAGTGAGGTTAGGTGACCAAATATGGAAAAAAACTCACAAAGAAAAGTTGTTCAGAATTTGATTTTACGTCTACTTTAAGCTTCATAAGTATTCAGGGAATTAAGCTTGATTTTTATGCGTCCCTTATACGTTGATACGATGGTCCGACGGCGGTCTGATTGGTCATAGCGTCTTCGCGCCACTTTTCATCCTTAATTTTTTTACTCCAGCCCGTCAACGGAGAAAGATCGTACGATAACGGACGTGTTGGCACTTTTTGACACATTTAATCTAACTTAATAAAAATATAATAGTACAAGAGCTAGCACTGTCGGGAAAACGAGAATTATAAGAAAGCTGGTTCTTTAATATATCTTTTGCTATGCTCTCCTGACCAAAGTGCGGGCTGTCTGGCTGCCGGTAGACTACTGCGGTTCACTACTGCGCATCACATCTGTACAGGGTATCCCATTTTCGTATGTTTGTATGTTTTATGGGATTTCTCGTTTATGAGTAGAGATACAATGATGCAATTTTCACGTTACTTTGCTACTTTTTTATGGAACTAAATATGCTACACATATGTTTGTCCTAGCCTTTTTAGTTCCTGAAATACAGGGCGAATTTGTGATGCGCAGTAGTGAACAGATGTTGAATACAGATATGATGCGCACTAGTGAACGCAACGTCTACTGCCGTCAGACGGTCCGCACTCTGTTCAGGGGAGTATAGCAAAAGATATATTAAAGAGCAAGCTTTCTTAAAATTCTCTCTCGAAAACGTTGCCAGTTCTTAGACTATAAGTAAGACAGCGAAATCGTTATGGAAATGAAAATATAAAATGACACCAATCACAAACAAATCGCATATCCGATGAACGGAGGCATAAAATGCAATAAATTTAAAAACTTTAAAAACATAAAATTATACATTTTAGAGGTGTTTTTTACATAAAACAGCCGATTTTTCTGTTATATCTTTTTTCCTAGGAACAACTGAATACTCAGAAACACCGAATCGAATCCATCAAAGAAGAAATAATCAAAACGAAGAATTTCTACTCGCAAACGTTGAAAAACCTGGAAAAAATCTCCAACGAAATCCACATGAAGCGCCAAGGTAAGAAAAGGCGAGTAGTTCAAATGTACCACTATCGAAATTTCGTTTTCAGGCAAACATATGGACGAAGATATGTTGGCCAGACCCAGAGAACCCGGAGTCGGTGCCGAATTGAACCCGTCGTTCGAGGAAACGCCCACTCGCAGACCGAAACACATGAGTTCTTTGCCGGATATAACGGCGGAGCTAGATAGGTGCGAAGTTTGCAGCGTGGCGACGACCAGTTCGGCGGTGAGCGAGAAGGATCCGTCGGAGAACGTGTATGCTGATCTGGAAGAAGTAAGTAAATTCTAAATATTAAGGACCCCCTTCACGTACAGGGTGGTCGAAATTGGTATGTTTTAACAGAGAAAACCTATTTCCTGACTAGATAGAGCAAAATGTCGGTTTTGCTCTATCTAGATGTCATGGGCTCGATTTCTGAGACACGTTTCATGGCGTAAACCGCCTATTGATATTTTCACTGCCAACAGAGATATAGGGTCTTTTTGAATTTTTACCATTTTGAAAATTGCCCATAATTTTGTTATTCCGCGGAATAATAAAATTCAGTGGCGTAGACAGTTTTTTTTCTATGCTTGCTCTTTTTGTCAGAAATAATAAAAAATGTATTTTTTTAAATGGGAATCATAGTTGGGCTGTGAACTTAAAAAAATGCTGGCGTTTAACCCTAATTGTGTATTTAAACGTTCTCCTTTCTTATGTTTTTTTAAACGAGTTCTTAAACTTTATTATTATATTTATTATTTTATTTCCTTTTTTTATGTGTATTTATTTCTAAGAATGAGAGAAATATTAGATTTTTTATCTTTGTATCGAAGCGGGCCTTGATTTTGTGTTGACCTAGTTGCCTAATTATTTTTTATCACTTTTTTTAATATTCTATATCATTATATATCTGCATAATTAAAGACTTTTGAAAAGCTAAATCGACATTCTTTATTAGTATTACCATTTACAATTAAAAAGCCAGTGTTACAACTGCATTATTAAATGGAGAATTTAGAGAGAATTGAATTAGAACAAGGTATCCCATATCTTGGCCTGCTAGGTCCTGTGATGTAACTCCTTTTGACTTTTTTATGGGAGAAATTAAAAGGCCTTATACAGGGTGTCCCAGAAATGAGTGCAGATATTTTAAGGGGTGGTAGATCTGGTCAAAATAAACATATTTTCTCTTTACCATTTTTAAAATAAATTGAAAATAACCGAGTTATTTAACTTTGAAAATTTAAAAAAATAATCGCAACATTTTGAGAACCGCCGGCAGATATCGCCAACTACATCCAATTACCCGGATCAAGCCCGGATTTCAGTTAATTCGACGCACTGTGTTGCCATAGGGACAAGAAAGTATATGTTAAAAAGTCAGTCATAAAATCACAACACCTGAGGAGTTTGCAGAAATGCTTTACATTTTTAAGATTGTGATATTATTACATAAAATAAATTAAAAGTTAAATGTTTAATAATGTGTTAAAAAATGTGTTAAAGAAGTTAAATTAAAAAACTTACCCAACATTAAAAAAGATACTTATGATAGATCGATGTAACTGTGGCAGTTCTCTTTTTCGATATACACTTAACTAAAATACACTTCACTGTGCTGCTTTTACTTGTACATGCTATTATAATAACTACTAAAATAACAGTCCCCATTTTTAACACATTATTTTCATATAGGCCTCATCACAATTTGAACCACTGATTTACAAAACACCTTGAAAAGCACACATTACTTTGAATACCTTTCTGAATGAATAAATGTTGAGAATTATTGTCTCTTACTGCCACTTTCCGAACTACTTTCAATATAAGAAAATACATGTTTCACTCAACAATTTTAAATACGTATTTTGTTTTTTCGCTATTTTTTCTATGTATTTCAACAATTCCATCGACAGCCCAAACGTCACGTCGGCCAAGAGAGCCGCGGATTAGTGGTAACTGCTCCTTTGTCGCGCCGCCGTGTCGAGCTTGCGTCATGCGAGGTTGCCGTAGTTTCAACAATTCAAGACACTCGAAGCAATCAAATTCTTATTAAATTTTAAAAATAAAACAGAAAAACATGAAAGGAAACAAACAAAACACAAATGAATTGGTTATTGATAAGGTCACAAAAAAGAAATTTCTAAAATGTTTATCGTAATTCAGAATTCAATACATCTAAAACAGCCCGACGAATAACCAATTCATTTTTATTTTGTTTATTTTCTTTCATGTTTCTCTGTTTTATTTTTAAAATTTAATACGAATTTGATTGCTTCGAATGTCTTGAATTTGAAATTGTTGTAACTACGGCAACGTTGCTTAACATCGTCGTCTGACGCAAGCCCGCCACGACGGCGCGGCGACCGGCAACTCAAAGGACCAGTTTACAAGCGGCAGTTCTTGGCTGATGGTAAGGCTGTCGATGGAATTGTCGAAATACATCGAAAAAATAGCGAAAAAACAAAATACGTTGTCAATAATTGTTGAGTGAAACATGTATTTTCTTAGATTGAAAATAGTTCGTAAAGTGGCGATAAGAGACAATAATTCTCAACATTTATTCATTCAGTAAGGTATTCAAAGTAATGTGCGCTTTTCAAGGTGTTTTGTAAAACAGTGGTTCAAATAAAACAGAGAAACATGAAAGAAAACAAACAAAACAAAAATGAATCGATTATTCGTTGGGCTGTTTTCTAAATTTCTTGAATTAAATTCTAAATTACGATAAACATTTTAGGAATTTCTTTTTGTGACCTGATTGTGAATAATATGAATCATTTTATTAAATTTATTCCAAAATAAAGTTATTTTGCAGCATAACAAAGATTTTCGTAAACGTCATAGACGTAATGTTTTAGTTAATTTTCGGTGGTTTTTGTTAAGTTTTCATTGAAAGGGTAAGTACTAAAAATAATTAATGTGTTTTTTTTCTATAATTATTAATAATGAGCACTGATAAAAGATTAAATTTAACATTCCTAATTTTTTGAGTAGACATTTGTTTATGAATTTATAAATGTAGAACTATGTTCCGCCGAACTATGTAGAATGTGGATAACATAGGAGGTTGCAACACTGCAAGGTTTAGATACACCGTAGGGAAATCTTAGGTGAATAAACAAGTGACACTAAAAAGTTTTTTCAAATTTCCCGGAAAATGTCAAGAAAAATTTTAAATTTTCAACATTTTTTTTTCGCAAAAAACCCTCAGGCGTGTTTCTGGGGTTGAACTATACTACATGTTAAAATATTTGCACTTATTTCTGGGACACCCTGTATATAAGGGAAGAATCATTGGGATGAGAGAAGAATTACAGAAGGCTACTAGGCAAGCTTTTGGACTTATTACACCAGTTCGCCTAATAAATTGTTGTAACTCTGTGCGCAAAAGATTTTTATTGTGTATTCAACTCCTTCAACAAGGAGGTGCCCAGTTTGAACATCTGCGATGATTTTTTTTAGAAAACTATATTCGTCACTCAAAAAATACGTTTTTTAGTTTTGTTCTTTGTTTATTGTATCGATTTCAATTGTAATTACTAATACTAATATAAAATGTTAATTTACCTTTTCAAAAGTCTTTAATTGTGCAGATAAATAATAATATAGAATATTAAATGATAAAAAATAATTAGGCAAATATGTCTACCGAAAATCAAGGCCCGCTCCGATATAAAGATAAAAAACCTAATTTCTCTCATTCTTAGAAATAGATACCCTTAACTTTATATCGTTGGAAAGGGTTAAACGCCAGCATTTTTTTAAGTTCATAGCCAACTATGATTTCTATTTAAAAAATTATATTTTTCATTATTTATGATAAAAAGAGCAAACATAGAAAAAAACTGACTATGTGGTTAAAAAAACTGACTATTAGTGGTTAAAAAATGCCTTAAGAACGTTTTTACAGAATTGTATTATTCCGCGAAATACAAAAGTTATAGGCAATTTTCCAAATGGCAAAAAATTCAAAAAGACCATGTATCTCGGTTGGCAGTGAAAATATCAACAGGCGGTTTGCGCCATTAAACGTTTTTCAGAAATCGAGCCCATGACTTCTATGTCAGTTTTGCTCTCTCTAGTCAGGAAATAGGTTTTCTGTGTTAAAAGAGACCAATTTCGACCACCCCTGTACAATTATTTCCTTCACTCATGTGGGACTGCATTCAGAAGTGGGATTAAACCTACACGTTCATTCTGTGAACGGTATTCCTTTAATAACAAGTCAAGGGTTTAGCCACATACGTAAGATGTAGATATAAAACTTCTTTCATTGCACTGTTATCCAGTTGAGAAGTCTTTAATGTGAAAACCACACGGTTCATTGAAGAGGAAAGACGAACAATGTAATTTTCACAACACAAACAACATTTTTTTTTAACTAAACCTAAAAACGAATCGCTCTCTGGTTTTAAATAATATTTTGAATACATGATGTTTGTTTCAGGTGAAAGCAATATTAAAGGACATGAATCTGAGGCCGGACAAGGCGGAAGGTAAGAACGAAGACGTCTTTGTATCGGAATTTTACATAGGCAACATCGCATCGCCTGGGAAATCGAAAAATTCCAGTCCAAGACACCTTCCTAAAGTCGACAGTAACGATACAAATATTACATTTCCTATAGGCAAATTTTAGAATCATAATAGTATTAGTATAGTACCTTATGATGAGAAAAAAAGCGTCATGATGGCCTTTGAAATTAATTACTGAATTTCAAAAGCCACCGTGACGCCGTTTTTTCGATCGCACGGTATATTAAACACATGTAGGCAATACGTACCTTTTTATTTGTATGTATATGAGCTTTATCTTATTTTTATATGAGTCTTCGTTGCAATAAGGTTGTTTATATTTATTTTATTAGCTTGAAAAGTAGATTGAACATAATATTCCAGTATATATATTTCGTTGGTCGTGTACAAATTTGAGTTTATTTGGTATTTTTATATTTTTTAAATTATTTACTATATACAAAATAGAGAAAATATCATAATATTTATTATTAAACAAGGGACTCAAAAAGAATCTTTATTTATTTTTAAGAAAATAATAGTGCATAACATTTGGAGGATTTAAAAAATTGCATCATCAAATATCAAAGGTTTCTTCCATTCTTGCCTCATTTAGATTAGTAAAAATACATTTTATTATTAAGAAAATAGTTATATAGAATTTATTGAAGGACTATGCCGTAAAAATCAGCCAAAAAAAATTTAGTTGTTAATAAACTAACTATTTATCATTACAAATTATTTTCAAGAAATAAAAACACAGAATTAGTGTTAAACATAGTTTTTCTTCTATGTATATCAAATTCATAGTACAAACTTGTTATTTTTTAATTTTATTGAAATCACCCTGTATCTAATACATATTAACTAAATAAATGTGTGTCTTCTTTAGCTAAATACCGTTTAATCGAATGAAAACGGCGTCATATTAGGCGCAGAAAATAACATTTCAGTTCGAGCTTAAATTAGCTTAACAGAGCTTAACATTTAGCTTAACAGAGCTTGACATTTTGCTACAGCTGTAATAGATTATATTTAGCTTAGATATATTATCTTCATTTCAATAGTGTACATGAAAGTTTTTAAAATAGTTTATTTTTTTCCTACACACGTACACAAACCGGCTACACTGTATGCCGCTTTTATTTTTGCCTCTCTGTCTGTCAACCGGTCATTTTTATTTATCTCTGTCGCATACATTAAAATACAGACCACGCACATGAAGTGTCCAGGATGGTGTAAAACTTTTTTCATATCTTTGTCGACAACGACGATATTGGACTTTGATCACAGTTTAAAGAATATAAATATATCAGTTGACCCACTCTTCGCCCGTATTAAATTCCTCCCGCCGCTCCCCGCCTGTCTTGTAGACTTGGGTCAGTCTACATCCGTTGCTCGACGTGTACACAGCGTTCCAAGTTTATTTTAGTTTTGTTTTCGGTCCGACGCATAGGGTGAACCAAAAATAGTGTTTTAGTTGTTTTGTTCAAATTGTGAATAAAATGTCTACTAGAAATATTTGTGCAGTGGATGGTTGTGAAAGTGGTATGACAGACAATATATCGTTCTTTAGGTGCCCAAAAGATGAAGGAAGGTATGTGTTTATATAGTATAGGATATTAAGTATATAATAACTAAAGTATTAGACATATTAAGTATATTATAATTATGGAAACCTAACTATGAAAAAATGGTTTTAAAAATATACATATAAATTAAGAAAAGATTTTACTCGAAATATGCACAAAATATTTATTTTTAACAATTAGTTTATTATTTTAGTAGATATTTTAGAGTAGTAGTAGATACTTTACTATTATGTTTTGGATTTTGCAGTATTTACCGGTTTGCAAAGTGCATATTAAATTATTATTTAAGATATTTGCATTTTTTTAAATAGCATGTTTTACTTTTTAGATGTTTGTATTTAACTTTAACTACCTACCTGGAAAGTCCAAATTTTATCGTCAGGTAATAAAAATACGTGCATACAACTTCTTCTGCTATTGACAAGTTTTTTAGAGTTTTTACTAAATTTTATGTAACAGTAAATATAACAATTGACGAGCACATGGGAAAAACGATGAGTATCCAAATGTTCAGGAAACCGGTTTTTTTTAATTGAAATTACGCATGGACTTTCATATCCGAGTTTATATCGTTTTTCCCATTTTTAAATGCCTGTTTCTATGTGGCCGTGATCGATATTCCCGTTTATTTAGGTACCAAAAGGTGTAGCTTTTTGGTACTTTATTTTTCCCGTGTGCTCTTCCATTAGTAGTAAATACTGTAATAAATTATATTTGCATATTTCTTAAATTATAGCATGTTTTGCTTTTTAGCTGTTTGCATTTAACTTGAATTATCTACCTTTTTATTAATAGGTAATAAAAAGCACTTGGATACAACTTGTCTTGCCATAGTCAATTTTTTTTTCAGTTTTTACTAAATTTTATCGAACAGTAAAATTTATTACACAATTAACTACTAACAGTCATAATTACTGTTCATGATAATCATAAAATTTAGAAAAAATTCCAAAAAAATTGACAATGGCAACACAAGTTGTATGCAAAGGTACTTTTATTAACTTACGATAAAATTTGCGCTTTCCGAGTAGGTAATTAAAGTAAAATGCAAACATCTATAAAGCAAAACATGCTATAATTTAAGAAATATGCAAATTATTATTATATATATTAAAAAAATACTAATAAATATTGATCAATTATTAAAGACGCCCAAAACTGTTAATCAATAAAACTAGTACTGTATTTTTATTTTTCTACTTGCTATATTAAAATTCCTTAGTATTTTTAGTTGATCCCTCGTATACGGCCAGCGGTTCTGACTGAAGTAAAATAGCACTTCCGCTGTACCCGGTAAACGTACAAATTTTTTGTCACCTCGAAGGGCCGCCTTTGAAGTCAAAATAACAAAAGAATTCCTTAGAGTGGGCCAACTGATATCTATATTCTATATTTAGATATATTTATATTCTTTAAACTGTGCTTCGATCCTGTATGTGAATTTCTTGACAGCTGATATAACAATAAAACTAGAATATAACTATCAGAAATTAGATTGTGCAGAGCTCCAACACAAATGATACTTTCTATGCCTACCGTGACGTCGTTTTTATTCGATCCCACCCTATATATTTGTGAAAAATGTATCACCAGCAATCCGAAATTGAACTAAGCATTTTTGTTACCCGTTGTCTTACAAAAATAAAACGATTTAACAAATTATATATAGTTTTATTTTTTTCTATAAATAAGTTACTTAGAAATCTCGCTGGAACAAAAATAAAAAGTAAAATATACACTGTCCTACGTTATATTAGCTTTTCGTTTCTTACCTTAAAATGTAAAACTTTAAACGTTATATTTGTAGAACATTAGGAATTGTAAAAAGTGCAGGATTCAATATTTCTTTAATAAATATTTGGCAATTTTTTATATTTATTTGATAAAACATTAAAAATACAATTTAATTTATTTCAAATAGTAATAATTATATATCTAAACGGTTTCTCCTTTTTAATTTTCATAATTATCAATACCGATAAAACAAGAAATTTTCTAATACATTGCTTAACTAGTAGAACCAAAGAATTAACAACTCACATTATCTGCAGGTTTTTTTAGTAGGAGTGATTAGTGTGACTGATAAATATGCAACCAACATCACAAGAAACATACATTCTTAACACAGCTCTTATAGTCCAGTCATCTTAGGGGTTTCACCTTGGAATTCGAGATAACCGCCTGTAAACTCGTATAAACCTTTATTTTAACATCCTGAAACATGTCTCAAAACCTACATATGTTAGCGTGTGCGTGACTTGTAGATAATTGAGGCCAAAGGTCAAAAAATCGATTTTTTGCAAATATCTCGTTCCCTTTCACATTTACGCTATTTGTATTTATTATAAATATTGTAGAGGATAAAATTCTCTACAACTTTTGTTTCAAAAAATTTTTTGTACCTCAAACCGTTTTTGAGATAGAGGGCGGTGAGCGCGCAGTCTTTCATTATGTACGGTATCATTCAAGTTCAACCTGTAGTCTCGGTCAAAAACACGCCGTATAAAGTCCGTTAATTATTGAAAAATATATAATTATAAATAATTTACATTTTTTCATAAAAGATCATATTGAATATAATAATTTTGCTGAACACAATATTCTGCAACTGCAAGAATGGTTGTGGTTCGCGATGTGGTTGCAGGAAATCAGGGTTGCCGTGCTCTTTAGCTTGTGGCCAGTGTAATGGGCAAGCTTGTCTCAATGTTTCACCCTATCAGAGTGATGTCAATGAAGATGATACATTTGACCCCGAAATCCTAGAAGACTTGGAGACAAATGTCGTTGAAGATGAAAATGAAGAAGAATTTGAAATTCCACAACGACCAAACGACGATGATGATGAAGAAGAAGAAAACTAAAAATAAGAACATGGAGTTCTTTTTATTTTTATTCAATTTTTTTAATTTCAACCATGAGAAATGTATGAAATAGTATTTTTTAATAAACATATAAATTAAAAATATATTTCTTGTTTTTTTATTTAATTAAAATGTAATTAGTATAAATCCAACTATAATTAAAATCTAATTAAAGTATTTCTGTTAATAATTTTCTAATTGTACAAAGAGGTAAGTGTTAGAGGTGTGTAGTTCGTGAACGAACTAGTTCCAACGAACTATTCCGACCCCGGAATGAAAGGAACTAGTTCCTGGTTTCTCAAAGAACTAGTTCCTCAGGACCTATTAGTAAAATTTTTAATATTTGCTCCAATTGATTTGAGATATAGTTTTTTAAATTATGATTTGAGTTTTTTTATTTTTTTTTATCTGCAATAAAACTTACCTATATGTTTCTAACATACACAATTACACGTCTCGTTATATCTCCGTACATTATAAAAATTATACAGATCATATTGTGAATAGTTCTGACTGACAACGAAACGCATTAGCAAGCAAGGGGGATGTCAATTAGTCGGGAGCTATTGTGAACTAAAGACCTAATTCAAAGAACTATTCCTTTAGAGGAACTAGAACTAAGGAACTAGTTCCTCCCAAGGAACTAGAATTCCCACCTCTAGTAAGTATTTATTAAATGAAGATACACTTAATTTATGAAAAAAATTATTATATTCAATATGATCTTTTATGAAAAAATGTAAATTATTTATAATTAATTATATATTTTTCAATAATTAACAGGCTTTATACGGCGTGTTTTTGACCGAGACTACAGGTTGAACTTGAATGATACCGTACATAATGAAAGACTGCGCGCTCACCGCCCTCTATCTCAAAAACGGTTTGAGGTACAAAAAATTTTTTGAAACAAAAGTTGTAGAGAATTTTATCCTCTACAATATTTATAATGAATACAAATAGCGTAAATGTGAAAGGGAACGAGATATTTGCAAAAAATCGATTTTTTGACCTTTGGCCTCAATTATCTACAAGTCACGCACACGCTAACATATGTAGGTTTTGAGACATATTTTAGGATGTTAAAATAAAGGTTTATACGAGTTTACAGCCGGTTAGCTTGAATTCCGAGATTCCTACCCTATTTCGATTAAGACGACTGGCCTATTATGTATTCTTCAGTTAAAATCTATGTTCTGTTGTCTCACAAGAGATATTCTTCCTTGAAATCACTAATTAAAATTATTGCAGTGTTAGAATAAAATGAAATGATCTCAATATTTTAAAATATATATTTTTAAAGCATTAAGACAGGCTTGAGGCTAATCCATACACAATCAGATGCAAAAAAACGCAACGGAAAATTTGTTCAAGTTTAAAGTGTTATATTAATTTACTTTTAGCCCTATTTCCATGATTTTTTTAGCCAACTGTATAGAAATCTATCAACTTCAATTCATAAACTCAGTTTTATATAAACTTTAGTATTTGGCTTATCATACAGGGTTAATTGAAGGGTTGTTTTTTATCATTTACTTTAAATACCCTGTGCAATAATTTCGTAAGTAACTTTTCCTAAAACATTATTTTTCGATCAGAACCATGTCTCGTGAGCATTTTGTTTTTTGACTTATATGTCAACACTTGCTTTGGTTAATTTTTAAGAGCGAAATAAACTTGCCACCAACAATTTGCAATTTTTTCAGGTCTTGTTACTTTATGATGGTATTTTTCAAAATCACGAGGTGGCTTTGGTGACTATTGTCGTAATGTCATATCGACAATGATTAGAACTCTACATTAAAATTTAAAAACCGTTAAAAAGTAGCGATACAGGCTTGGATTTAATAAATATTAGTAACACTAAAGCACCGTTCTCAGAACGACGTCGTGTCGCTGGCGACACAGTTTGACATTTCAAACAAACCAATCAGATTTGTACAAAATTCAAACAGCTGGCAATTTTTTTGAATTTTGTGCAAATCGACAATACAAAGTTCTGAGAACGGGGCTTAACAGAAGTAAGGATATTAAAAAAAAAATAACTGTAATAACTAATTGTACAAATAAACAAAAAACTTGTAAAAAATACTCTTAATACTTTGTATTGCCTCCCCTGTCTGTAGACGTCGGTTCATACTGTTAATGAGGCTGCAAATATATTGTTATGTTTTCCCATAAAAATAAAAAAATTTCCGTTGCAATTTTTTTGCATCTTAGTGTATAAATGGAATTACTAAAAGAATTTTGTTAAGTTTCTGTGTTGCGTAATTATGACAAATCTATAACTTTTTTCTCTGTAAAAAACAAATTCAAAGTGATATTTAACGTCTCTGTTTTTTCTTTTTCGCAGAGGACAAAACTGATATACTCGAAGTATTTCAATAATCCGGTGTTTAACCATAGTAAATTTTTGTTATTTTTAATATAAAATTCAAATGAAGTGATTAAAAAGTATTCCCTCAATACAAAAAGAAATGCAACGAAGTTACAATAAGGAATAAATAATAAATCAAATTCAATACGAATTTCACTGGTTTCAAATGACGCGTAGAAAATTGTGACGTCACCTATCAGCATTTGACTGAATAGTTGGCAGAGGGCGCGAGCCTCTGAAGAATAATATTATGGCGTGTCTAGTTCTCTGCTACCGTATCTTAAAATCACGTTAGATTTTTCTATTTTTATTAAGATCGTTAAAAAATACGTTTTTATGTGGGATTATTCCTTATTACACCAATATTAAATTTACTTTTATATTTTTTATTACTAGAAATTAAAACTTAAATTTTTATAATTAACAGGTTACTGCCATTTTTATCGAAGCACTAAACACTACCAAAGTTGTTCGGATGTTCGAGGCGTTCGGGGGTTCGAGGTTAGATTTGGATTTTGTGGATTTTGCGTGTGGCGCAATAAAATACTTTGAGTTTCAATTTTGTTCTATTGTACTCTCTTTATTATTTTTGTAATGAAGGGTGTTAAAGTTTGTTTTGTGAAGGGCTATCTAAATAACTCTGAAGGCCCTCCAGAAAAAGGTTTTATAACTGTTCCTTTGGATGAAAGCCGTCGAAGAGCCTGGTTTGAACCGGCAAGACAAAAATATGTCAGCAAAGTACGAGATTTTGCTGTGAAGATCATTTTAACGGCAAACCGTGACACTTTTGATAGGTGACGTCAGAGATTGCAAAAGTGTAAATTTGAAATTCTTAATATTGATTAATTTAAAAAAAAATGGGATGAAATTGAAGTCAAATAAAAAAATACGGGTTGTCATAAAATTGTATGAAGATTAATTATTTGCAATAAAAAAACTATGGTTAAACTCCGGATTCCAATAATTCATATAGCAATGGGTCTAGCCTCCACACTAACATAAAGTTTTATGTAAAGATAAGATTCCAGATTGGTACCACATCATTCTCTACTTTATTTACTATGTTTAAGGTTGAAATTAAAACGTAAAATACAGAAAGAACATAATATTATTAGGACTGAAAGTGTTGTTAGTTGCATACCCATCACATCAACACTAATCAGACCTTTTTAAGAAGAAATACCTTGAAAACTTAGCACACTAAACTCAGTTGGTATTTTTCCGAGTCCTTATCGGAAACTTATTCTCCGAGCAAATGAGTTTCAGCGAATCCACAGTTTTAAACTCCGTAGGACTCACTACTATATCCCCGGTGCTTTTTCTACCCCCCGTAGCACGTTGTTTCGGGTCCATCCCCAGGATTTTCTGCGGTATATCCAACAGTTTTTCGTAGTTCACCTCCAAAAAGAGTTCGTGCAAGATTCGGCGCGTGACGAGGGAATAACTGGTCTCGGAAAAGAGTTTACACACTTCCGAGTACACGCAAACGTCTTTGAACGGTTTTGTGTCCTTTTGCTTGAGTCGTACCAGCTGGTTCTTGTAGAGTTTGCTCAGGACTGGGTTGGAGAGGCGTTCCGAAATTTTCAGCACGTCTGTTTTGAGCGCATCTGAAATGTTGAATTTAGTTACATACTAAACTCGAACTAGTCAAAGAATAATACCACAAATTAGGTATACTATATGTATACAGATAAAAATCTTTTCCCTAATTCGTGGTACGAAAATTGTTTTTTATGACGATGAGCAGTTATACAGGTACGGACGAAATGTTATTGCTCTTCAAAATAGTTAAACCACATGTAGGTGGCGCCCCCTACAAATAGGAGTCATATTGACATCAAAATAAAATTTCTTCTGTCAAAAACTCCCAGATATCAATTTTCATCCAAATATTGACGTTACTTCAGAAATTATTTGGAGAACACCGAAATAAAAAGGAAACTTCTACACCCTGTATCTCCGAAACTAAGCATTTTAGAGCATACATTTATAAGAACTTTTTTACTTATTTTATGTGCAGAATATGCTGCCGAAGTTTCTAGAATACAGTTCGGACCACCCTGTATATCAAGGATATAAATTAAAATATAACCCAAAATTCCTTACCATTTCCGAAATCCAACACCATCGGACTTAGCTGTAACTGACTACAATGCAGACAGCTTTCCTTGCAATGTTGCCACACCCTCAGAGAGTTTTTCGCCTCCTTCTCAGAAAGTTTCGAATCCATCGCAGCGTTCAAGTTCCGCTCATCATCAAAAATAATCGGCCTCACGTAATTTATCTGTAACAAAATCCGGTTTGTGATAGAGTTTTTACGTGGATTTTCCGTTTCTTACCTCTACTTCTGGCGGATAAATATCTGCTACGGTTTTGGGCAAGCATATGCCCATGTAGACCGCGTCTCTGGGCTTGTAGTTCCTGGAAGGTTCGTAAACGGGTTCGAATTTCTGAGTTTGAAAACTGGAAAAGTGTACCGTGGTGCTCGGTTCCGCGTTGTACACGCTTTCTGTGAGTGATTTTCGGCTCCTAATAAAAAAAAATGAACACAGTCAAGCTCATTAGCTTTAATATGAATATTTTTGATACAAGAAGAATCGTGAATTTGTGATTTCATGTTTGGAAAGATATAAATGCGTAGAAAATTAATTGTAATACTTTTGAAAGACTTACGTTTGTGGTGGAGGTCTGAACAAATAATCATCTCTCTCAGTTCTATGAAAGTTGAGCGAATCTCTCCGTCTAATGTACCTTATAGTTTGATAACCCAGCATGTTTTGAACGCTGAGTTCATTAGAGGTACTGCCTGTCAGAGAGGAAGTCGAAGCCTCCGAACCAGCACCTAAATAGCAATTATCGATAAGAGTATAAAAATTATTGTCGATAAGCGTATAACAATTATCGATAATCGTATAGCAATTATCGATAATCGTATTACAATTATCGATAATCGTATAACATTTATCGATAATCGTATAACAGTTATCGATAAGCGTATAATAATTATCGATAATCGTATAACATTTATCGATAAGCGTATAACAATTCTCGATAATCGTATAACAATTATCGATAAGCGTATAACAATTATCGATAAGCGTATAACAATTATCGATAATCGTATAACATTTATCGATAATCGTATAACATTTATCGATAATCGTATAAGAATTATCGATAATCGTATAACAATAATCATTAATCTTATAAGAATTATCGATAATCGTATAACACTTATCGATAAGCGTATAATAAGTATCGAAAAAATTGAGATAAAATTGTGGTAAAATAAACGTGTATAACAATTATGGATAAATGTGATATTAATTAACGTTTTCAACTACTTACTGTTGGAGGAGACCCTGTGAGAATGTCTTTTTGTTTGCGGAGGTAGTTTGAGTACACTTAAACTAGTTGAACTAGGTATGGGGCTCAGAGTTTGCAAATAGTTGGCTCTAATAGAAAAATAATCTTATAGTTCATAGACTTAAAATCGTAAAAAAAATATATTTTGCAATACTATGAAAAAGGCTTTAATTTATTTGAGGAAATTAAACCAAAAAGAATGTGCTTACCCTCCCCCTTGCCTATTTTGTAACGAATCGCAGGAACTAACACCGGAGGTAGTACTTTCGGTCATGGAACTGTTTCTCTGTCTACCGATGACGTGCTCGTACGGACCATACCTGTGGTCTTCTATGCCGTTGCTCGTGTCGAACGTCTTGGATTCCGACATAGACCGTTTATGGAACACTTCTGGCGGGGTCCGATTAGCCGGCAACGTCCACTGTTTCAATTTGCGGACATCTGAAATGAGGAACATCTATTTCAGCAACCAAATAGTTAATTTTAACAGTAGTTAGTTGACTAGGAATAATCTGTTCAACTAGTGTTACATCTGTTACTTTTTGGTGCCCAACGTGGGGCCAAGATGTAAAAGAAAGATTCGGAGGGCTGGTCAATTAAACAAATAAAGTATGAGAAATATTTCCTTTATTGTGCCACGTTGTGACACGTGTAAAATCTGCCCAGCGAGAGGATATATGAGGGGTTCAAAAGTGAACTGGATCAAGTCCTAGAAAATAATTATGGAGAAAATGAGAGTTAAAGTTTTTTAATGTTACTTAATTAAAATAAAACAAGCTGGAGAAGAAAACTTGACACAATGCTTTATTATATTTATGTTAAATTGTATAATTGCAAACTAAAGTAACTCAAAATACAACTGTGGTCATTTTTAAGAACGTTTGTTTATGCTTTTTTGGACTTGAACCATTTTATCTTTGAAAATATTTGAAATTTTAGATATAAATTGGTTCGTCGGCACATTCTTCTTCGTCATTAAGGGATTTGTTGACTTCGCATTGTCTATTAATAGTGTTTTCTTCGATTTTTTATAAAGATTATGGTATATAGGTGGGATAAAGGGAAGAATAGGTTTCATGTGTTGCTTTTTAGAGTGAGTTACGTTACGTCTATATGAAATAATATTTTTCTACCCCGTGCAGTTTTATTCAGATCAACAATCTAAGTATTATAATAAGTACAATTATTTAAGTATTTGTAAGAAAAACAGCATAACTTATTAGTGGTAATAGTGAAAATAATGATAAATCAAAGTATACTTTCAGAATCGATAGAATCAGACCTTTCAGATGGCTGATAATCTGATTCACTTGGTCTAAATGGTTCAGACTTTTGATAAAATGGTTTCAATGTCATCCATTTTATCAAAAAATATATTTTTTTTAGCTCTAAACTTTAGCTCGTGCGTTAAAATCGCGCACAGCGTTAAATTTTATGGACTTGATCCAGTTCACTTCTGAAAGAAATCAACAGAATATTCAGAAACCAAACAGAAAGAGGCTATAGCTGCTTAATGCGTGAAGTATGACTTGATTCATTTATCTACTGGAAAAAAACAATATTTTTTAAAAGTATAAAGACGATTATCTTAAAATAGTAGGAAATTGGACTTGATCCATTTTAATTCTGACCACTCCATTAGACAGTGACAGTTGATTATCACTTTACTTTACAGGTAAATTATCCTTTTTTTTGCATGTAGTCTGTCAAAATTTCTCCGACTCATTGGACAAACCTTATAAGCATTTGAACGTCTTTATTTTCTATTTTACAAATAAATAATAATATCTAACCTGGAATGGTGGAAGGTGAGGTCGGGTATTCGATCAGTTTTTCGTCTCCTTCGCTCAATGTTATGTCGTCGTCTTGCGACTCGAAGTTGTCGCTTCCTAGAGTAGTATTGTTACCTCGGCCTCCCAAAGAAGCGGCGAAACACGACATGAAATAAGCGTCTATCAGCTCTTCCTGAATCACCGGCCATCGATCGTGCCTAAGAAAACAAAAAAGGAGTTTGGTATATTTGAACTACCGGAACTTTTAAGAGCTCCTTAAAAATAAAAACTGCTGAAATTACGAATTTTTCACTGTTAGACATTCGACGTAATCTATGGCAACAAAATAATGCTCCTAGGCCTTTGAATAAGAAGACTAAGGAAAGAGCATATCAAAAATCTTAGGTCCACCGCGATGGGACTCAAATATGGCCGACTTAAATTCCGGTTTATCAGTGCCGTTCTAATTTTATTTAAAAAATGTAAAACTATGATGTAGGGTAGACTCAATATTTTTTTTACGTTGTGAATAAATGTTGGTAGTTATTAAGATTGTTATAAAACATATTATTATAACAAAAATAGGTAAGTTTTAATAATTATTTATTAACACAAACATCCGATACGCTACTGAAGCAGGTAAGTCAAATTCGCGTATCTAAATTCTTTGACATCTAATCTTTGACAAGTAGTAAATAAAAGCAAAAATGCAAGAAAAAATATATAATTAGTTAATTTAAGTGAATTTCATAAATGATCAGTTTACTACACGTATGTATATTATATAGTCACTTAATAGCGAAAAGCTGTTCTATTATTTCACTCGATTTTTGCCGAGATCTACTGCACGCTACACAACCAACTCTTTTAGAGTCTTTTTCGATAAATTGCGATAGTGTCACTGTTAATTTAAGTTTCACAATTTCCATCTAGATTTACTCCCTTTATACAACTATCAGCAGTAGAATAAATAATAAATAACATAAAATAAGCTCCATAAAGACTGACAAATCCACAAAATTTCAAATCAAATTCAAATGTGTCAAATGAATCGTCAAACAGAATTGTCAAGGATCCCTACCCTAGAGTCCTTTTTCCGCCCACCATGCATGCATACATGGATAGCATTATGCTCCTTCCTTAGTCTTCTTATTCAAAGTCCTAGGTAGTGTTATAACCGTAAAATACAAGACAGAAAAGGCATTAGGTAGCTTTGTTATATAAAATCAAATAAATGGATAAAATCAAAGGACATTTGAACTAGTGCACATTATTCCCTTACCTATTGTGACGCGTGGCTAGCCAACCATTCAAATACAACTCGTCAGCACCACCAGGTGTCGTTGCCACTAGACCTAGAGCGTAAAAAGCAGTGCTTCGAATAGCGTAGACAGGGTTGCTGGTGACCAACTTTATCATATTCTCCACGAAACCCAAGGTATTCAAGACACTTATACCGCGACTTGTGGTGCTCATGTGACTGGTAGCCCAAATTGCTGATTTTAGTTTTAGTATTTCGTCTTCTGTATTTGAATTTCCTTTTTGAATTAGCTAAAAAAAATAATGATTTAGAGTTAATATATAATTTTTAAAATATAGTTTGTCCAAAATGAGGATCCCTGACAGTGACAGTTGTGTCTGTCATTTTAATTCACAGGCAAATTGTATTTTCTGTCATTTTTTCATGTCGTCTCTCGAAATCTTCCCTGACTCGTTGGACAAACTATATGTTCTATACCCAAATAAAGAATTACACGAAAACGACACAAAAAAGGACAGGCGCTTAAATCCCTGGTTAATATGTGTATAGGTTCTTTAACCCCTGGTAATGACGTTTATAATTTTATTTTAAGTAATAAATGACTTCTCAAGGTGAAAAAAAATGCCACACTTACTCCAAAGAAGCCGACGCTTGCTGTCGCTTCTGCATGGCTAAGGTACTTAGTGCCATAATGTTAATGGATTTTAAAATATATTCAATTTTATCTCAAACATTACTTTATATCGCTTTATAGTAGGGGGATGTTGATAAAAATATAAAAATTACATTTTAAACGCTATAAAAAATCAACTAACTTAAATAGACGCTCCAAATTTGTAATTTTTATTTTATTCAGAGACTAGATTATAGTTTTAACTACGAAAGTATATATAATCTAGAATAGGAACATACCTCAATCATGCTGTTAATGGAACCAGTGGCTATGAGTAACTGAAAACCTTCAGAATGCTCATTCAGCTGTCCGTAAAGATGGGGAGGTAAAAATATATCTTTCCTGAAATCACACAACACAAAAATTAGATTATATACTTAAAAAATGTATGTTTCACTCATCTAACCTGTTTGTTCTACTACCCGTCGCTCCAGACACGCGTCTATCATATTTCCCATCCTCGTTCCTCTGATGCAAAGTGAGAGAATCAGATATATCTCCCTCAACTAACTTGACATACCTGAAGTTCATGTAGGTATTCCATTTCGTTATTAATTCTAGAACCTGTTTAAAAAGAATCTTTTAAATATCACTAAACTTACCGATATGATATTACAAACCTTATCTTTTCCTACTTTTTTGTACCCTTTCTCGGTGGACAACATTCTGATAGAAAGGAGTTCACCCTTTTCTCCTAAGTCGCTCAGGTTTGGATTTAGGTCTGTTAAAGCTTCTAGGCAATCAGGAAGCTCGCAGGCTTCGTGGAGAGTGGATAAAGCAGATAAACTGACTTTTCTAAAATAAAAAGGACCTTGATATTAACAGAATTAAAAAAAAAATGAAAGATTTTCAATTTACATATATGTATTTTAAAAATGGCAAATAGAAAATAAGGCTGTATTCCGTTGCAAAACCAGGTGAACCAGACCGGTAAAATACGGTAAAGAGCGGTTCCTGAAAAACATCGGTTTGATATGGAACGGTTTGGTAAAATACTGGAAACGTCAAATTATTGACGTTTTCTAAATTTCAATACTTCTATTATAAAATATGCATTTTTAATGTATCCATTCTCTGCTTTTACGTTTGCTTCATCTTTTCAATGGAGTTTAATATTGAAAAGTACTTTATTAATAAACTGTTAAACTCGTTAGACAGCTCAAGTGAAGATTTGCAGGTCCAATATTAAAACAGATCAATAATAAATAAACAAATCTAATCAATATTTATATTTTTATAGCTTACAAAACATTCACGATTACTTGGTGTCTTGTTTCTCATGTTTTCTTTAAATGTTCCTGACTTTAAGAAACAATGGCTGCATGATAAGTTTAAATGGTCCTAAAAAGTAATTCTATTTAGTTAATGAAATTTATTTACCTTTACTGCCTACCTCCATTGCTTTTGGATGTAAATACAAAATATTATTTCAAATTTTAGAAATTAAATGAGAATTTCACTCAAACTTCCAATATTTGCTTGATTTCTGTCACATAAATGACACTGATTGACAAACAAAACCAGAAAAACCAGCCTTCTCGCGCTGGTTAGTTTGATGACAGTTATAACCGAATTTTTCAGGAACCGTGTTCCGTAATAAGAAAACTTTCAGGAAACCGATAGAAACGGAACATTAAACCATAACCAAGGTAAGCAACGGAATACACCCTAAATTAGTCTAGAGACACAAATGTATGTAAAAAAAGAAATTATTTTATCTTCAATTAAAGTTGTATTACAAAAAAAATTACCTTGATTCATCATCCAGCTGTCTGACCAACAGCCTTATAGCCCAACTAGCAAAGTTGGGACTTTTCACTCTGAGCAAAACTAACATGAACTGGGTCGCGTACAATCGAGAATTTTCCACTTCACAGGTAAGTACCGCTTCGAGGATATCCCTAGACGGTCCCGGTATACTATAATCCAGGCTGGATATTATCAATTTGACGTAGGAATCGTGAAGAGTTGTTGTTGCAAGTTGCTTTAACCTATAAAATGGGATAGAAATATTATATTTTGTTCCCCTTTTAAGTATAAATAATTGAATAAATAAGAACTAAGGAAAGGGTCACACTATTTTTATGTTTATAGATTAGAGATGGAAGCTAAACGTCATGAAAAGCTCGGTTTTGTTAAGTTTCATTAAGCTTGATGACTAATTGAATTTTTAGAGTTTGAAACATGTGCATTACTATGTTTATTTTTTGTTATTTCATAAATAGTTTTATGCAAGGTGTATAAATCTGGAAAAACATCGTGTTAGGATTTAAATTACAATGAGATTATAGTGAATCTTACAAAGAGGCTTTAAAAATTGTTGCTTATGCAGAGTGCAATCATTCCTATAGTGAAGAGTAATAACTTTTCGTCCACATCTGTATAAAACTACTGAGTGAATAAATATACATTTCCGTCATTTTTTATATCAAAAAGATCTCTTGGTAAAAATGTTCACAAGTCAAAAAATAGAAAGCCACTGATAAACCTGAATTTGTCAGCCATATTAAAGTACCTTATCGGCCTGACTAATTTTTTTGATATAGTAGTACCCCTTCATTATTCTTTTTATTCAATGTTTTCTATTTTTTTTTGCTTCTATTATTTCTACGGCTCCTGCTACAAAAAATGTACAACCCTGTATATACGTACATAGAAAACATGTCGATGGTGTCGAGCAACCACAAGCCAGGTTCGCTTCTGGAAAATTGACCAATCAAGAGGAAATAACTCTGACAATGAGTGTTCACCATGTGAGCAGGACTGAACAGGCAGTCGTGAACGCTTCTGCTGCTGGTTATGGCTTGAATTTGCGTTTTGATGTCTTTGAACAGGTCCAGAACCATGCACTGGAATATTTAAAAAGGTAATATATAGTGTGTCTAAAAATACTGAACACATATAGGAAGAAAATTATACAGGGTGGTCTGAACTGTATTCCGGAAACTTCGGCAGCATATTCTGCAGATAAAAATAAGTAAAAAGTTCGTATAAATGTATGTCCAAAAATGCTTACTTTCTGAGATACAGGATGTAGAAGTTTTATTTTTATTTCGATTTTTTCTAAATAATTTCTGAAGTAACGTCAATATTTGGATGAAAATTGGTGTCTGAATTGACATGAGAAATTTGATTTTGGTGTCAATATGACTCCTACTAGTAGAGGGCGCCACCTACATGTGTTTTAACTGTTTTGAAGCGTAATAACTTTTTGTCCGTACCTGTATAAAACTACCGAGCGAAAAAATATACATCTCTGTGACTTTTCACGTAAAAAATATCTCTTTATAAAAATCGCTACGAGCTTCTTAAGATATTTAGAATGGAAAAAGACAATACTTATCATTATTGACGAAAAATAAACAGGTTGAGTAGATAGTTATCTCACTGAAATAATAAATTTGGAAAATTAATAATTTATTTTTTTTAAATTAATCATAAATTTTTCTGCAAAAAATGATGATAAAACAGTTTCTGTTGAACTTTTGGCACAAAAACATTTCAAATTTATGATTTCAGTCTAATAACTATTTAGTCAAAATGTTTAATATATGTCAATAATGACAAGTATTGATCATTTCGATTCCAAATATCTCGAAAACCATTACTCGTAGCGATTTTTACCAAGAGGCCTTTTTCACGTAAAAAACGTCGTAAATATATATTTTTTTACTCGGTAGTTTTATACAGGTACGGACGAAAAGTTATTACTCTTCAAACCAGTTAAAAAATATGTAGGTGGCGCCGTTTACCAGTAGGAGTCATATTGACATCAAAATCAAATTTCTCATGTCAAAAAACTCCCAGACACTAATTTTCATCCAAATATTGACATTACTTTAGAAATGATTTGGAAAAAATCGAAATAAAAATGACACTTCTACACCCTGTATCTCCGAAACTAAGCATTTTAGGACATAGATTTATACGAACTTTTTTACTTATTTTTATCTGGAGAATATACTGCCGAAGTTTCCGGAATACAGATCGGACCACCCTGTATACTTTTCAAACGCTTATTTGATTTTGATAAAAGTATACAAAAATCAAATAATAAAAAATACCATAGAATACAATCTTTATCTGTGGTTAGAGATGGGCAAAAAATCACTATCCGTGGTATTTTCACTGAGAATGGTGAATGAACTAGCAGCAAATAAAAAGTCACAGGTTAAATATGAACAGAATCACCTCATGAAAATACCATAACCTAAACACGAAAATGATCATAAACGGTAAAATTCACATTCACAGGCCCAACGCTCTGTAATAATAAAATATTCTTACCTGGAATTCAGGCTGTTTAAGTTCCACCAAATAATTCACCAATTCAATTCCGCTAGTGGTTAAATCCAAAGAATCCGCAGGCGTTGTTCCTAGGTCCATGTGAGAATATTTGTTATGAGAAGGAGTGAAGAAATCTAACAGTCTCTTCACGAAAATCTTGTGGGAAGAATCTGACAGATCTAATTTTGGATTTCTCTCGCCCTAACCATAAAACATAAATCAGTTTCACTTAATTTTACGGTTAAATTCGGTAAACACTACCTTCAATATCATCTTTATAAGGTTCCAGTTCCAGGCTAAGGCATCGTTAGTTGATAGAACGCCTGTGTCTTTCACCATATCGTCGCCGTCTTTTAAAACAGCCTAAGAATTTAAATACATAATAAAATAGAAAAAAACTTGTGGCGTTTCTAGAATTACACTAAAGGTTTAGAGAAATAAGTAAACCTAGATGAGTTCTAATATACAGGAACTGTATTCCCGAAACTTCGGCAGCATATTCTGCAGATCAAAATAAGTAAAAAAAGTTCGTATAAATGTATGTTCTAAAATGCTTAGTTTCGGATATACAGGGTGTAGAAGTTTCATTTCTATTTCGATTTTTTCCAAATAATTTCTGCAGTAAAGTCAATATTTGGATGAAAATTGGTGTCTGGGAGTTTTTTGACATGAGAAATTTGATTTTGATATCAATATGACTCCTACTAGTAGAGGACGTCATCTACATATTTTTTAACTGGTTTGAAGAGTAATAACTTTTCGTCCGTACCTGTATCAATCTACTGAGTAAAAAAATATACATTAACGACGTTTTTTACGTAAAAAATGTCTCTTGGTAAAAATCGCTACGAGTATTGGTTTTCGAGATATTTGGAATCAAAATTATCAAGTCCTGTCATCATTGACATAAATTAAACATATGTTGACTAAATAGTTATTAATTAATAGAAGGCAATGAAAAAGTAAATAATCTAGCTAGGAAAGGAGCGAACACTCCACTAACTGGACCAGAACCGTTCTGCTTTCCAAGTGGTAACCAACTCAAGGCGGAACTCAAGAACTTGGAAGATTCCATCCGCAACCTGGAATGGAAATCTTGCAATGGTCTAAGACACCCGAAGAAGTTTCTGAGGGCTTATGATCAAGAAAAATCACAGATCTTCCTGGGTCCGAGTAAGAACAATCTTCGGATTGTCACGGGGTTTTTAACAGGACACTGTCTCCTCAATGAACACCTCAGTAGATTGAAACTAAGAAGAAACGAACGGCGAATGCAGATTATGTGGGGAAGATGGGGAAACACCAGTACACCTCATCACTGAGTGCGCCGAGACGACAACCATTCGTGCCATGAATTTTGGTAGGACTGATATTGGAGATGGAGAACTACCCTCTATAAAACCGTCCCAGATACTGGCTTTTGTCAAAGCCCTGGGACTGTATGATGAGTTATGACTCAAGAAAGGGGGACACAATGGATCTGTAAGGTCGAAGTGATTAACCCCCCTCCCACTCATTCTAAATTCTAATTCTAAAATAGTTATTAGACTGAGATCATAAATTTGAAAGTTTTTGTGCCAAAAGTTCAACAGAAACTGTTTTACCATCATTTTTTGCAGAAAAATTTATGATTAATTTTAAAAAATAAAAATTTTCCAAATTTATTATTTCAGTGAAATAACTATATCTACTCAACGTGTTTATTTTTCGTCAATAATGACATGTATTGACTATTTCCATTCTAAATATCTTGAGAACGGTTGCTCGTAGCGATTTTTACTAAGAGATATTTTTTGCGTAAAAAGTCGCAGAGATGTATATTTTTTCCCTCCGTAGTTTTATACAGGTACGGACAAGAATTTATTTCGCTTCAAATCAGTTAAAATATATGTAGGTGGCGCCCTCTACCAGTAGGAGTCATATTGACATCAAAATCAAGTTTCTCGTGTCAAAAAACTCCTAGACACAAATTTTCATCCAAATATTAACGTTACTTCAGAAATTATTTGGAAAAAATCGAAATAAAAATGAAACTTCTACACCCTGTATATCTGAAACTAAGCACTTTAGGACATACACTTATACGAACTTTTTTACTTATTTTTATCTGCAGAATATGCTGCCGAAGTTTCGGGAATACAGTTCGGACCACCCTGTATTTGTTAATACAATCGAAAACCAAGTAAAATGTGTTTTATGTGTAAATTAAATGGAAAATTCAATTAATTTAACATCTGTAAGTGTTGTTTAGATTCTCCTAAGTGTAAATTATTGATTACAAATTTAGAACACCCTCTAGGTTTACTTATTTCTATGAGTAGTAAAAACATTGAAAATTTAATATTTTATATTTTCATTGAAAAAAAGAATTAAGTACATAAGATAAGGCTGACGTTTTAATGATTATTTATTTATCCATAACAACTAAACCAAAATTCAAAATTAGTTACCTTAACTTGATGTAGCTTGGACTTAAACCCTTTATGTCTCAAACTTCTTTCTTGTTTAAGTCTTGACCTTTTGTTAGAACTATTTCTTATTATATAATCCAGATGAAGACTATAAGACGCTGGTCTTTTCTTCATTAGTCTGTGGGAATACAAGATTTGATTATACACTCTTTATACTTTTTATTTTGTCTTACGCAGACTATAACTTTTTTATTTTTGGAGATTGAATTCAAAAAGAGACAAATTGCAGAGTTTTTAGTCAAGTAAAAATGTATTACCAAAAATGCCATACACCGACAAATGTCACAGTTATTGGTATAAACCTTTGAATAAAAAGATTAGGGAAGGAGCATATCAAAAATTTTAGATCCACCGCGATGGAACTCAAATATGGCCGACTTAAATTCCGGTTTATCAGTGCCGTTCTAATTTTATTTAAAAAGTGTAAAACTATGATGTAGGGTAGACTCAATCGCATGGGGTAGACTCAATAATTTGTTGTTTTATTTTACGTTGTGAATAAATGTTGGTAGTTATTAAAATTGTTATAAAAATATATAATTCTAATAAAAATAGATAAGTTATAATAATGATTTATTAACACAAACATCCGATACGCTACTGAAGCAGGTAAGTCAAATTGACATATCAAAATTCTTTGACATCTAATCTTTGACAAGTAGTAAATAAAAGCAAAAATGCAAGAAAAAAAAATATATAATTAATTTTAAGCGAATTTCATAAATGATCGTTTTACTACACGTATGTATATTATATTGTCACTTACTAGCGAAAAATATTCCATTTTTTCCCTCGATTTTGACCGAGATCCACCGCACGCTACACAACCAACTATTTTACAGTCTTTTTCAATAAATCGCAATAGTGTCACTGGTAATTTAAGTTCTGCCACAATTTCCTTCTAGATTTACTACCTTTAAACAACTATCAGTAGAAGAATGAATAATAAATAACATACAATAAGTTCAGTAAAGACTGACAAATCCACAAAATTTCAAATCAAATTCAAATGTGTCAAATGAATCGTCAAACAGAACTGTCAAGGATCCCCAGCCTAGAGTCCTCTTTCCGCCGACCATGCATGAATACATGGATAGCATTATATTCCTTCGTTAATCTATTTATTCAAAGGTAGAAACTGAATTTTTTCCAATGGTAATATTTCATATATAGACACTTTGAAACTTTTTAGTAAACCTTTTAACTGTTAATGTAAAATTTGTGTATGTAATAACAATGAGAGTATATCAGAAAATCAACGGTTTATAGACGTGCCAAAATAGTTAGAAATAGCCATATTAAATGTTTTATGATTTTTTCTTTCCCAACCGACGCGAGTTTCAGCTTTTTTCTTAGCCAACAATACTAAAAATACTACTAAATCATACTTATGCAACTGTTGCAAAGCCGTTATAGCCGCCATCGCTTGAGGCTTGCTCTTTGTAGCATAATCCACCAAAGCAGGAAGAGGAGGCGATAGATTACAACATCCCGGTGGCAACAATACTTGAATCAATCTTAACAGTTCCGCTAAAACATTCAAATTCTTTAAATATATTCCTTTCCTCACCAACTACACTATCTTACCTAACAATATAGTAGCTCTGACACTGATAAATGTATCACTAGTGATAATAACTTCGGTCAGAGCCCCTAGGAGGCCGCACTCTAAAAAGGAATGCAGCAGTAGAGCTAAATGCATTTCGATAGGAGACGGAGCTGTTCCGGCTAAATGCGGCAACACTGCGCGGCCCTCGGCCGCCACGAAGCCTTCTTTCAGTCGCCAGGATGACTGGGGTTCGCAGGGATCGATAGCGCTAAGGGCTACGGATAGTTCGTCTGACCATTCTGGTTGTTGTAAGCCCAGGAGATCGTATAATAGATCCAACACTGCTTTCTACAATAATAAACAATATTCCTATAATATCCTATTTATTATATATGTTACAGTAAAAGTTGGAAATCAGTGATTGTTAACAATGACTAGTAAAAGCTCACATTCACTGATTTGCTAAGACTACGCCAGAAAAAGTTCAACAGCTAGTTTTGAAACCAACTTTTACTAGTGAATGCTAGCATTCCCTGGACGATAGCAGTGAGTTTGAAAGATTCAGTTAGCGCGGTTGCCACATGGTGTAAAATATAAGAATGAATAAGGATAAGTTGAATAACAAGCAATATAAGGATAACATTAAATTGGGCTCAACGTTGGCAACGTTGACAGACATATGGCGTAAATTCGGTTTGTTTTTTGTGGTTATGTATAATTGTTTTGTTATCGTTGTAAAAAGTGCTGTGTCTTATTTTCCCTATGGAAGAAATTTTCTGTGAAAAATTAAGATAAACTAAACACTCGCAAGAATATAATAGTGCTTGTTTTTCATTTTTAAGATATAATGAAGTCATAGCAAAAGTTAAGCTTGCAAGAGAAAAAGATATTAAGGAACCTAGTGACTATGAACTTATTAAACGTTTTCATATGCTTAAAGTAGCGAGTCTGAAAAAAACGAATAACTCCCATTGAAGAAGGGTTAGGTTAGGTTAGGTTGCTGGGGTTTGGGATCATATTTGATCCCTCACTCGGAGGCCTTGGGCCCATTGCGATACCTCTGAATTGTTTTACCAAACCTTCCTCTCATTCTTTCTTTGCGTTAAAGCACTTCCAGCTCTTTGCAAAGTTCCCGATGTCGCTGATGTTGGCTTCTGCTGCTTCCTCTAGTCCCTACAAAAAACCTTGCCCTAAAGTTTTAAAGCGTCGGTATTCCAGTGCCGGACAGTGGCACAGCAGGTGCTCTATGGTTTCTTCTTCCTCTCCGCATTCTCTGCAGTAGTCGTCGTCGGAAACTTTCCATCTTACGAGGTTTACCCCCGTGGGACAGTTTCCAGTGAGGACACCTACAATTATGTGTACTAGGTCCTTTTTGTGCTCTAGTAGTTGTTTTGTCTTTTTGCTATCTACCACTGGCCATAGTCTTCGAGCGCAGTCCTCACGGTGTTGCCACATCTCTTGCTGCTTGGCTTTGATGGTAGTTCCTATAGCCCCCTTCAGTGTGTTGATCGTCACAAGTGGTGGGTCATCTGTCAGGGCCTCTCCCCTGGCCCCGCCTTTGGCGAGTCTGTCTGCTTCCTGATTGCCCACCACATTGCTGTGGCCTGGCACCCAGCACAGAGTAGCCTCGCTCCGACGCAGCCAGGACAGTGCTTCTCGGCATTCCATCACAGTTTTCGATCTCACTGATTGCATGGTGATGCTTCTTAAAGCGGCCAAGCTGTCAGAGTATATCACTATATCCCTATTGGTCTATCAGCAGTCTCGTATACATCTAGCCGCTTCCTTTATGGCGTAAACCTCTGCTTGTAGAACATTACAGCCATCCGATAGCCTCAAAGAAGCTATCTGGGCAAAGATAGACTTTAAGAAAGACTTTATTTTGTCCACGATGAAGAATTTTATTAAAAAAACCTTGTACCAATCAGTAATCTTTTGTTTATGAATGATTTTTTTAAATTGTTTTGTACGCTTTACTATATCTTTTCCCTTTCAATATTTAGAAAAAAAATCATTATGATACGCGCAACTCGTGTTTTAGTAGGAAATTCACTGCTCTATAAAAATGGTTTCTTATGATTAGTTGATTAAATTAACCGTTTAAAAGATATTTATCGTCAAACGAAAAAGGAAAACTGCATTAAAATAATCAAACTTCAACCTTTAATAACTTTCCAACGGTGAGGTTTACAAAAAAATTGTAAAAGACCTTTTTTTGTAGAGAATTCAATTTCCTACAAACATATAAGACGAGATATTTTTTCCAAACAGTAGAAACCGAGATATTTTTTCTTTTTAATAATAAGAAAAAAATACAAAAATTGAAAGGCGTAAGACCTTCCTATTAAAATTCAGAACTCATACTTTTATATATATTGGAAGGGTTTGAGAGGTGGCTTGATACTCTTGCATCATTTTTAGACCTTACCAAAGCTTTTGACTGTGTTATGCACATCATATTGTTAAAAAAATTAATATCCTACAACTTTCAGGACGATGCTGTTCAATTACTAAAGTCATATCTCTCTGACCGTGATCAATATGTTCATTTCAACCAATGCAACTCAGAAAAACAACCCCTGAAGTATGGTGTACCTCAGGGATCTGTATTAGGCCCCATCTTGTTCCTTATTTATATAAACGACCTAGCATACTGCCAGGGAGGGGGAGTCAACACTGTTTTGTTTGCCGATGACACAACCTTTTACATAAGTTACCACCCCTTAGAGATTGACAATCTTGATTATCACACTTCACTAGAAAACCTAAATCAATGGTTTCTAGCTAACCGTCTATCTTTAAATCACTCTAAATCGCAAAGTATGAACTTTACTCTAAGAAACAATATTAATTTTGATCACCCTGTACTTCATCATTGTGCAACAGAAGCCAAGTTTCTTGGGGTGCACTTAGACACAGGACTGACCTGGGAGAACCACCTTGTCAACCTGTCAAAAAAATTATCAAAAGAACTTTTCCTGTTTAGAAATCTTGTGCAGATAACCTCAAGAGAAACTCTTCTCACAGTATATCATGGCAACTTTCATTCCCATCTGACTTATGCTATTCTTTGCTGGGGTCATTCTTGTCATGTCAATAAGGTTTTTGCGCAGCAGAGGAAGTGCGTGCGTATTATTGCAGGGGTGGGTTACAGGGAGGATTGTCGTAATTTATTTAAAAAATTTAAGATTTTAACTTTGCCCTGTGTGTACATTATGCAGTGTTTGTTGTTCGTCAAGCAAAATCTTGATCTATACAGGTCACATGAATATTTTCACAGCTACCCAACAAGAAATAATAGCAATCTTGTACCGGACTTTTGCCGGCTTGAGAGATCCAAGAATGGTTCAAGATATTTGAGCATAAAGTTTTATAACCTGGTACCAGCTAGAATTAAGGCTCTTAATTTTAATCAGTACAAAACAGAAATCAAAAACTACCTTGTGATTAATGCATTTTTTTCTTTTGAGGAGTACTTCAGTTCCAGCTTTAGTCTGTATTTCATTTGTTTTGTCTATGTTAGTGTTTGTGTGTTGTATCTGTTCATTTATAACATATATTTGACATACATATTTGTTTTAATTTTAAGGTTTTAATGATTTTCTATTGGTTAATTGTATACATTTTATTATATAAAATTTGTGTATTAATGATGCAATGTAAAAACAACAAAAAAAAACTGTAGAAACTAAATTTTTATCAATTTTTATAATTTTATATATATATTTTTTTTTGACTTGTAAAAATACTTCTCTTGTATGTTATTACTAATAAATAAACTAAACTAAACTAAACTATATCATGCTCATAATTATAAATAATCAATCTTCATACATTTTTATGACCTGTAATTTTATCTTAGTCCAATTTTATAAAAAAATTCAAATCTAAGATTTCAAATTTGGAAAAAAATGGTCTGTTAAATGTTTTCTCTTTTCAATCTTTCGATATACATATACTCACTCTAACTTCAAGCTGATTTAAATACAACACATCCACGATGGCTTTAAAACCGCCTTGATCTTTGGGACTACAAAAATGCAGCACTCCAGGCCAGCTTCTTAAAATCGTCAATAAAGCCAACCTGCTACAATTCAACCTAAGTTCCCTTTCATCTCTCCTACAATTGATTTAAAGATAAAACAAGACAAAAAAATAATTATAACAAAAACCTGGGTTTGTCTTTCCAACCATGCTTGTAATGGAAGTCGCAAAACGGTGCTGCTATACTGTGCAAATCTACCGCTGCTTTTTTGCGAGTACTCGGTCGATCTAAGAGCAACAACAGGATACCACAGAGAGACTCGGCTATTTTCGGTATTTGGCAGTCTATTAAATTGCGAGTTATAGCTGCCACACCACCGGACTCGATAAAAAGAGATGAATTTAGTAAGCCTACAAGTAAAAAATCATTTTTAGTACTTCTATAGGGTCCATACCATACACGATATAATAGTTGTATTTTTGAAAATAACCTCCAACACTTTTTTGATGTAAGAACAATTTTCTACAGCACCAAATTGAAACAGCTCTGTCAGTGAAGGGAAGACAAATTGAACAATAGACAGAATTAAACAATTAAACAGATAAAATAATAAAACGTTAATTTTGTATATTTTCACACCTATTTCAGAAAGAGTTGCCAAACTTATCCTTAACAGACGATCTTTTCCCTCTGTGCCTTCATTAGCAAGCGACACTAAACTTCTGGCCATCGACATATCAAAAATATTTGGAGCTAATGACAGTAATTTTCTCATCAGTTTCATTGCTTCTATACGCTCCACATCATTTTTTTGTATCAAATCAAGTGACCTGTAAGTATTAAAATTACATAAAAAAATAGTTTATCCTTTTTAAATACATACCTGTTTATAAGAAATGGAATTAGAATTTTATTTACATATATAACATCACTTTCAACCTTAATAGTATGTCGTATACATCTTAGACCTGCAGATCTTATTATAGTAGATTCGTGTAATAAAGATATTCTTAAACTAAAAAATAACAAGTTTAGTTTTGTAACTGGTTTATAAAATAAATTAAAAAAAAGTCATCGCAACATGAAAAAGTAAATGTAAAAAATTATTATGTAAATTTACAGCTTTTCTGTAAATTTACACTTTTTTTTGCAAATTTGGACATTTTCTGTAAATTTACAGTTTTCTGTAAATTTATTCTTTTTCTGTAAATTTATACTTTTTCTGTAAATTTACACATTTTCTATAAATTTACAGCTTTTCTGTAAATTTACACTTTTTCTGCTAATTTGGACATTTTTTGTAAAGCTACAGTTTTCTGTAAATTTATACTTTTTCTGTAAATTTACACATTTTCTGTAAATTTGTAGTTTTTTCTGTAAATTTATAGTTTTTCTGTAAATTTACACATTTTCTGTAAATTTATACTTTTTCTGTAAATTTACACTTTTCTCTAAATTCTCGTCGTCTTGCAGGGTAGTGTATTTCGCATGCAATTTACAGAAAAAGTGTAAATTTGCGGAAAAAATTTAAATTTACAGAAAATGTGTAAATTTACAGAAAAAGTGTAAATTTACAGAAAGCTGTAAATTTACAGAAAATGTGTAAATTTACAGAAAAACTGTAAACTTTGCTAAAAATGTTTTTCAACAATGGTATGCCAGCTTTACGCTTTCATAGTATTTACTTACCAACATAAAATATCCTTTCTGCTAAAATTTATTTCAATAGAATTCTTCTCATAATGACGTACGAGCTTTACAAAAGTATTTAAATTACTAAGAAGAGCTTTTTCTTCGATTTCTTGTTCAAAAATCTTACTTAATATATTTCTAAAGCATTCATGAGAATCTGTAAAAATAGTTTATAGTTTACAAAACGAACCTTGATAAAAAAGCATAGCTTATCAAACGATGTGATGTTTTGAGTGCTAAAAAATGTATATCATACATAGATATCAAAAAGGATTAATAAAATAGGTGAATAACAGTCCTGATTTGTAAAAAAATGAAATAAAATTGATAAAATAAGGTATGGAGTGCTTTAAAAAATATTGACTTGTTTGTGTCCTAATTAAGCCCACACATTTTGATGTGTCGGTCTAAATTTAGTATCAATAGACTCAAAAACAACAAAATACGTGAGTCATGTTTGTCCCTCACCTTGCTTTAGGTACGACTCAAATAGATCCTCTTCCCTATTTCTGTTACCTAAAAGAGGACAGTTTAGAGCCCATAATGGCACAGGTTAAGTGCGACACTTACTTGGCCTAAAATTTAGCCTACGGCCCTGGGTACCCATTAGTTGCGTGCGGAGCATCCAACTTGGTAGGGCCATCGCAGGAAAAAACGGTTTTCCAGAGTTTTTTTACACTCTATTCGAGTTCAATGGCACGACGCACACTTGGCGCATTTTACGCCTGCGATGCATTTTGGACGATTAGCTGGGTGCCAGAAAGGAAGTAGTACACACGCGACGACACTCCACAACACCAAGTTTCATTTTAAATCGGACTTTTCCAGAAAATTGAATAAAACTATCCAGGTTCGATAAAATACAAACACCTTTTAGGTTATGGCAGCTGTCAGAATTGTTTTTCAGCATCTAGGCAACCGGTGAACGTACTCAACGTACTCACCCGTTTTAAATTTAAAAATCAAAGAACGCAATAATCCTAGCAATAATGTAATTTCTGATAAAAATAATCAAAAATATTTATTTTATTTTCTATTACGCAAAACAAGGATATATATTGATGTAACCATTTTTAATTAAAATTGTTTTAGTTGCAAAAATGATTAGTTTTAAAATTATAATTCGGTAATGAACTTTGCAATAAAAATTAGGAATTATATTTTCAATTAACAGAATGTTAGATAATTAAATTTACAAAATAGTTTTATACACTGATATTTTTAAATATATAATAAAAAAATGCAAACATTTTGTTTCCTGAAAAAAAAATCCTCTTATTTACAGATATCTATAATTATTAACAGATTATTAATAAAAATCTCATCAAAGCTCCAATAGATGGGCATGTCAAACATTTGTGTATTACTGGTTCCATATTATCAAATAAAAAAAGAGCAAAACGACAGATTAAAGGAGTATATTCAGATTATGGAGGGCTTAAAAACTTTTTAGACTCCATAATTCAGATTTTTAACTCGAAAAACCTGAAAAAATTAGGAAACTTGAAACTTTGACATTTTGTGCCCCAGAAAAGTGACGTTTGTTTTGAATCTGTCACCTGATTTTTGATTTTAGAATTTTTCAAACTGTGTGTAAAATTACTGTGTATTTAGAATCGTATAAAGGGTAGAAATATTAAATCAATATTGATTTTGTATTTATTTTTCCTTTAAAAAAGTGATTTTACTAAAGGACACGTCAGTAGTCCACAAGGTATCAGAATAATATATGTAAATATCTAAAGTTTTCTTATCATTGCGACATAGTGCTTTGGTTTTTTCAATTTATTATTGAGTTTCTTTTATTAGAAATATGGCATCACCATCGCCAAGTACTTCACACGATATAAACGAGCCAAGAGATGGAGGTGACACCCAAAATACCAAGGATGAAGAGAAAAAAGATGAAAATCTCCTTGAGTGCAACATATGCCTAGATACAGCCAAAGATGCAGTAGTTAGTCTTTGTGGGCATTTATTTTGGTAAGAATTGATATAAAAGTACCTACCATCCACTAAACAATAGATATTTTTTCTAGCTGGCCTTGCTTACATCAGTGGTTAGAAACAAGACCCAATCGGCAAGTTTGTCCTGTGTGCAAAGCAGCCATAAGTAAAGAAAAAGTCGTTCCATTGTATGGAAGAGGCAGTACTAAGCAAGAGGATCCTAGAGACAAGGTTCCACCCAGACCTGCCGGGCAGAGAACTGAACCCGAACCAGGAAATAACTTTTCAGGTAATTTTTATAGTTTCATTTCAAAAATATCTATATAATTCTATTTGTTTTTGATTAGGGTTCGGTTTTGGTGATAGCGGTTTCCATATGTCCTTTGGAATTGGAGCTTTTCCCTTTGGATTTTTCACTTCGACGTTTAATTTTGGTGAACCTAGACCCAATGTAGCTACACACGGAACTCCGATGTATATGGAAGAGCAATTTCTCTCAAAAGTATTCTTATGGCTAGCAATGATCTTCATAGCTTGGCTACTGTTTGCCTAGTATCAACTGTTAGATGAATTTTAAGAGAAAAACTTGAAAAACGCAACTTTTCAAGTAAATATTAAAATTCATTGGTTAATTCTATACTATTTTTATTTAAATATATATTATTGTATATGGTTAATGTTAAATATATTGTAAAAAGTAGGAATATTTTCATAAGACTTAATATAATGTGTTGATTTTATGTAAAATCACTTAACAATAGCATGGCTTTTGGCTTTAAAAGTGGTAAAGGATAGATAAAAATATTTATTGAATGGATGGATATCAACAATTATTGCCATGAGACAGACTACATTATATCACAAATATGCTTAAAGAATAAAAACATTACACTATAAAATTGTTATTGTAACATTCCATTATTTTAAAAAATTATTGATGGGTTCTATGTAATTATTGCTTAAAACTTTTACTTGTGTGTTGTTCGGTACATACTTAGTAAATGTACTTTTATTTAAGGCTTCTGTAATATTTGCGGGGCTGTTATAGCGAAATTGTATGTAAATGTGAAAATTTAAATAAATATAATAAAATTTTAAATGTTTGTTTTAGCTGTTTTACCAATTAATTTCAGACACCAATTCCTTTCTTTACTGACAGACTGAAGGATACGTAACATTTTATTTTGAATTTGTAGCTTAAAATACATTTATTTTCATTTGCGCAAACTTATAAAAGATCATAAACATTGATTTTAAATAAATAAAATAATTTCAAATCCAAAATTACCAAATATCACGTGTTTAAAAAATTTGACAGATGTCACCTTGAAGTTGTCATTCCGTCGTCCTTTTTTCATCGGAGTCTTGTCAAAAATCCTTGAATTTTTCTCAAAAAATTATTTAAAAGGTTTATTTGTGAGTGACAATTTCAATTTATATTTCGAAAAATGCAGGTTCAAGTGTGGAATACCATGGCTAATTCTTTGAAGGTCGGTATTAATTAGAATTTAGTACAAATCTGCCGAAAAACAGAGGTTTACGTAATCTAACCTTATAATTCGGCTCTTTAAAGAATGTTAAAAATAGTTTTGCGAAATTTTTAATGTTATATCATTATCTTCGTTCAAGGAGACGTATTCTTTTCCTTGCTTATATGCTAGAGCCTGGATAAATTGTTTAAAATCACTATTTCAAGTTAGATGTCATATATTTCACAACTATTTCATAATGGGGCTCTAAATTATCAAATATTTGTTTATGTATAAGTTTAAACGTATATAATCAACTTTTTCTTTAGCCCTCAGCATTAAGACTACAAAAAAATGTTTACGCAAGCCTTTTACAAAGATATTATTCCTCATCGAACGATGCTGATGTTGTGGTCATTGGATCTGGCCCAGGAGGCTATGTGGCCGCTATCAAAGCTGCCCAGCTAGGACTCAAAGTAAAATTGTTTATTTATACACGAAATATACATTAACAATGTTAATTTAACTCTTTAATAGACAGTATGCATAGAAAAGAACCCTACGTTAGGAGGAACATGTTTAAACGTTGGTTGTATTCCATCAAAAGCTTTACTAAACAATTCTCACTATTACCATATGGCCCATTCAGGAGATCTTGCAAAAAGAGGAATAGAAAGTAAATTTAGCAATATATTCTTTCATAAAATTTTGTTAATAACTATATTGCAGGTGACAATATAAGATTAAATCTTGACACACTTATGCAACAAAAGGTGCATGCTGTGACTGCATTGACTGGAGGAATTGCACAATTGTTTAAAAAGAATAAAGTGGACTTGATCAAAGGTGTTTCTTTTATTTATGCTTTTAATACAGGGTGTCAAAAATATTTGTTTATTCAAGGTCATGGTAAGATTACTGGAGTGAATCAGGTGACAGCGTTGAAGGAAGATGGTTCAAGCGAAGTGGTGAACACTAAAAACATTTTGATTGCTACTGGGTCAGAAGTAACACCTTTCCCAGGGATTGAGGTAAGAATCAAAATAAGGAATGCAGAGTAGGTTTTAACCAAAAGGGAACTTTTTACATTTTTATTTCATTTCAACATTTGATCTTTAAGTTATTTTAGATATATTCCCAGATTTTATGAATGAATTGCTCCATCTACAGGGTGTTTCAAAAAACGTGCCATCTCTTGTGGGGGTTCCTCACGAAGAAATAAGATTTATTTTTCATATCAACATAGGTCCGATTCTGCTTTGTTTCGTAGCTACAGGATGTTAAAATCTTAATAATTTTTCGATTTGTTATAATTTTCTTCCAAGTACTTTTAGTGATTCGAATAAAATTTGGAGGGTAAAAGTAACTATAAGTGCTACATATTTTAATGCTAAAAAGTGTCGATAAATTCACCAGGGACGTGCATATGGGTTATCACTGGAATATTTTTCAGAAAAAAACATATGCGCAACTGCCTTTTTCTTTTGATATTAAAATTGTGTAGGTTATTTAATGCCAATTAAAAGTTATCTCTTGATATTTTGTCGAATTCGGCCTCCTTGATGAGATAAACGCAATTTTATTAATCACAATTAATAAAATGAAAATAAAATTAATAAACTATATATTTTACCTAATTTCAAATAAAAAAATAATGGATAAGATAATTACAAAAGATAATAAGATAATTACAAAAAACCTAATTTTAAAAAGTGTTAACATCCTGTAACTCTAAAACTATACATTTCCATACATATACAGGGTGGCGCACCTCATTCGCCTCGGTTGATTATACGAAAACGGAAAGATGCAGAAACAAAATATTACATGAGTATATATGGGGTGGCAATGTACACAATTTAAAATTATTTTGAAATGTACAGGGTGCTTCAGAACTAAGATACATACCAAAGCTATATTTTTTCTTATGGAACACCCTGTATTTTATTTCATTTTTGGATTCTTGGGCCCAAAAAAAGGTATTTATTATAAGGGTTAAATATGTTTAAAATTTTTGGTTTTTGAGATATTTAAAGATATTTGAAAATGCAGGCTACAATAGAATAGATTATTAACACCCTGTACATTGCTTTTCAGAATTAATTCTTGTGCTGACTTTTAAGCCAGAGAAACAAATTTTACTGAAAAATTTGATAGCTCTGTTTAATGTATACAGGGGTATCAAAAATTGCTGGTCTATTATAAATATTTATTTTACATAAAAACTTTGTTATTTCAAATACAACAACCTATATATTTTTTTAAATATATCGAAGCAGGTTCAAATGCTGTTTCAAACTATATTAGGGTTTCCTATACCTATCTAGCTCAGATTTTGAGTAAAGAGCCATTTTTCCATAAAATATTTTGTTTCTACATCTTTCCGTTTTCGTATAATCAACCGAGGCGAATGAGGTGCGCCACCCTGTATTTCTAGCAACTTTTTTCCTGTTTTTTGACTGAAAAAAACTTTCGTAAGTTAATGATATTAAAATTTTTAAAAGGTTGCTATTAGACTTGGATCAAAGCAAATTAACAAAATTGCGTTTATCTCATCAAGGAGGCCGAAATCGACAAAATATCAAGAGACAACTTTTAATCGGCATTAAACTGCTTACACTATTTCGCTAACAAGAGAATAAACAGTCAGTAGCGTACATGCTTTTTTTAAAAATATTATCCAGCGATAACCGATATGCACGTCTCTGGTGAATATGTCGACACTTTTTTACCTTTAAAATATGTCGTACCTAGATCATGGAAAGGATGAATGAACCCATAAGAAATGGCAAATGTTTTTTGAAACACCCTGTAGGTATACATTATTAATACAAAATTTTTAACTTTATTTTTAAGATTGATGAGGAACAAGTTGTGTCATCAACTGGAGCCTTGTCATTGAAAGAAGTCCCCAAAAGACTTATCGTCATTGGGGCTGGTGTTATTGGTGTTGAATTGGTAAGTACACTTTACATTCATCTATTGAAGAATCTATTTAATGTTATAAATAAATGTTTTAGGGCTCAGTGTGGTCAAGGTTAGGCTCAGAAGTAACAGCTATCGAGTTCCTTCCCTCAATTGGTGGCGTCGGTATCGACCAAGAAGTTTCAAAAACTTTACAGAAAATCTTGACAAAACAAGGACTTAACTTTAAGCTGGGAACTAAAGTAACTGGAGCAACCAAATCAGGTGGTGTAGTGAGAGTCAGTGTTCAAGATGTAAAAGACAGCAGCAAAACTGATGAAGTAAGTGTTGTAATATCTGAAAAGTTTTTTTTCTAATATATCAATTTATAGCTTGAATGCGAAGTTCTTTTGGTATGCGTTGGAAGGAGACCCTACACTGAGAACCTGGGATTAGAAGAAATGGGTATTGAAAGGGACCAAAAAGGAAGGGTACCAGTAAACTCTGTATTTCAAACTGTCATTCCAAACATATATGCCATCGGTGACTGCATTCACGGACCCATGTTGGCTCACAAAGCTGAAGATGAAGGTATAAACTTTTTTTTAATATACGTGATGAGTTGTTATTTAACTATCTGTTATTTTATAACAATTATTTAGAAATAACATAACGCAACCGTTACTACTTTTAAAAAATAACAGATATAAAATAACGATACGCAGAGATCGGCCGTTCGTGAAACGAAGTCGGCGATCTGCACCGCCACGAAATTCGATGCTGCTCGAAGCAATTCCAAAAAACAACTAGTATGGATTATGGATGGAAAACATGTTATTTCGACAACCAACGATACAGGCGGCGAGATACAACCGACAACGGAGTGGGGAAGGCGCGGCGGCGCGGCGAACGTAGCTGCATCGGTCGTGTGGGGCTTGCAACAGCTTAAAAATAATAGGATATAAAAGAAGCAGCTTTTTTGAAACAGTTGAGGGCATAACGCCTGGCGGTCGAGATAACAGGAGTGGGAAAGGAACGCTGCTGCATCGGTCGATTGTCGATGGAGGCTCACAACGGGTTGGAGAAGCAGTCATTTTAGATACGTTGTTTTTTAACCTGTTAAGCATAACAGAGCGGCGCGGCGGTCGAGATAATCGGAGTGGGAAAGTAACGTTGCTGCATCGGTCGATTGTCGATGGAGGTTCGAAACAGGTTGTTTTAGATACATTGTTTTTCAACCTGTTACGAGCATAACGGGCGGAGGTCGAGATATTATGGCCCTGTATGTTTCAGTACTTACTTATTAAGTTTCAATATTTAGGTATTTATTTATTCTGAAAAACTTTCAGAATAATAATTATTATATATTAATAATAATTAATATATTATAATAATTAAAAATGTATACAGGGTGTTTTGAAAAATCTGGTCATTGATTAATCACGATATTGCTTAAACCCCTTGACGTAAAAAGCTGATTTTTGGAAAACGGATTGACTTTAGGGTGTAGAGGTTCGATAAGAAGGGATTTTTCGTAACTCGAATTCTAAGGGGGTGAAACCACCCTCAAATATTAGAATATTTTTTATTTAAAAACCGGTGAGTTTTTCGGAAAAACTCTTAATTAAACACGTATCTTTTATTTTGTTGTTTTACATATTTTAAGATTTTTAAAAAATATATACAGGGTGTTTCATAAAATATGACCATTGAGTAATCACGATTCTGCTTAAACTGCTTGACGTTTAAATCTGATTTTTGCCAAACGGATTGACTATGGGGTTGCGGTTCGATAAGAAGGGGTTTCTCGAATCTCAAATTCCAAGAGGGTGAAAACGCCCCTCAAATATTAAATATTTGTTATTTTAAAAACGGTTAGTCTTTCGGGAAAACGCTTGGACACGCATAATTTATTTTGTTTTTTTACATATTTTGAAATTTTTTAAAAAATCATACAGGGTGTTCCAAAAAGTTGAGTAATTGATTAACCACGATTCTGCTTAAACTGCTCGACGTTTAAAGCTTATTTCTGGCAAATGTGAGAAAATTTTATCCAGTTTGTATGTTAATGGAGATTCTTGCTTTGCTTTATCACCACCATTACCAATTATTAATTCGACACGAAGTCGCGGGTACACGCTAGTTTAAGTGTAAAATTAATTCGAACTCTAGTGTGTAGTTGGTTTACTTATGAAGAATATACTACACATTTTCTTATATTGCTATTTTTTGACCGCAAATGGTAAAACCTAAGAGCTTCTCACCCGTCGAGTGAGATGCACTCTGTACACTGCTACGCAATTCAGGATCTACGCGAATCGAGGGGCAGGGCGTAGGTAGATCGGAATGTATAGGTATAGATGAGTGGCGGACTTTTGTTTTTTTTTATATAGCAATTTGTAAACAGCTCTTATTTGTAAACAACCACCGTTTTTAGAGAGGTATTTTAGATAATAATCGATATTTAGAAATGTTTTGACACCCTAGAAATACTACCACCGAGCACGTTATTGTTGCAACTTGCAACTGCGTTAATACGCCTGGCGGTGACCGCCTCATACTCTTTCAGATATTTAGCAATAAAATAAAGAAACCTGTTATTGTTAAGCTGTTTTTTATAAATAACTATAACAGTTTCAACTGTTATCTTTCTATAACTATAACAGTTTCAACTGTAAAAATAACAGTTTTGCCCATCACTAATTACTAAACTGTAATAAATTTGTTCTTTTTTGTTTAGGAATCATTTGTATAGAAGGTATTTTGGGAGGTCCAGTTCACATAGATTACAACTGTGTACCTTCGGTCATTTATACACATCCTGAAGTTGGCTGGGTAGGTAGATCAGAGGAAGACCTCAAGAGTGAAGGTAGGTGACGATTGTCTATAAAAATACTGTATAGTTTTATAATATTTTTCTATTTATTTAGGTGTAGACTATAAGGTTGGTAAGTTCCCCTTCCTGGCCAACTCTCGAGCGAAAACCAACAACGAAACTGACGGTTTCGTTAAGGTCTTGGCAGACAAAGCTACAGACAGAATTTTGGGCACTCATATCGTCGGTCCCAGCGCCGGAGAACTGATTAACGAAGCCGTACTAGCACAGGTACATTTGAACTACTTTCTATAGTCTGTCCATTGAAAGAATATATAACAGTGACAGTTGTTGTTTTGTCATTTTGATTCGGAAATATATTTATTTTCTGTCATTTTTGGTTGTTATCTGTCGAGAGGATATATTCTTTCGCCATACATACATACATACCCTCATTTTTTTTAATGGCAACATGAAAATCTCGATTTTAAAAGAATACTGCGCTGTATCCAGCATTTAAATTACATACATTTTAAAATAAATTATACCGGGTGCGTCTGAAAAGTGGCTCACCCCTATAACTTTCTTATTCCAGATAAAAAAAACGAGATTTAGTATATTAGTACATGACATAAATTAGAATTGATTGACGTGTTCAATTGATTTTGGTCACTTCCTGTGTCACCGGAAATCACTACAACTTTTGATTTTAAATGACACCCTCGGTATTTTTTTACTTTATTCGATAGAAAATGAGACTCTGAATAGAATGACATATCATATATCAACTTTTGACATTTTCGCATATGGTTTATTTGAAGTTGTAACGTGCAGTGAGTAAAGTGTGTGGTACCAAATTATTCGTAAAAAAATCCTTTTTCCAAATATGCTAATGAGCCAATCTTGTTCCATTTGAAAAATTTGAGATATTTTTAAAAATACAATTTGGGCATCTTTTGGGCCAGGACAAGACACGAAAAACATTAGACGATCAAATCTATTTTTCCAAAGCTCCTTGATTAAAAATTAGTGTTTTTAACACAGCATAACACTCTAGATTGAAATTTAAAATACGAATTTTTAAAGTGAAAATGTCAAAAATTGACATATGATATGTCATTCTATTTAGAGTGTCATTTTCTATCATATAAAGTAAAAATATACCAACGGTGCCATTTAAAAATCAAAAGTTGTAGTCATTTTCGGTGAAACAGGAAGCGACCAAAAACAATTGAATGTGTCAATCAATCCTAATTTATGTCATATACTAACATACCAAATCTCGTTTTTTTATCTGAAAAAATAAATAAGTTATAGGGGATGGGCCACTTTTGAGACGCACCCAGTATAATAAAATGTAATGCAGCCGTCAGTATCTTTATTATTCCATTTTTCGATCCATCCAACATCAAAATTCCTTTTTTTTAAGGAGTACGGCGCATCATCCGAAGACGTCGCCAGGGTATGCCACGCGCATCCCACCTGCGCAGAAGCCTTAAGAGAAGCGAACGTGAGCGCCGCTTTTGGAAAGCCCATCAACTTCTAACTTCACTCAAAGCAATACACATACTTATTTCCAAAAGTATTGGAAGAATATCTCCGATAATTAGGATTAAATCGAAGTCATACGAAATCGTTCATTTTCTTTAAGAAAAAAATCATAATGTGCTTAATTCCTTCGCAATACTTTGTAAATAAGTATTATCGCCCCTTTTTTGTTATCGTTTATTTTGTATATATCTATTTTTATTTTGTTTTTGAATGTTCCAAGGTAATTAATTAGGTACATGAAGAATTTTAATATTTAAATATCAGATACGATCGAAAATGTTTTAAATAATAAGTTATTTATTATTTTTGTGGTTTCTTTTTAACCTTGGCCCCTAAAAAATTAGTTATAGGTTTAAATCATTGAATAGAAAGACTATACAGGGTGAGTCTTAAATAAATGCAAATATTTTCAGGGCTGGTAGATCTCGATAAAAGAAACCTATTTTCTCTTTACCGTTTTTCAAATAAGTTCAAAATAACCAAGATATTTTTACACTGAAAATTTAAAAAAAATGGTATTTCGCTTAAATTTTGAGAACCACTGGATATTTTCTAGGTTTTCTTTCTTGTAACTTTAATCTACTCACTATGTTGCCGTAAGAAATTACGTCTTTTAACTAAAAACTAAAAAATCCAAAAATATTTCAAAAAATTCCATATTTTCAATTTTTTTTTGCGAAAAAGCCTCAAAATCGTGTTTTTGGGGTCGAAATATATTACCCCTAAATATATTTGCACTTATTTAAGACTCGCCCTGTATATATAAGGCTGGGTAGAGGGCACACACAGAAAGAGCAAAATAGTATTAGTCAAAAGCACTTTTTGACTAAAACTGTTCATATGATGTCTCAATGCAAATTAAATGAGCACACTGATCAGTCCCGAGGTTTAAGGCAGATTTAGGAAAAGTTTCTTTTTTCTAACTCTATATCTAATTTTCAATTCAATGCATCTAATTATCTTGAATACTCTGTATTTATAATTAACAACGGTCCTATTTAAAGTATAATACAAATATACTTATTAGCTTACATATATATTGCTCAAACAAAACGAAGAGACAATTGTAACACGGTACATTTGAACTACCATTAATGTTAATAAGGAATTATTAATCAATAGTTACAATAGACAGTGAAGTAACATGAAGTAATGTTATATTACTGTTGAAACAGTAATATAACATTACCTAGAACATACAAGTGTAAATACAGGATGTCCTAATATTTCGTGGATATAGAACTATATAAGTTAATTGCACACAATTTGCTTCTATACAAAAGTTTGTCCGATAGAGGACATCAAACTTAAAAAAAAACACAATTTTTAAGATATTTTAAGAACTGTTATTCCGATTTGAATGAGATTTGGGGTACCTACTACCTGGGGGTAGTTTTCGCCCTTCCCGTACTTTTTCTTAATTTTTGTGAAAGTCAAATGTTATTAAAGCACTTAGTAAAACATAGGCACCCCAAAAAAAGGCAGCGGGTCTGGATGGGATATTCCCAGAATTCGTTATGCACTGCGGCCCTGCTACAGTCAAGTGGATTACTAAATTCTTCAATGATATATTAGAATCGGGGAATTTACCTAAAGCTTTCAAGAAGACTAAGATCGTGGCCGTATTAAAACCGGGTAAAACAGGAAAGCTAGCCTCTGACTATAGGCCCATCGCGCTGCTGAGTGTGTGCTATACAATACTCGAAAGGTTAATCCTTAATCGTATTTCAGAGCGAGTAAATGAGCATGTCCCCATCGAACAACCTGGCTTTAGAAAGGATAGAAGCTGTTACGACCAAGTGCTCTCGCTCACTACGCATATCGAGAAGGCTTTCCAAGCCCGTCTCAAAACTGTCACAGTTTTCGTCGATCTGACTTCGGCTTATGATACGGTCTGGAGAGATGGAATGGTATCAAAGTTCATTAAAATCTTCCCTTGCAAAAAGTTGGCCAATTTAATAAACAACATGCTCTCGAACAGAAATATTCAAGTGCATTTGAAGGGAGAAAAAAGTCGTACGTACAACATCAACAATGGACTCCCGCAAGGCTCGGTACTTGCCCCTATTCTTTTTAATATCTATACCGCCGACCTCCCTGCTACAGTCTCCAAAAAAATTATATACGCAGATGACATTGCACTTTCCTGTCAAACAACTGATTTTACTAGAGGCGAAAATACTCATCAGTTGACTTGCAGAAATTAAATGACCACTTTCACAAGTGGAGGCTTCGCCCAAACATTGCTAAGACAGGTTTCGTGCTTTCATCTTCACAACTTACAAGCCAAGTATGTACCGCAAGTCAAATTTGGGGATCAACTGGTAAAATACAACTCTCACCCAAAGTACTTAGGAGTCACATTGGACCGATCTCTCACGTTCAAGCCACGCCTCACCAAGACGGCTGCAAAAATAAATACTATAAATTATATACTGCACAAGATCGCAGGTAGCAGCTGGGGAGTAAACGCCAGGGTACTTAAAACAACTGCAATGGCCCTCGCATATTCGGTGGCAGAATACAGCTGCCCTGTCTGGATAAATAGCAATCATATCCATCTTATTGACACTCGCCTTAACAGCGCGATGAGAATTATAACGGGCACTATTAGAAGCACTCCGATCCAGTGGCTTCCCGTATTATCAAACATTCCTCCCCCTCATTTGAGAAGACAGGCGGTTCTAGTCAGAGAGTGGAAAAATGCATCAGCAATGTTCATCTTCCCATCCATGATGATTGCGAAAATTTCTTGCATCGTCTGAAGTCCAGAAAACCCCCATGGGTATTAGGACAGCAGTTACTAAATTCCAACTTTCGGGTTGAAGACTGCTGGCGAGATGAATGGTTACAAAATAATCCTGACCTTCATCACTTGATAACTGACCCAGTATTCTGCCGTCCCGGATTCAACTTGCCAAGAAAAACGTGGACAACACTCAATCGGTTCAGAACTAACCATGGCAGAACCCGCTACTGGACACACAAATGGGGACTAACCGACAGCCTTAACTGCGATTGCGGACATTCTGAACACACTCCTTTTCATATCGCAACAGAGTGCCCATTAACAAAGGCGCAGTTCTCTTTAAATCGTTTTCATGAGGCTGACCTGGATGCTATAGAATGGATAGAGACTATAAATTTACACTACAAGAGAAATCTTGTAGTGTAAATTTATAGTTGTTCGTTTTTACTGTAACATTGTGATATGTCTCTTACACATCTGATTGTTGATTTTTGAATAGTTTGTATTTTTGTATTGCTTTGTTTTCCTTAATTTTATTGATATCATATGTACTCTTAATACGCCATACGAAATATATATACCCCAAATTTCATTCAAATCGGAATATCGGTTCTTAAAATATCTTAAGTGTGTTTATTTTTTAAGAGATGCCCTCTAACGGACAAACGAAGCGCTTTTCTATAGAGGATGTCCAATGAACTTATTTTGATTCCAAAAATACGCAGTAGTTCTATGTCTACGGAATATTGGGACAACCTGTATAGATTCAGATTTTATTTCACTTAAAAAATGTATTATTATCTTCCTTTGTGCGAATAAAACAAACATATCGTGTGATAATTATTTATTGTATTTAAATCATTCATTTACGGTTAGCTACAGTTAATGTTTCTAAAAATAACAGTAAACCTTTTAATGATTCTAACAGTACGTATTTTGCATCTAATACTGAAAACATATAATTTTGTAATTTTCAACATTTTATCGTCTCTTATAATGATATAATCAAAACCCCAACAATTCTTTCCTATTTAGAATATGATATAACCACATTTAATTACACTACATGTATATTATTCAAAAAACATCCAGACGAAAAACGAAAAGTATTCGAGACGGTACATTTGAACTACTCGTAAGTTTCTCATTCTACGTATCGTGAAAAAAGTATTTCAATGTGAAATAGCCAATCCAATAATTACGAGATAACTAGATATGAAATTATAGAAAAAAACACAGCCCTAATATAAGAAAAGTTTTGTATAAATTTATATTTAAAAGTAAACAGTGCAATTGAGTGAAAAATTATGGCAATGAACGATCGGAAGTCGACATGAAACACTTAAACACCCTGTATATACTCGAAAAAATGTTTCACAAAATAATGTGATAATTTTGCACTAACCTCATCATAGTTTAAACTAGAATTACAATTATATTTTCAACTACATTCTATTATATTTTATAACTTCATAAAATTATCAAAATCAGTAGAGTAAAATAAAATACCAAAAAAAGAGTAAAAAACATACATATAAATCAGTCTCATTAAAAAAAAACATTATTTTTGTGCTTTTTTAGAACTAAATGTTTAGAAATTTTAGGTAAAACTACCATAGGTTTCAAAACAACTAAATTAGGTTCGTCTATTCATATTAAGTCGACTTTATTTGTGCTTCTACATTTCTAAACAATTCATTAAAGATACGATACTAAACGCAAGAAGTACCTACAATATGAACATAAATCATTATAATTAGCGAGTTCTAGAAATGACAGATAAAACAGAAGTATTTTTTTTTCAGATTTAGTATATAATGAGATTAAAAAAAATACTGTCACAGTAGCCACAGAAATATCATTTTAGTTTGAGTTTGACTACGTCTATTGCGAATTCTTAAAAAAACATAAATAATTAATAAAATACAAGAACAAATAACTAAAGAATAGCTGTCAGACTGATATAGTAAAACTCAAAATAAATGATATTTATGTCAGTTGGTTGGTCTTTTATGTAAGGCATATCCTAAAATAACAAACAAGACTTAAAATACAAGTACCAAATGATAGAGAGAAAAAAGGGTCAGAGTAGCCTTTGAATTGATGGCCAATGACAATGTCTTATTGTCGAATCAACTCCTAGACATCGTATTAGTAGTAGTAGTAGGCATTGGTTAAAAAATAGAATAAAACTAAGATTTTTTTCCATTCAAATATTAATTATTATGAAGTTTATATGTCAATTTTTTAACAAATGGCATACAGGAATCGACCCAACAGAAATCACCATTCAATGTTATTTTAGGCTAATTGACGCTGTTTTTTTTTCGATGGTATGCCGCACTTGTAAATAAATATACTTATAACAACTGAAAATAAATGTAACTGACAATGCGTGAATTCGCTTAATTATAGTAATTTATATTCATAGAGTACATAAATTAAAATAAATGGCAAAAAGAGAATAAAAAAATATTCACAGCATATTCAAGATTCCTTTTAAGATCCAGTATCGGTAAAAATGTTCAAAAACAACTTATTCAGTCCTACCTCATTACTTATATTGGTCAAATGAAGTCATATAAGTCTTGACAAACTTAACCAATGGCTATACCGTGTTTTTGTAACTCTTTCAGCATCGGTAGCGGTCTAGCTGGCCAGTAGTTCACTCCTTTTAAGTTGGTACTTTTGTTCTGTATCTTTTCTAGTTCGACCATGTATGGATAGATCCTTTGCTCTATCCACTCTGAGATGGTGTAGTTGTCTACTAAACCATTTAAAGAATCGGCAGCATTTCTAAAATTAAAGAATTTAGACAGTGACAGTTAATGTCTGTCGTTTTCTTAAAAGATTTTTTTCTGTCAATTTTTGGATAATGTTAGTGAAAATAGTCCAATTTTACGCGTAAAAAATAGTTTTTTAAGTGACATAAATAGTTTTTTATACGTAAAAAATAGTTTTTTGGGTGTAACAAATAGTTTTACGTGTAACAAATATGTATGTATAAAACGAAAAATGTATAAAACTACGCGTAAAATAAAAAAAATAATAAATAATTTGCGTGTGTGAACTGTATTTTTTTTGCAGCATATTCTCCAGATAAAATTAAGTAAAAAATTGTGTATAAATCTAAGTCCTAAAATGCTTAGTTTCGGAGATACAGGGTTTCATTTTTATTTCGATTTTTTCCAAATAATTTCTCAAGTAACGTCAATATTTCGATGAAAATTGGTTTCTGGGAGTTTTTTGACATGTGAAATTTGATTTTTGTAGAGGGCGCCACCTACATATTTTTTAACTGGTTTGAAGAGTAATAACTTTTCGTCCGTACCTGTATAAAACTACCGAGTAAAAAAATATACATTTACGACGTTTCTTACGTAAAAAAGGTCTCTTGGTAAAAATTGCTACGAATAATGGTTCTCGAGATATCTGGAATCAAAATATTCAATACATGTTATCATTGACAAAAAATGAATACAATTCCGGCCACCCTGTATCAGGGGTGGATGGAGAAGTGGAAACCGGCCCGGGAATAACAGGCAACCGGCCCGCATCCGCAAAAACAAAATGACCATAACGAAGAAACATATTTTATTTATTAATATACAGGGTGTCCCAGAAATAAGTGCAAGTATTTTAACTGGTAGTATATTTCGGCCTCAGAAACACGCCTATCAGTTTTTTGCGAAAATTTGGAATTTTTTGAAGAAATTTTTGGAATTTTTTTAGTTTTAAGTTAAGAGAACATAATTTCTTGATAATCTGACAACTGACAATAGGTAGTAGATTAAATTTACATGAAAGAAAATACAGAAAAGATCCAGTGGTTCTCAAAATTTAAGCAAAAAAGCATTTTTTGTTTAAATTTTCAAAGTAAAATTTTGGTTAAAAAAGTTATTTTGGGCTTACTTGAAAAACGGTAAAGAGAAAAAATGTTTATTTTGACCAAATCTACCCCCCTTAAAATATTTGCACTTATTTATGGGACACCCTAGATAAGGGTCAAATCACCCCAAGTAAGGGTGATAACAGGGTGATTGTCTTGATCCAAATTTTTATAAAGATCAATATCGGGTCGGACATCTGAATTCTTACTAGAAAATAGCTGTTTCACAGGGTTCTACTGTTTTATTTCCATTATCGATAACATTTGATCTTGAATATGCTACGATTTTGAATCACGGTTTTGAGAAACTTTAAGACTTCCTGATTCATTCAGTTCATCAGCTGGCCCAATCCTCTATGAAATACATTATTTTTAGATTTTCAGGTATATATTTTCTTACAGATTGTAGAAAGAAAGCGTCTCTTTTCTGGTACAGCAGCAGCCTCGTCATGTATACGTGTCTTAATTTTGGTATAATTCTCATCACGTAACTTTTCCTAGTTTCTACATTTGGCATCTTGTATGATAATGGCATGACTCAAACGAAAAAAACCTAGGCAATACCTAAGCAGTGGATATAAATGTGTTTTAATAAAAGAATTTTTGGTAAAACCATACAGAATGAGCCTTAAATAAGCGCAAATATTTTCAGGGGTGGTATATTATATCACCACCAGGGGCCAGGACACGTCTATGAGTTTTTTTTGTAAAAAAAAAAAAGATGTTGAAAATCGTCCTTTTTCTTTTAAATTTTCCTGTATATTTTAGAACATTTTTAGAACTTCCTGTTCACTGCAAATTTTTCCACGGTATAGTTTCTTAATCTTTGATATTACGGCACAAAAGTGATGCAAATACAGAAAGATTTAGGCGGCAATTTTTAAAAAAATCAGTTTTTTTAAATTCAAACTTTAATAACTCGGTTATTTTGGACTTATTTGAAACACGGCAAAGAGAATATAGTATGTTTTTTCATTCATATCTACCAGCCCTGAAAATATTTGTACAAAGCAAACAAAAAAAAAACATTTCAAATGGAACAACAAACAAAATTATTAGATGTTTATTAAAATTATAAGTGTCTCAGAGGAAAACATCTAACAATACCTAGTTATTTTAAAAATTGATGTTTATGTTTAAAAGCAACTAACCATTATATTGATGCAAACTGATTAGTTAGTTAGGCAGTCACTAGAATCTTACGTAATTTTAGTTAGAAGATTAACCATTTAATTTTTGCTAAATCAATCTTTTTTTGAGTTCTGATCGGGACCGGCCCACCGGCCCACCGGGAATTTTCCCGTTTTCCCATATGGCCCATCCACCCTTGCCCTGTATATTGGCTAAATAATTAAAATTAAATTTGCTTTTTTAAATGTTGTTAAAATGTATTTACTACAAAGTGTAACAAGTATTTTTCATTTGAGCCAAAGCACTATCAGACACAATGTCAAATATCAAAACTTATATCAAAAATAATCTGACTTCGTGTTTTAGTGTATAGTGGTGAATCAGTGTGTGAAATGTATTTTATTTTCTGTTATAATTATAACATCAAAGGTTTCAGCTTCTACTATAATACTCTTACCTTGCTAATGATACCATACCATGGTAAACCCTGGGCAAGTCCTGAGTAAGTTCTTCCACACGCAGCGGTAGACTGTAGTTGTATTTGGCATTGTAATCAGTCAACCAACCCTTATGTTTTGTAGCCATGTCAATGTATTCTTTGGCTTCGTTTTCTATGTTATGAAGTCTGTACATCAATCTTAAATTATAATAAAATATATTTAAATACGTAAATAATTTTCTAAAAGTAAAATAATCACTTGAAAAATCCATTCCCTGGAAACATGCATCTGGAAAGTTTTTCCCACATCCTTGGATCTCCTTCCAGATTTAAAAATGGAGAGGATCTTCTGTCTCCCGGTTGTGGGCAGTTTAGATTACTTAAAAATTGGTCCTAAAGGTCCAATATGTTGATTAAAAAATATATAAATACAAAAATAGCTAACAGAAATTACAAATATTTGTCATCATTTGATATTTTTTAACTGAACTGCCCGTCAAATTAAATACCACAGCGATTTTTTTACTCATTTTCAACGAATTGTAACTTTGAAAAAAATGGACCAATTTTGTTGATTTTTTTAGCATATTAAAGACCGTTTTTGTTAGATTGATCTGATTTTTCTAAATGTTGTATGAGATTTAGTTTTCTATGATATACAGGGTGTAAAAAAAAGGAATGTAATTTTTGAAATTTTGTGTTGCTGCCATTTTGCAAAAAAAAAATTAACTAGAATTATAAGAGAGAGTTCTGGGTATAGCTAAGACTAATATCTCGGGACGTATTTGGAATTTTGACGATAACTCATCGGGAATAAAAGATAATCAATTTTTACTCTAACTTGTATTTTTTCTATCTTTATTAAGAGATGTGCTAACAAAACTGAAATTAACTTTATAATGTTGTTTTTAATTGTTTTAAGCACTTTAAGTTGCAGCTAAACTACAGATTTTTAGACACAAAAAGAGTTTTTACAAAAATATCAAATACGTGTCGAGCTTTTATTAACCTTATAGGCTGTTAAGTTCAGAATATTAAAAAAATAACTTTACTTTTTCGCTGGTCGTATTTTTAAGAGATCCTGTGTTAAACTGCGTTAGTTAAATCATTTTTTTTTTTAATTTCACATTGTAAAAGTAACGAATATCCTACAATTTTAAAGTTAATTTCAGTTTTGTTAGCATATCTTTTAAGAAAGGTAGAAAAAAAAAAAAATATAAGTTAGAGTAAAAATTGATTATCTTTTATTCCAGATGATTTATCGTAAAAATTCCAAATACGTCCCGAGATATTAGTCTTAGCTATACCCAGAACTTATAATTCTAGTTAATTATTTTTGGCAAAATGGCAGCAACACAAAAATTACATTCCTTTTTTTCACACCCTGTATATCATAGAAAACTAAATATCATACAAAATTTAGAAAAATCAGATCAATCTAAGAAAAACGATCTTTAATATGCTAAAAAAATCAACAAAATCGGTGCATTTTTTTCAAAGTTACAACTCGTTGAAAATTAGTAAAAAAATCGCTGTGGTATTTAATTTGGCGCGCAGTTTAGATACCTATAGGAAAATCAATAAAAGTTGACGTGCAGTTGTCAAAAAATACTTAAAAATGATAAATGTCAGATTTAAAAGACAAATCTTATGATAACGCCCAACATTTGCCATGACTACCAACATAAAGCCGACCGTGCTGTCTTTTTTTTAACTTTTTTTAGAAATCCATTTTAGTAACAGTTTCTCTATAATATTCATTTTAATAGTTTAAAATTAGTATTACTAATTTACCTTTAAAGTGGCGTTGAAAAACCCGTTGCTTGTTGCTAGTAAATTAAGAACTAATGATGGTATGGCTGCAGGTAAAAGTTCACAAAGGACGGCGAAATGATCATACCTTTGCCAACCTATAAGTAAATTTATATTTTTTAACTTTAACTAACTTAAAAAAAGTCTTAAAAAAATCACCTGTTAAAACTATCCCTCCTAGATTGTGCTTAAATATTGTCGACTGAGTTGACATCACTTCTAACCACCTCATGTTATTTTCAAGATGTCGCTTAGCGTTTGGTATGTATAGAGTCTCTCCAAAAGCACCTGTAATGATAAGAATATTCTCAATAATCTCTGTAAACCAGTATAAAGTTAAAAAAAATCAAATTTTTTATGATTTTGGAGCCAAAACGAAAAGTAGTTCAAATGTCCCACTTTGAATACAGGGTGGTCCGAACTTTATTCCGGAAACTTTGGCAGCATATTCTCCAGATAAAAATTTCGTATAAATCTATGTCCTTAAATGCTTAGTTTCGGAGATACAAGGGGTAGAAGTTTCAT